GCACATTATCAAGAGAGGGATTACTGTGGAAAACGCATTTTCATTGCTATCTGCTGCTGTCAGATATGATGCAGAGGTAAATTTCCAAAGTTCAATCTCTTAAACAGGTGGCTCCTTTCTGACCTAAACTGTGGAAGAAAGCAGTCAGTCATGTTTTCATATAAGCTAGCTCCAAATATCAGATAGCACTATCTGCCACTTGCAGGATTTGAGAATGTTGCCTTTGGAATTAAGAGCTTCATTGCAAATATGGTTTTTATATATATTTTTTGGATTTGACTCGGCAGAGAGGTGTGGGGAGGGTGAGCTGGTACACAGATATCTAAAGATGACTGAAGTTGCAGGTAGAGAATTGGTATCTGTCAGTGTTTGCATTGCTTAGCTCATGGTGAAAGTCTAGAACAGTTTTCATGAATTATTGTTTCTGTGGGAGGAAAAAAGCCTCAAAAAAGAGAAGATAAAGACTAACTCTCAAATGAGAGAAGGGCTTAAAAACAAAACAAAAATCACATTATGGAAAGAAACTCTTGTAGGTCTTGTAAGGTTGTGGGTTACACGTGATATCACGTGGTGGTAGGATCTGAGGAGTGGTTTATTTTCTGAGTTATTTTAACTACAGTCAAATACACTTTCTTTAAATTATGCTTATGAAATGGCAATATTACAGCTGCTTTATGAACCTAATTAATTTTGAAGACTGAGGAACAGCATGTGAAAAAGGAGGAAGGCCAGTAAAACATCCTGCAGAATGTCTGCGTTAGGACATCACTGGTATGCAGCTTTGTCATGTAATCAGGAAGTATCCCTGGGCTTTCTTCAGTCCTTTGTGCTCAAAATAGTATCCATGCATCATATTTGCAGTTTAGTTTGTTTTTCACCTGCTGTTTATATAGAGTTGGTTCTCAGTAAGTGAATTCTGTGCTGCTTCTTGCACTTGAGAGCTGTCAGTAGGCATGAAATGCCCTAACGCAGCTACTTCAGAGACTTTACTTCAGAGCCTTGTGGTGCATTGCTGGTTTGATGTACCTTAGTGAAGGGCTGCCTTAGAGTCTGAATTATGGCTTCAGCTCTGTGGTGATTAAAGGCTGTGTCAGTGCAAGTCATAGAAAACAGGAAGCTTTCTGTACTTTAGCCTTAGGAGGTTGGTTGTGGAATGGGTGCTCAGAGTGATTGATTCTGCCTGTAAGGGGAAGCTGGAAGTGAAGTGCAAGTTGATCCAAATGCTACATCAAGGAGAGAGTAGGCAATACTGAAGGGCTGCCTTGTTTAAAACAATAATTAAAGATGTATAGTAGTGGTAGATCAGAGTTTGAAATTGCTTGGGTGATGTCGTTCATTCAAGGGGTCTGCGTGTCTGGAAGACAGTAGGTAAAAGGACTTCACTAATTTAAAGTGCTTTTAGGATGTGAAATTCCCCCATGCTTTTGGGGATTGAGTGACTGGATGAAGTGCCTAGAACTAGTTCAGGTCTTCCTTCTGAGGAAGGTTAAAACATTCATTGGATGTACTTGTGTGTTTTTTTTTCTTTTCACTTAAATCTGTATTAAGTACAGCTTGCTGGGAGTGCATCCATCCACAAATGAAATTCAGACTTTTTGATACAGAGTTTTGAATTTCCTGAAGTTTCTTAATAGTGAAAGAATACTATTTGTTGTACACCTTATTGCGTTGACTTGGTATATGAATTTTTAATAAAGCAGTGCAAAATACCGTGATGTGTATGATGTAATTTTGTTTGAAATGCTGGTTAATTCTGTTCTTTAAAAAAAAGAAACAACCCTCAGTGTTCAGTTCTAATAAGCTTGTCTTTTTTCATTGCACAGATGCCAAACAAGTCAAGATCTGCAGCTTCAGAAAGCCTGGTGTTAGACCAGGACGCATTTCTGTATCACTGTTGTGTCAAGAACTCGCTGGCACACAGTTGCCCTAGTTGTCACTGTTGACCTTAAGTGAAAATCTGAATGATAACCAGCCTGTCATACCTATGGTGGCTTAAAGAGCTGCGCACACTTGCTGTGCCTTGCTGCAGCACTCAGTCTGAGCTAAGGAGGAGGGGTGTGTTCTTATGTAGAAAGCACAGTTCCACAAGTTGGTGAAGCACTGAAGGAAGTGGAACAGAATGGGGAGCTGCTGTTCTGGAAGGGCTGTGGCATGTTCCTTAAAGCAGCTTTGCTCTGCACCACAAGGAATTGATTTCCTTCCTCCTCAAAGGAGAGCTGGAAACAATGTGAGCGGGAAACCTTCTGTGCTCAGCATCACGTTGTCAGCTGCTGTCTTTTGTTTTTTAGACATCCTTTCTCTCTGACATCACATGGGTGCAATGGGAGGCTTTTCAAATCCTTAAATGGAAGGCTCTTCCAAGCAGTCTCAAATATCCAGAGCAAAACTTCTGCAAGAAATGCTGTATTGTGCCACAGTGTATCTTTATTTTTATTTGGGTCATCTGTGAAGCACTGTGTAACCTGGGTCTGTTTCTAATGAGCATGAGGTCTTCTGCTTAAACTCTGCTTTAATGTTGCCTGATACACACTTGCATTGAGCCTGGTGATGAGCAACTTGAAGGCTTTATATAATTAAGCAGGAAATTGAGCAGCCTTACACAGAGGTCTGAGTTCATATTATGGAATGAAAGAGCTGAATTGCCTCCATCCACAGTCTTGGTCTGACTTCATATTATGGAATGAAAGAGCTGAATTGCCTCCATCCACAGTCTTGGTTATGTTTTGCTATCCTAGCAATTCCTGTTGTTTGTACTGGGTTTTAACAGGTGTCAGTATATGTAAATAGACAGTTCATATGAAGAAACTTTAAAAGGTACAAAAAAATCAGATATTCTGAGGAATGTGACTCAGCTGTATAGGGAAAACCAAACCATGGCTGTTTTGTCCCCATAACTGTGGTAGTGAGGGTAGAATCATTTTCTGACGTGTTTCTGTAGGGATGCTGGGATGAGGGAGGAAAAGGTTGAAAGGTGCTGGATTAGTTTGTCTGGTTCTCTGCAGAAGTAAAGCTTAGAAAGGCATTTGTGCCCTACTGAATGTAAGCTGCTGTAATGGAAGAAAGATAATGAGGCTTTTTTTTTTTTTTCTATTTAGGACTTAGAGGATTTCTGCTTTAAATTCTGTGTTAACCACTTGACCGAAGTGACACAAACGACAGCGTTTTGGCAAATGGACGGTCCCCTGCTGAAGGAATTCATTGCTAAAGCCAGTAAATGTGGAGCCTTTAAGAACTGAGTTGAGGCTGCAAGCGACGGGCGTCTGTAGGATGTTTTGCAGATGTAACAGGTCGGTGTAACTGCGCGGGTAAAAGCGGTACCTGGTGTCCCACAGCAGAAGCTGTGCAAGGCCACAGCAAAACGTGCTCTGTACTCACAACTGAACTGCTGTAAAACTGTCAGGCAATGTACTTGCATTTAGCACATCTGGATGGAGGAGCTAGCAGCAGAGCTCCTCACAAAGGAGAGAGTAAACACTGCAGCATCCAAGAGGCACCAGGTGATGTTAAGGACTTTTAGGCTAGGAAATCCTGTTTCTAGCGTTGCCTGTTAATATTTTAAATGTACTGTTTAAGGGCTCAGAGCCCCTGAATGAAGTCGTTTAAATCATTAGCTCTCTGGGTTATAAAGAGCCAAAGGGCATGGATATCTTTTGTTGCAGTTGCATGATGTGAAATTGCTGGTTGCTGCGTGTAATTAACCAAGTGTATTCGGTGCTTAGAGAAGTGTGCAAAACCAGAGCATCCTCAGAGCTTGCAGAAGCAACTGACAAAGGCAACTCAGAAAAGAGGGGCTGCTAGCAGATCTAGTTTGAAGCCAAATTCTATATTTGGGTATAACTCAATATAAGTTGTAATGTATACTTTCTGTAATCTGCTTAAGTAATATTTATGACAGCTAATGGGAAGATTTCCCACTTTGACTTTAGTTAATTGGTTCCCCTAGTGGAAAAAGAATACACTGTTCTGAAAGCATTTGTTTCATTTTTTTTCAGTTAAGTATTGTATAAATTTAAACTACGTGCAATAAAATTCTTTTTTTTAAATAACTCTTTACAAGCAAACTTCCTTGAAGAAAATGTCAAGCTTTGTGTTATGTTGCTACACCTAAGTTGATTTATTAGAAAAAAAAAAAAAACAACCAAAAAACCTCACAGATGATGTATTACTGAATCTTATTGACCTGACTGTGCCTGATGTGCACCTGTGACCTCCATTTCAAAAAGCCTGAAGTTTGTAGGCACCTGGTGACTGCAGTCCATGTTGCTGACAGGAAACACTGATGCTGTAACTTCACAGTGGCCACGTGCCACCTACTGTTTGTATCATGTGCAATAAGGATGTTATTGTGCTGCCTCCAAGGGTAGAGAAGTTTAAATTTGAAGTTTGAAGTTTAGATTGACATTAACAGCAGATTGGCTTTTTGGGGTAAACCTTTGCTCAGTGTGGCAGAGCCAAGGTTTCATAGTGTTGTAGAGAGCAGGGATCTTCTACAGCATGACAGGAGGAGTGCAGTGTAGGATTGTGTGAAGAAACACTTCCATGTGTGTCAAAAGCAGTGTTAATGCACAACTTGTTCTAGACTGCAAACTATAAACTAATCTTGACTAAAGGTCTAGCTTGGTGAGAAACAATTTGGGCTGCCCTCATCAGGAATTCAGATCTTTGCAATAAGGAAGGAAAAAGAATTAGCCTGAGTTGAACGAGCTTTACTTCTTTCCACTGATGGTGTATTTTCATCTTGGTTTCCTAGTAACTCATCATAGATGATCCTTTCTCCACTTTGATGCATTGAAGGGTACTGCCTTGGTTTTAGGAGGCACAGGCTGGCCCTGGAGCCTGTTGTGCCATTCTGTAGTGTGAGGGCCATGCTCTTCAGTACTGCTTCTACTTGCTGCTGAGAGGCACAGTGTTGGTAAACCCAAGGGGCTGACAGCCTGCCCCCTCCTAGGCCACATCCCATGCAACAGTGGGGCTTCTGAGCATGACTAAAGACAGCTTCCTTAAAAACACTTTATTTTTATTAAGTTACTCTTTTCTAATTAATGCTTTTCTGTATTCAAATCATTTTAATATAACAGCTCTTAAAGGATACAACTTCCCTCTGTTTTTTTCTTAACGAAGAAAGGAAAAAGACAGTCCCATTGTCTGATCCATTCTATACTGTACACATGGATTGGAGTGTAGTACCTCACCACTTCTGGTCTGCCTGCAGCCATCACTCTAGCACTGCTGCTACAGCAGACCTAATATCAATCAAAAAACACTTTTAAAAACCTCCAGCTTGGAATTCCAGTGACTTCTCTCAGTGCAAGTCCTGCTAGTTGATCTTCTTTGGAAAGCCAGGGCAGCACTGTGGTCCTTAAAACAACACTGTGTAGATGCAGACAGGGAAGTGGCCACTTCACACAGGCAGGAGAGGCTGCTGCAATTAAAGTGACTTGAAAAAGCTTTCATTGGCAGCTGACGATAGTCCTTTGTCTTTGAAGGAAAAAGTCCTTGGGAGGGTTTTATTCAGCTTTAAAAAAACTACAGCTGAAGTATAATACAATTATCCACAGTAAAATTTAAAGAGTAACAACTTCAAGTTACTGCAACAGTGAGGTATAAAAATGAGTAAAAACATCCAGTCTTTGCTTGTGGCCCTAGCCTGGGGGAAAGGAAGTCACACACTGACCAGACGTGCTCTATATGGTTCCTATCATCAGAAAACGTGGAGTATTGACACCATGACTGACAGCCGTGGGGTTATTCAGACACTGTACTGGATGTACTGGCAGTACTCTCCTGGGAGGGCAGGGAAACTTCTTTTAACTCCTGCAGTAGCTCAATCTGGTTATCCAGTCTTTTCCTGCTTTCCAGCAGTTCTTGAATTTTTTCCTCAGTCCCTATTATGGAAAAGAAAGGGATAAAAGCTTTTATTCATTTATTTTTAGATACAACAGTTACTAATGTCTATTTAGTGTTATAAATTTACATTAAATTAACAGGCAGGTTGCAGAGGCCTCTACTGCTCAGTTTTGCCTAGTGAGACCACTGCCTTTAGAGTGCTGCGTTTTCTGTGACTCCTCATCTCTACTTGTCTTTACTGTCAGCCATCACAGTTGGCACTCATCCATTGATGAAGGTTTGGAACCAGCTTTGACATGCGTTCTCATTATTGACTTGGAAAGTAGAAGTAGTTTGGATGGAATCAGAACAGAAGAGGGTGACTGAGGAAGTGGGGAACAGGAGGGGGGACAGCCTTCACCAGCATACCCATAGGTGGCAATGCCAGCAGCTCTGCTGTAAGCTCAGAAAAGGATGCAGTGTGCAGCAAGTGTAACTTGGGATGATGAGCAAAAAGGTGTCCAACTGCCCTCAGATGAGGCAGTGTTAGAACCTTGCATTGAGGTTAACTGCAGCACCAGGCCTGGTGATTTAGGAAACAACAGCTTTTAGTCAGTGGCAGCACTCCATTTTAGGGCCTGTTCTCTATAATTGTTTTGGCAATGACTTCACTACTTGAAGGTACACTAAGTACTAAGGTTGTCTACTAAGTTTTATGCTTGGAAAAAACAAAAGAAATGCTGAGAAGTAGTACTAGGTCTTCCTGACCTGCTAAGGGTAGGGAAATTGACATGTGTAGAGTTAGAAATAGACTGGGGGCTGAGGGAATGGCACAGAGCTGTGTCAGGGCAGGGGCAGCGGGGGGTTAAGGACAGGGTCTGCACCAGAAGGTGCTGGGCATGGAACGGCCTGCCCAGGGCAATGGGCACAGCCCTGAGCTGCTGGAGTTCAAGGAGCGCTTGGACAGCGCTGCCAGATCCATGGCTGAATGCTGGGTGGTGCTTACAGAGCCACGAGTTGAACTCGATGCTCCTTGAAGGTCCCTTTCAAGCCAGCATGCTCTACGATTCTATTATTTTAACAGAATTCTCAGAAGAATAACCTTTATACTAAAACCATACCAAAGTGCTGCCAGCTGACAGCATAACTCACTTACCTGAATGAATATTTGTCAGTATGTTCTCAAACAGTCCACAGTCAAAAAGCGATATTACTGTCTCCTCATACTCTGCAGGGAATGATAATATCACAGAGGAAAAGTTTACAGAAGCCTTAATGTAGCACCTAACAGTAGATGCAGCACAAATTAATTCATTAATGATTTACATTATAGGAATTACCTGCATTACAGCAATTGCTTGAGGTTTTAAGAAAAGCCAAGAAAACATAGCACATCTCCACAGCACATCTAATTCTGGACATCTTCATCTACCACTGCCTTAATGACCACGCCAGAATTATGCTTCAATTTCCCAATTGAGGCATTTTGTGTTTATTTCAATGGAAGCCTGCAGAGTTCACAGGACCATCAGGAGGTTCTCTCCTGGACTCTTCTTCACTGTGTGGGAGAGGAGCACAGCTGGTCTTCCCCAGCTGTCCTACCAAAACTCACGACATTGAGTACAACAATTTAAAGTCAGAAGGCCTACCAGAGCACACTGAGTTAGCAGCAAGTACCCTCTATGCCAAAAAAACAAAACACAGCACCTCTGCCCACCTGCAGAAATATGACAGAAGCCAGTTGCCAAGTACTAACAATGGCCCCACGTCACCGTTCTGAGGACTCAAGTGCTTGGCGGTCAGATCAACATTTCTGCTGTGAGAACAGTGACCGCAGACCCCCATACCTGTCTCTGAAGTGTTGTCATCCATCAGCTTTTCCTGTGCCAAGTGAAGGGTGTCCAACATTTCTTCAAATATGTCATCCAGAAGCCCTGCTTGTTTGCATTTCCTGAGAAAGTCGATTCGGACTGTTAAAACACAAACACAAACACTCGTAAACATAAAAGATCTTGACCACAGCAGCTTAGGCTTTACCCATACATTTCAGAAACTGAAACTTCAGTTCAAAGCCCACTTCTAGTAACACACATCCACCTGGCTCCTCTTTGCTACTCACTCAGCCCTCTGCAGAGGGAACAACAGTGTGGTCAGGTTCTTTACTGTGAGAGTGGTGAGGTGCTGGCACAGGCTGCCCAGAGAGGTTGTGGATGCCCCGTCCCTGGAGGTGTTCAAGGCCAGGTTGGATGGGGCCCTGGGCAGCCTGGTCTGGTATTAAATGTGGAGGTTGGTGGCCCTGTCTGTGGCAGGGGGTTGGAGATTCCTGATCCTTGAGGTTCTTTCCAACCCTGGCTGATTCTGTGGTCAAGAGAATATAAGCACTGTGCTGGGCATAAGTTCACAGAAACTCAAGATTAGGCTTTGTTCAGAAATCAATGCATCCCAACTCCCAGTTCACCGTTCCTAGAGCTGCTCAATACCCCTAGTGTAGAAAAGCAGGTGATGTGCTTTTACATTACTTATTTTTAAGTTCTCTGGACAGCACCACAGACTGAGCAGGATAAAGGATAGAAAACAGTGCAAGGAGCTCAATATTTAGGAAGCCCATTTCCTGCCCAGGGAACCACAGCATTCTCATTTAAGGTGCACCGAGCAGCTCTCGCACACTGCTGCATGGCTAGAACTTGTGCAGTCACTGTGCAAATCAGACTGTCTTCCTTGCCACAACAGTCACTTGTAGATAAAGGAAATGGAAGTTTTCAGCACTGCTGCTATCAAACATCTCCAGGCACTGAACATCAATGCAACACAGCACAGTAGCACGCAGCTGTTCTATAAAGCCAGTCACACCTTTGTGTCTGCTGCTTTTCCTTCTTAATATCCGTAATCTGTTTTCTTCTGCCGTCTCTTCTGCCCTCTGTAAAAAAAAAAACAACACGTTTTAACATCACACTGATGTTTACTGCTCTGTTTTCCATACCTTACCTCTGTGTTAGTGGGCAGGTTAAAAGCAGCTCATGATTTTGTGAATCAAGTCAGCTTCTCCACACACCTACCAGTACCCCTCTCCAGACATTCAGGATTCTCAAAGGGGAAGCAAAAACTGCTTCAAAGTGAAATCTCTAAGGAAAGCACAGTGAGGGACACTGCCCTTCTTAACTGCAGTTACTGCACTTGCACAATATAGTCAATAGCTGAGAAATTCTTGGAGACAAACAACCTAGTTGTGAAAGTACAGCTGAAAGCTGCAGACCGTCCATGTCTCCTCACATTGCTCCCTCTAATGCAGAGAGCTGGAGATGGCAGCAGCTCTTCCCAAGCTGCAGGCCAGCTCCTCTGGGAAGGAGAAATCCTGACACCCAGCACTCAGGGAAATTCCCATGAAAGCTCTGGTGGAGCCAAGAGAATCCTGTGAGTCTCTCTTAACACACTGTCAAAAATACTTCACTAAAGGAGTCCTTTACTGCAGCAGATGTGGGTTTCTGTTTTAGAACTATTTAAATTTGGAATTACCATTTGTTCCGTGGTGGTGGAAGATTTCGATGCATGTCTTTTCCTCTTATTAGCTGCATCTAGAAATCAAGAGACCAAGTCTGTTTAAATCTGTGAAAACTGACTTTTTCTTCCAACCAATCCTTGTTACTGTTAACACAGGCTCAAAACAAAGGCTACACAAAGAATTATTTTAGGTGTCCCAAAGGTATATGAATTACATTAAGTTTCCTTTGCTCCTAGAAAACCTCCAGAGCTCCCAATGGGAAGCAATGTTACTGGTGAGCTTGTATTAATAAAGTTGCAAAGCATTTTTAGTGGCAAAAATCTCTGCAAACTCTGCTTCTTTCTCTCTGTCCCTCCCATCAGTCCACATCAGCCTCTCCCCACCACAGCATCATAAGCAGAGAAGGAGAGAAAGCTGGAGAAGAGCACAACCACCACCAAAACTTGAGGGCTTTAAACACAGTGGAGTGACATGGTTCTCCCCCTTGTAACTCTACATGCCTTGGATAGCGTGTAGTAAGCGTTAAACCTACTAGAAATCATCTTGGGAATGAGGAGTTACTGCTGGTACAGAAAGGGCTGTTAGAACAAGTTCTTTTTGGGCTCTGTGCTGTACATTTGTATTTTTCCTGGCCTGAAAGGAAATCATATCCACCCAAATCAAAGCTGGGTGGCCTATTTTGGAGCACTACAAAGTGCTGGCATAGGCACAAAGCACGGCTTGCTGTCTGTCAGGACACCTTTGATGAACACTAGGGTTTCCTCAGTCCTTCCTGATATGTTTTACAGTACATTAGGAGTTGCCTTGGAAAGCAAGGGAACGCAGTCCAAACAGCAACCCAACCTCTCTGCTCCTCACAGACTGTCCTCAGCTCTTCTATGTGCATCAGGTTTCTCTCCAGAAACATCCAACACTTCCAGCTGAGCAAAGGCTGGAGCCCACTTCCAAGCGCAAGCTGCCCTCCCACCCCTGCAAGCAAAGAGCAGCAAAACCTCTTGCCCTTAAGGTACCCTGTCCTCTTTCCATCGCACAGCAGGGGCCTGATATTTCCATATAGGAATGCAGAATGTACTTAGAACAAGGAGGATGTTTCTCAACTCAATTTTCTCCAGACTGCCATGGAAAACATGCCTGGAGAACTGGTTAAGTCAGAGACATTCCTGACTACCTCCAAACGCAGCAAGCACCAGGACCATCAAGTTCAACTGCACTCCTGCAGCGGAGGAAGCAATTCTTTAACACACCCTTTTGCTACATGTAAAAAGCTCTTTGGGATCCTTCAGAACAAAAGGCCACGTTTAAGAAGGACTGCAACGAATGGAGAAGATGCAGATGTGAATGTTCTAACATTGCTACAGACAAAATGCCAGGTTTTTACAAGTTGCTTGGGCCTTCCTGCCATGAAGGGTTGGGTCCACAGTCAGTTGTGGAGGAGATCTGGAGCTGATCAAATATCAACATTTCTTCAATCAACAGAACTTACTGATTTCTGGTGCACATGTGGGTCTCAACCAACCGCCTCCTGCAAGATCACAAACTCCCCACTCAATAGAAAGGAGGAATAACGTTCAGTCTGTTCAAATGTGCCACTGACTGTAGCATGCACACCTCTAAAACAGATACAAATCAATGAAGCCATTAAAAGAAACTCACCGTAGTGATTGGTCCTGTTGCCTGGGTCATGTTTTGAGCAGAACACTCTGAAAGTTCAGTTCAATTTTAAGAGAAAAAGTATTAATGAACACATACACAGAGTTATGCTGACTGATTTCAACAAACATTTGAGTATTTTCCCCTCCATCCATTCTGTGTAAATTGAAAGACATCCTAAAAAGAATCAGGATTTTTCTCCAGCATTACCCACCTTGAAGTGAAGTCACACCCACACAAGTTTCTAGTGTTACTTCTGAAGCCTCAGCAGGCTCTGAATGTGGCAGCTTCAGATTAACAGCTCTATCACCCCACTGTCTGGCCCTGCTCACTGCTCAGATCAGCTCAGATGCATTTAATGCCAGGTGGCACTGGGCACTGACACTGAGACAGCGCGTCACCTGCAATACTCTTCCCAAAGCATGAGATAAAGCATGAGATAAAATGAGATAAACACTGTCAGGACAAAATACTGAACTACTAATGTTACTTCTTCGTAGCCACTGCCCTTCTGCCTCCCCTGTCCAGTACCAGCCAGCTCAGCTCCACAACTTGTTTAAATGCTGGTGCTGCCAGTTAAGTTATAACCCTGCAGAGCAAATACGCAGGATGAGAAGATTTCCTCCACTTTTAGGTGAGAAACAGGAATCCCTTGGAAGAGGCAAAATGCAACAAATGCAGCTTGGAAACACCCCTTACCTTCTGGATACAGTTATTTGTAGATAACATATCCAGCTTCTATCAATGTATCAATGCCTTTCTTACAGAAGGATCCCAAATCACTTTTTAAGCTGCGTCACCTTGTCAAGAGCATAGCTGAGCTCATCTTTTCAATACAAACCTCCATTTGCAACGACTAATGCTCAAGTGTTAAGAAGAAATTTTTAAAGGGAACTGCACTTACTACACCATTTTCTAATTAGCAACATTCTTTTTCTTAAAAATAATATTAGAAGTGCTGAAGAGTAGGCTGTTTCCTTGACAAGACAGCTTTTTCTTTTGCAATTCATTTTGATGCACAAAGACTACTTGTGCATGCTTAACAACTTAGAAAGCTACAGTACTGGAGGCACTTTATTTATAGGACCATAGAATGGCCTGGGTTGAAAAGGCCCACAATGATCAACCAGCTTCAACCCCCTGCTATGTGCAGGGTCACCAACCAGCAGACCAGGCTGCCCAGAGCCACATCCAGCCTGGCCTTGAATGCCTCCAGGGATGGGGCATCCACAGCCTCCTTGGGCAACCTGTTCCAGTGCATCACCACCCTCTGAGTGAAAAACTTCCTCCTCATATCTAACCTAAATCTCCCCTGCCTCAGTTTAAAACCATTCCCCCTTGTCTTATCACTGTCCACCCTCATAAACAGCCATTCTCCCTCTTGTTTATAAGCTCCCTTCAAGTACTGGAAGGCCATTGAGGTCTCCCTGGAACCTTCTCTTCACCAAAGGTTCCCTCAATCTTTCTTCACAGGAGAGCTGCTCCAATGTGCCTGAATTTCCAACACTGCCCTCCAGTTGTGGCTTTTAACTCCCCTCACACTTTTAAATCTATTCTTTCCCAGTTAAAAGCAGCCTTCATAAACATGAGGACTCCTTATAACGCACACACAGCATTTTACTACCCAGGCCACCCTACCATCACTGGCACCATGCATTATGCTCACACCTCCACCCGTACTGTTACTAACCTTTAAAAAAGCACCATGTGCCTTCTCTATTCTGCTCTGTTTGCTTCAATAATCTCTGCTCATCATCTCAACAGTGGCAATTCAGGATTTAAAACACCAGTTCTCCCCTCCAAAGGGATTCTCTCGCTGGTTCACTTTTCAGTGTATTTCACCATGAAGAAGGCTGTCGATCCATGGCCATAGGTTTTCAAGTCTCGTTCTTCTCTCCAGTAATTTCACAGTAGCTACAAATATCCCCCTCCTTTCATGCCACTGATCCAGTCAGTCCAAAAGTCTTTGCCATCAAATTCCCAAAACCTGCCTTACCACTTCTTTCTCATTCAGCCCTCTTGCACCTCTTCAGTACAGCTTTGCTACAGCTTTGCTCCGTGCAGGACAGGCAAACAGACTCACAAGAGGTGTTTCTGAGTCCTTTTCCCAAATCTCTACAGCACCAGCTCAGAAAACCACCAAACCCAACCATACATTTGACAAACAGCACCACAACCTGGACCATCCCACACCAGAAAAGACTGTTAAATACCGGTAGACTCCATTTACTTCATCTGTTTCTGTGGCTGCATCATCACACAAGGCACAGAAGTAGTGGTAGCTCCTGCGGCAGGCTCTCTCCTCACATCCCACTGTGGCTCCTTTCTTGCGACAGAAATTGCACACCTACAACAAAATGAAACCTAACTTAGGAAACCAACATCATCCTCTTTGGGAAAATCCAATCTTTCACTGTGATACTTAGAGCTCTGTGTAATGCAGCCAGCTTACAATGCCAAACTCTCACCCTGCTCAATGTTTCACTCATCTCTCTGCTATTTTGCCTCAGCTGCATCATTTCACCCTTTAAGCAGTACAAAAAGAGCTACATGAGACATGGACAGCTTCCCTCCCAACCTCATTCCAAATCTTGCCCAACCTATTTCCGTGCTTATTGGTTGCATTTATGTTTTTTTACACTAACTTCATAAAGATATGAGTTCCATCCAAGAAGAGAGAAGAAGAGCTGAAAACAAAACAGAAGATCTCACGTAAATCACCCTCCTGCTAAAAAGAAAAGGTGTTTCCCTTTATCCTTATGGGGTTGCATAATTTTGTTGCAGGCACTGGGTTGGTATTTCAAAGGCTCTCAAGGAAGCCTCTTAGTTTTTCCTCTTAGGAAAAAAAGACCAGAAAACCCAATAAATTCCAATTAGTAAGAAAAATAATAATGGAATTTCAATAAGTACGATATCAAATTGATGTTTTCAATTCTAAGTCTGTAGTTTCACCAATCTTAGTAGGTCAGGAGGACCAAGGCCTTCTTTAATTTCTTCTCCCCAGTCATAGCAGACCAGACAACCTCAGTGTGCACCCTACCACCCTGCGGTGCTTTCAGACAGGACTGAGTGCAGATTCAGAAACTGCCTTACCAGTCGCTTTCCTCTTTTGAATTCATTCAACACGGATTCCACATCAAACCTTAAATCTAGATTTTCTGGGTTATACTCTTCAGATTCCACAAATCCAGAGGAAAATAACTAGAAACAAAGAAACAATGGCAAGAAGTAACAGAGTCAGTTAGTCATCAATATATAGAATGTCCCTCTCTTTTATCATTGATTTTATACATCTGATCCTTTTGCACATACACGATCTGACATAACTTAAAGATGAACCAAGAACAGGCTGAGAGGTGAGAAAGTGAACTCCATAAGAAGCGTGAATGAAGTCCAATGCCCAGAGTAAGGAGGAGAAACTGTTTGGCTGACAGACTTCCACACCTTGACCATCTTATCTGACCAGTTGTTCAAGCCAAAAAGCAGCCAAGCAGCACACTCTTCCAAAGGCAGACACATTTATAAAGTCATCAGAATCACAGAATGGCCTGGGTTGAAAAGGACCACAATGTTCATCCAGTTTCAACCCCCTGCTGTGTGCAGGGTCACCAACCAGCAGACCAGGCTGCCCAGAGCCACATCCAGCCTGGCCTTGAATGCCTCCAGGGATGGGGCATCCACAGCCTCCTTGGGCAACCTGTTCCAGTGCTTCATCACCCTCTGTGTGAAAAACTTCCTCCTGATATCTAACCTAAACCTCCTTTGTCTCAGTTTAAAACCATTCCCCATTGTCCTATCACTACTTGTTCTTTCTAGTTTCTTGCTTATAGAAGCCTCCCATCACTAACAGATAAAACAAAGCTACCGAGTAGAGGGGGACAAGCACCTCCCCTCCCTGCTGGCCACCCCTTTGTTAATGCAGCCCAGAACACAGTTGGCCTTCCGGGCTGCAGGCGCACACTGCTGCTTAGAGGTAAAGAAAAGAAAAAAAATAAAAAAATAAAAATCATTCACACAACATTTACAGCCCTAAAATCGATTTCAAACCAAGCATCCAACACTTAATTATGTTTTTGAAACGTTGCAGAAAAATTAGTAGAAAAGTAAGGCAGGAGTAGTGAAAGCCAGAAGGCAGTTCCAGGAGCCGACACACTTCCTGCAGTAAGGAGCTCTCACTTATGGGAGAATATGACATCTGCAACTGATTCTGCACACCAAGAACCAGCTGCATCAAGACACCAGCATGGAAGAGAGGCATTTTGACAGCCAAGAAAGCAACAATGTTCTCAGAACACTCAGAGCTTAACAGATATTTTTACATGGTTCACTCAATTCAGTGTCTCAAGAAGACTGAATTTCTACTGCCAGACTGCATGTATCCATAACTGACCAGGACATGCATGCACTCGCTGACCAGGAACAGAGATGTGAAAACACCAAAGAGCAATGTGCCAAACTACTGCAACCGTGCTCTCCTCCTCCCCAAAATTCTTACAGATGTGTTTTACCACAGATCTAGCTATTTTCCATTGCCCCTTCTTGACTGACTAGTGATGCACCCATCTTTACTGCTATTTTTGAAGCACACCTTTGTGCAGGATATCATAAACTTGGAGAATATTTCCTATTTCAACTGAAAGAAAGAAAGGACAGAGTTCATTGTAAAGTCAAAAAGAATTATAATAAGAATGGACAAGTGGTAGAAGTTTCCCCTTTAGTGCTTCTCCACTCTCCCTAGGCACTGCCCAGCTGAAAACCACTCACCAAACAACTCTGATGAGCTGCAATATTTTGCTCTTTGGCAACGTACATTATAGAAGCAGCCTCCCCTTCCGAACAGAAGGCACACGTCCTTCTCACCATTTTGGCCATCGCCTGGAGAGCACCTGGAACAGGAAGACTGGGACAAAACAAGCCACTTACTTACTTCACAGAACAGTCTTCCCCCCCTCCAAGTTATTTACAGCATCACTCCATGCAATGCAGTCTTACTTTGTGGTTTTCCCTTCAAGTCCACAGCAGAAATGTTCAGTTTCCCACTCCCATGAGGTGAGATGCACCAAATGTCTGAGACGTCGCCGCCGACAGCCCTGAGCTCTGTAGAATAAGGGTGAGAACAGCCTGGTGTTATTTTTAAGAAAAAGGATTTGAAGTATTCCAGCGACAAAAGTACAAGATAAGCAGGAAATCTCACAGCCCAGCAAATCGGGCACATATTTCTCTCTTTCAGCAGTCAACTCCTGCCTCCATTAATTCCATATCCCATCTATTTTATGAAAGGGGAGGTCTCCAATGAGAACACCAGAGCATAAGGGGATTTCTTTTTTCACCTCCGGCTCTGCCACTTTACTTAATGACAGGCAAGTCACTCAGCCTCCATGCATACCTGATTTCTTTTTTCCCCCCAGCATCTTTCTGTACCTTGTAAGCAAGGTAGGATGGGGACAGATTTACACTATCTATACAGTAATCATCACAACAGCCTTAAAACTTAGGCATTAGATAAACAGACAACAGAAACAAATGGAAATCCATGGAAAAATTAGAAGCAGAACAGAAACAACGACAAAAGGAAACTAAAAAGCATGTTTATGGTGTTTGAATGGTTGGGAAGAGTTCTCACAGCAAGTTAACACCTGAAATCGCTGCAGATGCATAGGCCCTGGTCCTCCCAGTTGGACGAGGTGTCTCTGGGTGCCCTGGGAATTTGGCAAGATGCTGAAGTTGGAGGCTGCAGTCCCAGCTGTCCTTACAGGCTCTGAGGAGGAATCCTGGTGCTGAAAGATAACCAAAGATATTTGGTAAGGTCAGCCTTTGTATTTCCAATGCCTTCACAGGCACTCTGAAGCAATGGAAGGCCAGCTCTCAGCCAATCCTCACTGCAAAAGCAGCGAGCCTGCATCCAGTGCCCCACTTAGCTCACCATCCCACCACCAACAGCAGCTTTGCTTTGGCCCTATGCTCTTCCTTAGGTCTCTGCTACAGACTGCTGTCAGGAATTGGACACACAGCTACATGGAACAGCAGACCCAGCTAACTGCTCTTAAGCAAGAAAGGAAAGGCTAAGGGCATAATTCAGCTCCAGTTTAATTATATTTTGCCTGAACAACCACTGGTTTCACTACACCTCAAGTGTTCTGTGTGAGGGAGCAAGAAACCATCATTTCTGCAGTAAGGCCCACAACACCACAGATCTCTCATTCTTTCTCCTGCTGCCCCCTTTTCAAGTTGAAGAATCCTTGCACAGAAGCTGTTCTGCATCTTCGATCATCTCTGTCACTTCCACCTCCCTTCTCTTCTACAATCATAGAACTGCTGACGTTGGAAAAGACCTCAAAGATCATCAAATCCAAACCACAAGTCCAACCACAACCTGACCATACTACCCTAACTCTAACAACCCTCTGCTAAATCATGTCCCTGAGCACCACATCCAAACGGATTTCAAACACATCCAGGGATGGAGACACAACCACCTCCCTGGGCAGCCTATTCCAGTGCTTAACAGCCCTTTCTGTAAAGAAGTGATATCCAACCTAAACTTACCATGGTGCAACTTGAGGCCACTTCCCCTCGTCCTGTCACCTGTCAGCAGTGAAAACAGACCAGCCCCACTCTCACTGTAAGCACCTTTCAGATACTGGAAGAGAGCAAGAAGGTTTTCCCCTCAGCCTCATCTTCCCCAGACTAAACAGCCCCAGTTCCTTCAGTCTCTCTTCCCCAAGCCTATAGGAAGAAAATGACCTTCAAAACAGTGAGGTAAAAAGGCACAGTAGCACTCTATTCTTTCTTTTTATTTTCCCCTTAGGAATTCATAATATCCCAAACACACTTTGGATTGCTTACAAGCACACTGATAGAACCAACTGTTGCAGTCCCTCGGTTCCTTCCCTAAGATGCAGCAGGCAGCATGAGAGGCATCAGTGTTAGGACTGCTCTTCTGACCACACACCACTTTCCAATGCTTGATTTTCTCACCCTTGATTTCATAGCAAAACAACTTGCTGTCGCAAACTTCCTTTGTGGCTTTTGAGAGGTGACTTTCACCTTTGCTACCTCAGAACCTAAGGTGAATGTCACCTCCAGGAGCTGAAGGCTCTTTCTCTACTAATGGGAGAGATGATAAAGCTGTGAAACAGAAGATAGAGGGAAAGCAGCCAAGGGAATGAATCAGCTGTGTGCCCCTGCTACTGCTCTGCTTGGTCCTTGTGCTGTTTTGAATCAACACGCCTATCAGTGGTTGCAACGGCAGCAAAATGGAAGAAAGCAGTAAACGAAAGTAAAAGAGGATGAAAGCATTTCTCAGTGCACAGTGATTGTGCAATTCCACAGTATATTTCCTTGAAATATTACTCATAGGTCCAACTATCTCCTTTCTAGAAGCAGCTCTGGGAGCACCTGTGCAGGGAGATAAAGCACATTTTTGCTGGGCAGAACAAGAGGCGCTAAAAGCCCCCAGCACACACATGGCAGGGTAAGGAGAATCCAAGGAGCTGCCTGATCCCAGTATCCTCACTGCTCACATCAGGCACGTGGAGTTGTGCTGCCAATGCAAAGAACAGAAAGAAGTCACCACATACCCGTTCTTTGTGGGAAATCACAGAATGGCCAGGGTTGGAAGGGACCTCCAGGATCAGGAATCTCCAACCCCCTGCCACACGCAGGGCCACCAACCTCCACATTTAATACCAGACCAGGCTGCCCAGGGCCCCATCCAACCTGGCCTTGAACACCTCCAGAGATGAACAGGGCATCCACAACCTCTCTGGGCAGCCTGTGCCAGCACCTCACCACTCTCGTAGTAAAGAACTTCCCCCTGACATCCAACCTCAATCTTCCCTCCCTCAACCTAAAACCATTTCCCCTTGTCCTGCTATGATCTACCCTTGTCAAGAGTTGATTCCCCTCCTGTCTGCAGGCTCCCTTTAGGTACTGGAAAGCTGCAGCGAGGTCACCCCGCAGCTTCCTTTCCTCCAGCTGAACAAGCGCAGCTCCCTCAATGAGAGCAGCAGCACAGCACAGCGCTGCGCTCCTCTCAGCCCTGCGCCGCGCCATCAGCAGCACAAACACAGCTGCCCATCGCAAGGCTTCCACAACAAACCCACCCTCTGCTTGCCACACAGGAAACGTTTCCACTATTTTTTGAAGCAGCTGGACGGCCTGGCGGGTCCGCCCCTTCTCACAGCCGTTCCACGTTACGGGATAACCGCAGGGCTCCTCAGCGGCTCCCGACTCTCCCCCGCTCCCGAGGCGCTCGGCCTCGCAGCGCCGGAAGCCCTCAGCCACTCCCTAACACCCTCGTTCCACGCGCTGCCGTGCCTACGGTGCGGCGGGACCGGCGGAAAGGCGCGGACCGACCCGCAGCGCCGCTACTTACCGCGGGCCGCCCGCTCCCGTCCACCGCCACCCCCGGGCCCGGCCTGCACGGCGCCGCGCTTCCACGCGGGGGAGGAGCGCGCAGAAGCGGGCGGGGCCCGGCGCACAGCGAAGCATGCTCAGTAACAGCCCGGGGCGACGGGATGGGGCTTCGAGCGGCCGATTGGCTGCTGTACGGAAGCGGGCGGGGATTGGAGGCGGGAGGGTCGCGTGGTAAAGGAGCGGCTCTCGGCCCATCCCCGCGCCTTTAGGTGCGGTAGAGCTGGGGTCGGGGGTTCGAATCTCGAACCGCCGGCTGCAGAATCACAGAGAATCACAGAATGGCCAGGGTAGGAAGGGACCTCCAGGATCACGAATCTCCAACCCCCTGCCACACGCAGGGCCACCAGCCTCCCCATTTAGCACCAGACCAGGCTGCCCAGGGCCCCATCCAACCTGGCCTTGAACACCTCCAGGGATGGATGGGGCATCCACAGCCTCTCTGGGCAGCCTGTGCCAGCACCTCACCACTCTCTCGGTAAAGAACTTCCCCCTGACATCCAACCTCAATCTTCCCTCCCTCAACCTAAAACCATTTCCCCTTGTCCTGCTGTTATCCACCCTTTCAAAGAGTTGATTTAGGACCACCTGCTGTACAAACATTACACTGAGCCGTGCACAGTGGCTGCTAACACCCTTTCCCCGTAGACCACAGGGCCACACAACTGCCAGCCCTTCACCAGGACAGCCTCCCTCCCCACAGGCAGTGCCAGCACTGTACTGAGCAGGGCACCACCTCAGGAACCTCCTGCTGGTTCTGTCAGCACTCCTTCATATCCATGACAGGCAGTCAAGGATCCCTACACGTCTGCTCCTGGGCTCTGCAGGCTCAGCCACTTCCACCTCTGCTTTCTTCAGTACTTCAGTTTTTACGCAGTAACTCTGCTGAAGTGCTGGTGATGCTGGCAGCCATGGTCACAGACACCCATCCCCGGAGGCATTCAAGGCCAGGCTGGATGTGGCTCTGGGCAGCCTGGTCTGCTGGTTGGTGACTCTGCACATAGGAGGGGGTTGAAACTGGATGAGCACTGTGGTCCTTTTCAACCCAGGCCATTCTGTGATTCTATGAAACACAGAAATGGAGCAGCGTGAGAACAAGCAACTAACCCAAGAGCCCCATGCCATGCTGCTACCTGGTGTAACGTTCACACTGATGGCAGGCTCCTAAATAGACACAGACCCACAGACCATGTATTTTCTGCAGCAAGGAACAGCTTTTGCACACCAGTCCTGCACTATAATTCCTACCACTGAGCCAGGAAAGAAAATTAAGAATGGTAAAACAGACTTCTTTTTTTCACCTTGATTTTTAATGACATTTCCATCTGTTTTTCCACATTCAAGGTGAGCTTGGAGACATAAAGGTGTTTTCTACGTCCTCACTTGTTTAAAAGGCTTCTAGCAGTGCTGACTTACCAGCAGGCTGTAAATCTTTAATACAGCAGCACAAATTCAAATGTGAAGTTCGAAGTATCCAAAATAAACCCAAAAAACAACAGCTTAGGGGCACAGGCTCTACATTTGTCCACAGTTACACAGAACTTCATCAAATCCAACTACAGGAAGACAAATCCTAAGCTGTATGGACACAAGCCAGTCCTCTCTCGCCTCTGGGCCTTAGGGCCAAGAGCTGGCTCCTGCTTCTCTTGCAGTTTGTAGCGTAGATGTAGGCCTGAAATCCCTGCTGAAAGCATGGCTGCCTATTTTTTGTTACTCACAGGACTGTGTTCAGCCAGCGTATCAAAATACATACAATTATTTGCCATGACTTGAGCTTGCCATAATTTATGTCTCATTTTCAATGCTCTTATGGTTTGAAACATAGTACATGTAAGCTGATTTACACCTTGAAAACACATTTAACTCATTTAAATGAGCAGTCAAATCCATAGGAAAAACACGTTGCCAATTATTTTATACTTTGTGTGAGCTTTCCGTGACAGTGAAAATGAAAACATTTGTCAGCACTGCACGAGTATCCCAGATGTTTCTTCTGCAGTGAACAAGTTCATTTAACAAGTTGTTTTACAAAGGAAGCCCAAGCTTAATTATTAAAGAAGAAAACGTGTGTATCTGCTTAGTAATAAAAAACACAGCCCTTCACAGGCACACACACCAGTAGGCAGGCTGAAATATTATCATCAGCAATCACTGCATTTTATTTGCCAAGTGGCACAAGTTCACAGAGGCTGAGGGAGCTGAGCTTGTTTACTCTGAAGAGAAGGGGTGACTTCATTGCAGCCTTCCAGTACCTAAAGGGAGCCTGCAGACAGGAGGGGAATCAACTCTTGACAAGGGTAGATAACAGCAGGACAAGGGGAAATGGTTTTAAGTTGAGGGAGGGAAGATTGAGGTTGGATGTCAGGGGGAAGTTCTTTACTACGAGAGTGGTGAGGTGCTGGCACAGGCTGCCCAGAGAGGCTGTGGATGCCCCGTCCCTGGAGGTGTTCAAGGCCAGGTTGGATGGGGCCCTGGGCAGCCTGGTCTGGTATTAAAGGTGGAGGTTGGTGGCCCTGCGTGTGGCAGGGGGTTGGAGCTTCATGGTCCTTGAGGTCCCTTCCAACCCTGGCCATTCTGTGATTCATGTACCATATATCACACATTTCAAACCAACAGAGCTCGTGCAGCAGGTGAGAGAAGCAGAGTCAATACTGCACTTGTCACGCAGCCCATACTTGATCTACATGAAATCAACTCATGGAAAACAGTGCTAAAAATTACGTAATAACAAAAAAATCTCCCATCTCCTGGGGTCACGTTACTAACCATCTAGGGCTGCTTCTTGTTCACATCAGTGAGACCACACTTCAAGCACAGCGTTCAGTTTTAGGCCTCTCTCTGAAAGAATGGAGAGCTGTTCGAGTGTGTGCAGAGGAAAGCAATGAAGCCTTGAGGAATGGCTGAAGTAATTGCAGTTGTGCAAGCTGGAGAAGAGGGCACAGAGGGGAGACCTCACTGCTCCCTACGGCTATTTGAAAGCAGGTTGCAGAGAGAAGAGTGCTGGCCTCTTTTCTCAGATGACGAGTGATGGGACATGAGGAAATGGCTTCAAGTTGTGCCAAGGGAGGTTTGTATTGGACATCTGGAAGAATTTCTTCATGGAGGGGGCAGTTAAGCCATGGAATGCACTGCCCAAAGAGGTGGTGGAGTCTCCATCCCTGCAGTTGTCGTGGACATAGCATTTAGGGACATGGTTTAGAAACAGGACACAGTAGGTTAGGCTGACAGAACTGATGATCTTGAAGATCTTTTCCAAGTCAAATGATTCTATGATCTACCAATTTTACAGCCTCCTCCTGAATCTGCACACAGTGTCATCAAACAATTGTTTCTTTCCTACCAACAGACCACACAGCAAGGATTTCTGTGTCTCACCTCTGACACACTACAGACACAGCACTGAAATGAGGCACAGCAGATCTTGAAGGATTTCACAGAATCAAAGAATCATTTGAATGGGGAGGGACACCCACAGGCCATCTGGTCCAATTCTCCTGCAATGAGCAGGGACACCTACAGCTCCATCAGGTGCTCAGAGCCCCATCCAGCCCGACCTTGAATTGTCTCCAGGGATGGGGCATCCACCACTTCTCTGGGCAATTTCTGTCACAAGCATGAAGGAAGATGTAATTACTTCTCTCACTTGCAGCAGGACTTTCCCAGCTCACCCTGTAGCACGATCACTACTTCGCAGAAGTTCTGATTAATCTCATTACTACTCAAGACAAACTGTCCCACCAGATCCATTGGATTTAGGTATATTTAAATAATTCTCAGCACTCAGACAGACTTGCATTCATACGAGTTTCGGGAAACTGAGTTATGCTAATTCATCATTGTAGGAGAGCACAGAAAACATCAATCAACCATTGCTGTGCACATCCATCATATTTCTGTTGCAAACTGCAGAAAAGCATGAATTCTTCCAGCCTGTAAATGAAAGGTGAGCGGGGAAGGGATGTGGGGGAGGAGGTGGGGAGAAAGCTTAGGAGCACAGAAAATACCACGTAGGACAAGTTTGATGCCTGTCTTTGTGACAACCAGCTTTATCCATGTAAACTATAAAAATGACATTTAAATGTAAATTTTAAAAAGTTATCAGATAAAAGGCATTTTTGTTCAGTGTAATTAGCACCACAGATTTAACTGTACTGCTCAGCATCCAGTCCCTTACAGCACATAAATCTCTATGTACACGAGGTGCTGACAGTAGAAAAGCTTGCTCTATAAGGTTTTCTTCCTGCATTTCTGAACTCCACACCAACAGGAAATCTCTGTCTCTGGCATACTTCCAACTTCGTATCCATAATCCCACGTGAGTTCAGTTCCAGCTTTCACATGCCTAAGAAATAAAACACCTGGTCAATTTATTTAAGCGAAACAGTAATGTGCTTACAATTTGTCACCAGCAACTCACAAGCAAAATCCAAACGCATATGGAGGCAAAAGCATTGCACAGGCAGCCTGCTCAGATTGAACCAAGAGATACAAGGAGTGGCACCAAGAGATATAAGGAATGCTGACTTCCCTACTAGAACTATGAGGAGTGCAAATACCTGTACCTAGCAATTAAGGTTTTGTCAAGCAGCCTGATAGAGTCAGGTTCTAAACAACCCATTCTAACTTCCAGGTTTTTGGGAATACATCTAAATGAGAGCATGGGCAGCTTTGTTCTTTTTACTATGCACAGCAAATCACTGGGGTTCAAACAGTTCCATAGGTGCAGTGGTGATGAAGGTTACCATCTTCAGTCTAACAAGCAAGCTTTTAGTGCAACTGCACTGCACACGTGCACAAAGCCCAGGACTCGAAGTTAAGCACAAGATCTTCAAGAACCAGTTGCTGTGACAAGTATGTGAAAGAGAAGTAATTTCTTATGCAGGAAACTGACTGTTCAAAATGAATGCCAAATTAAATAGAGACCAAGGCGCTGAGGTACAACGAAGGGAAAATGCGATAAAATACTTGTACTGTAAAGAAGAGTAATTGTGTGATACTTCTCACAGGGTAAGATATGGGAAACCCCATGAATTATCAGGCAGCAGGCTGAAAATAAAGTGAATGAGAACTTATCAAGCAGAGCATAATTGTAATGCGAGACTTGTTGCCTCAGGATGTTCTGGAAGTCAGAAATATCAAATAATTTAAATTGTGGCTGGATAAATTACAGAATATATAAAATGAAGTTCAATGATTCAAATGCAGTCCTTAAGGTAGAAAAACTGCAAAGGGGTGACTGACAAAGCAACAGGACAAGCCAGGGGAACATTTCTTCAACTGTCCCCCTTAACTGCCTTCTGCTGACCACTACTGCCTCTGCCCTTTGGCCTCAATCCCCATTACACAGTTTTTTATTGACTACCTGAAGAAGGAAGATTCCAGCTAAAACAAAATCTTGTTTCAAACTATTGTCTTCAGAGTTCTCATAACCCCCACAGAGCAATCCACAGCATGCATCAGCACAGGATCAAGGGCTGGGCCTACGGCTGCAAGGCTCCACAGAGTATCTGTGTACCTCAGGTTTGTCTAAAATAAATCCTTTCTTCTGCATAACTAACTTCCCATAGCTCATATTTTCCTTCCTGGGTTTGGTTGTGGCCTTCTTTTGTCTCGCTAGCACCTGCAATCTGCATCTCCCCCTGTTGACATCTGGTAGGAGATCACCACACCTTTTGCTTTCAGAGGAAGTTTCCACTCGAGAACCCCATTGCCACATTCCCAAGGCAAGTCTGACTATGCAGAACCTTGCTAATCTTGGCAGCTGTGAAGAAAAGGTTTGGAGTCAGCTTGGTGCCCGCAGAGAAAATGTATGAAATTTAAGATTCTGTAGGCTCCAACTCTGCCCTAAAGGCCACAGCTCTGCTGGCCACTCTTTGGGACACAACACTCAGACCAGTCAACCACGGCTTTTAAAATGACCACGCTGAGTTAAGCCTACTCTTCAGTGGAAATACTAGCTTTAATGATAACCAAAATGGATGCACCAAAACCAAGCTACCCCACATCACATTTCAGTGCAAACTAAATAAAAAACTTTTAGTGACAAGCAGATTTTTTACTTCAGTCTTCAGTGCACAATGAAAAGCCACTCGCAAGCAGCCAGTTTTATGGTTTCATGCGGGTAAACAGCTGCACTCTTGGCATAACTTTTCCTTCATAATTCAGCATGATTTTCTTCCCTCGTGCCTTGAACAAACATTAAAATTCTGAAAAATTCACCTGTTTGTGAAGAAAGCAACCCATGGGAAACTTCTGTTGTGAGTCTCCACAAACACACTCTGTGCAAAGAGATTGGGGCAGCAGCTGTGCTGTGAAACAAAATACATGAATTAGAAACAGTGAAACACCTGGTCCTGCACTAAAGATTCTATTTTGTGTCAGGTGTGTCACTGCTACAAGAAGCTCCTTCCTCCCCTACTCCAGTCAACACAATTGCTGTTACTTAATGCACTGCCACTGGTTTTGGTTAGCCATGTCTCTAACGTATCATCTCCATCATACTATGAAAGTACCCTCTGTTAGGAAAATTAAAGCCCTTTTATCAAGCTGTTCTCCAGTGATTTACGGTGAGAAATCATCTTTGATTTACGATGCGGCACAAATTATCACTAGATGACATGCATCTCAACGGCAGTGGAGCAAGCAATAGGGACACGTGCATGGTCATGGATGAAGGAAGGTTTCAGCAAGATGAACTGCTACTCTTACCCCCATACTACCTCTGCAAGGAGGTAACACTTAAATATATGCAAGGATTTTGCAGTAGGACACATATCCATGCCATCAGAGAGAAATAAGTTACTTGTTGAGTGCGTACAGGTGTGTGTGAAGCATTCATCTTAGTTGAAAGTTCTCTGGAAATCACTGCTATCTCTGGTTAAGTTGAAGCTGAGAGACTTACTAACCAGGTATCTGACAGTATGACTTTTTTCTACAGCTTAGTCCTATTCAAGAATTTCCTACAATATCACAGCACTTACTTTAAACCAGCATAAGCCAGAACTTACAATGGTTTGGGAATAAAAAGCGAAGCTGGGAGAAGGGTTGTGGCTCAGTACAATGCATAATTTGATCTCTAGATACCCCACACTCCCAAAATCATATTCTAAAATTCAGGAAAAAAGTGTCACTCATTACTTGGGAACATTTCACTCTGAAACCCAGTGTTGCCAAAACCTACAGGCCACACATCTTATGTAAGCCCTCACAGCTGGCACGGGCCAATCTGCTGTCCTGTCACTTCAGAGTGCAGGGAGCACCACACTGCCTTCACACACACCAACCACGTATTTGGGTTATGATAGAACAGACTTCTGGAAAACCTTTCTGGCTCATGAAAACACATTACTCATTTAAGCTAAAGCGAGTAAAAGAACACGTGCAAGTTTTTACTTACATTAAGAAAACGACCCACATTTCCTTCTTTTGTGGCATCTAGCACATAGACATTTTCATCATTAGCATTCCTCAGAAACGTCCTGTCACCGTCTGCATCCACACAAAATATGCCTTGTTTTGACTGTCTGTGAGCTTCCTCTTTGCAGTTAGCTTTCTGTGGTGTGGAGGGCTTCACAACGCATTTATCATTCAGCACATCCAATCTGCCACAGGCAACAGCCTTCAGAGACAGACTCTTCCTTTTGCATTCTGCACTGCCCATTTCTGCAGGCTCCGTCTGTCCAACTTCCACCAGATCTTCTTCCTTCTGCTTCTGGATGGATCCTGTCAATTGATGTCCAAGTTACCTCCCAACATTAGTTTAAAGCAGAAGCCAAAGCCCTTGTCTGGCCCCAAACTCTTGTCCATCCATCTTTGTTTGTTCCCCAAAGTGCACGTGGTTTCCTTACCATTTGCAAAGTCATAACTATCCTCTCAAACACCTTTCACCACTTGTGCTGCAGATCACTACACCTCCTGCTGCAGTGCCTAAAGCTTTTGCTTATGTTTCCCACGAGTGACCCACTCCCTCCCTTCCTCTCAAATCCCACTCCAAAATCATTTCTTCCACAAAGCCTTTCTTCCTCATACTCTACTTTAATTTCTGAGAGAATCACAAACTGTAATGAAGACAGAAGCAAGATGCACGTGCAAATAACACCAGTTTCACATTGCTTCCCAAGGTTGAATGCTCCCAACCCTGCAATTCCCCACGTATCCTTTTTTGTTGACTGCTACAAATAGTGGGTATGACACAACATTATTTTGTGTATATTTCGAAATAGTATTTCCCACAGCTGCCCTGTAGTTGAGAAACAATTTTATGAACTGTTTAATGTGCCCCAAGGTCGACTTTGCAGGCAAAATAGCATCCTGTGTTAGTTAATGCACTGTGATATGCAGGGCAGCAATAACTTTTGTACTGCTGAGCTGCTAGAGCAGCCTAGGCACCCCACGAGCATCATTATTCTATCCTGAGAACAGGCCTGCAACAAACACCAAGATCACTGTTTACATTTTAAGTCTATCCCATGATGATGGGGCACAAGTATGCTAAGAGCGCAGTGTTTGTAACTCTACAAACCTACTTTCTTTTTCTTTGTTTGTTCCACTGTTCAGTTCTGTTTTGCTTGAATGCTGAGGCTGAGAAACATTATCTTCATCTGAGCTGGCACTGTGCACCAGAGTATCAACCTCCTTTAAAGAAAACAAAAAATAAGGAAAAGGTTGTGATGTATTTTTGCTGTATGCAACTCTGGGTCAACAAAGGATAGTAAACAGATTCTAAGACTCCAGGGTTTAAGTTTCAAACCTACCGTGACACTGAGTTCCAAAGGTCCAAACTTTTACTGCAATGCAACACATACCTTAATTTCAAATGATTCCTTGGAACAACTTGGAAGAAGCTCACCACTCAATATAATATTTATGTAAGTGCTTAAGACCCAAAGATTTCACTAGTCTAAATGTTTTTGTGTTAAGCTGAACCAAAGCCCAAATATGCTTTGTATGTGGTTTTAATAAAATGAACAGTAAAGAAACCAGTTATGGAAGCCCTGGAGTAGAACCAAACTGCCAAATTTTAGCATGAAAATATAATGTGCAATGAAACCTGTAGAGTAAGTTTACACCAGTCTCCTTCCTTTGCACATATTTTGCACTTGGGGCAGGTAAGATTCTCTTCACTGTGCCACTGCATGAAGTTACTGCTCCCATGATTTTCCTCTCTCCCTGCTGTATCATTTTCTAGGGAGACATCACAAAAATGTTATCATTCAGACTCCCTATGTTGCAATTATTTAACAAAGGAGGTGGAGGGGGAAGAATCCTTTATTGAGACTCATAACTGGAGTGTATGCAGAGGGTGAGGTTGGAAAAAGGAAGGCTGTGAGAGTAACTAGTGCCATTCTCAGCAAGAAGTTGAACAGCTGATAATGGAGAAAGGACAGGATACAGCTTCCAGCTCAGCTCACAGTGTGACATAAAATCACAGAATGGTTTGGGTTGGAAGGGACCTTGAAGATCATGTAGTTCCAACCCCCTGCTGTAGGCAGGGACACCTCCCTCCAGACCAGGTTGCTCACTGCCCCATCCAGCCTGGCCTTGAATGCTTCCAGGGAGGCGGCATCCACAGCCTCTCTGGGCAACCTGTTCCAGTGTCTCACCACACTCAAACTAAAAATTTCTTCCTAATATCTATCTGTATCTACCCTCTTCCAGTTTAAAGCCATTTCCCCACATAATTTTATGATGAAAGATTGTTAGGATTTTTAAAACGTTTTTGAGATTAAGAGGTCCAAATTAACACATACATTCAGCATAGTGAATATTAATCTTTTAAAGCTACTTATTAATATTACCATTTTTAGCTGGTGATTATCCACAACAGCTATTCTAGTTCCAAGCCTTCTCACAGCTGCAGTATTCAAATTCCTTGGATGAATTCTGTACAGGAAGTTCAAAGGGAAACAGCAAAAGACAGACACGTAAATAACTCTCACAACACAGGTTTAGAGCCTCTAGCTCATGAAGATCAGATCACTGCCTGTAGTCCTACTTTCACCTCAAACTACTTTTAAGAATGGGAGAATGAGGTTAAGTTCTCAACAGCACTTGAATAAAACACTGTCTTTTTCTTTTTTTTGACAGAGACCAGCAATTGGTTTTAAATCCTTCTTCACTGCTCCTGAGAACCAAATTTGCTGTTGTTTGATTATTGTATCACCTCAACACAGAGTACCTACACAGAGTTCTGCCTTTTTGCTGCTATTGCTTTCCATAGTTTTGACACCGTGGCTTCAAACAGGAAAACAAAATAAGTTTAATGGGGAGAAAGAATAGAGGGTGAGACAGTAAACAGCAGATATAAAAAACATTCTCACACAGAAGAACCTCAACCTTTTCCTGATGTGAAAGTGTGAAGAAGGATGGGAAGCAGTGTTTGGTGTATATCCCTAAAACATCAAAAGTCACACTTATGTTTAGAATGCAGTAGAAAATACCAGCCTAAACCTAATCTGAGCATCTGTGTAACATCAAGCAATAAGTAACAGCTCTTTATCAGTAAAAAATTCAACCTAAAACATACGTTTTTCTTTCCATGAAAAAAAACCAAACCAACCATGATGATATTTCTTTGGGCTACTGATAATGGCAAAGAGTTCTATTCTTTAAAGATTTCTTATTTTTTAAGAGTTGGAATAACAAATTCTTTCTCTCTGTTCAATTTTCATAAATCTCCCATGTGAAACGTTTTTATTCTCAGAAAGGGAAATGAATGAGACGGAAGGTAGCTGTACAGTAATCACAAATACAAAAATATTCTTCCCTACAATTTATAGGGGAAGAATCTTTTAGAAATAGCATCTTGTGAACAGAATTATAGCATCTATAATTCACAAAATTATTAATTTGTTAGGTTTCCAAGATACCAAAACGTGAGAACATACTGGCAGGTATTTGTTTTAAAGTTCCTGTTTGTGATGTCATTGTGCTTCTCAAAGATCTACAACAGCCTTTCCCCACAAAACAAGTATTTGCAATTACTTACAGGTATTACAAGGAAAGTGTAAGCAAAGCAAAGCAGAAAACTGAAGAAAACAAGCTCCTGGTGTTCTTCTGAAAGAGACCGCAGTATGCTACTGATGAAGCCACATTATTATTTTGCAGTAGTTTTATTTCAGGAATCCTGATAGGCTATGAGACCTAATGAAGGTAACAATGTCTGTGTATTGCAACAACACCTGTAAAAGCAAGGCACTGTCAGACTCCTACCTGGCAAGGTTAAGTCCTAGCAGAGCACATTAAGGGACAAAGAAGAAAAGGTTTAGAGATGGAAGCAAAGAATAGTACAGTTAGTGGCTAATTTATTATCAGATCCTCTAGTGTCATCAAGTATGTTTTTAATTGCTTCTTTCTTTTCAAGTTAGCACAATGATTCATGCCCTGAAGAGGTCAAGACACTCAGGAGCCAAGTGGGATTTCTAACAAATGCCAAGAGATGCATGTCATGAGGAAAATCAGTACACAGGAATAACTAAAACCCACTAAAACCAACAACCAGGAGTTAAAAGGTTGAAAAAGTAAAAGAAACAACACTCAATTCTAGTGCATGTTTTATAGAAGACATTCTAGAATAACAGAATATTCTGTTTTACATTCAGTGAACTTACAGAGCTGATTCACTTTCATTATCACCAGGTGGCTCCTGCTGCTCAAGAATATCCTCTTTGCCAGTGTGCACGAGTTCAATCTCTGAGTCTGAACAGCTAGAGTCCAGTTTTCTTTTTTTGGGAAGAAAGCTCTGCCCTCTGTCATTCACAGCGCTCTCCTCTTTCGAGTCTCGATCAGCACCTCCCAACTCTTGAACTTCAGCTCTGCTCATTAACCTGCCTGGAAGAAAAAAATATAATTAATTGTTACTTTATTAAGCTGGGTCATACACAGCATCCTAGCTCAAACTTGTATTAAAGGCAAGAGAATTATTTGGGAAAACAATACCTTGCACCTATACTGAAGGAAAACTACCCTTTGCACAGGATGCAGAGACTTGTGAGGGAAAATGTAGGTGAGACAGGCTTTGCTCCAGATAGCACCATCACACTGCGGAATCCTGATCTTGCAGTCTGATCACCTGCAAGTTCAGGTGGTACAGGCTCACTTCTTTCCCAACTTCAAGTTTCCCTGCTTGCTTCTCAAAGAAATTCCATGGCATAGGACAGAGGGGGGGTAAAAGTTATGCTGTAAGTCTTCCGCAGGTCATCTTCTGTTACCTGAGTAAGTACAAACAAACGTCCCCTTGTCGATATCATCCAGGCAGCGGACGCCCCAACCCTTCTTCTCTGTGTTGAACACTTGCAACCGAACTTGAATGCCATGCTGCACAACTCTGTTCTGACACATCATCTTGTCACATCTGCACGACACGCTACACTCATAAATTCTGTCAAGATGAAGCAAAATAAAACAGGGGAAAGTCAAGTTGCTGGTATGAACTTCACTCCCGAGTACAAAGAAGGCTGAAAAGACAAAGAGCCTGGCTAAAACTGATTGCACAGCACTGCTCCAAAACTCATGACATTCTTGACTGTTGACTCAACAATTTCAAGAGTTTATCAGCCAGATGTTGATATAAGATGACAAAAAATAAAAGCTACCTTTTTATTTTACAGAAGAAAGTCAGACATGCAGAAATCTTAAAGAGGCAGCTGATTCTATTGGAAGAGGCTTTGTAAAGACAACCTGTCTGCCAAGACCTCACTGCAGCTATCAGGAGTTCAGGATTTAACCAAATGACACTAAAAGAATTCAACCTGTGCTTTTTTACATTTGTTTGTGTGTTCTTACACTGATACTGGCTGTGATGGTCTTGCAATAGATCTTGCAATAGCTCTCCTTTCCTTGTGGCAGGTTTCCTTACCACTGATAGCAAGAATGAGCAAGTACAAGGGCAAGGAGTCCCTGAGCTTCTAAACCAGGTAATACTGGTTAAACCAGGTTACTCTTCTTGGGCCTCAAATTAAGATGTGAAAACTGTAGTATCTGCAGCACAAAAGTGTTTTTTCATCTCTTATTCAAGACACATTAATTATTTCTGTAAAAATCATTCTTATCAATTAGTAAAACTGACAAAAAAAAAATCAAGGTTTCAGTAATTCAAAGACAATACAGTTGTAAAGAGTACACAAAACAGCTCTGTCTTTATTACCCACTAGGAACAGGTCCTTCCAGTCTTTTGTAACTGTATCCACGAGACGTTTTAGTATTAGGAGACAGAGAAACTTTACTACGGCAGCCTCTTGCAGTTAGCTGCAGACATGCACACTTGGACCTAGAAAATAAAACGTCGTATAAAAATCAGAATGTATTTGGAGCAGAGTAAATCAAGCTTACATCTAGATAATTTAAAATGTACTTGACTATATACGAACACAAGTGCACTATTTGATCATTTTTTCCACCTCTGCTCCAAAAAGTCATTTCAGGTGCCCCATCCTCCTCTTTGTCTCTCGCCTGCTTATCCGTGCTTACAGAAATCATGTCCCCCCTGCTCTCCATTCTGCCAGCCTCTGCAAAGGCACACACAAAAAGTTGACATGTGACAGCAATCACTGCCAACAGGACACTGTCAAATGGATTGAAGGAAGGGAAGAAAATCACCTGTTCTGGCACAGTCTGTTAGCCTCTACTTCATCACCTTCCTCTCACTCCAGGCCCTAAGAATTGAATAATTCCACACTACCAACTGGAGAACTCCAGCAGTAATGCTGACCCTCACCATCTGAAGCCATGACTGCTCCAAAGACTCGCTGCAATTAGCCAAATCTCAACCCTGAAACTACACATCGAAAGCATCTCAGGTCTTGGTGAGGTTCAACACACAGAAGGAGCATGCTATGTGCTCGCTGTTCTCTGCTGCCCAGCTAAAACTAAGCAATTTGAGTTACTGAAATCTTGTTCTATTTCAAGCTAGTGAGTACTATTGGTGATAGGTGGATGGTTGGACTGGATGATATTGAAGGTCTTTTCCAACCTCAGTGATTCGATGATTCTCTATGCAGGGTCATAGGCAGTTATACTGCACAGCAATATGAGCATGTCCTTTAGCTGTCAATTATACAAAATACATTCAATCCAAGATTAATACCTGCAGGCAAAGACCAAGTAAAAGACAAATACCCCTCAGGTGAGCAGAAAACTGAACTCACATATATTAACTGTGGCAGTTTCTCAGATTTAAACAAAGTCCGGAGTTAGCAGGGTTTAGAAGTCAACTACAATGAGCAACACCATTTGAAACAGTCCAGAATGTAAATTTCTTGTGTGACCTCAGTGTTTCACAGCATTTCTTGAGGAAAGGATGGAATGTAGAGACTGTAAAAGGAGATTTCTTCCTCTGCTCTAAGTAATTTATCACAGAATCTGTGACCACAGAATGGCCAGGGTTGGAAGGGACCTCAAGGATCATGAATCTCCAACCCCCCTGCCACATGCAGGGCCACCAACCTCCACGTTTAATGCTCAGGGACCATCCAACTTGGCCTTCAACACCTCCAAGGATGGGGCATCCACAGCCTCTCTGGACAGCCTGTTCCAGTACCTCATCACTCTCTGGGTAAAGAATTTCCCCCTGATGTCCGACCTCAATCTCCCCTCCCTCAACTTAAAACCATTTCCCCTCGTCCTACACATATCAACCCTTTCAAAGAGTTGATTCCCCTCCCCTCTGTAGGCTCCCTGTAGGTACTGAAAGGCTGCAATGAGGTCACCCCACAGCCTTCTTTTCTCCAGGACCTATGACCCAAACTACCTGACCTCTCTAGGCTGTCAAATCCCAACCCTGAGGGATATCATCCTGCAGAAGGAACTGCAGCAGAAGTTATCACACAGGAACCTTCCCTGCCTCCCAGAAAAATAAGCCGCCATCTGCTAGCACAACTCTCTCCCTTTCCCACTCCCTTCCTAAAACCACGAGATCTGCTTTCCTCCTCCACTTAAAGGAGAAGCACTGCATGTCTGACAATAAACATAAAGAAACATCGTAATCCACATCTTGATTGCTTCCTTCCCTGTACCAGAGGCTGAGTAGGTGGAGCCCCCACCTTCTGGAGAAGACAAAGACACAGTGATTTCAGTTAACACCGTGGCACAAGACAGCTACTGCAGACATCCATGTAGAGTTGTTCCTTCATCATTTGGCACTGCTTGGTATTGTGCACCTTCACACCTCCAACACCACCCTAATACTGACACATTAAGCACCGTTTGTCTGGGATTAGATTCTTCAACTTACCTATCGATGCAGCCATCCGTGCAGTCACATGAATCGAGAAACATGCTGGATAAATTGTTGAGATAATATCCACGAGGCCACGATGCCCTCCGGTATTTGAAATAAGGTAACCTGGCACGATCAATGTCATTAGAGAAGGAAATAGGCACAGATTCAGCTCCATTGCTAATATCAAGATCAAACACGAGGGGTTCTGGATTTACAATGTTCCTGCCCAACAGGACGTATGTGTTGAAAGAGAAGTGATCAATAAATAAGAAATCACATTTTGTCTCAAACAAATAATTCTGAACATCTTGAAAACTTCTCAGACTTCTGCCACAGGGAGCTTTGTAATGCACATCCAGTGACTTTGAAAGGCAGTCTGCTTTCGCATGGCGTCTCTGAAAGTGAAACAGTATTGGTATCTTCAGAGGATTTTCACCCTTGTAGGAGCTCACTGCTCTGTTGGAGAGACACGCACTGGAGCACTTGTGGATCCGATACCTGCGATTCAAAGGTGCACGTTGAATTTCACTCGATGTTTCCTCACTCCCCGAGTCTGATTTTTCAATCTTCTCCTTTTTGCTGATAGGAATGAATGAGAGAGAATGAAAAAAAAAAAAAAGTCAGAAAAGAACAGCATCTCAGATGATCAGTAAGCAGCCAGCCAGTCTTCTAGTGGCTCAGCATTATTAGCGTAGGAAAGCTTGAAGGCAGCCAAGGGTTTTACTGAATGCCTGCCTGCATTACCTAACATCTCTGACACCATATGCAGACATGCACAGTGCCATTCCAAACAAGTGACAGCAACAAAAAAAGAACCATACTTTTCATCTTCCAAATCAGCTCCCAAGGCTAATTATGAAAATGAAGTCGTGTCCTTAATAACGATCTTCACAGTCTGTGAAAGCTTGAGAACTGAACTTAAAACTTTCAAGTGCCAGCACTGCTAATCCTGCTAATAATCATGGATCTTCATTCAGAACAAAACAGATGTTCTATCCTGCAAGGCTTTCACGTGGTATATTAGATAAGTCTGCTTAAAACCTCAGCTTTTCCATATGGGTCAATTAAAAAAAATATATATATTTACTTTGAAAATTGTCAGGACTCAAAGTTGATTTTAAAATCAATGAATATATAAATAATACAGAGAGATTAAGAACTCTCTAATTCAGTAAAGATAGGTACAGTAATGAGCTTTGCCATTCTGGAAGTATGAAATAAATACACTGACCTGTGCGAACCCTCTACAGAATTTCCACTGTTGTCATCTCTAACAGGAAGCTGTGATTTAGGTTTGGGTTCCTTTGTATCCCCTTCATCAAGAACATCATTTACTGAAAAAATTGGGATATAAGCAAAACCTCAACGGTCCACATTTCAATGATCTATAATTGAATTTAGTTACTAAAGAGATAGCTGCCAAAACGCTATAAAGGTAATGCATTGCTGTGAACTACAGTTAACAAAGCATGCTAACAAGCACCCTCCTAGAAATAAATGTTTTTGCACTTATACAGAATGAAGTGTTTGCATTAAGGTTCATAGGTGAGAAGCTCACACACACTCTTCTCTCTCTGCTACTTCTCCCCATCCTCCCTCCCCCTACCATTCTTTCTCCCCACAGGAGAAAAATATAAGTGTACATGCACAAATCTGAGACAGAAACACACTGCCAACATTTATGCTTTTTCACCAGCCATCACGTGATTTGAGTATTAAAGGCTTCCATGAGGCTTTCAAACTGCACAGAGGTAAGATACAGGAAACATATACAGGTTTGTCTTCATTCTTTGAGGTAAAGTGCTGGCAGGGTATTGCCATGAGGGGAATATTGTACAAGCCAACTTTGGTTTTTAGCTCAGGCTTATCAGTGTTTCTTACTGCAATCTCTAACTTCACTTGGTCCAAGCCACACACACACAAACAACAGAAGTACAAACCCAGATGAATGTCTGCAGTTCAGTAACTGCAGAGGAAATAATCATTTTTTCTCCTTGCACTGCTAACAAGCTCCTGACATCTACTTTATTGATTTCAACATCAGGAAACAAACTTCTGGTGAGACTAGTTAAAGCTACATAGCAAATAAATGCAATTAAGATGCACTTACCATTTGTCAACGTTAAAAGATCACCCAGATCAGCTTCATTTACCAGTGTCCAAGCCTGCCAGCATTCTATATAAAAACAAAACAGAAACAGATATGAAGTGCAATATAGTAATAGGGACAATGATAGTCATCACTGCTAGAAGGAAAAAGAAAGCTAAACTCTAGACATGTTTCCTCACTGTGCTGATACAGAGCACTGTAACACAGACACTGTAATTAACTTTTTGCTACAGTCCTGAACAGACACACCTAGGAGAAGCAACACAGTCACAGCTCACATCAGTAACTGAAGGAGCACTGCACAACCACTCGCTTCCAGAAAGCTGCTGGAATGCTTTTAAACACAAGTCCAGTAGTTTTCAGAGGCAGCAATTTGTGTAAGCACGAATCAGTGCAAGATTCTCTTTGCTTTTGTCACCAGACTGACCATCTTCTGGCTAAGGACAGGATCTTGTCAGAGCAAATTAATGCTACCCCTGAATTGCTGGATGTGGTCTTCAGATAATAAGACGACGAAGAGATGACCAGTTCTGTCTCAACCCTATGCAACAAATATCACAAGTTGGCAGACAAACGTCAGTAAAATTCACAGTAGTATTTTAGTTTGGAACAAAACAAAGGAAAATAAAAATTTAAGTATGGCACAGATTCATACCAATACCTGGAGATTCAAATTCAACCTTTAGCTCTGCAATTCTGTAACATTTTGTCATAAAACCAAGATTAAGGAGCTCAAGTAAACCCCCCCAAAAATCCAGTACCAATTTAAAACAAGCATTGTAATAAAGAGTGTGAAAGCATCTTAAACCATTACACACTTTCTTGCACAGAAGCAGCGAGATGTGAAGATTAGATTTACAGGGATGATTTAACAATAAGAAATATTTTTATAAATTAAAACACTAGTAAAATTAAAAACCAAACCTGTGTACTGCTCTAGCTTTATCTTCTGATTTTGATGTAGATAAAGAACATTTAGTTCCATGAAAATCAGGGACATTCTTACAACAAACTGCTGCTAAATTTTTCTGCTAATATTACAACCGTTTTTCTTCAAATCAGACTGCAGATCATTCACAGTCCTGCTGAATGATTACAAGGATTTCAAACCTTGATTTGTGGCAGTTCCATTCTTGATCTTCTCCTTTAGCAGCAGCAGTACTTCTTGCACCTGCTCAAATATGAGATCCACTCTTCTACTTTCCAGTTGTGTCCAAAATGCCTTCAAATCACCTGAAATACAAGCTGGCATTCACAAGTCTGCACAGCTTCCAAGAAATCTAAAAACATGAGTAGCTCTTATTGGACTTTTCAAAGGCCCCCACTCACATTGGTGGGAAGCAGGGGTCTAGTACTTCTGAAAGATCAGGTAAGATGTGTTTTTCTTACTGTAGGCTTAAACTTTCATAAGCCTATTTTCTAACCCTGAGCATGAAAGTGAAACAATAATGATGAACTGACTTCTGATGGCCCATGAAGCTTCTCTGACATTGAGCTGCAGGTCCAGAGGGAGCCACAAAGATGATCAGGGCTGGAGCACCTCCTTTATGAGGACAGGCTGAGGGAGTTGGAGAAGGCTCTGGGGGGACCTTCTAGCAGCCTTCCAGTACCTGAAGGGGGCCCACAGGAGAGCTGGGGAGGGACTTTTTATAAGGTCATGCCATGACAGGACATGTGGAAATGGCTTTAAACCTAAACTGGGTGGATTCAGACTAAATATTACGAAGTTCATTACTGTGAGTGTGGTGAGACAGTGGAACAGGTTGCCCAGAGAAGCTGTGGATGCCCCTTCCCAGGAAACATTCAAGGCTGGGCTGGATGGGGTTTTGAGCAACCTGGTCTAGAGTGGGGTGTCCCTGCCTACAGCAGGAGGTTGGAACTAAATGGTCTTAAAGGTCCCTTCCAACCCAAACCATTCTATGATTCTTCAAATACTTTTTCAAGTACATCAACAGAGGGTGTTCTGGAAGCCTCTCTCTAAGTATTCATTAAGTTTCACTATAAATTAATCACAAAATCACAGAACTGTAGGGACTGGAAGGGACCTCTAGAGATCACCTAGTCCAATCTCCATGCCAAAGCAGGCTCTCTGGACAAGGTTGCATAGGTAGGCACCTAATCATCACTGAAACTCAGAAATGACAAAGGAGAATGTTTTCAATGGAAAGAACTGAACATATTACCACAGAAAAGGCATTTGGAGTAGCTCACAGCCAAAACCTTCCTTAGCTACCATCCTGCCCCATCAGTATTTTGGTAAACATTCTAGAGATTAAACATTGAACACACTTTCAGATAAAAGCAGTTTGATAAATTTTGCTCACCAAGTTATTTGCATTAATTGCAGCATTTGCAATTGCATTTGCAAAATTATTTGCAAGTTATTTGCAATTATTTGCATTTGCAATTGCACCAAGTTATTTGCATTAATTGCAGCAGCTAATATGCCTCTTACATCACAGAATGGCCTGAGTTGAAAGAGACTACAATGATCATCTAGTTTCAACCTCCTGCTACATGCAGGGTTGCCAACCAGGCTGCCCAGAGCCACATCCAGCCTGGCCCTGAATGCCTCCTTTCTCCATTACAAATATTTAAAAGAGCATTTTGTAATTACTTTTTTTTTTTTTTTTTTTTTAAATCACTGATCAGATCATGGTTTATCACATCTCCTCTCTTCCATGAATACATGTTTGAGGTACTAAGCCTGTTAATTAAAACAATTAAAACACTACCAGCGCATCTTTGGCAAGGACTTCGAAAAGAAAAGAAAAAGCTCAGTGTGTCACCAGACCACGCTAGAAAAGGGAACACATCCTCTGTTTTGGTTAGCAATTTCCATCTTCAATTGTGAAGCAGTTAATTAGTAAATCTTTTTCCCCCGCTCCACTTCAAGAGCTACAGCCCACCGTCACCACACAGTGTTTACAATCTACTTTTAGACAGCAAGTTATGGCTGCCAGATGTGCCACAATGACACCTCCAGCTGTCAGAAGATGCAGCACTACTGCAAGGCCTGCAAAAAGGTGTTGTTTTTATTTTCCATAGCAAAGAATGACTTTATTGCTCAGTACAACAGAAGCCAAGTAACGCTGTGTCAGTACAGAGCTTACAGTTACTCCTGAAAGGGTCATGGAAATAACAATCCTTTGTCACTACACCACAAGATGTTTCTATAATCAGCAGTTAAAAACTTACTATTAAAAATAAACAGGCAACATGGAAAGTACTTTTTGTAATATTACTGATCTGGCACTAACTCAACAACATTTAACAAGCTTTTGTATTCACTGCAATAGCAAGTATATACATATATCAAACTCTCTTGGAACAGCACACTGTCAATGAGACAACTGGTGCTCTGGGCCATTCCTACCCTCTTGCTGTGCCTAACAGTATCACAGATTTAAAATACTGGGAAACAAGCATATGTAACATCCCTCTTTAAAAAAATACATATTCAGAAATATCATTAAAAAATTCCACTGTGGAAGATCAAAACTGTTGCCATTATTTGTTACCTGCTTTCAGAAGCTTTGATTTAATTTCAATATATGGTTAACAGTGGTGGAAGGTCCACTTCAGATGATGGGTGACAGAACAGTCTTTCATTTCTGGGTCAGTTCTAACCTTGCATAGGCCTAAAGCAAACAGACCACATCACTACTGCCTGTCCTGCTCATATCTCTCAACTTAAAAGGCTTTCTCCCACTTCTCATGCTTGAGTGCCCTGAAACTCCAGCAGCTAGAGCTGTGAAATTCACAGCATAATTTTAATTTCAAAGAAGCAGATGTTCACATCATTCATCTCCTCTTCAATGTTAAAGCTGCTCTTGTTGATCTCAGCCAGGAGGACGTGGAATGAACAGACACAGAATGTGTTCAGTTTCTCAGCCTTCAAAACAGTCTCAACCAGCTGATGACTCAGAGCATGGACCAGCAGCTGGTGGCAGTACTTCTAAAGCTGGCTGAGGCTATTGCTTCTGGGAGATTTTCTTTTCCCTCTGTCTTTGTGGTCATGTATCTTTCAGTACTGCGCAAGAGAATGAAGTCAGAACAAGAAAAAAAGCAGGCTAAGCCAGAGTTCCCCAGAAAAACACTTGGCCGTTTCCTATGAAAAACCCATAGTGCTGACTCTGTACACGATGTAAGATGGAACTGCTGCCATCCAGTCACCATTTTCATATTCCAAGCAGTGTCAGACAAACACCATATTCCCCATTCCCTCCATAAGTCTGAATTACACTACCTTCAGCTGTCCCTTTTCTGGAAGTGGGACGGTTCTTCTCTTCAGGACAGCCACGCAGCACTGCAAGGGGTGCAGAATGGACAAGTATGAGTTCAGATGAGAAATAAAAACACTTGTCACCAAAAGGTGCGTTGGCAGTTATCAGCAGAGGTATCAGTGAGAACACTGCAAGAGAAAGCGCTGTGGTGAAACGCTCCTGCTTTCAAAGCTACACAGAAACACAAGACAGAGCAGAAGAACGCTGAAGTGAAAGAAATTGGGAAGGCTTTTTTTTTTTTTTCAAGCACACATAGATTACCATCACTACAACATGACGCTGCTGTGAGGTGAGCCACACTTTCTGTTGTGCTCAGGTGAGCAATCCCTGCCTCCTGTTAGCCCTTTTTAACTAATGCAGCCGTACTGCAATTAAGCTACACAAAAGGGAAAAGCCCAAAGGTTGTGGGTTCTTTAGGTCAGAAATGCACTGGGTCTGCTTCCCAGCAGACTCGATGGAGCACTAAAGGAAAGCATTTCTCAGCTGCGCGGCAGATTTCTGGCCACGACCACCAACGACACAGCACCAAACAATTACAGCGACATTCCCACGTGCTCCTCCTCGACTCTGGCACGGAAATTTCATTCGTTCGAGCGAGAAAGGAGAAAAAAGCGAAGCTCCTCACGAGATCTCACAAGTTCTGCGGCAAAGTTTCTCACAGGATCTGCTTAGCGACCGCTCAAAACACGCATTCATACCGCTGAGGCTTACTTCGGTTCCCCTCCATGTCGCGGATCCCTGCTTAGGCTGGGGAGCGGCATGCAGGTGTTCCCGTCCGGCCCCGGCTGGACGAGGGCATCCAGGCCAGGCCGCGAGCGCCCCGCCAACGCCCGCATCCGCGCGGGGCCGACATGGGGCGAAGACCACGCGTGGGGGCGAGCCCGCGTTACTTCACTCAACGGTACCCCAGACAGCCGCTGCCCCGCCACCACCCGCCTGGGGGCGCCAGACACCCGCTGTGCGCATGCGCCGAGCTGTCTTCGTTGCCTTGCGGTTCACCTTCTGCGCACGCGTAAAGAGGGGCCGGGCCGCCCGAGCGAATCGCTGCGCGGAGGAGGCGGGCCGCTCACGGCAGATGGCGCGGGTGTCTTTGTTGCTATTGGTTGCGGCTGGGGTCGCGGTGCGCGCGGCGCTGGCCAATGGGAACGCGCGGGAGCGGGAGGAGGGGTCTGGGTGGCAGAGCCGAGAGGAAAGCGGTGCGTCCGCCATCTTGGGTGGGCGGGGCGAGTTTGGGGCCGGGCCCGTTGGGGCGTCGCTGTTCCCTGCGGTCCCGCCATCTTGGCCATGGGGTGAGGGGAGGAGGGCTGTTTCAAAGCCTTGTGTTGACCAAGTGTGGTCTGAGGTGCTCGGGGATGTAGTGCCTCTCGTGGTGTGGGTTGTGAGAGGGTTCTTCTGTAGTTGGGCACCTGTGGGGAAGTGGCAAAAACAAAAACAAGCTTTAAGGGGATGTTTAACCTTTTGCTTCCAGCTAAGGTAATAAATTAAAAGACTCAATAAGTGTCCAAGTTACTTAACACCACTGCTGGTTGCTGTCATTTGCTCTTGCTGCCATTTGCTCTTGCTGCTGTGTCCTGTGAAACAACTGCTGTTATTTTGATTTGGAGCACATCAGTGCAGGCATTTACATTGCCCTCAAAGTTTTCAGCAAAAATACTAAATGAGCTTCGGCGTTGTGGCAGTACAAGATGATTCCTCAGGCTAAAATCAACCTACCGGAATAAAAGGCCTGAGAGATTGGTTTAAGTGCTGTGCACGGGGAAGGGAACAGGCTGTGGTTTCAGCAGTGGCTTTGTGTTCGCATTTTAAAAAGAGAGATTCCTTTCCTGTAGCAGTTTGTTTTGAGTACAGAGTTTCCTTCCTTCTGAAATATTAGAACTGATGATTGCAGACTAAGTAATTTTATTTTACTGAATTATTTATATACACACGCATGCAAGTGACTGCTGAATGTTACAAAGTGCCTGTGGTGCCGCAGGCTGTATGAGGAATATATCAAATGCAAAGAATATGGAGCCAAACGTTATAATGATTGCGTTAACAACAAGTTATTTTAAAAGGAGATTTCCTTATAAGGTTTTACTTCCTGTAATAAGATTCTCCTAAACAGCCTCTGATGTTTGCATGCATGTCTTGAAACTGTGATAAGCATTAATCAGCAATGTGGAGACAGTACAGGCACCCATATAGCCATCCATTGTGGATGCCCCATCTCTGGAGGCACTCAACGCCAGGCTGGATGTGGCTCTGGGCAGCCTGGTCTGGTGGTTGGCAACCCTGCACATAGCAGAGGGTTTGAAAAGAGATGATCATTGTAGTCCTTTTCAACCCAGGCCATTCTATGATGATCTTATAAGCAATTAATGTTATTAAATATTCATATTTCTGCTTGGGCACCATGACTGTGTATGACTGCTTGCCTGGTGTGCTTAGGAAGCTAACAATTTTTATGATTATATAGTTTCCATCTGCTTCACAGTCATCAGCGGCAAATGAGCTCAAGTTTGGGGTGTTTTTTTCCCCACCTATAATGCACTGAAATACAACTACTAGAAATCTGACCATAATTTTACTTGAAACCAATAAAAATAGTATAACTAAAGGGAACCATATAACGCGATGCCAAGAAAGGTGTTCCCTTTGCTGTGAGCAAGCTGCTGGAGGTTATTCAGTCTGTTGTGACCAGGTCTTTTGCCTGATACCTGTCAGATACAGACAGATGTGAAGATACAATGCTAGTGTTATGTGTTACTCACTATAACATAGTAACGTCACTCAGAATCTTTTAATTAGGAACTAGGAATGATAGAAATCAGAAGCATGACTGCATGCTTGTTGAACAAATGAGAAATAGGGATATTATATGCATATTATTTGGCAAAAAAAGGGAAATTTGTCTTTCTTGAAGACTAACATGTCGCTTGTGTAAAATAACTGAATTTCCTTGTTTTCTCTTTTATCTAGAGCTGGAAGATATGCTTTCTACAACCAGGAAGCAATTTCTACTGTTGAGCAGGTGAGCTCATTTCTTCCCAAACTCACAAGCAGTGCTGAAGAGACATCCCAGTGATGTGCCCACAGCACTCCCCTAGCAGCAGTGCAAACTTGAGACTTGCCCACCAGCTTCTGCAGCCTAGACCAGGACTGACGAACTGCATCTAAAGGTGAGGGCAGCCCATTCCACATGCTTATATGTCTGTTAACTTTTTGTTTGTCATCTTTGTTAAGATGACAGTGAAAGGATTAACTAAGTTAGTGGTATGATTTATTGAGTTGGTGAATTATGCTTTTGTATATATGGTTCTAGTAATACTAGTAGCGAATCAAGATGAACAGTTGCTTAGATAGGCAGACCATAAACTGTTTTTTGAGTGGGAAGCTGACCCCAAAGCAACCATTTCTTCAACTCTCTTCTCCAGGAATGGTTTTAACATCTTGAGTGCAATGGGATTTGGGTATATCTTCATTTGGCCAGATAAGCTTGAGTGAGGTACAGAGGCACCAGTCTCTCTTTAGAAAATAGTGAAGCAGTGAAAGTCACAGACATTCAGAAAATGTTTCATGATTCTCTTGTAGCTTTCTGTTCTTTTCTGACTGGATTATCTTTTTGTTGTCTTGACATTTTTCTTCTTAAAGTGCTTTCATCTCAGTTTGATACTTCTACCTGCTCCTTCTCTGTCACATCCTACTTTTATCCTTTGTGATTTAACTTACTCCCTTACAGGTAAGTGTAGGTAACCATACTTCATTCTTTCAAAAGGCAACTTTAAGATAATGTTCTCTTTCATTACACTGATTAGTTTAAGTCTGGTTTATACGTACTCCGTTATTTTTCATTCATCTAATATATATTGATAAAGATAAATCAGAGAGCAGATGGTAGTTTTGTAAAGATCATTGCTTTTTTACACAGTATGCTCAGTGGGTTATCCTTCAGCTTATCCTAGAAGTCTGACTGCTATTTACGAAGATGCATACTGGTGTTCTCCGTAGGTATATTACTTACTAAATACTGCATGTTATTTACAGGCCCTCCATGCTGTGTTTTGCAGTTGTGTTTCTGTTGCAGATATATTAGTTTTTAGGTAGTATTAAGTTATTTTGGATATTAATTTTTCTGGCTACTTAATCAAGGAAAAAAATATTCAGTTCTTATGGAAGACACTGGTCCTGTTAAATGATTTTGTTCTACTTATGTTCTAAGAATGTTCACATTCCTGGCAATTAAAAGTGAAGAAAAAAAAAAAAAAATCTACTTAGAAATTCCAGTTCCCAACATCATAAACTGTTAATCACCCTAAGGGAATCTTTAAACACGCGCAGAGACTTGCTATGAAAAGGAAAGAAAAAATTTGTGTCACCATTGAAACAATAGACTTCTTTCATGTGGAGGACCTAGATATCTGTTAATTACCAACTAGGTTGAGGGTTTTGGAGTCTGGCCCAATATGCTGAAAGTCTTAACCGTCTACTGGCTGGCATATCTTTCAAGGTCTGCATTCGGAGACTGGTAATGTAATGTATTTCATCTTTATGGACTGTTTATGTAGTAGAACTGTTTCCATTTTTAGCTGTGTTTCTGTCTTGGAGTCTCAGCATTATCTGCGGTCACAGATTCCAGATAGTTGTGTGAACATAGTAATAAAGGACTGATTTAAATGTTAGATAACGCTGGGTGAAGTCAAGGGACATGAGTTGTCTTTCCTGTGCCACAACCCACTTACATTACATTACACTGAGACATCGGGCCTAAAACTGTGTTCTCTGATTTTGGGTGACTGGGATGAATTTACAGTCCTGAAAGCCTGTGGTTAAATTTAGAGATATATCGAACTTGCAGTGTTCCCACTACTAAGAGATGTATTACATGGTGTACCAGAGCTTCTTTTTTGTTGTTTTTGCCTTCTGTTTTTTTAATCAAAGTGTAGAGTAAGTTGTAAGCCTTCATTGTGATGCCTGATGATTGATAGGTGAGTACAAACAAAGCAGTGAGCACCTCACTTAGAGCTGCACTTGATATAACAAAGCCCATCAAAATAATGCATGTAGCAAAACTGAAGTAATGATTATGTCTAGATGCAGTAAGCACTTTCAAATAAAACTGGAAGGTAACACGTTTTGAAATATGCTAAAAAATTTTTACTACAGCCATAGGAAACAATGAAAAAGGTTTATAGAGAAGGATCAGGAAAGCCACAATCCCGTGTGCACTTACATTTGGCACTGTCAAACAATGAAGTGGTTCTGTTCTTGCTGCTTCACTCAGCCTTCCCCTGTTAATTTGTGTGGCTGCTTAATGAAACTGGCTCAGAGAACTGGTTGGGGTTTAAAAGAAATTACTTACTTGTTTCAGCTAATTTTACCTGAATAAAATTCCCCATCTAATCCACTGTAGAGATTCTTGATACTTCTGCTTCTCTCAGGGAACTGGGGATGGCCAAGGGGCAGAAATTAGACTCTGAAGGTGGACTGGATTGCTTTCTAATTTTCTTGTCAGTGTCTCTTAGCTCAAAGCATTTGTGCAACTCCTTCTGTAGTATGAGCCACCTCAATGTTTGTGCAGAGCATTGAATACAGATTATTGTGGAAGGTGTTCATTATACAGCAGAAATGTCCTAAGATTCAAATTCTCTGCATTTTAGGTTGTGTTAGACCAGAAACCCTCCAGCTTCCTGGAGGGAATACTGGAATTGGATGGGCTTCTTTCAGTAGTGACTGGATTTAAATTCTCTTTTGTTATTGCTGTAAAATTCCTGAGTGACTAGAACTGAATAGTGGCAAGGAACAGACAAAGTGAATTGTGGACCTAAAACTTTGCAACCCTTTCTCACAAGAAATGTGCTTCAGGTTTCCAGCAGTGTGCTGGCTGGCTGAGCTTAATTCTAATGTATGAGTTTGGCACTGAAGAGGAGAGCTATACTATTTGCTACAATACAGTGCCCAGACAAAGACTGAATGATACTAGACAATAGATTGGCAGCCATATGCTCCTAGAGCAATTTAATTGTGAAATGACATCTTTAGATTATATTACAGCATAAGCTTTATATAAAAAAATCCACTGATATTCATGATGTTTGCTTTGTTTGTTTCTTGCTTTTCTTGTTCCAAGTGACCATCGCTTAGGATGAAAGAAAGTGCTGGATAAGCAGGTACCTCTTTATTTCCAAAAATAATGTTCAAATCAAAAGGGGAAGGGAAGGGAAGCCCTCCCAGTTGATGACCATGGACCAATACTGCATAACTGAGCTTTGAAACGTGGGGCCAATTGAATGATAGCTGTTGGACTAACAGATTTTCCATAGGCCTCTCTTTGTCACACTAGCACAAGAGCAGGTGAAAAAAAAGGATACGTACAAATTTATCTGTAATGTTTTATTGCAACTGTACAGTTCAGTTGTGCTTAAACGTTGGAAAGATGTTATGTGTGACTTCTTAAGAGCCCTGGAAGTTACTGAATATGGAGAAACTGAAATAACGTGGAATGAAAATCATCTTCCAGCAACTACAGTGATCTTAGCAACATGTAACCTTCAGCTCTTTGTTAGGACTTCTTCATTTCTCAGCAGGGAGGCATGGCTGTATCGGCTTTGTCTTCTCAGGTGTACCTTTTTAATTGCACACTGTCATTTTCTAGACTTCATTGTTTGTCAAGCAGCTGTCTTTCACTTCTGCAAATAAGTTAGAGGTGGTCATTGGCTACCTATTGCTTTTGGATGCTGGAGAAGCCATCTGCATCTGAATATCTGGTTTATTTTTGTTCCAAATAAAGCATCAAATTGAGTTTTACAGACGGGGAGCAGGCTTGCAGGGTGCTTGTAGTTATCTTTCAAAGCAAATGTATTGTGTGTATCATAAAATCAGTCTCTGGGAAAACTCTGGTTTTGTGGGTTTGTGATTGGTTGTTTTTTGTTGTTTTTTTTTTTTTTTGACAGATCAGTTAATGTAACTGAGTAAATTAGCTAAGTTAGAAGTTTATTACATAGAAATGGTGTTGATCTTTGTTCCTACTCCTCCTTGTCTGCAAGGCATTGATAGATCTTGTGTGTTTTACATTATGATCTGTATTGAAGTCTGTAACTGCCCGAGAGATCTGTACTCCTCTACTGCTGCAACCATTTGCCTTGGGCAAAATTGGAAAGTGTCAGACAAAGTGCTTTTGGTCATCAAAGGCACTGAGATTTGAATGAACACTGAGGTCGAATAAGGAGTGAACTCAGGTCAAATTGACTTGATTACGTTCAGGATACACTCTTTTTGGTAAAGATTTTCTCTTCAATAAAAAATCCAATGTGAATATAAAATATATATGCCACTGTGATTCATCTCTGTACAACCCTCTTTTGTCAGGGAAAGGAAAATATTTACCAGAGGAATTCCCAAGATACCCTCATGCTATTCTAGTTTCTTGGGAAGCAGTTAAATGCTGAGAAAACATTCTGCCCATTGTTTTTCCTCTCTGTCATTGAACTCTCCATCCTGTAAACTGTCTTTTCTCGTCACAGTTCATAAGGTCATGGGAGAAGATGGCTGCTAAACTATGTACCATTTTTGAGACTACAAAACATGGACTAAACAGATCTTCAGTTCTGCAGGATATGTTGTTACATCACTAATATACTTCTAACAGCTTACAAGAGTGATTCTCAAAGAGGGGAGAAAAGTGTGAGAACACGTGGCTATCTAGAATATGCACACCTGAATGCTAAAAGATGGTTTAAGCAACAGGGAGGTCCCATCTTGCTTTAGAAGTGGTCCAAGGGCAGCAGCTGATACGTAATGTGTATAAATGTAGTTTTTAAAAGATGATTGAAGAAAACTCTCCAAATTTTCTTTGGGAGTTTTTTAGTGTAAGGCTAACTAAGGAGCAGTTCTGAAAATAACAGGAAGAAAAAGAGCAGTGACATAAGTCTAATAGCTGCACTAACATTGTCAGTAGTGATGCTGAAAAGGCAGAACTGTTGTGTACATCTGTAGCATAAATAGAACTGAATATACAAATAATCATATAACGATGACCAAATCCTTCACGTTGTAGCAATAAACAGTGACATAAAGCATCACAGAATCACAGAATGGTTTGGGTTGGAAGGGACCTTAAAGATCATCTAGTTCCAGCCCCTGCTATAGGCAGGGAAACCTCCCTCTAGACCAGGTTGCTCAATGCCCCATCCAGCCTGGCCTTGAATGCTTCCAGAGAACACATGGAATTCTTTATTGCAAATTTATGCAGACTGAAGAAAATCTTTTTTTTAAGTGGCTAATGTAAAACTTTCAAAAAACTGAACTAATACTTATTACTAATATGTAATAACTGCCATTCCATATGATTAATTGAAAACAGGCATTATAGAAGATCTGATGTATCAGATAGATTAAGGGATTGATCTGCTGTCTAGGAAACTGACTCATGAAACCCTTATACTTGATGAAGAATCATTGAATTAAGATCTACCTAATGTTGTGATATTCAATTACTGGACATTTGTTTGCAAAAAAAAACCCCAACCTCAGACCAACCCACAGTTACATGAACTGCAAAATCCTTCTTGACAGTTTTATCTAGGCTGCTTAGAGCATAAGAATAACAAAGCATGGCATACCCTCCTATGTTTGATTGAAACAAAGAGCACATTGGCTCACTCTTTCAGAGTCAGCTTTGGGAAGTTAATCAGTATGAAAAACAGACTGGATGCACCTTAAAAATGAGGAACAGTACCATAAGAAACAGCACTGCAAAGTACAGGGACCACGGGCAGCAGTCAGTTGAAAAGGCACACACATATATGATGTGGCCAAGAGCTGACAGTAATTGAGTACACTGAACTCAGAATAGGGGATTTCTTTTCCGATGACCTTACTTCTGGAATATAATCAAGTTTGAAAGATGCACTTTCAGACATATTTTGGATGTGAAATAGGTACTGATTGCAGGTGTTGGAAAAGCATATCTGTGCACTTACTGTGACTGGTGACAAATAAGGAAATTCTGGGTTTGTTGAAATCGTTTGATCGTGGTCAGTAGCTATGCATAAACAGAGGGGAAAGCCTTCCAACAGCATAGTCTTGCAAATACAGAAGTCACATAACAAGATGCAGAATGTAAAAGATAACATGAGTGTGCATAAAGGAAATGATATTTGAAGTGATAGTTAACTGTTGTGCTAACTGGACAAATGTTTTCCAGCATTTGAAGTCAGTGCTGAGATCTGGGATCTTTTAAAAAGCTGCTCTTGTTCAAGAAGCTGTTAAGCTGTTCCAAGCAGTAACTAATGCTTTGTGAAAATCAGAGCAGTTCTTTGCTGGTTGGTGCTTTTTTGTGGTTGTTTCTTTTTAAGTAAGTATGTTTATTTCTTGTTCTGAGAAGAGGAAGAGAAAAAAAGAATCTGTTTCAAACTTTATGTCCAAATAATGTCCTATTTTGTAAGGCTGTATGAAGCATTGAGGCTGCTCATAGTTTTGAAAGGAAAGCCAGTTCTGTGTAAATGGTCCCAGATTATCATTACATGTTAATTTGGAATTCTCTAACCATGTAATCTGTATCCATTTTTAAACAGAAAAATGTAGAAGTAGGTAGTGTGGTTCCTGAGTGAAACAGTAAGATATTAAATAGCTTATATTTATGTCTTTAGTTACTTGGCTAATATGCAACTGTTCGGATTCAGGTCTTTGTGTGCTGAAATATTTCAACGGAAGTTTTTGTGCTTGTGAAAGTAATTTCACCCCATGCTGACAGCTAGTAGAGACTGTCTTGCTGTGGCCATGGAAAGTTAAAGTGGTCTGACTCTTGGTACACGACATTCTGGTGGGATTCTGCACTCATGAAATAAGCCTTTTATTTTCACTGCTGCTTTGATGGACACTCCAGTTTGACAGTAATGTAAGACAAAATTTGATTCTTTCTAAACATTGCTGGTTTTAAGGAAGTGGTTTCAGGACTTTTCTGTCATACTTCCACTACCAGGCCTGCAATTCCAGCTTCTTGGAGCACAGACTGGTTAATTTAGTATACAGCTGGTTTTGTCTCCTTATTATTTTGGGATTGCATTCTAAAAAAAAAAAACCTGAAAAACAGAATCCAAACAAGAAAACACACAAAGGAGAAAAAAAAGTTATTTCTGTAGAAAGAGAGGAGATACGGAATCCACCTTTATCATGAGAAAGGTGACATTTCTTGAGCTAATTCCAGCGAGTGTAACAATAGATCTGTATGCTGAGTAATAAAGAAGCTGTCAGATTGCACTGAAAGATGTACAGACAAGTGACATTTGCCAAGAAGATTTCCATTGCTGTATATGACCTGATATGACCTGTATATTTAGATATTACCATTTATGTCATGTGGTGAGTAATTTTTTTTCCTGGTGTCCAAACACCTGTCAGGGGTCTTCACTGTTAAGGCTACCCCAGAGAAGAATCAAAGCAGGCACAGGTGCTACTATTGCTTCAAAACAGAGGAAGACAAGAAGAAAAGAACACTACTGCATGTTATTTCCTATTCAGTGCAGAATTCCTGCACTGAAACTGCTGGTGGACCTTAGGCTTGCTTCCACTTCAGGAGTTCTAGGAATGACCCTGCTTTGTTAATTAAAAATAAAGGAACTCAACTCATAATTGGACACTTAGTGGTTGCATGTGTTTGGCATAGTAATTAATTTGTGATGTCAGTTGCTGGGCAGCACAGATGGGGAGAACAGTAGATGGGTTGTAGTAGGGTGGAAATGTGCATGGATGTTTCCTCAGTGAGGCATGACTTCCTTGAATTTCATGGAATTCCATATAGGTTAATTGGCTCTATAAAGTTTTTTTTCAGGATGGACAACATCTCTTTCTGGAGAGGCATTGGAGTAATCTATCCTGAGACCAGAGGAAAAAGTGGCTAAAATGAATGATGGGAGATTGTGCCAACAGGGAGCATTTGTCACACAACAGGGGATGAGATGCTGTTATAGTCATGTTGTCATTCTTACTGTGGGACAGAAAATGCAGGCATCCTGTGTTCCACGACTGGCTGTGTATGAATTCTGTGAAAGCAAGCGTATACACAGTCTGCCAAGTGGTGAATGTACTTAATGGTTTGTCAAGAGGAAGGACATTGGGGTACTTTTGGAGTCAGTGACTGTGCAATTTGGATTTGATCATAGAATCAGAGAAGCACAAGGTTGGAAAGGACCTACAAGATCATCTGGTCCAACCATCCTCCCATCACCTCTGCTACCACAAGCACTAAACCAAATCTCACAGCTCCTCATCCAGGAGCCTCTTGAACACTGCCAGGGACGGCGCCTCCACCACCTCCCTGGGCAGCCATTCCAGTGCCTGACCACTCTGAGAGAAAAAGTTCTTCTTTATGTCTAATCTAAACCTCCTCTGGTACAACTTGTGGCCATTTCCTCGGGTCCTGTTTGCTGCCTGGGAGAAGAGGCCAAACCCCTCCTCATCACAACCTCCCTGCAGGCAATTGTAGAGTCAGTGAGGTCTCCCCTGAGCCTCCTCCAGACTGAACATTCCCAGCTCCCTCAGCTGCTCCTCATAAGACTTGTGCTCCAGACCCCTCACCAGTTTCGTTTCCCTTCTCTTGACACATTGCAGGGCCTCAATGTCTTTCTTGCAGTGAGGGGCCCAAAGCTGAACACAGTACTCGAGGTGCGGCCTCACCAGTGCTGAGTACAGGGGGAGAAACTTGAATTTGTTCTGATGACTTGTTCTTGAGGTTCCCTGTTCTGATCCAGTATTTTAAACTACCTTTACTGAATAATAGCCTTTGGTAATGAGAAATAATTTGAGAAGACCTACGTTCTCTGAGTCCAGAGAAAACTGTTGGGTGTCAGAGGTTTTCTTGTCTGGCTTTGGGCATGCCAGTTTAGATCAATGCTTGCTTAAAAATAGCAGCTTTTCTTCATAAATTATTGTAATGCTAAAGTTTTATTCTCTGGCACTGGAAGAACCTGTGATTCTTCATCTAAATGCAGCAGTTTGGACTTTCAGCGTAGTGCTATTACATTTTTGGTTCAGCCTGCCTGCTTTTGTAGGGTGCTGAACTTCTATGAGAGGAGTCTCAGAAGTTTGGTATGTCTGTGGGTGTGATTTCTGGTGATGCACATCACAGGAACTGTAAGTATATTATCTCTATCTGCAATAACAGGGGGCAGCAGGCTGTGTACTGCCTAGTGCTTTTTATTTTGTTTCTGTCACTGTAGTGTCAGAGTGCCTTATGTTCTTGGATGCATTCATTTTCCTGCGAGGAGACTAAGTGACTTTTCCAAGTTCTCAGAGAAATGTGCAACACAAATAGGAACTGACTCTTCAATTCCTTTGGTCTGAACTTTGGAGTTCAGTTTCTTTGGTCTGAACTCATTTCTTCATCCTATGCACAACATCCTGTCTCTGCATAAGACTTTCTGTTAGTTTTTATTCTTTCATTTGAGGCAATCTCTTGCAATATACAGCAGTTCTGTGGTTTTGGTGCCCTGAAGAAGTAACTGAGTGGAATGTAGTAAATTGTTGATGTTGCTGATGTCTTGTTCATTCTCTTGTCCATACAGAACAGCTGTCTCAGCTCTCTTGGCCAGTCAGTCTTAAGAGGAAGAGGCAGTCTGTTGTGTCTAAGTACTGCAGATATAATTTCAAACTCTCCCAAGAGAAATAGTTTCTGGTTTTGCATCTTTAAAATGAATGGTTGTGGAGACACTGGTTGTTATTGAGCATGGTGATTTTGGATGACACTTTAAAAAGTCTCTAAGATGCCAATTGCCAGAAGCTGGAAGATGAAGGTGGTCCTTCTTCTGGCATATATTTCTTTTTTTTTTTTTTACATTGTTTTTGGTGTCAGCTGCTCTTGGAGCTTTGTCTCCATCAACACCCAGAATGTCATCCAAAATGATGGTTCTGGTTTCTATCTCCTAACATTCTTCAACAACACATTTTAGAATGCACATCTCTGTGTGTTTGCTCAGTGACAGCTCGAACTTTTGGTTTAAATTAAACTTAATTTTGTTTGTTTGCAGATCATCTGGAGAGCATGTGATGAAAAACGTTTTAGACTTCTGTAGAAATGGTCAGTAGAGGAAAAGTCTCAATCCACTGTGTTTTATTTTCCCAACCCATCTCTTTTCTCAGAAATAGAGCCATATGTTATGTGTAATTATTATAATCAGAGATCAGTCAGTCTGTCGTAATACTTATATGACAAATCAGCATTAGAGTAAGATGAATATGCACTAATATGCTTTTCAGCTTAGAGCATTATTAGGAAGTTTGGTAGCTGTTATGGTGGGTGATTTTTGTGTGTGTGATGTGATATGAACTATAAAATTGGGTGTCCCACAGTACTTCTGTGAAGAGTGGTTAAATGTTAGATCTTCAGCAAAGGTCTTTTTTTAGTTCCTTCTGAAACGAATTTTCCTTTTCACATTTTTATTTCTATAATAGAATAAACATTTATTTCCATTAAAAAAAAAACAAAAAAACTGTGAAATTGGTTGAATATACCATGTTGGGATAGGAGCACTGTGAACAGGTAAAGGCTGTAATTACATGAAAAGCATCTGCTCAGTCCATCAGGAAGTTACTGGTTTTTGGAGGACTACATTTTGTTTCAGTCCACAGGTAAAACTTTTGTCATGTCAGAATGTTCGCTGTTCCTCAAGGTAATGTTCTCCACTCATAAAAATGGGAGTGCCATTGTGATTCTTAATCATGTTTTATGTTGGGACACAGTAAATAAGGAATGTGATTAACATTTTATAAGCGACTTTTTAGGGCAGGCATAAACATTTAATCTGTATTTCATTTTTCAGCTGTTGGTTGTATAACACTTTAGAAACATTCTTGTTTGGGGTGGGGGGTGAATATGTATGGAAGAGGTTTCACTGTAGCTGTTTTAATCTACTTGAAAGGACAGAGCTGATAGATGGCTTTAAAATTAGATACCTGAAGTGTTTCGTACATAAATGCTTCTGATTTCTGGTAGAAAGGTCAGTGTTGATGTGTGATGCTGGAGTGAAGAACTTGGGAATAATAAATTCAGGGGAACTTAACAGCAGTTTATAAGAGTTAGTGCTGGTTTTTAAAAACTGAAGCAGAACAGAAAAATACCTTCAGTGACTGCATCTCCTGGCATTAAGGAAGAGAAGGCAGTGTGTGTTTAGGATCACTAGAGGGAGCCTAGAGGAAGAAGAGGGGGAAGCATTGAAGACATATTTGCATTTTTAGGAGCAGCTTGCACAGAACCATCCATTTAATCCTTACTGCTTCCTTCATCTACAACACATCTGCAGGTCACTACTCTCTGTTCTCACACATTCAGTTCAGAGATCTCAGTTTTCTAGCTCTGAGAGAGGCCAGAAGCTTGGCTGCCTTTTAGGTGGGTGTAGGAAAAAAGACCTACCTCTCCATGTATCGTACCCCTTTTTACCTTCTTTTGTGTTTGAGTGAGTAGGCATGTGTTGTTTTTCAGTGCAGGTATGTGCATGCTGGAGATATACTGTAAATGATGGAGAGCTTTAGTGGCATCAGTGTAGAATGGTCACATTATGGGGGTTTGGGGGAAAATGAGCATCTGCAGGCTTGTATTGGAATACCAAAGCACAAAGTTACTGTAAAATCTCTCATTCTGTGGGATTTTAGAAATGTCACTCAACACACTTTTTGTATTGTTCTGTTGTAAAGCTGAGTGCTTCGAAGTGTGATGTTTCCATAGGGCAGATAAACAATGAAAGTAATTTGTTTTAGCTCCCCTCACTCCACACCTGATAAACTGCCATAATTTTGATTTCCTGGGCTCTGTAAGAGAAGGAAGAAATCCTGTTGGGTGGGTTCCTTTAGTTTTGGGGGTTTTAATCTTTTTAGTATTTTAGGGATTCTCTTTTCAAATAATTTCTGGGCTGACAGTATCATGAGATTTTAGTACTAAGCATTGTTATTCCTGTCAATACAGAACTTCCATTATTGATACCCTTACTGATTGCAGAATGCTTTTCATGAGCATTAAGATATTTGCAATGTGGCTTTTGAGAGCTTGATTTCACATCTGAAGTGTGTAACTGACAATGGCATATTCCTGTTTAAAAAAAAAAGGGGGGGGGGGGGTAAATATATATATATATATATATATAAAAAGAAAAAAAAACCCCTAATTCTGGACTTTACTTAGTTTCTTATATTCCTATAATTTCAAGGAAAGTAAGGGAAATATTTCTTATTTTGTTCTCCTCCCTGATACCTCAGGATTTACAAAGGAAGATTGTAATATTTATATAATGTTTTTAATATACATTTCTGTCAATTATACACTCTGGAACATGTTCAGAATCATACAATTAAACTGAATATTATAAAGTATAAATTGTTATAGCAGTAATGAAATAAGGAGCACTATGTTTTGAGTGGTGTAACCAATTATGTATTTCCTCATTGATTAGTTGCATCTGTAGTAGAGGACTTTATGAAACTGAACACATGGCTGTCTTACACAAGTCTGAAAATATTCAGCTTCTAAAATATACCAACTCAGTAAAGGTAAGAGAAGTAGGCATGGATTAAAGTCAGAAACTTTTCACAGAATCACAGAATTGTAGGGGTTGGAAGGGACCTCCAGAGATCATCGAGTCCAACCCCCCTGCCAAAGCAGGTTCCCTACACCACTTTTTAGTATTTTAGGGATTCACTTTTTGATATCTGCTATTATACAACTTGTTGCTGTGTAGAATTGAATTTTGATTGCCCAGGGCCTTGGCACTGGGCGTTTTTGGGGGAAGGAAGGACATTTTTCTGGTTGTTATCTGAGGCTTCTTAGGGCTTTGGAATGCTGGAAGTAATCTTGGAGGAGGTAGACAAACTGTAAGTGGGTGATTAAATGGGCAGAATTAATATACATGTACTGCATGTTTGTCATCTGCCTCTGTAATTTACTGCTACCACACTCATAGTTCAAGCTCCTTAATTTCTCTTTCCAATTTTAGAAAATAAAGGGTAGGAATAATGGAATGCCTTTTGTTTCTTCCCTCTTTGGTCTTTATTAGATGGCATAATTTAAGAAAACAAGGACAAACATTTCTCAGAAGTTCTCTGTGTATTAGCCTGAGGTCTCTCATCACTTTAAGGGAAACAAGTATAATGGAATTTAATTATGTGGAGACTGGGATCCTTTAGCAGTGCGTAGACATTTTTTTTCAGTGTACTTTTTGGACTAGGAAGAATTGTTGACTATTCATAGTTACATCATCCTTCTACTTGAGATGGCTACAAATTATGAATTGAAGAAAACATTATTTCTTTTGAAATATTTAATAACCTCTTGGCAAAAAAAAAAAAAAAAAACAAAAAAAAAAACCAGGTAAGAGCATAAGTAATTATGGCTTGATTTATTGAGGATGGTGCAGGACCTTTTCTTGTCGTCTGAGAATTAACTGCACTGATGATGAAACAAAGATTGGAAAAACAGAGAAAGTTGATCCACGAGCCCCACTAGCTGCACTCCTCTGAACAGTCTTTTGACTACAACACAGGAATGGGGGCATGACAAGTTTCCTCCTCTCCCTGCACATAGAGAGCTCCTAGGAAAGTCAAAACGTATTTCCTGAGGTATAAACCCATCAGAGCTGAACTGTAAATTGAGTGCACGTTCAGCTTACTCCTTGGAACCATGAAAACTGACGCACGTAGTCTGAAACAGGTAATAGTTTTATAGATGTTTTTATGCTTATAGAGCATTTCTCAGTCAGAATGTGCTGTGAATACTTTTGTTAGCGTTGTGAAATACCATTTATCCAATTGGGTCCCTTAATGTGCAACTATAACATTTTTTTTAGGTTACTCACGCAGTTTCAGGTTAGTATCCATATCCACCAACACTGAGCTCCAAGGGGTAATAGAGCGGTATCTTTTTATTTGTTGAAATGATGAATGTAATGTATGTGAGATACAATTTCCCTAGGGAGAGTTCAGATGAAAAAAAAAAAGAATTCTCTTAAAAAGAAAACTACACAGTGGAAACTAATGATATAACATGTTCATATTTGTGTGCGTTCGTAGGAAAAGCCAGTACCTTCAGTAGTAGCCACAGGGCAGACTTCTCACCATTTGAATCCAGCTATGACATTTACTCAAATGCTGTGATATCAAGATTAAAAAAACAGTCAATACCACTTAAGGAAATATTTCACCAGTAATTCACAGGACTGGCTGAGAACAACCGTTGCCACTTGGTGTCACCTGTTGCAGTACTTTTGGGTGCAGAAGGAGCGGCACTAATTCATTCCCAGTACCGCTGAGGGCAGTCCAAAAGCACAGGAATGACATGTTCTGATGATGTGTTTTGTAAAGCACAGGCACAAATCACAACACGCTTTACAGATAGGAGCACAGATCTGCTGCTCTGGAGATGGCTCAGTGCCTCCTGTGCAAATGCAGAAGTATGCTGTGAGGTTCAGGGACTGCTGCCTCTCTGTGCTTAAAATAGCAGAATGATTGAAGCCAGGCATGCTGCCGATCCTTTCCTCTTCAAAGGGGAGATTTTCACTACTTCTCTTTGCCTTGCTTAGGAACTGGGATGGTGAGCAAAAGATGTTTGCCCTTTAAAAGGTGCAAATTTCGGCTGTACTCCTGTGAAACACCTCTCCAAGGTGTTTTTCATACTTATTTTGTTGTTGTCTGTAACGTAGGGCTGTGAATAGCGACCAGAGGTGAGCCCTAAATGCATCTGTCTAATGCTGGTGTGCAGCAGGGCTGAGAGTAGTTTCCTCATGCAAATGTTGTAACATACAGAATAATTTTGAATAATGTGGAACTTTAGTTGCCCTTAGTTCTAAAGAGCAGGAGACAGGAGGTGCCCAGGAAGTAAAATCTCCTCCCAGGCTGCTGTTCTTGGCATAAATGCACACTCAGTTCACATCCATGCCAGGGCTTGGCCAAGATCTGTATGAGGATGGATTTCAGTATCCTACAGTGCTAGTGGTGCCTGGTAAAGATTTTTCCTTCCCCTGCTCTTGATATGGCTTCAGACAGCCACTCACACCTCCCTCTGGATGTAGAACCATAGGATGGCTTGAGTTGGAAGGGACCTTAAAACCCAGCCAGTTCAGCCTTGTACCATGGGCAGGGCTGCCAACCACTAGCTCAGGCTGCCCTGATGTATGTGGCACTTGCTGGGGAGTAGCTGCTGAGAAAGAAGAATGCAGCATTAAAAATCCCCTTAATTGCATTCTGCTCTATTAGCTTGCTCGATAATAGCTGGTAGTGACTATTGCAGAATATTTTAATTGCATGGGTTTTTTTCCCTGTCACTTTAGCCCTTGTAAAGACGCTTTAAGCTAACGTGTTTCTCCGTGAGACTGAAGTTTTGTTTAGAATGTACTGCAGATTTATTTTTTTTCCTCCGCAGTGTTTTGAGAAAAACGTTTCTGATCTTCATGTTAGAAACAGAACCCGACAGGAAAGAGCAGTAACTTCAGCTCCTCTGGGCAGGACTCCTTCTACTGAAAGATGTCATGCGTTAGCGTGTTGGTTTTGTCTTTATCTTGTCAAAACAAACCATTGTTGGGTGCCCTTATTTGCATTCTCAGCAGGAAAGCAAGGTGAATAATTTAATTGCAGCAGCCGCTGCCACGTGATTGGGCCGAGGATCGTCAGAGCTGCCCCCCGTGCACCGGGAGACTTGGGAGGGGAATGGAAACTTACAGCAACGATGTGAAATTTGTTGCATCTCTTCCTTTAACCCGAGGAGGATCTCTCAGCGGAGCTCCATCCGTATTCTTTCGCTTTACACGCGATCCTCTGACGTGGAGGGAGGCAAAGGGGGGAGCGAGCCCATGAGAAAGGCGAGAGCGAGGGAGTGGGAAGCGGGGAGGGCGGTGGGAACGTCGCACAGCCAGCCGCGGGGCTACTCAGAGCCGAGGCAGAACTGCCCCTGGCACACGGCAGAGTCTGGCTGCAGGGAAAGGGGAGTGGAAATTTACAGCTGCTCTGAGTGCGCGCGTGTGTGTGAGTGTGTGTGCGTGCGTGCAGGCTCAGGCGCTCATTGCTGCTCACGCTTTTCCAGAGGGTAACAGTTGCTCCGCGGAAGGAGAGCGAGAGGCTGAATTCCGGAATCCGCTTTCCTCTCCACGTGTCAAGAAGGAGAAGCTGACATTCCATGGGAGATAACTGAAAGCCCCCCTGGCTGGCCATGCTGGCAGAGAGCTGTCTTCAGCACCTCGCCATGGTGCTGCGCTGCGCTGCCTAGGCACGCCTGGACCCTTCTGCACGCAGTAAGTACCGGCCGACATCATCCCCTTCGAATCACATGAAGTTCAGTAATTGGACAGAACTTTCTTTTTCTAGTTAGAAATAGCGTCTTCCTAATAAACTGCTCATTTATTTATTCTCTATAGTTACGCCGTTCGCTTTTTATAGCTTTGTAAACTGCGTTACCAGGAGTGGCTTTTAAAATAAGGCAATCCTAAACAATGCGCCTTCTGTTACATAAGGGACTGGCTCTGTGACCAAACCCTCTGTGTCCATGGAATATCTCTGGAAATGGGTGTATTTACAGTGTGGTTTCCAAAAATAAAATATCTGCAATATATCATTGCTCTTGCTCCTCTCTGCCGACTGCCTGCAGCTGCGAACTCGCTCCCGAGATGCAGAGGAATGAGAGCACAGCCACTTGCATAAGAAACTCAGGAGCTGCTAGGGATGAATGTAAGATGAGCGTGTGTGTGAATTGTCACAAGAAACTGCATATGTAAATCAGCCATCTTGCTATTTATAGCCAATAGGTCATGTCAACCTGAAATTCTAATTTCATGAAATGGGCTGTTTGTGGGGAGGTTTTTAGTGAGGCAGAACTTCCATTGAGCTTAATGGAATTTTTATGGACAAATAGTTTGTCTTGGAATAATTACTGCAATAAAGTGAAATTATTGCTACAGTGAATTATTTTCATATATTCTGAATCTACTAAAGTAGCACATCAGGCTTGCTGAAGACGTGGTCAAGTTAATGCTGTGTAGAGGGGTAACTCAGTAATACTGAACAAAAACAAAAGTAGTATTAATATTCCTCACTGATGGATTTAGAGGAAGTCCTGTTCCCTCTCGGTCGCTGCCTATGTTATTTGAATTATGTTACCAGTAGTCATTATTCCTAGAGTTATTATTACTAGAAATGGAAATTTAACCTGATTTCTCTTTAAGTAAGTGAAAAGCTGTTAAGAGCTGTTATCTTAGAATTGTATGTACCTCAGAAACATAAGTTAAGTGATTCCCTTCTGCAGAACTGAGCTTGTGGGACTTTTGCTATAGACTGTATTTAGTTAGGCACAGGCTTGAATTCTTAATGTTTTAGATCTGAAAGATTTCATGTTGACTAATGGAAAAAGGGATCCCAAATATTATTACCTAATTGTTGGTTATTGGTTATTGTGGCTTTAAAATTTACTGGTATCTTATCTTTCTAGTTTTATTCAGTGTAAAATAATAACCTGATAATTCTGATCATGCCTGTTAGCATGAGTGGGAGGGTCTGTGTGATACAAGAATGGCTGAGGGTATGAGTGTGGATGCAGTTTTTGCATGGTTTTAGAACCTGGATGTTACCTGGCATAGGTGTGCAAAAGCATTATTTTATAACAAATATTTTATAATAATATGTCTGTTAGCACAAAATTTGTTGCAATAAAAGGACACTAGTCAGCAAAGTCAAAAACTCGAAAAGTTTGGCTGATGAACATCTGAGCTACAGTGGCTGCTTCAGCACCTCTGTCCACCTGTACCCCTTCTGTCCCCTTTTTCCCCTCTTGTCCTGACTGAGGTCCTTGTAAGACTGTGGAGAAAGTGACTGGAAACCCATTCTGACTTTTTTTTTTTCCACACCAGGCTATTTTTTGTTCCCTGGCATGTTCCCTCACCACGTGGCCCAGCAAACAGCAACACCAGTCCAGGAGAGGTGGTGGTGTAAAGCTGTGAGTAGGCATGGAGTAGCATGGCACTATCATGGAACAAAAGGCTTATCAAACTGCAGCCTCAATGACCTGACAGCCATTCAGTGTTTGAAAGACTGTATTGTGGTTTTTTTTTGTTCTTCATTGAATGGGCATTCAAATATTCAACTGAAAATTAAATTCTGCTTTATTTGATTGCTTCTGTAGAGCTGTATCACAGCATTGCAGTGGAGCATCACCATGAGAACCTTCAGTTTCATACTATTGAACAACTACGTGATATTACTGATATTATTCTATGATTATTCTATATGGTTAGGCACATTAAGGGCAGACCTGTCTAGCTATTCTCTATGATCTTTACAATGCTTACCATCTGTTAAAAAAAGGTGTTTGTGGCAGAAGTAGTAAGCATTACAGAATCACAGAATGGCCTGGGTTGGAAGGGACCTCAAGGATCATCAAGCTCCAACTCTCCCACCACAGGCAGGGCCACCAACCTCCACATTTAGCACCAGACTAGGCTGCCCAGAGCCCATCCAGCCTTGCCGTGAACACCTCCAGGGACGGGGCATCCACAGCCTCTCTGAGCAGCCTGTTCCAGCACCTCACCATTCTCATAGTAAAGAACTTTCCCCTGACATCCAACCTCAATCTTCCCTCCCTCAACTTAAAACCATTTCCCCTTGTCCTGGTGTTATCTACCCTTGTCAAGAGTTGATTCCCCTCCTGTTTATAGGCTCTCTTTAGGTACTGAAAGGCTGCAATGAGGTCACCCCACAGCCTTCTCCTCTCCAGGCTGAACAAGCCCAGCTTCCTCAGCCTGTCTTCATAGGGGAGGTACTCCAATCATCTTCATGGCTCTCTTTTGGACCTTCTCCAACAGCTCTCTGTCTTTCTTGTATTGGGGGCTCCAGTCCTGGACACAGTATTCCAGATGGGGCCTCACAAGAGCGGGGCAGAGAGGGACAATCACCTCCCTGTCCCTGCTGGCCACCCTTCTTCTGATGGAGTCCAGGATACCATTTACCTTCCGAGCTGCAAGAGCACACTGCTGGCTCATGTTGAGTTTTTCATCCATCAGGACCCTCAGGTCCTTCTCTGCAGGGCTGCTCTCAAGGAATGCTCCTTCCAGTCTGTATGCCTGGGATTCCTCCGGCCCAAGTGCAAAACCTTCAGCTTTGCTGTGTTGAACCTCATTAGGTCCCTCTGAATGGCGTTACTGCAAGTTTTTGTGTGTTTCAGATAAAGTTTCATTCACCCTTGTAACAGGCAGGAACTTTCAAGACTGGAAATGCAGCAAGTTTCCAACAGAATAAGGCTTATTCATAAATGCCTGCATTTTTAGAATAATTTTGTTGAAAGCAGGTAGCATTAATTCAGCCTATCCTCCTAACTGTCCTCTCATCTTTTAATCCATTCTCTGACCTGCAGTGTCCTTTGCAAAAAAAAACTTGTTGAGGATTTTCAAGAGAAGTTACTTGTTTAGGTCTGTTTCCTTATGCCTGCCAAATGTAGCAGGGATCATGTGAGAGGACTGTGCAGACTTGTCAAGGTGATCAGAAGTCTTCTGTTTCCTGGTTTGAGTTCCTGACTCTAATTGCAACAACCTTCAGAAATATTGTTGGAGGGAGACATGAAGGGAGAATAAAGTATCTCTTTCATTATACAGAGACTGGGCAAAATTACCAAGCAAGTGTGCTAATTCGGGCCTAAAATATATGGCTTCAAGGCACACTGATATGAATGGAAAATGAAAGCCTTTATTTCCAAAGAAGGTCTCACTCATACTAACTTACTGAAATGCTTTTTATTCTGATAAATAAGTAGTTGAAAGTTAGGAACTAAGAAAAGGGCAATGTGAGATACTAGAGGGGAGGGAAATTATTCACTCATTCATTGTTGGATAGCAAATTGCTTGTCCAGAGGAACATCTGAGAAGAATGCACTGATGGGATCACATGCTCTCATTCTTGCCTTTGTGGGCAGGAGGTGTTTGTTTTTGAACTACTGAACTGAGCCACATTATAGTGGGATTGGCTGATGAGTAGAGCGGTGTTGCTGTCTGCATTTTTCCTTCATTTTCCTACAAGATCAGCTGTGCTGTAATCTTTTAAGAAGGTATATGATAAAGAGCAAAGAACTTGGGGAGTGTGCCTGGAAACAGAACTAGATCTCATAGTGTGCTTCATAGCTGTATCGAAGAGCTCAAGTTGCATTGATTTTATTTTCTATGGCATTCCCTTTGTGAGCAGATAAACTGGCAAAAGAGAGATTTTGAAGACTGGTAAAAAAAAAAAATCATAGGCTTTAGTGTTAAATGACGTAGGTTGCATTCTTGGCACAGCCACTTATTTTGTCTTTTTTTTTTTAATGTGGACTTGGGTAAGCGTCCTCATTGTTCTGTGCTTCAGCTTCTCCCTTTGCAGAGAGAGAGGAGTAACAGTGTTCACACAGCATTTTTGGAAGAGTGTTTTCCATCTTAATTAAGTATTTGCAGAGTTGGAGGCCTCTGAGGGAAGGCATGTTCTGAGTATAAAGGGATGTTATCTTTGTCAGGCTACCGGATGTCCTTAGAGCTCACTTCTTGTAAACCTCATGTGCCTCTGGATTCAATTTACTGCTTTGGACTATGTGAAATACTTCTGTTTTTTTCAGACTTGAACAGATACAGCTAGATGTGTAGAAAGTGTTGCTTTAAAATTGTCTTTTGATGCTTCTGTTACTTATCTAAAATGAAATCACATTTCCCCCCCTCCGCAAACAAGCACTCCTTGAAAGTATTTACGTACAGGTAAGGTTCATAGAAAGTATTGGACTCCCCAGCTCTGCAGGCTGTAATGTTCTGTTTGTACTGATGGCAACTGTGGACTTTGGAAACCAAAATTCCTTATGTGGTGCTGCCAGGGCATTTCCCCTGTGAATGGGAGAGGTGCTTTCAAAGGCTCTGAGTGTCAGGCTGGTGAGACACCTGATATTTCTTTGGTTCACCTTGTAAGCTTCTCACAAGTGTCCTGATGAAACATCATCCCAACTGATATTTTATAAGTTGGCTTTCCCCTATTAGGAATTCAGAAATGACTACAATGCATTTTTGATGTTATAAAAACATATGCTGCTGAATAACCATTAGATGGAAAATGTTTTCCTAGAAAGTAGGAAAGAAAGGGGCTCATTCAGCTCTGTCCCTTGCTGCCAGACAACAGTGTCAAAAATTTATGAACAGATGCTCTGTAGTGTGCCTGTTGAAGTAAGTTATTTCAAAATCTCAAAGCTCCAATGGTTAGAAACCTATACATTTTTAGCTTCAGTTTGCTCATTGGCAGTTTACAGCCATTTGCTTGTGTACAAATAGTACATTATTATTATTATTTTGGCAGAAATAATTTCTTCCCTGTATTTTTCTTCTAAGCTTACTCTGGTTTTATTTGGCTTGGATGATCACTTGTGTACAGTATTTCACATGAGGTTTCGTCAAAACTTTGTACAAAAGCATGAATGCCTTTGAACTTCTACTGGAGATTACTTTTTAATTCATCACAAATTTGTACTTGTCTTTATCTTACCTGTAAAATACAAATGTAGTGACCTGTCACTTCTCAGGATAGACATCTTGAAGCAGATATTCATCTGTCCTTCTGTTGTATGTTGACTGACACTTGCTACTTTTATTTTTTATTCTATTTTTATTTTTCCAATCCTACAGGCTGTCAGGTTTCTCAGCAGTGGTATTCCAGTCCTCTTTGGTATTGATGGTGTCTTCCTATTTAGTCATCAGAGTTTTTTGGTAGGGCCTCAATTCCTGTGCCTCTCTAAATAAGGTCCTCTTGCAAAATTGCTATTGCCATCTCAGAGGATCAGTCTCCACTTACATGGTAATTTTTCTTTGGCTAGTTTATTTTTTTAATGTTTAACTTTATATCCTTTCATGTCAGATGTTTGGGATCTGCTGGATTTTCTTTGCCTTGCACTTCATTAATGAGAGATTATAGAATGAGCTACCTCTGATAAGCCTGTACTGCATTCTTTTTGGTTCTCATTCATCTCTGTATTTCAATTATTTGTATTTCAATTATTTTCAGACTGATTGCTTTAAGAAACAAAGCTTTTCGTAGTCACACCGTCCGTCTCTCATCCTGCTTCTCCTCCCACAGCAACTTCTGAACTTACTAACCAGTTTCAAGCAACTTTAACAGAGGGCTAGATATCTTGAAAATACTGAGTTCTGAAAAAAAGCAAAGTGAAAGTAAGTCATGAAGTGAATAGGGAATTTAAACCAGATTAGTGCTTCTGCTGAAGAAAAAAGCTTCAAGTTAAAGGTTAAAGAGCAGAGAGCTGATAGAAAGAGGACAGGGCAGAAGCGTTGCAGCTGTGGATACAGCCTTAGCCAGAGCTCATTCTTTTGTAGGTGCTAGAGAATCCACTGAGGAGAAACAAACCTGAATTAAGGGAGTCTTGTTTTGCAGTGTTCCCTATGGAATAGTAGGTGCTAGGACTAAGTGGTACAACTTCCAAATCTTGGCAAAGTGATTTTACCACCTCTTGCTTCTGTCTGTATCTGTGAATAGTGTATGCCCCCTAGGACACTCCAATGGGGAAAAACAAAAGGATCTTGAATGCAACTGTAACTTGCAGTTGCCAGTATCATCTAGGTGACGGATCGTCTATTTCCAGATGCTGATGGGTTAAAAAATATTTCCTAAGGCTAAGAGAGGTCTCTGATGCTCTCTTGGGACTCTTTTAATGTCCATTATTCCTTTTTTTTTCCCTCCATATTTCCTTCCATATACAGTGGATGCTTTGCTTTGTGTGTAAGACTGATAAATGAAGTGAAACAGAGACTTGTCTCTGCTCAGAAGGAGGATGAGCTAAACAGTCTCTTGAGTCCCTTCCTGCCACATTATCAGCAGTTTTTGCTATTGTGATCAGAACAGTGGTAGGGTATGAAGTGAAATGTTCACTTATCACTCAGCAGTGCTGTGGCATCTCAGTGATAAGACAAACTGTAGAGAGGAAAAGTGCTAGCTGAGTTACTGGACTGTAGCAAAATGAATGATTATTTACATACAATATACTCCAGACAGCTATGTAATTGAGTTCTTCAGAGGAGGCACTTGTAGCTCACAGCAATATGTCACTTAGGAAAGTAGATTTATTTTTTAAGACTCATAATTTTTCACTCGTGACTGCTTCAATGTAAAAATCAAATTATCTCCCCCTTTGCTTTTCCTTGTGTAGTGACCTCTAAAAGGGGAAGATGAAAAAATGCCTGTGGCAGTCTGAGCAGCCCTACCACACCTTGATGGTATTTTTTCTAAAATGCATCCTGCCAGTTAAGGTTTTGCTCACCGAATGTCTCTCTCAGATGTTCCCAATCTCATGCTTTGTTTTCACAGGTAATAAAAATATGCAGAACTGGTCCCTTTTGTGCTTTCTGAAGTACTAAGCTAATTGCAGAACGTGTGAGGTTCCAGGGCGCTTGGTGCTTGCGAGCAGCTTTCAAACAAATGTGTTGTATAATACTGCCTTTGCCTGCAAGATGAAGTAAGCTAAGTGATGAGAGGCCCAGCCTTTTCCAGTGCTTGTGTATAGCTGAGCATTCCCAAATGAGTTAGTCATGAGTATACCCAGTATTCAGTCTTGCACGTTGGCAAGTTGAGGTGTGACTCTGTTCTGTTGCGAGTCAGAGGGTGCTGCCAAAAATCACAGTTTTGAGCTCCATGGGAGCAGCGCTGAGCGCTCATTTTGACTCCTTCGTTGAGAGCTCAGCCAAGTATTGAAGGTTATGTGGCCAAAACTGCAGAAATGAAAATTAATTTGAACCAAGCCATGAGGAGCTTGTAAGTGGAAATCTGAAGGAGGAGAGCTTTCAGAACTTGAACGTGAAAATATTGCTGTAAAATTGACCTAGCAACTAGTGAGAAGCTATCTACAAATTAATCTACTCTTGACATTATTAAGGAACTTTTGGTTTAAATGTTTCCTTTGTGTCATAGGAACTGTTCTTGTAAAGATAATCTGCAAATATTTTGAAATGTTTTTAATAAGATGTTAGGGCAGAATCTGAATCGCTGCTTTTTTGTTGTTGTTGTTTGGTTTGGTTTTTTAAAATATTCCTCTCTCGTTTGAATTTTGTCCTTGGCAACTTATGTGATTGCTATTTATATTTATAATACAACATATATGTAACCTGGGCATTAGTTCATAGGGTCTTTTGGAGTTATTAGCACAGGGATGTGTGCCACAAGAGGGATCATACTTCCTGGGGGACTCTGAAGTTTTTCAGCAGTAACAACAAAACATGAGGGGTGTTGGTTGGGACGATGGGGGGAAAAGCATGACTATATGACAGCTATTATGATTTTTATGTCATACATTGCCCTCATTTAATTCTCCCCTTTAAAACATCTTGTATAAAGCTTTTTTTAAAAAAAATAAATTGTATGATTTGAGAAGGAGCAGGGAAGTGGAAGTGATTTGTTTATATATTTGTGTTGTGCTAATGTGTTAAATATGTGTGCAGAGGGTTGGTGGATGATGGTTGTCTTCTGTTGTGGAAAGAGATGAAAAATACTCAACATTTTTTCTTTTTCTTGTTCTTTTCCTCTCTTTGTTGTACAACTGGGATGCAGAGTTGTGCAGTACTCTCCCTGTAAAATGTTACTTGCCTTAACAAGAGTACATTCCCATCTTTAGTCTTTCTGTTGACTTCAGTAGGTCTTTGTATCAGACTCTCAGTAAAATCCATGGGAGTTTGCAACTTAATGGTTTATAGGATCACAAACTAAGCTACTTGGTTTCTTTCATGTATAAATACAGTGACTTGGTATTTGCCTTTCCAGCCATACAGAGAAGGAATGTCTTAAATTAAACAAGCAAACTTATTTTCACTGAAATGCTCAATCTTTCATTTAAATGTCATGAAAACATTTGTGTCCACATTTAGGCCTAATACTCTGTTTTGGGTTTAATTCACGCAGTGTTTTTACATAAGGGAGATCTGATCCACAGGCTCTGATGGATTCTTGAAGTCTGTCAGACTCAAGGAGTTAGCTAAGTCATAACAAGACCCTCTAGACTAAAAAAAAAAAAGCAACTGGAAAAGGATGAGTGATGGCTGATAAGCTGGATCTTTCTTGTGCACTGTTTTAAACAAAGGGTGCTTTTGGCATGCAGGAGTCTAAAGTTAGTTACTCTGCATCACAGCGGAACTGGTAAAATTTATGTGAAACCAACATCAGAAATTTAGTGGAACCTGCAAGGCACTCACTGTCGATAAAATGTTTGATGTATGCATACAGATGGAACTGAGGCACTGAAGTGTATGTTTGAAGCTTTAGGAAGTATCTGCTGAGTTGCTGCTTTCCACACACTGACAGAGGCTATTCAATTTCTGATGAACTTCAAATCAAGTCTATGTGAGAATTTCTAGTGCTTAGCTGAAGTAGAATACAGTGCCTGAGGCATAACCCTCTCTTGTTCATAATGTCTTTTTGTATTTTTATTGCATTTTTGTAGAGACCTTAAAAACTATTTTTTCTCATTTGATTTAGGCATTCCTCTTCTACACTGAAAGAAGAAATCCAGGTGAAGAAAAAAAACCATGCCTTTGTTTAGTAAATCGCACAAAAATCCTGCTGAGATTGTGAAAATTCTGAAGGAAAACATGGCCATATTGGAAAAACAAGAAAAAAAAACAGACAAGGTATGAGGTAATGTTGTAGAAGACTGATAAGGTTTTAATGGTGGGGAAGCAGCACAATCAAGAGAGTGAAATTGTGTTCACTCACTGCCCTGGTTCCGTAAGCACTTGCACGCATAAGTAGCTTTATGTTTGAACAGCTCTACTAAAATCACTGGGCTTTTGCTAACTAAAGGACAGCAGATAGAATCATAGAATAGAATCATAGAATGGTTTGGGTTGGAAGGCACCTTTAAGATCATGTAGTTCCAACCCCCTGCTGTAGGCAGGGACACCTCCCTCTAGACCAGGTTGCTCACAGCCCCATCCAGCCTGGCCTTGAATGCTTCCAGGGAGGGGGCATCCACAGCCTCTCTGGGCACTGCTCCAGTGTCTCACCACCTTCACAGTAAAGAATTTCTTCCTTGTCTAGGGGTCAGAAAGAAAATGTTGAGGTCCAGGAGCCTTATCCAAAATGAGGGTTGATCTACTACTTTTAATAGGAATCTAACAAAACAGCATAAAAGACTATTTAAAAGCTATTCTGCTATTAATTGGTCTTAGGGAAAAACAAATGAGAGTGCCAGTTAATGTGTAGCTACCCAGAGGGCAAAACTTACTTCTGATAAATGTCGTTCATAAAAAGCATCAAACCTGTCTGTATTTGCATATCTGTGCAGTCTCACTGTATCAGGCTTTTCTAAACTTTGGTGTGTGTTTCCTAAACATGCTCTGCTATTTCATGTTCTAATTGTAATGCTAGATTTTTGCTAATATTATTGTTCTCCTTTAACTCTGTGACAACTGACTTGAGTTACTTTCACCACTCTTGCGGCAACTAGTTGAGAAGTCACACAACAACATAGAAAATTATTTTAATTAACAACAACCTAATTTCAGGTTAGAACTGAGTGACAGAATTAACAGTTATTTTGCAGCTAAGTATTGTATTTGCACATGGTGGTTCTCCCACTTTGAGCTGGAGTTTGCATTAGAATGAACTAAACCAAAAGGTAAGCACAGTTGCCATTGCGTCCAACCAAAATTCTCTGGAAGCTTTTTGGTTCAAAGCTCAGTATGCTAATTATGTAATATCAGTCATATGAATTTCAGTGAGCCTCTGGTATTTTGATGTCTCAAACTGAAATATCTTCAGTTAACTGTAAAGCACTAAGAGAATTTGAACTAAAACTTAAATAAATAAGTCAGCAGCGTTTGTGCTCCCCACCTGACTTCATCCTTCAGAACCTGATTAAAGCAGTCATTTAAAGCAGAAACTCTAGGCTTGTTTTGTTGTTGTTGTTGTTTGTTTACTTTGCAGCATGATTCCTCCAAGTTGTGGTTTTTAGGATTTTTGGCTTTGAGCTGTTTTGTTTATTTGGGTGTCAGTGACAAAGTAGCAGAAATTCAGACTTCTTAGAAATTGGAGAACTCAGTGTAAATTGTTCATTGAAGTCCTAACAGCTGGTGTGTGTTTTCCTTGCAAAGCAAAAGATATGGGAGATTTTCCCCAGCTGATTAGGATGGAAACAGCTTGAGAGTTTACTGACAACGGTGGCTTATTCTACATTTGATTGAATGGAATACAGATAGGCCATTTAAAAAAATCTGAAAACCCTAATCTGGCAGACTCTCCTCAACTGTGAATTCTGTGAATTATGTTGATGTGGACTATCCTAACTCACAAGTCCACACTGTTTTCAGCCTGCATGCCTCACCACCTTGTTGTGCCTTTGCGTGTGACTGCACGTGGCCAGGATGGGAGGCTGTCCATGTCTCCCCCCCATGCTGTGCACACATCATTTTTCTCTAGGTTATCAGGGAAGGAGGCTACATTTCAGTACTCTCTGACATAGTTTATCATTTTTGTATGGAGGCTGTTGCTGTTGTAAATGAGGTTAATGAGAGTTACTGAGGAAGAGACGGAAAGAGGACAAAGCAATCCCTTCAGCATCAAGGCAGAAAGTCAAGGAAGCAGCACTGTATTGGACAGCATTTACACATGTGCTTACATGGCTTGTTGAATCAGGACCTTGCACTCAGACACAGAGGAAACACAAAGGGCCTTTCTCACTTTGGAGGAGAAGATAAGTAGTGCTGTCATTCATCTGAAGTGTTGCATTGTGCTGCTCTGAAATAGAATCAGAATCATAGAATGGCTTGGGTTGGAAGGGACCCCAAGGATCTTCAGTTCCAAACCCTGTGCCACAGGCAGGGCCATCAACCTCCAGATCTGGTGCTAAGTCAGGTTGCCCAGGGCCCCATCCATCCTGCCTGCTGAAGAAAGAAGCCTGGTTAATGGTCCTGAGTTCAGAAAGGTAAATCATGTGGAATTATCTTTAGTACCTGTGGAAGTGATGAGTTTAAAATGCGTAAGGAGAATAATTCTTGCTGAAGCAGTCACCATCGTGTCTCTTATTAAATACTTGTGGGCTCAGTGGACTTGTGTCTGAATGTTGGTTGTGTTTTGAATTGAAGGAGAGGAGGTAATGGTGGCACCTTCATTGATGCAGAAGTTTTTGAAATTTGCTCAGATATACTCATGAATAACGTGTTGTTTCTTCATGTGATTATAGAAATTTAATGAAAAAAGCAAGGGAAGATAAAGTACAGTATTGCACTCTGCAGAGACTTGCAAGATATAGAAATTTACGTCTGATTAGTGTTCCAAAGGGAGATGAAATGTCTTACACTTTCATGTAAGGGTCCAGAGGACTGTCTCCTTCAAGAGCCACGGATGGTTGATTTCCCAGAGCTGCCCAAGAGTTTTGGACCCTGTGGGCCACTGAGTGTAGATGTTTGTGGGTCAGGACTCTTTCATTTCTTTCAGATTTCTGTCTCCTTATGAGTCATGTGAACTGGACAGCTATTGTATCTGGTTGTAAAATTGAGGTTCCCAGGACTTGTAAGAGCACCCCTGACAGTATCTCTGATTTTGTGTGCTTGTGAAATCCCTTCCAACTGGAACTTGCCTCAGATGCTTAAACAAGGTTTATCTTCTGACAGTTTAGCTGTCATTGTAGTACAGCAAATGTGACATGTGGGCTGAGACAGCTAAAAGCTGCTAATACACTCAGAGTTGGCAGAGAAGAGTGACAAAGCCTGAATAACTGCAAACCTGAGGGAGATCTTCCTCATTTCCTTTCCCGAGCTGAGAATCTTAGGTATGAGATGCAAATGGGCAGCTGGGGCAGTGCAAATTTGACAATTTGGATGCAGGCTCCTGTAACATTTAGCAGAAGTCATCTGGGCTTCAGAGAGGCTACTTTTAAGTGATACAAAAATGATAATTCCTCTCAAACTAAGCCGCACGCTGGTAGTGGGACTTTTACAACAAATCAGTGAAGACTAATTTCAATAATGGCAGGAAGAGAGAAGATACAGCTTGATAGATAGGATGAAGGGAAGTCACTTTTAGGTATAAAGGCAAGTGTACATCTTCTGTGAGACACAATTCCATGTATGCATGATATGCAGAAGTTTTCACTCTTTTTTAGTACTTCTTGTTAGTCTTAGAATGGGGCCCATTCAGGCTTTGATGAAAAATTGACTGCACTAGCATCTGTCTTTCTTAGATAAGGATTGAATTTGACCCAGTTCCTCTACATGTATATGTATGTATATATAAAACCATTAATGGGTACAGGGCTGCCTTAAAGCTTTTTAAACATTTCCAACGGAAAAACAGACTAAGATTGAATGCTAAGTCCTTATTATTTTATGGAAATGTTTTGTTTTTGTTTGCGTGCATGTGAGTTTAAAGCCTTGCCATTTTCTAAGCTATGTTCTGAAGGCTGATAGAGCACAGGTTGAGAATTGCTACCACACGTGGTTCCTCTTCTTCTGAAGTGTTCTAACACCTTCTTTTTCTGTCTCATTTTTAAAAAATAATGTCTACTTAAAAGAAGATACTGCAGCACAGGAAAAATGGATGTAAGAATTACAGGATTAAGTAGAGTAAGACAGCTGGAAAGTGAACTAAAGCCTTCCTTATCAAGCATCCTCCTCCTTTCCAACATCCACAATAAATAAGAGGGTTCTTGTGACATGTGCAGTTGCTAGGATCATATGTGGGCTCTGTGGCGAGGAACAATTAATTATATTTTATTACAGAATTCTATAAAAGTTAATCTCAGTTATATAGAAGCAAAATAAGCTTGCATTTAATGAGTAATACTAATTCAGGAATTAAATAGAAAAGGAAATTTTTAACAGTGTAGGAAAGAAAGCCTTCAGAGCACCTCTTCCTGCTTTCTGGTGCAGACTTTTGTACCTCCCAGAGGATATGCATAAATGGGGAGAATGGAAGAGAAACCCCAGGAGCAATACAGTGGGCAGGAGATTCGTTGAGCCTGAGGAAACACAGCATGTCATGCAGTTGTTGTGCTGGTTCGTTTATGACCAGTGATACCATTGTGTGTTTTGTGGATGGATATTGTAAAATAACATTGGTGGAACGGATGCCTGACCCATCTCACAAAGAAAGGAGGTGACATCCTGTCTCCTTGAAGCCACGGGGTCTGGTCAGCACAAAGCAGTTCAGGATGCACATGATGTGTCCCCGAGGCACATCCTTGAGATCATCACCCTCCTACTGCTAATCAAACATGCTGGGGTGCGGCACCCGTGACTCAGTGCCATCTGTGGAGCCTACAGGTTTGGTAACATTTCTGAACCCATGGTGCAACAAAAGCTTTTCAGAGTGCCCCATGCTTTTAATTGAAAATACCAAAAGGAGGTTGGGTTGGGTGCAGCTTGGCCTAAGCTGTCTCTGTATTTGGCCTGGATGGTCTGAAAGATTTGCAGGTTTTGGCAGAGCCTGGTCCAAACCTTAAGTTTGTCATGGAACCCAAAACCATGACAGAGCCGATATGGGCTTCATGTGGAGTGTTTTTCTGACAGACAGAATCACAGGCTGCAGCATCTTCAACTGGTGTTCAAACTATACTTGAGGTAGATGTAAGGTAACTCAAAGCATCTAACTTCTTCCCCTTTCTCTTACATATTCCAACAAAGCTGCTTGTTCAGGTAGGTTACTGTAATCGGACCTCTGTGTCATCTTGGTCTGCTCTAACACATTTGGTACTGTTCAGAAGGGTCAGGAGAGCAGCATTTTAATAAAGCTGCAATTAAAAGTCTTTAGATTTCCATAATTTTCTTTTTAATAATAAATCTTGCTTTCTTGCTTAGCACCAATAAGCCTTTATCAGACCCTATTCACCTTGCTCCTGCACAGTTAGAGCAACTGGGGTCCTCTATGTAAGATGAAGTACATGCAGAGGACAGGATGTGCATTTTCATGGAAGAATGCTTGTGTGACCATTGCAAATGCTGATACCTGTGGACTCAATTCTGCTGCTGCCAAAGTCAGTTGCAAAATTACCTTTGACTTCATTGCTATACACTGAAACCAAGCGAATAAAATAAGAAGGGTTTGGCACCCCTTCCTTCTAACTGCACAAAACTCACATGCCCAGGGATTTTGTGGAAAGTTTCCTGTTTCAGCCTCCCAGTTCTGCTGAGACCTGTTATTGCTCTAGAGGTGGGAGAGACTCCAGATATTATCAGGTACTGGTGCCAAGTGTTTGAAGCTTGTCACTCCTGGTTGCTTTTCCATTTTTAAGCATCTTACAATCTTTGTTTCTGTCTTGAGTGCAGGATTAATAGTGGGAAAGGAATTTATGTCCAGGTGGGGCAGTTCTATCTCTTCCAGGTAATCGTACCGCATTTTAGAAGTTTAATTATTGTGCCTGCTTTGCTAGATTGTCCTTGCCAGCCTCCTTGGGTAATAGGCCATAATATTTGGCTAAATGTTAAGAGTTCTGTTTTCCAAAACATTCTGCTGAAGTCCACAATTTGTTCCTTTTAGCATGAAACTGCACCAAGAATAAGTCAGTTGAGATGTTCCTTAGGATTTCAATTTTGGATTCAAATTCTACTAATGGTTCTTCTTAGGAGTTGCATTTAGAGAGAGTTGTGTCACTATTAGGGAAAAACTATTTTGATACATGCATTGAGAGTATTTTTTAACGTAGCTGTAAAGTAAAGGAGACAGAACTAAACCTAGGGGCCTTACGCTTTTGATTCTGATTTTTGTCATGGAATACTGGAAGCTTACTGAGTGGTACATGGTAATATCTCATATCACATTGTCAGGTGTCTTCATGTTCCTGTGTGCTGCTGTGTAAGACTGCAACAGGTTAGGAAAGCAGTTTTTGCCCTGGAAATGTGCTAGGTAGGCAAATAGAAGCTCTAAGATCCTATTTGATGTGTTTTGTGGACAATTGGGAATTTCCTAATCACTATGCATATGTCAAATGACATATTTTGCTTACATATCTGTTCTATCTGGGTTTGGAAGGGTAGAAAAAATTCATGGGATCTTTTTTTTTTTCTTATCATTACAGTCATTACATCATTAAATGTTACGTTGAATCTCTGAATCTCTAGATGATTAGAAGATAAGAATAAGCCATTCTGACCTGGAACATATGCATGAAGTCTCCAACCTGTCTGTAAAACAGAGGTAGCACAGAGGCAAGAGAAGCCATTGAAAGCTCTGAAAGTTGCAGTTCAGGTGGAGGAACTCAGGCTGTCAATTAATTCATAGCCTGATACATTTTTTCCTTAAGTTTTTTGTAGTCTTCCTTGAAAGAGAGTAAAAAGATGTAATGAATCTACATCGTTTAACAGGAGATTCATCTGTCTGCCTCTTAGACAAGTGTAATAGGTCTGGGTTACAAATGGCCTTTTTAAGATAAACATATAATTGATCTAAGTAGCTAGAAGAAGGAAAGGTTTTATTAAGCCTATTGCAAGTCTGGAAATTAAAGTGGTTGAAGTTACTGACTCTAGTTAAAACAGTGATCTGCAATGGGATTTTTCAAAAACTGCCTTTACAGATTGTTTATTTCTGAAGCAGAAGATTTGCTTTGTTTTGCTATATCATGCACAGGCAGTGTTGCAAATAAGGTAGCTTACTGTTTGGATATAGAAGACCCAAAGCAATGCAGTTACAGAAATAACAGTTCAGTTTTCTGCATGGACAACAGATAAGACCTTTGTTGTAACCTTCCATGTTTGGAAGATTTTTCAAGAACAGAAAAATTTTAAGACCTTTAGGATTTCTTTGTAATCCCTTAATGAAAAAAATAAGACACTCCTTATTGCACAGTCTTGTATAGCTCTGGAATACAGAGAAAAAATGTAACTGTTGAGGCACCATTCCCAGCTGTTTTAAGCCTGTTAAATTGCTATCCTAAGAACATTGGTATGCGCTTTGGCCCTCCTGTAGAGATCAATCCAAGAGACTCAATAAAACAAAGACATTGTCATTTAGACCTGGCAAAGTGAGGTAAATGGAAGAATCTAGTATTTGCTCCGTGGGGTAGGAAGATCAAAATGCTTCATAATGCTAAAATACTGAAATATTTCTGCACAGACGTAGCAGTGTTACCCACAGTGAAATGAAGAGTGAATCTCTGCTACAAAGTCAGCTAGTGTTCAGGTTTATATTAAGCTGAGAAAAGAGAGAAAGTCTTGAGGACATAAGGAAGGATTTTTTCACACAGAATTTCAGCAAACAGTTTCTTCATGGACTACTTTCTTTGTGTTATGATCCTATTGAGTGGCAATGACAAGATTTTGTTCTACTAGGAAAGCAAGCTTAAGACCAAGAATCTCCTGTCTATCAAGTTTCTAGGTTTCACTGTTGAAACTCTTGATTAGTGCTGACAAAATCACAACTTTATAAATAAGGGAAGTTGAACACATTTATAATTTAAGTCAGGAAGGTGATGCAATCTTATCTGTTCTACCAGTTCTCCATCTCTAAGGCTGTTGTACATAAGGTAGTCCAGTAAGGTTAGTAGACTAATCCAAAGACTTATATTTCAAGTCTGGCTTCTTAGGAAAAATTCTGTAGCTATGTTTCTTTTATCTTTTATTTTTCATGTATTGAGTGAATATGTCTGGCTTTGTTGTTTGTTTTGGACAAATCTTGGATCTTTGGATCTTGGAATGACTTTTTCTGCTGAATCTCATGCACGTTTCCATCACTGACACAGGGTATTATTCTAAAAATGCCATCAGATTAAGGAGAAATGTCAAAGAGGAGACTAGAAGTGGCTGTTAATTCACAAGTCTGTTTGCGATTATGTTTTTCCTACAGATTGAGGGTTAGAAGTAGAACCCTTACGTTTGACCAAGAATAACTTTGTTAGAGGATTTAATGTCAAAACTGAATATCTGGAGGATATAGAGGGAGGAAGTCAAACACAAAATATAAATTGTATGTATAAAAGCAAAGAGGGAGGGTGGGAAAGCTGATATGTTAAGAGAAATACAGCTGTGGGAGCCATTGTGCCCATCACCATTACATGTTCTGTCTTTGCTTTCTCCTTCAGCACTTTATTTTTTTGCCCTCTTTTTTTTGAGAATAAAGGTGAAGCTGAGTCTTGCAGGCAGTTTTCCATGGATTAGGAAAGACTCATACTTTAAAGGAAAGGTATTAATTTTTCTAACCCTAGAACACCAGAGATATTCACACCCTTCCAAGCAGAGCTGGTGAAAAGCCAAAAACGTATGAGTTTTCCTTTGATATGAAAATATTTGCTCAGCTCTCATAAAGATTTAGAGCTTTAGTTTACAAGATAGCACCCCTGTTGTTAATTCCATCTGTACTCTGTGGGATATCTCTAGTGAGATACCACTAACATTTGAGATAAAAATAGGCTCTTTTACTGTGCTGCAATAAGGAACAAAAAGACTTCTGCTGTGGTTAAAGTTATCACAGTCATACTAATTTACATGCCACTCATGCTGGCCTGTCTAAACTAGCAGAAAACTGTGAATAGTTACAAATGGACTGGGAGAGAACATACCTTTATGCTGTGCAAAATGGATGCTTGAATGATCCAGGTTGATGTGATGTGAAGGTGGCTTTTTCTTGTTTTGTCCTAATGTGAATAAAATCAGTATTGAAGTGTGGGGTGATCAGCAGCACTGGAGAGATGTCTCTCCTGAGCACCGTGGGGTTATGTTACGTGGATTGATGTGGTGACATTTGGAAGCGCGACATTTTCCCTTTCGGTTTACGTGAGAGGCGTATTGAAATTATCGATCTGGATTCGAACATCCATTCATGTCCAGTTGGCTTTTACAAATGGTGGTGAGGTTTTTTTTTTGTGTGCGCCTTCATGTATTTTTTTTTCCTGTTAAGCTAATGAAACACTCATTTCAAATCAATGTTCTGCAGCATAGATGTAAAATACTGTCCTAGTTTCAGAAACCTTCACTATCTCTGCTTTCAGACCTCTCCTTTACTTGCTTCTCATGCCTGGACCAAAAAATCCAGTCAGCCTCATATGTGCACTGTGTGCTGGATGTGAGTGTATTAAATATACCCTGACCCAGAAAGAGCTGCAGCCTGCACAGCCCAATGGCTAGAGCAGGTAGGATTTAAAGCAAACACACACAAATAAGGCCTTTACTGCAAAGAGTCTTTGTGTATCCAGGATGGAAAGGGTGGAGGGTGTGAGGGCAGAGCTGCCTCACTGTGAAAAATGGATGTTTGCCTTTGAACCATGGACATTATAACTCACATCTCATTTTAACCTTATCTGTTGGTCAACAGGCGTCAGAGGAAGTGTCAAAATCTCTGCAAGCAATGAAGGAAATTCTGTGTGGGACCACAGACAAGGAACCACCAACAGAAGTAGTGGCTCAGCTGGCACAAGAATTGTACAACAGTGGCCTTCTAGTGACACTTATTGCCAACCTGCAGCTCATAGATTTTGAGGTAGGTCAGTGTGCATATAGACCTTTTTATCTCCCTGATGTCAGTGTTGTCTGTCATAAAAACTGTATATGTTCAAAGTCTAAATGTTATTGCACTTGACTCATAATTGCACCATTTTTCATGTGCTGAAGGAGGTAACTGTAGTAGCTCAGTCAGGATAGTGGCAGTGCTTGTGTACTGGAAGTAAGTGCAGTACCTCTGATTTAACTTCTTTATTTTCTTAAATGCAAGAAATGTTGTAATGTGCATCCAGACAAGATAGGAAATGATGCTGACAACAGCGTTTATGATCTTGCAAGCCACAGTGTTTAACTTCTTTGGAACCCAAACCACCACTACCTCTGAAGTATGTATCCGATTTAGAAGGGATTCAGTGATGAGGTCTGAAAATAATTATAAGCTTTGGACAATCTCTTATGAAAAAAAACCTTCAAAAATTAGGATGGTTGAGTTGAGAAGAAAGGTGCTGAAAAAGGTATTAAAAACTGGCAGCAGGTGGCAAAGTAAATGGGATTGCTCCCATTTAATTTTTTTTATTAAAGAAGAAATGAATGTAGTTCTGTTTTAAGCAGAAAAGTTAATATAAATTAGTATTATTTGATTATATAGCCCATTGAACTGATTGCCAGTTTTGTTTCTGAAGTCGAGGACTTAGTAGAACTAAATTAACTGCAGTTCCCTATAATTAAGGAGAAAAACAGTTTTGGTAAAACAGATGACTGCAATTCAGAATAAATATAAACTCTTAAATTGAGCTTTAGCTGGTGGGGACTGGGAAGAAGCTTCATAACTGACAGGACATTACAGTATTGCTGTGGTCTAAGGCCAGCTGGGATGCAGTTCTCCAGGGGCTTCTGTTATTAGTCTTGCAGCTTCTGTTGAATTCTGATAATTCATTAGAATTGTCTGAGAATTTCCCAGGATTGATAGCCATGGTTCCTAAGAATCAAACCTCTTCAGTTTAGGTCTGAAGCCAGTACCCAATGTGCAGGGTTGGGTGGCTGCTGAATTTAAATGTTGGCTCCCTGAAGAAACTGCCTGATGCTCTCAAAGTCACCTTTCGTGGGATTTTCTTTCTTGTGGAAGATTTTTCTCACTACTGAAGCCACGTGTTGTTTCTTTACTTTCCATTTTGGAAATGAATGAAAAGGAGGAACGGTGGGATTTATGTTTGCTTCTGTCCCCACTTCCTCCTGGCCCCAGTAAAGCCAGTACTCAAGGGACTGATAGATTTTCTATTGGTTTTTGAAAGCGTTCTTGTTACTGGAGTTCAACTCTTGACATCTTGAATTCAGGAGACCTTAACGCTAGAATTTATTCAGATCTTTTCAGTTGTCATCTCCCCCTATTAAATGTCTTAAGTACAAAAAAAAAAAAAATCACATAAAACCATTACCCTAAAAATCACACGTTTTATATTTATATGCTTTTTTTTAAGAAAATAGAGAAGAAGATAGTGTTAGCAAGTATACGTCAGAAGAGAAGCTACTGGGTTTTTTCAGTTTCTTTACAGTCTGTATTGCTTTTGTTAGGACAAAAAAAATCTGTCACCATGTTTTCTTCCAGTATTTAAAAGGGAGCTTATAAACAGGAGGGAGACTGATTTTTTACGCAGACAGATAGTGGTAAGATAAGGAGGAATAGCTTTAAACTAAAAGAGGTGGGATTTAGGTTCAATGTTAGGCAGAAATTCTTTACTCAGAAGGCAGTGAGGCCCTGGCACAGCTGCCCAGAGAAGCTGTGGGTGCTCCATCCCTGGAGGTGCTCAAGGCCAGGTTGGATGGGGCCATGGGTGGCACTGCCCACTGCAGGGGTTGGAACTGGGTGGGCTTTGAGGTCCCTTCCAACCCAAGCCATTCTGTGATTGATTCTATGATATTGGATCCCCGACCTTTAAATGCAAGCAATGAATGAAATATCAAATGTGTTGTTGAATTGATGTTATTACAAACAATTCTGAGGTTTATTGTAAATGATAAAGCTTTTTCGTTCATTTAGTAGAACTATTAAAATATAATTCAGAAATCAGTAGAAAATAAATGACTTTGAAAAAGAAGGCTGTAAAGCAATATACTGCTTTACATACACTGGATGTCTTCACATCCCCCTAAACTTCTTTAGATTTTCAACTTTTCTGCCTGCATTTTCTTATATTTTTGTTCATAGTTGTCATTTAGGTTTCTTTGTTAAGCAGTCAATTTCATCACTTATGAACATGCAAATTAGCTTTCTGCTCTGTATGTTATGGTAGAAATCAAAGTAATAAATTACTTGAAAAATCTGATTTCTGAAGGTGATAATCTTTATATAAATTACTTCATTTTTCTTGATTCCCTTTCTCTTCCTCCTGTCTCCAAAATTGTTGAACCTACTGGTCAGTTTGAGCTTAATTTAGGTGTACTTGTACTTATCTTTGAAATCTTTGAAGACTTGATGAACCTCAATGGCTATTGAGAGGAGACAGATCAGGGTTAATACTCCCACTTAGTTTGTGCTCTGCCTTTTGCTGGAGTCTGATTTCACTTGTGTTTCATCTGCCAGTAAGTGCAGTAAGTATGGGGTGCCTACACATGCTTAGGGGATGTTGTCATGTCCTTGCATATCTCTGTCATGCATCTATTGAAAAAGGAGGTTTATTGCTTCTGTCACTCAAGAAACAATATACATACAGTATTGCTAATAATACTGAAATGAATCACTGAAGTTGGGTTTGAGTAAGATCAAGATCAGACTCTATCTTTGAAAATTTGGAACGTGAACTTCATTGTTGAACACTGAAGAACTGAGGCAATTTTGCATTCCAGAAGAGTCAGTTTTAAAAAAATTATGTTACTGACTGTATGTAAGCCTAAAGGTTCACAAGCTATAAAATCCATAAAGGAGACTGGTGACATTGGAAGTTTTCCCTTACTTTATCTTGAGATAGGAACAAAATTACAGTGTGTGTATGTATGTGTGTATATATATATATATATGTATATATATATATATATGCAGTTTGTTACTTATATGATGGCATCTTTTGGGGTTTTTTTTGTTGTTGTTCTGCCCTTCTCTCTCTGCTGCCTTATCGTGTGTTCCAGTTGCATTTCATTATAAGGCAAACTCAAATTGCAGATCCAAGTGAAAAGCACTGCAGAAGTATTCCTACAATTTTTATGGTTGTCTGATGATGAGGGAAGTCTGCCTTGGTTTCCTCCCTGCCTCCATTTTTCTAAAAAGAATCCAGAGAGACCAACTTCTCTCACGATCACTGGTCTCTGGAGAATATGCTGCTATTGGATGTAATGTACACCTAATATTAAGTAACTAATAGAAAATTTGGTGTAGCAGAGAGAATCGCTTATTTTTTGGCCATTTTTCTCTCTCCTCTTTCAACAGCTCTTCCCTTTCTGAATTGTTTTCATTTTGGATTAACTGCTAAAGCCACTGGGGATCATGGGATTCCAGACATACGTTTATGGGTGTTGTAAAGAAAGAGGAGAATGTGGCATCTTTGTAAAGAGTTAGCTTAACAGAAAGAGTGTCCAGGGGTTGAAAGTGCTACAGACAAAGGCAGATGGACTGGCCTTGTCTGATTTGATCCTCTTGTTTAATTCCCTGAGTCCCCGAGTCTCCAAACCAGCTGGGTTGGAACTAGTAGGAAAGAATATTTTGTGTTATTCAGCAATGATTTATTTGTAGAGGTGAAACCAGGGAATTTCCCTCTGTGTGAAACTGTCTGCGCCTTGGCTTAAGATGTTCAATCATTTATTCGCCAAGGAATGTTTGTCCTCTCCAGACAGATCAATGATCGTGTAGAGATTATAAGTAACCTTTTGCTTGGGCTTGCCCTGTGCATAGTGACCCACTGTTTACTCAGTGCCTTGGTTACTGATCATTAGTGCAGCAGTCTTTCCCTTCTATTAGTTTCTCCCATCGTCTCTTGCAGCCGTGGGAGAAAGCAGTGGGGGAGGAAGAGGACTTGCTTACAATGGATTGGCAAACTGTGTAGGTGAATAAAACATAATTTGGAAGGGTCTTCTGAAAAGTTATGTGCAAGAAGTATTCACATACAAAAGATGACAGCACAGATGTGTGTAGGCCTAGATACAGGAGAAAAGCAGGACAAAATTAAGGATCCTTTTCCTATCAGTTGTGGCTGAAGCTGAGGTATGTGTGACAGCCTTTTTATCAGTACAGTTATTTCATTCCTCATGGTGAAACAATAAGTATAGTTTTAAATGTAATCCTGTTTTTCAGAACTATGTTCGTATTTGTGAAGATGACATTCAAATAGTGGGAAGATTTAGCTTTATAAATCTAGACTGTGTTTTGTTGTACTTAGTGTATTAGCTTGATGCTTACATTTAGAGGCTGGGGAACAATAGTACACAAGGCAAAAGCACGTTTGGCTCAGGAAGTTGTTTGCCTTTTTTGGAATTTAGTGTTTCTATATAAGAAAGCCAAGGAGTTGCTCAACAGAATAAGGAGGGCACACATTTTCATTTAGTGAAAAGAAAGGTACAAGTGTGTGTGTGTGGGGGGTTGGTAATCTTAAGAGCCACTCAAGGGAGGAAAACTTGTCACTGAAGAAAGAACAAGTGTGATGTGGTGTGACTGTGGAGAGCCCCAGAAGGAGACAAGCCTGTTTTTGTTTAAATTTAATTTCCATTTTAAATAGAGATTATAGTGAATGGTCATTTGCTCATGTTTCTACAGTTGAAGAATTGTTTTTCTTCTTTAACAGGGTAAAAAGGATGTTTCCCAGATATTTAACAACATCCTGAGAAGACAAATTGGCACACGCAGCCCTACTGTGGAATACATTAGTGCCCATCCACATATCCTATTCATGCTTCTGAAAGGGTGGGTGCTTTAATTTGTCTTTAATTTCTGTTAAAGAGCATTGCCTGGAACTGGCATTGCAGCTCATCTGTTTTCTCACTTTCTTACTTATTTTCTAACAAGGATTTTCAGATTTTGTTCCAGATTTCTTGTTTTGTTTCTTTCATATTTACTTACTTTCTGCTTCAATGTCTACTTTTTAATGACTGGATTATTTCATTCGGCCATTAAAACTTCATGTTGGAATAATTATGTGCTGCTTGTTTTTGATTGCTTACCATGTGACGTGTACTTCAGTTCTTGCCCTAAACTAGCATTGTTGACAACTGCTGAATTTCATTTAGACCGCCTTGCACTGCAGGAGGGAATTATACTGGTGTCTGTGAATAACTGGAGTCATATGCTGGACCACCGTGGGGTAGAACACAAAGAAGCAAAAATGCATAAAACGAATAGTTGTGTCTGTGGGGCAGGCTTCTCAAATGCTTGTAGCCACATGCGAATGTCAACTTTAAATTAATTGGGTAATTAACTTCACGTCTTTCAGCATTAAATCTTTTTTTTTCTTGTAACCTCTATGGTCGTAAAGTGCTGAGTAATAAGGTGGTGGTTCCCAAGGTAAGTCAGCCAAGGAGAGGGAGTAGGCTGCAGCATGGAGAAGACATCAGCTGTAGTTGTGCTCAGGAATGCACAAGCTGCCTAAAACTCTTGAGGTTTTTGTCCCCTCTGTGTGACCAACATTTAGTGACCAATAGTGCCTCCCATTTAGCAAGAATCTTTGCTTTTCCAAACCTTACAGTCTACTGTTTTCTGTGGTTTACTTCTGGCTTTAGATTTTTGCTTATTTTCCTCTGAGGAAAGGAGAATGTATGTGATGTGGATTGAAGAGCTGATACAGAAATAAGTGCTTTTAGTGGCTGATCATTGTGAAACAATGTAGGCTGTCATAGCAGTTATCTTGGTGAGGCAGTAACAGCCATACAAAAACTGCGTTACAGGCCTTTTAAGCTAATGGTGCTTAGAAAAATGATTGTTTTCAAAAATATCTTTCTTGCTCTTGAGGCTTAAGATTGGCATTTTTACTGTTTGCTCCACGATCAGTATGAAGAAAATACTTGAGCCATATCTAAGATTTGAGCATAACGAGAATGCAGCCCCAAGGGTAAAATCCCTTCCAGCTGGCCTCCCCCTCTGCCAAGGGCAGACCTGAACAAGTGAGCCTGGCCTTTCCTGGAGTCAGGGGAAACAGGCATGTCTGCAGCATGAGCCCTCTAAACTGGCTGTTTGCTTCAAAACTGGCAGCAGCCCAATGCAGCTGAGCAGGAAAATACAAGTAATCAAGTGAACTAATTTCTATCAGGGATTTAAGGGAGGCTGAACCTGTCATTGAAGGTGGTGTCAAAAGTTTTACTTGATGAGATAGCAAGAGGTCCTGGTCTGATCTGCTGCTTTTCCCACCAGCAGGGTGGGGGGCAGGCAGGGCAGGTCACTATTCTGAACCAGGTCTTGCTCATACAAGTATTAATTAATCGTGGTTTCACTTTGATTTTGAAACTGTGACTTGTTTTTTATTACTGAGCACCAGCATCTTTGAAAAGGAATAATTAACGGAGTTTAGTCTCATTTGCTTATTAAAATTCAACATTTATACAAACCTCAAACTGTTTATTTCGGGAGTGTGATGATCACAGTGATGATCCTTCTAGTACCTAAAGGGAGCCTATAAACAGGAAGGGAATCAACTCTTGACAAGGGTAGATAACAGCAGGACAAGGGGAAATGGTTTTAAGTTGAGGGAGGGAAGATTGAGGTTGGATGTCAGGGGGAAGTTCTTTACAGAGAGAGTGGTGAGGTGCTGGAACAGGCTGCCCAGAGAGGTTGTGGATGCCCCGTCCCTGGAGGTGTTCAAGGCCAGGTTGGATGGGGCCCTGGGCAGCCTGGTCTGGTATTAAATGTGGAGGTTGGTGGCCCTACATGTGGCAGGGGTTTGGAGCTTCATGGTCCTTGAGGTCCCTTCCAACCGAAGCCATTCTATGATTTGAGAACTCTATGATCATTCTCTCAGTCACATTTATGTTGTACAACTGTTTTCAATTTCGTATAGAGATGCAATCATTTTCTTCCCTCTTTGTCTTTTTTATTTCCTCCTCTCTTTTTCACTTATTTTCTTCTTGCACGTTATATGTGCATCTCTACCATATGTCTCAGCTTTATTTCAAGTTAGAAAATATTTTTGGATTGTGTCCCAGATATCCTTTGGCATCTGTAGCAACCAAGAATATTAAAATGAAAGTTAAAAAAAATTGTTATACATATGTACTGCTGACAGACACTCCACTGTGGGTGACCTGAGCCAGCGGGTGCATTTATGTGCTTTTTTAGAGATGCATACAGAAGTGTGGTGTGTTAGTTTGGGTCTCTGGCTCCTTCTTGACATCTCGACTGTCTCTCTGCAGCACTGCACTGTATCAGAAGTGCCATTTCTCAGATTTTTCGTTAGAAAGTGCTGTTGGATTCTTTCAGAAGATGGCCCGATTGATCACTGGTGATAGCTGAAAAGTAGCTGTGTAATGATGTCTTACCTAACATACACAGGTCCACTGCCAGGGCTGCCTGAAAATGGCACCTCAGATACACGCCTAAAACAAGGGCAGGGCTCACTGTGTGTGCCTTGCTGCATGCAGGCAATGGTGACACTGGGAAACACGTACTTAATGGGAGGCATTGCCATTTGACAGTGTTACTTCAGGGTGTGTTTTCATGTTTATTTAATGCTAAGTGGAATACATTAAATCTACTTAAAAGAAAGGAAAGTAGATTTGGCTTGCTTGTACCATTTAATGTTTGTTATAAGACATTGTTTGGAGAGGAAAAAAAAATATTTCAACCATGGCTGTAGAAGAAACAGCCTGGAACTGTTGTGAAGGCTAGTCATTGTTTTGCTTGTATTGGATGCAAAATTTCCTCTGCCCCCTGACAGTCAGTTCACAAGAGTATCAACAAAAGGTTGCTTTTTTCACTGCATAATGTGAGCTCTGTGGAGCGGGAAGGATCCTGAATCAGGGCTCCCTCCCAGTACTTCCTGCCCAATACTCCCGTGGCACTGCCACTTTGAGGTAATTGTTCCTACCTTTTTTTTAGCCCTCGCTTTATTTCTTGGCTACTCCCTCCCAGATTCTCAGCTTCAGAAAAACATGTAGTGCATGGTTTACTACTGTTTTTTGGGAGGGGTAGGTTAATTTACTTCGCTGCATGAGGACTTGTGCTAATAGCATCTTCTGTATGTGTATCAATAGGAACTTTCACAGAATCACAGAATGGCCTGGGTTGGAAGGGATCTCAAGGATCACAAATCTCCAACTCCCCTGCCACATGCAGGGCCACCAACCTCCACATTTAATACCAGACCAGGCTGCCCAGGGCCCCATCCAACCTGGCCTTGAACACCTCCAGGGACGGGGCATCCACAGCCTCTCTGGGCAGCCTGTGCCAGCACCTCACCACTCTCTCTGTAAAGAACTTAATTGGAACTTAAAGAACTTAATTTCAGATGAATGTAATGTTTGGTGTATAGAGTATCTGATATATTCAATTTGTACTTGTATTTAATTTGTATCTGATATATATAATTTGACCCAAGTCTTTCTTTGGTCTCAGAGTATTGCACTAGCTTGGAAATAATTTGGTCCTTTATAAGTTAAAATATTTTCCCTTTTTAGTACAGGACTACAGGAGACTTGAAGTTCATGGCTCTGCTTTTGTTGTTTTGTTGTTTCTCTCAAGTTAGAAATGTATAAGACTGTGACTATCATGTCACATGCAATTTCTAAAGTATTCAGTCACTGCCCTGACTTGTGATGATCTCTTCGTATCACAGTGAAGTTAAAGTTATATTGGTGTACTGCCTGGAGTTGCTGAATTCCCCTTGAGTTTTTTCTAAGGACACGCTCAAGCTATGTTAGTTAGCAAGGAGAAAAGAATAGAGCTGTTTGCCCTGACCTTCAGTCTTCCAGGCTTGTATCTTTGTGGTTTATTTCATTGTGCATCCATACCTTGTACCATCTTCTGCACTAGTAGAATTCCCTTTGCACCAAGATGCATCTCTGCTCTTAGTAGACTGGCCTCTTTCAGCCTCTGCAATAAATGTTCTGAAATATCCCGAGTCCATTATTTCTTTTTCTGGTTGCCCTCTGTAGCCAGTATGTGGGGATTTCTTCAGGTTGTAAGTTCAGCTGAACAAAGGAGAACTGCATGCAGTCCTAATTGCTCATTAGAAGAGCATCTCTGTCATTCCTAGCTGGTGGCTTGCATGGAAATATGGGTTCAGATAACGTGCTAGTTGTGACCAGGCAGCCTGTAAACTTCTTCCAGGCATATTCCAGGAGCCAAGCCCAACTTCCCTCGCTTATGTGAGCAGTCAAAGGTCCATAACCCAGCTGTAGATAATGGAGCGTTTGACTAAGAATGACTCTGTTGATGCTCATGTTTTAAAAAGTTATTGTGCTGGAAACAATGTAATTTGCTTTTATTCCAACCATAATATTCCTTAGCCAAGTATTAAATATTTTCCTGGCTGCACTCCTAGGAGCAGCTCCGCCTCTTTCTGCTTCAAAATTAGTATTCCTGCTAATGGGTAAGAGGGGAGGTGTGCCTTACCAGAAAGTAGTAACCAGTGTGCTGTCTAAAGAGTTGTAAGTTCAGGGTTGCAAATGCTCCCCAAAAGGAAACAAGCAGGGGCTTGACTTTTGCATCTACTTGAGGGTGGGAAGTTTCATTTGCCTTTTTGGAATAGCAGTTCATTTTTCATTAAGCTAACTATTGTTGACATCAGGTTGAAATATGCAGCTCTGGTATGCTCTCAGAACACTACAATTCTTTTAAATTGCATGTTGGTGGTAAATTTGAGGGCCCACTCACTCACAGCACAGATGGCATTTTGTCTTTTTTTTGTTTATTTGTTCCTTTTGGCCTAGTGCTAGGAATTAATTGTGCAAAGGAAAAATGATGCTGATAAGCTCTGTGTGATAATACACAGCTCTGATGTAGTATAACCAGCTTATTGAAACAGAGTGTGCTTTCTGTTCCTTGGACTTGGTCACTTTCACGTGACTGAATATCGCTGGAAGAAGTTCATTTTAAGTTCCCATGACTGTTAGATTGCATTCTTTTTTTGCTTCTTCTAAATTGTTTCTAACAGTTTTGTTTTGGGTTAATTTCAGCGTTAAAGACATCAAGACTTCCTATAGAGAGGAGATTATCTGAATTTCCACCCTAAGCTCCCTGCCTGCCTTTCCAAGAGAAGTGTGCCAGCTCCTCTCTGTGATGATGCCTGGGCCATAGTGGGGTTGTAACTTGAGGCACAAACTCCTGCATAAACCCTTAGCCTCTGCTGTAGTGTGTGTGGGGGAGGGAGGGAGTTAAGCAGAATTCCTCCTAAACTGCAGGAAAGGTCTTCAGGGCTGCAAAAGCTTAATCATACTGTCTTTGGAAACTCTTCCTACCTTCCTTATTAGACATTAATATTCTGGAATGATGCACTCTAGAAGAGTGGGAGTTGATGGATCGTCATGAGATGTTGTGTGGTTGTGTTTTTTTTTTTAATAAACCGAGGAGTTCAGTACTACATCTGAAAAGGGAAATTATGATATTGAATGGGCTTTGCTTTCTCATAAATCCAAGGGAGTGCAGGAATTCTGATGAAACCTTATGCATTTTACAGTCTCTTCATGGAGAGGAGGTGTAATGCATATTCGTGCTGAAATTGCATTGGCTTGTGAAGACAGAGGTTTGTAATGGGGAGTGCTGAGAGCCTTATTTGTGTGTATGTTACTGCATTGAGAGCTGCTCTCCCGAAGCTGGACATAGTACTCTCATTGGGAAAGACTGTGTGTGTGCTGTATCCAGTCTGGCACATATATATCCTATGCTACAAGTTTCCCTAGTGCTGTAAGATTGCCTGTTCATTTTTGTTCTTCTGTTTGATCTTTTTTTTTTCTTAATTTCCTTTAATTCTCCAGCTATGAATCCCCAAATATTGCCTTACGCTGTGGAATTATGCTGAGGGAGTGCATCCGACATGAACCGTTGGCCAAAATCATACTTTTTTCAGAACAGTTCAGAGACTTTTTCAAGTATGTGGAAATGTCAACGTTTGATATAGCATCTGATGCCTTTGCTACGTTCAAGGTAATTTATTTGATACCTGTATCTTAGTGTCGTGTCAAAAATGGCATTCCATCAGTAGTGATAGTTGAATATCGTATTGCCTTTAAACTGAATGGATTTTTCATTGCTCAGTAAGGAGTATAATTAGTCCTTGGTGAGCTTGTAACAGAATTCACAACAGTGATTAAGTCTGCACAGATTTATGTTTCACTAATGTTCTTCATCTTGATGCCCCAAGGCCCTTAATGCAACCATTTGAAACTCAAGTTAATCATGCATTACATACAGTTCTTGTGGAATACATGGCCTTTCTTCCTTCCCTAACCTTCCTCAAATTAAAACTGCTACCCATTATGACCACAAACAGCCAATGGAAGGAATCATTTAAAATCCACTTTTTAAACCCTCTAATTGTTGCTGACCCTTGTGAGCTTGAGAATTGAGCTTAGCCTAATGCTGTGCCCCTGATAATTATTTTTACATGTTTGCATGATTACATTTGTGACACATGGGTTAGTGCAAGGACTGTACTGAGGAGAGCCAAGTAGGTAAAAGTGTCATGGAGGCGTGCGCTGGAGGAAGGCCTTGGTGTTGCAGTGGCCCTAAGTTTGTGTGGTGCTATAGGGACTTCTGTCTTTTGACAACGGCTGTGCTGAAAGTTTGGAAAGGCAGATCAAAGGAGAGGCTTCATGGAGTTCTTCCAGTCACAACTAAAACACTGCCACCTTCTTATGTGCAAGTGACAAAGAGCTTAATTGTACCCAGGAGTGTGAGGAGCTCTAGCAAGGGCCAGCTGCCATTTCCCACTGGGGCTTCCTGACAGGTGTGAAGCTGCTGGGGACAATCTGTGGGTCCCCTCAGTGCAGCAGGAGTGGACCAAAAGCAGGAGGCAGGGTTTGCCTTTCACTGCAGCACTGAATGCAGGGACCACATGACCTACATTCTATATCCAGTCTGTGTTTGTATTAAAAGTGGAGCTGGGAGAAGCTTGCCAAATTTTGTGGGATTTGTATATGACCATCATCTTTCCTGCACAGAGTTAATACAGTTTTTAAGCACAATTTAGTGCCTGTGGGCAAAATATGCAGGGAAGATTGGTTTATTTCTGAATAATAACTTAAGCTAGAGAAAATTCTTTTCAGGTAAAAAATCATCTAAATATAGACGTAACTTTTTCCCCCTGTCATTGGGTTCTTTGCTGTCATAGAAACAAGTTGTTCATTCTTTGCTCTCAAAGCTAATTAGAAACATGATTAGATAGACCTAACTTAGGAGTATCTGTAAGGAAAGTCATCTTGGCAATTTACCACCTAGTGAGATCTGGCCTCAGTTTCACTAACTGATGGAATATATTGAAGATTTCCACAGTGGAAATAGTGTTTTGTTCGTAAGTAGTGAGTTCAGCAGGATGACCAGTTCAAAGAACCCCTTAAAACAATTAGAAGATAACTGCTGTTGAATAAGTTGTGTTGTTGTTGTGCCCCCCCAGGCAGGAGGTGGGATGTGGACACGGGTCAGTTAAGCTAAGACAGGGACTAGAGACTGCTGCAATTCCCCCAAGGCAGGAGGGATTGGTCATCCTTCATGGATCTGCAGCTGTGGAACTTATTTCTGTCCCTTGTGATCTAAGCATATTTTTAGCAAGGTTTAAAAATAGGGTTCTGCATCCTCACGTGCATTAGAAAGAGAGAGAAGTATGAGGGCAGTTGTTAGGTCAGAAATCACCTCTTAAAATGCCTTGTAGCAAGTCAGTAAACTGCAGTTTGTTTTAAATTACCTTTTAGCACCTGAGAGAGACCCAGTTCTGGAAATAAGCCAGTTGCTCATCTCACCTTCTATTTGACCATTACTCTAAATAACCGGAACAGCAAGAAGTGATGTGGAAGCAGTTGAATCATGAAATGTGGGGCTACCTTATTTCTAATAGCATAAAAATCACTGCTACAGTCACTTATTGGGTGGATTGCTGAGCTCAGTGCTCTCAGTTCTGTTTCCCACATTGGCTTTGTAGTGCTGTCAGGGTGTCTGATAGAGAGCTGAAAGTCTTCAATAGTCTGTGCACCAGAGGAGGATTTAGTTAAATGTGAGTTAAAGTTTGGGGGTATTTATAGTAGGAAAGTATTGCAATTTTTAATGATGTTGAGATGTACTTCTGAATGAAATTCAGCCAGGTACATGGCAGAGGGGAAGTAGAGCTGCTCAAAACGCAGAGGAAAACAGCTTGTGATTTCCTATGAGAAACTCATTTTGGATTATATTCCATTTGTGCCCCCTATTGAAAAATGTTGTACTTGCTTCCTAAGTGCCTGCATCAAAGCTTCTGAATCACATTTCTTGTGTTCAGCCTTTTAAGCTGGCATCATTGCAATCTTGCTAAACAGAGGAATATTTTATAAGAATAATGTACTGGATTTTATAGTGCTCTGTTTTCCTCTTATAATTGATGGCAAAAACAAATTAAAGGATTCGTATGCAAAGGATTGCTTTTGTTTGTTATGCTGCAGAGGGTGCGGGTGGTGCATCTACATCAGCTTCAGTCACTGGATAAGGAAACCAAGGAAAAGTTGATGGAAAAGATATCAGAAACTGGTTCACTGAAACAAACATAGAATCACAGAATGGCCTGGGTTGAAAAGGACCACAGTGATCATCCAGTTTCAACCCCCTGCTGTGTGCAGGGTCGCCAACCAGCAGACCAGGCTGCCCAGAGCCACATCCAGCCTGGCCTTGGATGCCTCCAGGCATGGGGCATCCACAGCCTCCTTGGGCAACCTGTTCCAGTGCATCACCACCCTCTGTGTGAAAAACTTCCTCCTAATATCTAACCTAAACCTCCCCTGTCTCAGTTTAAAGCCATTCTCCCTTGTCCTATCACTATCCACCCTTGTAAACAGTTGTTCTCCCTCCTGTTTATATTCTTCCCCTCAAGTACTGGAAGGCCACAATGAGGTCTCCCCAGAGCCTTCTCTTCTTCAAGCTAAAACATCTACTCGAATGGACTTCATCAGGCATTTATTGTGGTCACTGTTATGCTTTTGAAAAGGAAATAAGATAAAAATTAAACTTTAGTGCCTCAAACTGGTCATTTCAGTGATAGCTATTCATCCAGTAAAGAGACTTAGTTTCTTCTGGAGCTGAACATTTGCTTCTGTTGCTGAGCACCAGCATCCCCATTCTGGGGAAGAGATTGCTTTAATTTAAATTTGAATTAGTTATCCACCTTTCAGAATGAGATGGATTCAGCTTCAGCTGTCTGAAGGCCTCTGCTATTGCCAAGCATGTCTTGGGCAGAATAACAGCCACGGAAGGAACTCATCCCACCTACCTGAGAGCCCTTTCTGGAGGTGGAATGGCTGTGAAGAGAGCCTGGATTGCTACTGTGGGTCTGGGCCTAACTTTTAGGTTTTAAGTAGATCATATTAAGTAGATCATTTGGGGGTTGGACACGGTGATCTCTGGAGGTCCCTTCCAACCCCTACAATTCTGTGATTCTGTGATTCATATGTATATCCTGTGGCTGAATTAGAGACTGCCTTGTTGCATTTTTGGAGATGGCAATAGCAGTTGATCAAACTGAAAATGCTCTTCCTGTTGTGGGGCAGAATGGAGATAACTGTTGGTTATGGAACGAAAACTGATCCCTCCATAAAGATTTGTTTCGCTTTTCTTCTTCCCTTCTCCCCAGCTTATTGAAAGTACTGTACACAATGACCACAAAAAACAAAAGATGAGAGGAAGAAGGAATATAAAGAGCTTTAGAAGAGCTTTGTGTTGATTCTGTTAGCATTGATTGAATTCTCCTTCTGGTCCTAGTAGAAGCAGTACAACTGAATTTCACGCAGTATTGTTTCTGAATGGTCTTTGTTTATGGAAATGGTGTTGGAGATAGCTTGTAGAAGATGATGTGTTCAGAATATTAAAGTGCATTTGAGAATGAAGAGATGGTTGAAAAAGCAGACTCTCCAAGGTAGCCTTTTTCTGTTCTTTTCCAGGACTTGTTAACAAGGCACAAGTTGTTGGTAGCAGATTTTATGGAACAAAATTATGATACGGTGAGTACAAATGATAGGAGAACGTCTTAAAATCTCTTCATGCTTAGCTGAAAGAAGCCTATTTTCACCAGTGGAGGATTTCATGCTCCACATAAAATAGTGGAACAGGATTGCAAACTAAACATTGCTTTTACAAAATGTGGTATTTAAAATACAGGTACCCAAGCTGCTCACACACACAGGGGACAGATGCCAAGATTTCACAGGAGCTCATAGCTTAAAAAAAAAAAAAAGATTTATTCATTTCTGCATTCTGTCTCCTCATAGGTAAACTGAACTGCAAAGTTAGTCAGTAGGTAGAGCATAGAGAAAAAAAAAATTCATGTTTTTAAACAATTTTTTGGTATTCCAGAATTGATAGGATCGTACTGGTGTCGTTTTGGGATAGAGGAGAAGAGTTACTGGGAGAAGGTTTTGCATGACTGAAAGCAGTATGCACGTAATGGTGGACTAAGATGTCATTATTTGTCTTATCATCCAAAGTAATTTAATTCCTTGATTTGTTGCCATTCTTCACTTTGACTTTTTGTCTATGTTTTGAACCAAATGTTGGTCAGAAAAATTCCACTGGAGTCAAATTGGTCGGATACAGATAAAGGAATGAGACTGCAGGTTATGTTCTTGTGTTACCTTAGGTATTCTTTATTTCGCTGCCAGAAGAAAAGGGACAAAGACTATTTCTTTCATTCTAGAGTTACCAAGAAGGTTAAATAAAGATCAGGCTGATTACTGCAGGGTCATAAATGCAGCTCAACTGGAACAAAATTAGGTATCTGCTAATCTTTTCTCTGTTAGAACTGAAGGAGTACAGTGGAATAGTTTCCATTCAGTCCTTACTGAACATTTAAAATTGGAGGTAGAAATACAGGTCATTAGGATGTTTCTCAGACAGGAGCAGGTTGGTTTGTTTGGTTGATGACTTGCACGTACAGTGGCGCTGCCATTCTTCTTGAGCACAAGATTCCTTTGACCCAGTGCTGCAAAAGCCAGTGTGCACCCTACTCCTTATGAACCTGGTCTGCAAAGTGCTTTAATGAGTTGGGGTGTTGAAGGCAGGTGGCACCTTGCAGAAGTGCTTTTGGCACATGCCAGTTTGGGATATGCTGTCTCCAACTTGGCATGTCCTGTTAATTCACAGAGCAAGTCATGACCGTGATATGAGTGAGTAGGTGTAATTTGTGCTGGACCCATGCGTCCTAGCAACAGATTCACTCCCATAAAAGAAAGCTGTGCAAGCAGTGGTTGAATACTGTCCTAGCTGGCTCAAACCACCTCCTCTTACATCCAGTGTGGTATCACTTTGTGTGGTATTTGGCAGATGAGTATTGCTGGACATTAATTCACTACGTGATAGCAAACAAAGAAAAAAGGCTGCAAGAGCCAGGCCTGGCATTGCAGTGAAGTGTTAGAGGATGGCACTGCTGCTACTTCTGCTGCTCCTCTGCTGTGGCAAGAACCAGGAGGAAGGAATGGGGAGAAGGAAGGATGGACATGAGCTGTGAATGCATTTGTGTTTTCTTGTTCGTCTAGATCTTTGAGGATTATGAAAAACTCCTTCATTCTGAGAATTACGTAACAAAGAGACAGTCCTTGAAGGTAAAGTATGATTTCCTAGTGCTTTCCTTCTAAATTTGTATCCAAGTTATGCAAAGCATCAAAATGCATGTGTGGCAAGGAAGTAAGCATGTCCTTTCTAACAACAACAACCAAAAAAAGAAATGCTTGAGGATGCTCTTCATACAGTGCACAAGAGCTTATTGTGAATTTCATTTCCTGAATCTGTGGTGAAACACTGGACTTCTTGTATGGAATAAGCACCATTGTTTTTTCTCTGACCTTTGTACTTCAATTCAGCACATACGTTAAAACGAATTGGGAGTAACATCATAGTTCATGTTTGTCTATTGCTGCTGCAGCACTGAAATGCAGATGGGAACACATAGGTGTGTTCCTGTAATATCTCACTGAAATGAAGGGTGTCCTTGTGGGACAGTTGCACTGTACTTGCTTCTCTTCTAGCTGGCTCATACCAGCTCCTATTACATCCAGTCCATGTGTGGTAACCCTACTATAAAGTTTGGAAGATGGGCATTAAGTAACTCACTACGTTAACAGCCCTAGTTAATATAAACAAAAACTGAAGTGTGCTGCTTTTATTTCCTTTCAGAAATCACATGTTAAATGGAAAATGCTCTTTTATTTTGTAATTTTCTCTATAGCTGCTGGGTGAACTGATTCTAGACAGACACAACTTTGCCATCATGACAAAATATATCAGCAAACCAGAGAATCTGAAGCTGATGATGAACTTGCTCCGAGACAAAAGCCCCAACATTCAATTTGAAGCATTCCATGTGTTCAAGGTGAGCTAGAATGAGTTGTAAAGGTGACAAACTTTCTTTTCTGCTCATAAAGGTGTCTTTCAAGGTGGCCAAGAGAAAGCCTGGAAAAATAAGGCAAAAGGTTGAGGTTTACAGCCATGTCAAGCATCTGAGAACATCTTCCTTGAAGACCTTTACTATGCAACCTCTGTTTTCATAGAGTCATAGAATGACTTGGGTTGGAATGTACCTTAAAGATGTAGTTTCAATACCCTGCCATAGACAGGGCTGCCCCCCACTGGGTCAGGTTTTGCCTTCCTTCAGGTGAGTTCTAATGCAGCATCATTTCAAACTGTGAGGGTTGTCGCTCACACAGTGATGAAGTGGATGGTAACAGCACCAAAATGCACTGCTTCTAGATATTATTCAGGGTCCTTTCCCCAGCTCTTATGTAATTTTACCACGTGATTCTGGGTAAACATATTTAAAACAACAAATCCCCACAGTGTCTTAAAACTCTTGGTTAAGATCAAAAGTAGATGTACAAATACTGTGCATCAACGTGAAGGCAGTTTGCTTTTAAAAGTATTAGAAAGATTTGATAACTCTAGTTTGAAATGAGTTCAATCTTTCCATCCTTCTGCACTCATCATTAATAGAGTCTTAAATAATTATCAGACCGAAATAATGTCTTTCTTTTCTTTATGATCATAGAATCTTAGAATCACTAAGGTTGAAAAAGAGCTCCCAGATCATCCAGTCCAACCGTCCACCTACTAACAGTACTTCCACGTTAAACCATGCTCCTCAGTACAGCATCTGAGTGTTTTCTGACCACCTCCAGGGATGATGACTCAACCACTTCCCTGGGCAGCCCATTCCAGCACCTCATTGAATCTCCTTTGAATCTTCCCTGGCACAACTTCAGGCCATTCTCTCTAGTTCTGTTGCTAGTTATGCAGGAGAAGAGTGCAACCCTCCCTTCAGTCAGTTGTAGAGAGCAATAATGTCTCCCCTGAGCCCCTGTTCTCCAGAAATGATTCATACTATATGGTGAAAAGGTTACTGTTTGCCTCTCAGAAAAGTTCTCTGCTTTGGATCGGAGAGTGAGTTGAATTGCTCCTATGCAAGGCTGCTTTTGGAGTTGCCACAATAATATCAAACTGTGTGAATGGAGTTGCTTATAATTTTTTAAAAAGGGGAATTGTGAGGATATCCTCCCTCCCTCAGAATGGTTAGGAAAGGTTCCAGATCACGACAGAAGCCGTGCTGTTGTGATAAAGTTGCCTTACCTTCTGTTGCATTCACAGTAACAGGTGGAGTTTTTTGTGGATCATTGGATCCACAAATCACCAATCATTGGATTGGTGGAGTTCATTGTGGATCTTTAAAGGATGTACAACTTCTCCAAAAAGCTTTTTATTTCCCTGCCCTCCCCCATCTCCCCCCCCCAAAAAAAAAAAGTTTTAGCAAACTTAAAAAAGAAACAAAAATCTCTCCTTGAAATAAGCTTGGTAAGCTGTTTCCTTGCTGACTTCCTCCATAGTCAGCAGAACCACCATGAGTAACTTCTCCTCCTTTCCAGGAGGTTTGTGACTCCAGGGTGTGAGAGCAATCAGGCTCAACTTGCAGCTTTGAGATACCTGGGGGGGGAAGGGTTCAGAGGACTATTGCTCTGTTTGCCATTCTGTGAAGAAATGCCATATTTGTATGTATGAAACACATCCAGGACATGCTGGTCCTGAATTAATAGGCACGGCCTAGGCCTTGGGAAGAGCTGAATTTACTATTTTGAGAAACAAGTGGAAGGATTTTGAATAATTCAAAATGACTCCAGCGTGCAACTGTGTCACTCGTTGCTGTTGCTCCCATTCTGCCTTCCCATTCCTTCCTTCTCCTTTACTCACAGCTCATGTTGCATTTCCCATTACAATGCAGAGATTGTAGACACAGCTTTGCTCAACCTCTTGCAGTTGCTACGCCGTGGAGATCATGCTGAGCAAAATAAGTGCGTGATGGTGACATTATGTCTTTTCAGTTCAAAGTACCAAACTCTGTCCTCAGATACTATCCTCTGTGGGATGTTGCTGTGTTTTTCCAGCAGTACCCATCAGCAGCATTAAAGCAGTGCTTTGTGCTATCTTGTATGTGCAGTGTTCATTGTGTGGGAATTGCAGACTCAGAGCAGAACCCAATCAGCTTGTTTATCACAGCAGCAGCACAGCAGAGTAACTGTAGAGGTAAATCAAAGCTCCCTGACTGGGAGGGGCTGGCTCATCTGCATTCAGCTTCTCCCAGGTGGACAGGGGAGGTATAGAATATGTTATAGAAAATCCTGTAGTGAATTAGCTTTGTAGAGAAGGTCAGAGAAGAGCATTTTCCTCTGACTTCACTTTTCAAATTGAACTCGAATTGCTGGAGATCAGGAGAATGGGAAAACACTGCTCCATTCCTGTGCCTTGTTCTGCAGTGTCCATGCTCACTGTTTCTGGGTTAGTGTCCCTGAGCCCAATTCTCTTATCAGCTGTAATGATTGTGCGCTAGTGTAATTGGGAAAAAACTCTGGTCTTTAGCTTTTAACCTTATAAATTTTAAACTGTGCCTGCATTTTTAGATTGTGCTCACAAAATACCTCTACAGCCTGGTTGAAATTACAGCACACTGCCCGCAGTGATTTGAAATCAAAGGTCTGCTGAAAAGTGGGTATTGCTGCCCTGACTGAGCTGCCAAAAGATTTAGGTTTAAATTTCCTGATGTAGATGTTTCACCAGTTAAACACCTTTGAAATGAAAAAGTGCTTGTTTTGTAAGCATCTGGGTTCTAACTCTCCTATGCTGCAGCCAACCTAAAAAAAAAAAAAAAAAAAAAAAAAGAGAAAAGAGATGTGAGTTCATGAGGCAATTTCTAATGATTCAAAATTGTAAGAGAGTCTGGAATGATGAGCACCTCGAGTACAAAAATACTTGGCAGGTTGTTTGGTGGTGAAAATGCTGATGCCCCTTTTTGCCCTTAGCATATTGTACTCATCTGGAGTGCTATGAGTGGGAAATGGAGGATAAACAGTGTCTTCTTGCAGTGCTTGCTTCCATTCTCCTCTCAGAAGATGTTTGATCTTCCTTCCAGCTTCTTCCTCCTCCTTCAGTTGCTGGAGCAAAATGGAGCTTCTGTCTTGCAGTATCACCCTGAAGGCTGTTGGTTATATAAAGCTGGATGTCCCACAGGGTGTGTGGGGGGGGATTAGCCAGTGTCTCGTAGAATGTCTTGGGTTGGAAGGGATCCCAAAGCCCAACCAATTCCAACCCCTGCTGTGGGCAGTGCCACCTAGCAGCACAGGCTGTTCAGGGCCCCGTCCAGCCTGGCATTGAGTGCCTCCAGGGTTGGGGCACCCACAGTTTCTCTGGGCAGCTGTGCCAGAGTTTCACTACCCTCTCAGGGAAGAACTTCCCCTTGACATCTAACTTAAATCTCCCCTCTTTTATTTTAAAACCGTTCCCGCACTGACTACCTGTGTAAAAAATTGAGTCTCCTCCTGTTCATACACTCCCTTCAAGTACCAGAAGTCTGCAGTGAGATCTTCCCAGATCTTTCTCTTCTCCTGCCTCAACAAGCCCAGTTCCCTCAATCTTTCTTCATAGGAGAGGTGCTCCAGCCCTCTGATCATCTTTGTGGCCCTCCTCTGGCCCCACTCCAAGAGCTCCATGCCTTTCTTGAGCTGGGGGCCCCAGGCCTGGATGCAGTGCTGCAGATGGGGCCTCACAAGAGCAGAAGGGGACAATCACCTCCCTCTCCCTGCTGGCCACACATCTTTTGATGCAGCCCAGGATACAGTTGACCTTCTAGGTTTCAAGCACACACCACTGGCTCATGTTCAACTTTTCATCCACCAGGACCCCCAAGTCCTGGGCAGGGCTGCTCTCAGTTCTTCCACTCTGCATGTATCTGGGATTTCCCTGACCCACATTCCATGCCTTGCGCTTGGCTTTGTTGAACCTCATTAGATTCACACAGTTCCACTTCTCAAGCCTGCATAGATCCTGTGAAGGGATGGCATCCCTTCCTTCTGCCATATCAACTGCACCACACAGCTTGGTGTCATCAGCAAACCTGCTGAAGGTGCACTCAATCCCACTGTCTCTGTCGCTGATGACGATGTCTCAGAATACCAGTTCCAGGATGGACCCCTGGATGAAAAGACGTTGACCACAAACCTCTGACTGTGGCCTTCCAATCAAGTTGATTCCTTAGGAAACGCTAACTCACCCCCAGCTTTTTCCTTCTCCCTCAGAAATAGCCTAGTGGGGTCCCCTGGGCTTTGGCAGGCACCAGCTCTCTCTGCACTGCTCCCGTGAAGAGGTGTCAGTCCTGAGCATTCACGCTCTGAGGAGCAAATGGTGGGGAAGGCTCTGCAGCTCCTTTGGTGGGTTTGTGAAGCTGTGAGCAGAGCCTTCTGCCTGCTTGCTCAAAGGGCAGAGCACAGCTTCAGATGTACACGAGTGTGGTGTAGGTCCCTGTGTTACCCAGTGCATTTACAGATAAAGGCTCAATGCAAACAAACAGGTTATTTTGAGGAAAACACCCTGGAGTAGCAAATGGGGATTATGTAATCCTTGTTCTCAAGCAGACATATAGCAAGATATATTTTACTGTGTACATCTAAAAACAGAGTGAGTGCACTGTGTTTTGTGACCTCGATTTCGTTCCTCCATTCCCTTTCACGCGTATGCAGTGCTGCCTGCTGCAGCTTGCTCTGCACACAGGCACATAATGGGACTGTCCTGACTCTGTCCTCTGGGTCTGAGCCTGAAGCCAGGAGTGTGGCAGTGTGTCCTTCTTGTCTCTGCTGGGCTCCCCGAGGATGGCAATGGCTGCTGGTTCATAGAATCATAGAATGGCCTGGGTTGAAAAGGACCACAATGCTCATCCAGTTTCAACCCCCTGCTGTGTGCAGGTCACCAACCAGCAGACCAGGCTGCCCAGAGCCACATCCAGCCTGGCCTTGAATGCCTCCAGGGATGGGGCATCCACAGCCTCCTTGGGCAACCTGTTCCAGTGCATCACCACCCTCTGTGTGGAAAACTTCCTCCTAAGGAAGTGAGGGTCCCTAACAGAGTGATTTTGGTGTCTGACTTCTCATGCGGAAGAGTGTAAGAGTTCCACTTCAGGCAAGTTTTTCTCAGTTGATTTTTCATTCCAGTCCTGTTAAATATATTCACTAAACAAAACTGTGCTGAAAGGGCTATTTTTAGGATTGGAATTTTTGTATGCATACTCTTTGTTCTAGGGCTCTCATGTATCAGAATTAAGTCCCTTACAATAAAGCCATGGATGAAGGAGACTTTCCCTGAAGCGTTGTAGCTTCAGTGAAACCTAATTTCAGTGAAAATGTCCCAGCAGGCATTCATAATGATTGCTGTTTACAGAGCTTGATCTCCATCTTTATGACAGTGCAGAGCTCTGAATGGGGGGCCCGTTTACAAGCAGAACCTTACACGGGTCCCAATCCTGGGCTGCGTGAAGCTGCTGGGTCAATACTTGCAGAATTGATTTTCTTTGCTTGGCTGTGGCATTGAATGGCTTCTCAGGAATTTTCTGGTCCTCTAACTTTCTCTTTTTGTGAGTTCCCACCGACACTGAGCAGGACGGTCCGTCAGGGTGGTGTGTGTGAAGGTTCAGTCTGGCAGCTTTGCAAAGGGAAGACAATAATAATCCATAAGTAATCGAGCAGCAGGAGGAACAGGATGTGACATCCTCTATTAAACCAAGTTCTTATTGACTTTGGTAATGCCCATTATGGAACAAGTTTGAAATGCTGGTTTGCCACTGAAACCTCTAAGTTCTATCTGATGGTCACAGAGTGGGAATTGAACTCCGGAATGAGAAACTTGCAGCAGCATCCTGTTGGGTTGTTTTCCTCCCCCTTGCCTGCAGGTTTGTGCATTGCTTTCCACAAAGGAAGCTGTCCAGGTGCCGTGCGGCTTCTCTCAGCCCAGGAGCTGGATGCTTCTGGCCTCCATCAGTGTGGTTTGGGTGCGGGGCTGCTTTTGCTGAGCCAGAGCTGAACATTCATACCATGGGACCTTAGGCACAGGGTGGATAACAGCCAAGTGCATTCAGATTTACATCTCCAGCTTCTTTATTTCTCAAACTGTGGGAAAACAACAGATCCATAGCAGAATATCAACATTCTTTGCAAGGGGGGGGAGGGATATTGCGTTCATAGAGTCACAGAATCATTAAGGTTGGAAAGACATCTAAGAACATCTCATGGAGCCATCAGCCCATCCCACCATGCCCGCTAACCATGTCCCTCAGTGCCACATCCACACGGTTCTTGAACACCTCCAGGGACAGGGACTCCACCACCTCCCTGTGCAGCTTGTGCCACTGCATCACCACTCTTTCTGGGAAGAAATGTTTGCTAATCTCCAACCTGAACCTCCCCAGCTGTTGCAGGCAGCAGTGTGCTGTTGACAGTCTGTCAGGTGTCAGCAAATGCCCAGGGGCTGGCAGAATCATAGAGTCATGGAAGCACAAGGTTGGAAAGGACCTACAACATCATCTGGTCCAACCATCCTCCCATCACCACTGCTACCACAAGCACTAAACCAAATTCACAGCTCCTCATCCAGATGTCTCTTGAACACTGCCAGGGACGGCGAGTCCACCACCTCCCTGGGTAGCTTAGTGGTTGCATGTGTTTGGCAAAGTAATTAATTTGTGATGTCAGTTGCTGGGCAGCACAGATGGGGAGAACAGTAGATGGGTTGTAGTAGGGTGGAAATGTGCATGGATGTTTCCTCAGTGAGGCATGACTTCCTTGAATTTCATGGAATTCCATACAGGTTAATTGGCTCTATAATGGTTTTTTTCAGGATAGACAACATCTCTTTCTGGAGAGGCATTGGAGTAATCTATCCTGAGACCAGAGGAAAATGTGGCTAAAATGAATGATGGGAGATTGTGCCAACAGGGAGCATTTGTCACACAACAGGGGATGAGATGCTGTTATAGTCATGTTGTCATTCTTACTGTGGGACAGAAAATGCAGGCATCCTGTGTTCCACGACTGGCTGTGTATGAATTCTGTGAAAGCAAGCGTATACACAGTCTGCCAAGTGGTGAATGTACTTAATGGTTTGTCAAGAGGAAGGACATTGGGGTACTTTTGGAGTCAGTGACTGTGCAATTTGGATTTGATCATAGAATCATAGAAGCACAAGGTTGGAAAGGACCTACAAGATCATCTGGTCCAACCATCCTCCCATCACCTCTGCTACCACAAGCACTAAACCAAATCTCGCAGCTCCTCATCCAGGCACCTCTTGAACACTGCCAGGGACGGTGACTCCACCACCTCCCTGGGCAGCCATTCCAGTGCCTGACCACTCTGAGAGAAAAAGTTCTTCCTCATGTCTAATCTAAACCTCCTCTGGCACCACTTGCGGCCGTTTCCTCAGATCCTGTTTGCTGCCTGGGAGAAGAGGCCAAACCCCTCCTCATCACAACCTCCCTGCAGGCAATTGTAGAATCAGTGAGGTCTCCCCTGAGCCTCCTCTTCTCCAGACTGAACAACCCCAGCTCCTTCAGCTGCTCCTCATAAGACTTGTGCTCCAGACCCCTCACCAGTTTCGTTTCCCTTCTCTTGACACATTGCAGGGCCTCAATGTCTTTCTTGCAGTGAGGGGCCCAAAGCTGAACACAGTACTCGAGGTGCGGCCTCACCAGTGCTGAGTACAGAGGGAAGATTACCTCTCTGCTCCTGCTGGCCTATTTCTAATGCAGGCCAGGATGCCGTTGGCCCTCTTGGCCAGGTGTTGCTCCGTGAAGGACTGGAGCACCTTGCAGGACAGCTGTTACTGTGGGGTGGCTGCCCTGAAGGGATCCCTGAGAGTCCCGGCTGTGGGTGCTGCTGTTGGGAAGCTGTATGCAGCATAAGGCTGTAAATGTCCCTGTTCATTGCAGAGGGACCACAGCCTGGCCATGCGTGGGTCACTGTGCACGTTGCACCTCATGTCATACAGCTGCATACAGGGAACTCCCACATGGCAGGATAGAGCCCAGATGTGCATGTGGGCAAAAAGGCAGGAGAGGAAACCTGTGGGAGCCATGGGCTGGGCTGAGTAACAGTTCTGCCTGCATTGGTCTGGACAAATTGCCATTCTGTGCTGTAAGCAGATGTTTGTTTTTATTCTGGTTTGAACAAGCGCAAAGGGAAACTGGCTGTTTTCCAGTTCTGTCCATCCTTAATTTCTTCTCGTTGGGTAGCGAATAGTTCAAGTTATTTGTGTCATTGCACAAGCACTCAGCACTGTTTTGTTGACCAGCCATGGCAACCTCAGCACCAGCCCACATGGGAGCTCCTCCGGGGCTCTGGCGTGGTGTGCTGGCTGAGCCCCCATCTCCTTGGCCTCCTTGGGTCCTGGCACTGCTGGCCTTGAGTTCCCGTTGTCAGGATGACGGAGAAAATGCAAAAGCATCAGTGCAGGGGTGATGTTCAGAGCTATGGGTTTTAAAGAGGGAAAATGAGAAAGCAGCTCAGATAAGCCTGAGGAGGTGATTATTGAGAGCAGTCTGCCCACAGTGCTGGTGAGTGGCTGGGTGTCCTGTCACAGAGCCATTCAATAGTCTGAGTTGGAAAGGACCTCAAAGCCCACCCAGTCCCAACCTCCTGCCATGGGCAGTGCCAGCCAGCAGCTCAGGCTGCTCAGGCCCTCATCCAGCCTGGCCTTGAGTGCCTCCAGGGCTGGGGCACCCACAGCTTCTCTGGGCAGCTGTGCCAGGGCCTCTGAGTGAAGAATTTCCCCCTGAGGATGGCCCGCCTCTCTGCTTGGCCCCGCTGGGGGCAGACCGGAGCTGGGTGCACCCACAGCACTGCTCCGCCTGCTGTAAATTTCCACGCTGCTGGGATCGGATCAGGCCAGGGGAAGCAGAGCCTCTGACGTGTCTTCCAAACCAAAACAAAGCCGGTAAGGCTAATTTTAGGCCTGGGTTAGTATGGAAAGGATATCAAAGCTGACAGGGAGCTTTTTCCATTCTACTTATAATTAACAAATGTCTTAAGACTTGCATGTGGGGGAGGCTGAGGAAGGATAGCCCGCTCTCGACAGCGGGGTTTGCAATCAAGCGCTTTATCAACAAAGAGTAAAGCGGAGGGGAAATGACACCACACGCAGGCACAGCTTTGCTCCAGGTTGCATTGAACCAACACATCTGTAGCTCCGTGCCCTGGGACAAGGTGTGTGCAGTGCTGCTCTGCCAGCCTGCATGGCTGGGGAGCTGTGGCTGCGGCAGCGCTGTGACTGACGGCTCCTCTCCCTCTTCTCCCCCTGGCGTTCCTGCTTTGTGTGCATGCAGGTTTTTGTGGCCAGTCCAAACAAAACGCAGCCCATCGTGGAGATCCTGTTGAAAAACCAACCCAAGCTCATCGAGTTTCTGAGCAATTTCCAGAAAGAGAGGACGGATGATGAGCAGTTCACCGATGAGAAGAACTACCTGATCAAGCAAATCCGAGACTTGAAGAAGCCGACAGCATAAAGAACTCCACTCATTTTCCACTGTAGGCATTAATCTCTTCTGTTAAGTTCCTCAGTGTCCCTTAAACACCACAATAGTGCTTGAGAAGGCACGGCAAGTGCCTGGGTTTTTTATTTTGTCTTTGTTCCTAGATGTCAAGAGTATAGGGGTTTTACATGAAAGCTAAAAGAAAAAACAACCTAGAATAATATATTATTTTTAATCGAGACTAGAATTATTTATGTCAGTTTAGAATCCTTCTGAACTAGAAGCCGCTCTGCCATTTGTGCTCAAGGAGGACAAACCTCCTAGCTTATCTCTGTGGGCAGGCTCGCATGCTGGGGAGCGCACGAGGAGCTCCTGTGTGCCGATGCTTTCCCTCTGCACCCATAGCTGTGACTTTGTTTGAGTGCTGCACACACACACACGACTGTGAAAGAGTACATTTGTCTCTGGAGTTAGCTGCAGTTACAGATGCTGTTTTTTTAGCCAAAACAGTCACGTTTTTCCTTTGCTTCTGTGTTCTCGTCTATAAGCTTTCTTTAACCCTAGATCAGAGGTTTTCTGTTCGGTCTGCGCTGGGGAGGTGGATGAAGGCACCTGACTGGGCAGAATCATGCACTGCAGGGTGCCCAGCTGGAGGAAGGTGAGAACACCTCTCTTGGTGAGATGTGGCCTCAGTGTGAGCTGCTGTGTGGCCCTGGGGCTGCAGGAGCTGCTCTCAAAGCTGAGAGCATCTGTTGGGTGCTCACGTCGAGGCCTTGGAGCACCCAAAGGCTGCTGCTTACCTGGTGTTTCCTATCCCTGGTCATTCACACCTGGATTCAGGTTCCACAGAGGCAGTCATTGCACTGCTCACTCATTTAAGGTTGAATAAGCTCTGTGATCCAAACAGTGTTTCCTGTGTGTGCTGGGACAGTGTGGGGTCTTTTTTCAGTGGGATTGAAGGTGTTCTCTGGGGCTTCATCGGGATGTGGAGTTTGAGAGCAAGGAGTGGAAATGTCTTGAGTTCTTGCCAGCTGAAGTCCTGAGTTGTCCTGTTTGTTGCAAGGTTGTTTTGCAGCCAAAGCTGGCGCTGATGCTTCAGATAGAAAGGCCAACTGAATTGTGAAAATGGAGCAAGGCTTTTTCCTTCATGAAATTGTTGTATATTGGGGTGACTGATACTTTTATTTATGTGCTATGGAAAAGGGATGAAACTGAACAGATTGTGGAGTCATGGGTTTGTATTGTTGGTTTTTGTTTTTTTTTTTTCAGATGTCAGATACACACACACACACAAAAAAGCACATCTTAGTTGCCTGGAATTTAAAAAGAAAATATTTACAAGCTATTAAAGGCATGATTACCAAGTAAGCCGTATCTCTATGATTGCTGTCTTTTTTTTTCCCCTCTTGCCCTTCGGGAGAGCAAGGCTGCATGGTGCCAGATTCTTTCTGCCCTTCTCCTGGCACCTCAGGCTGTGGTCTGGCTGCAGCACGAGGAGAGGTGATACCTACAGCCAGTGTTGGTGTGAGCAGAACGTGCCCAGCTGCCATCCTCTGCCCACTGTGGTGGCGGCCATCCAACCACAGCAGTAAGGGCTGGTGGGAAGTCTGTGCGTGTGGGAAAAGAGGAAGAAAGGGCTGGTTTTACACTGAAAGGACTTGCTGGGTTCTCTGCAGTTTGTTACACAAGGAACTTCTCTGGACGCCGGATATTGCCAGCACACCTCTTAGCTGGGTCAGCTCCAAGCTCAACTTGCACGGCTCTTTGAAAGAAGCAAAAGAAAGGGTGAACGAGACGTCAAGCACCGTGCTGCTGTTTCACGCCCCTTAAATAAAGACGGGGTCTTGGAGCTGAAGATGGAGTTCGCTGTTTCCATCGGTTCACTCGTTCACGGCCCGGGCGCCGCTCCAACAGCTCCGCATTTCCCCGAGATCGGCACGCGGGGGAGCTGTGGCTGCAGGACCGAGCTCAGTGCTGGGAGAGGAGCGGGAGGAAGCGAGGGCTGCAGCCTTTCCGCTCCACTGCCCACCCCGCAGCCGCGCCAGGAGTCAGGAGGGAGCATCCCTGACTTCAAGCTGTCAGCTGTGCGACTGCTGCAACAGGAGAGCGGGTGGGAGCTGCCAGCGGAGTGGCACTTCCAAGGGAAGCTGCTGTGTGCTACCACCTTCTGTAAGAGAGCAGAACTGCAGCGAATTCTGCCCCGGCTCTGAAAATGCTGTGCCCAGGTGCGCCACGTATGTGGGCTGCAGAACTGGCACTGCGCAGCCTGGGAAGCAGAAGGAGCCCAAGGACGATGAATGCAGTGTTTGACAACACCTCTCTGCAGTTCCCTTGCTGTGCAGAACAGTCAGCCCCACATATGTGGCACTGTGACACCTTCATTAGTGACAAGACCACCTGCATCTGTTAGAAATAGACTGAAACCATCTGCCTGCTTTGCCTTGCCAGTCTGCAGGCGATGTCGCTTACCGGATCCAGGCAATGAAAGCCCAACGTTCTATCTGCAGCTCAGCAATACACTTCAGTACTTACTGCCAGAATCATTTATTAGCAGAAAACATCTTTTGCTGTAAGGCAAACAATTAGCAGAGAATTTCTGTAATTCTTGCTCAAGAGGCCAAACTGTTAGCAGCAGCTCATACCTGCAATTGAAAAGACTGCTCTGAGATGAACCAAAATGCGTACAGAAATTTCATACGTATATATAAAATATATAGTTTCACATTTCTTAACTTTAAATACATCGTTCTTTTGATGTAAGAAACACACACCCTACAGTTCCTTTGCAGAAGCGCAGCAGGAGATGCCCGACCTCGCATGCCTCCCCTGGGTGAGCAGACGAGATGCGCAGCAGTGCCTGCAGTCTGTGGGTCAAGAGAAACCCCTGCTCACGTTCTTCCTAATCTGCAATCCCAGCAGGAAACACAGCAGAGTTACACAGATCATCAGAGCCTACGGACATTTGTGAACCTCTGCTCAAATCTGCTCTGAATGCGTCCAAAGACGGCGTGACAGCAGGTCAGACTTGCAAGCTTTCAGCCTCAAAAGCAATTCCAAGTTTCACAGGAAGTTTCGTACAAAAATCCCTTTTAAAAAACCAATAAAAACTGAAGGTAAAATCGTCACTCATGAAGGTTACAGCAGCATCCACTGCAGTGCAGTTATTTAACATGTGCCATTTTTGATGCGTACATCATGATTTGCCTCTCCCTGTACCCAGGCCACCCACCACCTTTCAGGGACTTTTCCATCTCAGCCGTTCCCATAAAGACACAGACTTATCCTGCTTTGATACCAGCTGACCGATGAGGATAAAACCTCAACAGGCCTTAAACCTGCACTTATTTTTTCCCTGCTGCTACCTCAAGCAGGAGAGCACTGCCGATGGATGATGGAAACGTGAAGGTGTCAGGGTACGGGGGTGCTTAAATCTAGACAGGGTTCTTCTAATCTGTAGAGAAAGCCAAGAGTAATCACTCTTACACAGGAAGAAATGGAAGGAAAACAGTATGACAAAGTAAAATATTTGATTTAGAACAGATTATAATGACAGTCTTGCTTACGAAGCACCAATATCCAATTTTAAACTCGAGTTACAAGCCATGAAACTTGACGAGAGGAAGAAAATCAGTTTGGGAGGGTTGCATGACATCCAGAACAGGAACATCCTCCCCAGGCCCAAGCTGGACTCTGTCTGACAGAGGCACAGATCTCCTGCAGCTGGACCTGCTGGTCCAGGATCTCAGGCCCTGTGCTCTGGACCACACGAGCTGGTGGCAGTTCAAAGAAGCGGCAGATCAGACACTTCCTCATGAGCTACTGTGCAAATTTTTGAGGTGTGATGCAAAAAGTGGATTTCACCATCCTTCCCTTGGTTGACAAACAGGGTCATGTTTTCATCCTGGCCCTGGGAAAGGACAGCAGTGGTGGTGGATCAGCCACTTGCCTGGCAAGATTTCTGCTGCTGACTGCACACACCTCTCACGTCGCCAGAGGCTGTGTTCAGTTTCACTAAACTGAGAGAAAGCCTTCCTCCAGCTTAAGTAAGAGCAAATTCTCATGGTGGTAAGAGGATACAAGCATCCCAGTTCTGATATGAAGCTATCTGATGAGCCGTAAGGAATGTCAGCTCCTTGCTGCAGTTCAAGAACCTACCTTAAACTGCAGGATCAGACTGCGTGAGAACAGTCTCCCTGCAGCTAATGCTGTGTTAACACTGCTGTGCATGCTGCCCCATCACAGCTTTGCTATCCAAAGCCTGCAAAGAACAAATTGAAACTAAGCAGAATCTTAGGACACAGTTCTTCTTCCAGGGTTTTAAGGATGGAAGCAAAGGTGTAGGTTAATGCAGATGGGATGTGCTTGAGGCAGCACAAAGAACACACCCCAGCAGTGCAAGTACCACAGAAGAAAACAGCTGTGCTGCCATGGTAGTTGGAAGAAATTATGTATGAGAGACAAACAATCTCCAAATCCCTTTTCTAACAACCATTATGTCCCAGTGGCAGTGGCTCCATTATACAAACAGACTGAGAAGCAAAAGCCACTTTGAGGAACTGGGCCAGTTACTTATCTACCATTTTCTTGGAGATTCCTTTGAGTACTCTACTTGAACCACAGCTTACTTCTGCATTCTGCTAACCCAGAACTTAGAAATTCATTCCCTCAATCTCTACACCGAGCAAAGAAATAACATTTTATTATTCCTCTGATCTACCAGCAACAAATTTCTGCATTTGTTCTTATGCATTTACAATTATTTGCCACCCAATTACTTTCATAGAAAATACAAGCAGCATTTTTTCCCTAGGAACTTCTAAATTAAAAAGACCTTCAAGTAATTCTGTAAAACATTCAAGGCATCATAAATAAAGTTATTCTAAAAATCACTTTCCAAACAATAAATAAAATCCTTCGTTATTTGAAAGTGCAAACAGGCTGCGTTATAAAAAGCACAGAGCAAGAATGCAGGAGTGCTGAAGTGATTATTCAGTAGTGACCAAGACACAGTTTCTTGTTCTGGTGCTGCTGATCATCTACCGATTTTGTCTTCTGAACTCCATCTAGAGAAAAAACAGAAGTGAAATGTTAATGCAAGAGGAGGCACTGTCTAAGTGTTCCACGCATACAGGCACAGGGGAGTAACACTGGGTGCGGGTGGGAGAGGCTGTCTTCTTTCCCATGAAGGGATCACACAATAGTCATTGCAAGAGGGATGTGTATTGCAGAAAGAGAGCAAACTGGAACAGTGCTGAGAAGGGAAGCATGCCATCCCAAAGGAAACACTGTTAGAGAAAATAAGCGTTAAAGAGGTGTCAGACAAAAGGTACCACAGGGTGAATCTTTCTTCAGCTGAAACCCATTAGGACACAGAGGGACGAACACACCCTGACATTATGCAACCATTACTAAACACTACCCTGAAGCCTTCTCTCTTTCTTTCTTCCCACGACTTGTAAGGAAATTGCTGGGAAGAGATTTCTCCACAGCTCCCTACCTGTTAGGCATTAGCTGGAATTAGCTTGTGGTATGTAGCTATTCATGTGCTACAAAAAACCCGCTCTTAGCACAGTACTCATAGCTTGGAGCTACTGCCAGCTCTCTGCCTTTTCTGCTTGAAGCACAGAAGCTCCAAGCTTACTTTTCCACGTGGTTTTCACCTAGGCTGAGAAACATTTTAAGGACTGGTGGCTGACAGCACCACGGCTGCCCCAAAAGTAATGCCTCCTATCTTGCTATGCTGGCCCACCACGTCACAGGTGGATGTTGGAGGTGTGGCAGTAAAGGATGAACTTTCCCACCAATATCCCACTACATTTTGTTGCTGTGTGACAGATGGCTGCAGCGGGGCACTCTGAGGTGGAAGATGAAGCAAAGGTGTGTCACTGAACCTCTCCATGCAGAAAAAAACTGACACTTCGTTGACGCTTGCTGAACGTTCGAGATGCAGCCCTCAGCACATCAAGTGATGGATGCTGTCTTTTGGGATAGCAAAGTGGTGATCCTTCTGGATTTCCTGGAGCTCAGAAAAACCATGACACTGTAACTGCTACACTGTGACACTGGCTAAGCTGAAGGCTTAAACTTCCAGAGAAGACGAGTTTTCTTTTGCAACGCAGTAACACCAGGCTCCAGTTTGAAGGCTGCAGAGCAAATTGCCAGCCTTGGCTGGACTGTCCTACTACACCCTCTGTGTAGACCAGATTAGACACATGCTGACTTCTATCTGCTGACGAATGATAGGCTACACAGGTAACAATTTCCTAGCAAAGGTGCCATCATAGCAGCTATTAAATAGAAGTCACCTCTGCTGGTACAGATTTTTACAAGCACGGCATGCAGGTTCTTGTTCATTGCTGATGAACATGCATAGCTCATCGTGGTGACTATGTTGAAAAATAGTGTTTTACAGATGAGAATTTCCTTTATCAAAGTGTTATTGGCTCTTATATCTGTTGTAGTTTCCATGGAAATAAATAGGAGGCACTACTTTCAGAGCAAACTACATACATGCCAGTAGGGTAGGACCCCTCTGTAGCACACAAAGGCTTCAGCATAAACACGCTGCTTTCAGAAGGTGGCAGCTCCCTTGTACAAGGGTGCAGGTAGGCAAGGATTTGAGGACCCGTGCCCCTGTTACGATAACAAAAGTGCCCCAGTTCAAAGATAACAAAAATGAAGGGAAAAAATAATGTATGTATAAATGTTCACTGAAAAACACTGCCGTAGGTTCTCCTTCATTTAAGTGACTCAGAGTCTAATTTCTTCTGAGAAGAAGAGCACTCCAATCCCTTAAAGTCTTCACAGAACACAACATAAAACATAGTAATGTAGTCTGAAATGATCTTAACAATAGCATTAGAAGATTTTGTAATTGTGTGCAAGTGCCAAGCATTTGTTAAGACAAGTTTAGATTTTTGACTTACCATCAGTTCATCTATTCAAAAAGTTTAGAGAAGCATTCATGGAAAAATGTAACTAACTGAAATCAATCCCCAGAGGAATTCAGATTTGTTTAACGCTTGATCTTACTTACAGATTTCAGTCATAAAACACATTAATGAAAAAACCACTTACTTTCCCTCATTGTGGGATCATGGAACTCAACGGCATTAGGGTGGCATGGATTTAACTGCCACTGGTAAAAGAAGAAAAAAAAGTTTATTTCATAGAATCATAGAAGCACAAGGTTGGAAAGGACCTACAAGATCATCTGGTCCAACCATCCTCCCATCACCTCTGCTACCACAAGCACTAAACCACATCTTGCAGCTCCTCATCCAGGCACCTCTTGAACACTGCCAGGGACGGCGCCTCCACCACCTCCCTGGGCAGCCATTCCAGTGCCTGACCACTCTGAGAGAAAAAGTTCTTCCTCATGTCTAATCTAAACCTCCTCTGGCACAACTTTTGTTTATTTGCTGCCTGGGAGAAGAGGCCAAACCCCTCCTCATCACAACCTCCCTTCAGGCAGTCTCTGAGCCTCCTCTTCTCCAGACTAAACAATCCCAGCTCCCTCAGCCACTCCTCATAAGATTTGTGCTCCAGACCCCTCATTTATTCCAGAAGACAAAAGAAAGAGCAAGGGGAGAAAGAAGTAACTTTCTAATGTTCACTGTGAGCTGGGAAAAGAAGGGCTCTCCCTCAGACACACACTTCCTTTGAGGATAAAGATCCCTTAGGGCTTGTGTGGCCATTTATTCCCCTGAGATGGGGAAGCAAGCCTGCAGAGACTAACAGGACTGCAGTTTGGTATGGTGAGCACCCTGAGCACAGGTGCATTTGGCCACCTTCAAAACCCACCACAGCTCTTTGCAGAGCTGCCAGAAGGGCCTATGAAAGCATGCTGCCATCTCCCACCCCATGTGGCAGAATGGAGGTCTGAGGAGAACTTCAGCGTGGTGAACCGCCGTGTCAACAAGCAGCCACAAGTCAGAGGGCAATCTGCAAGGAAATGACATCCCAGAAAACAGGCACCACACAGCACATGGCACAGCACTCCTCCCCAGAGGTTCCAGAGCAACCTCAGTGCCACTCACACTTGATTGAACAGCACACTCCCGTATGCCAGCTCTGTGACTGCTCACTCCACCCTCCCATGAATGCTGCCCACAGGTTTTTGTATATAACACGTATTTTAGATACTTACAGTAAATTTGCTTACACCCTCCAGTTCACCAAACTTCATATAGGAAATATCTGCTTTCTTTTTTCCCGCATCGACATCTCCTGCATAGATTTGCTTGATACCAGCCCCTTTGATTAAAGGGACACATTCATCACAAGGACATTTTGTCACAAATATCATGCTTCTCTCGTCTGGCTTTATTTCTCGACACCTACAAGCAGTCAGAAAGCAGAATTTCAGCATTTACATCTTGATAAGTTTCGAATGGTGACAACAGGAAGAAGCAAAGAAGTGTTGTGCTATCTAGCACCTGCTCCCACAATCAGCTTATTCCTGCTTAAGTGCAAGAGCATACAAAACCACCTGGTCTGGTTTTACTACCTGTGAGTGAAATGCCCCTCCTACCTTTCCATACACATCACATGTGGCGTCAGGAGCCTCAACAATTGCCACACTTCCATATTTCAGGTTATAGCACAGTCCTAGCAGGAAGCAGAGGCAGTGGCTTATATTTGAAAGATGGCTGCCACACACTGGAGTGAATTTCCTTTCAAAACCAAGTTCACTTAGATTCTGTCTGAAGAAACCCCACAGCTGACTGTGTCTGTGCACATCCACGTTCTGCCCCATAAGCATAAACAAGACTGGGACTGCAAGCCACGTCTCTTCACAGTGACATCATGCTTCTGTCACAAAATTATTTCTGAACTGTTGTCTCTTTTTTTTTGGTGGTAAAGATCAACTCATTACCTGAATGTCAAGGCATTCTGCTCAGCATGTATGATGTATCTGAACTTCCTGATTTCCCGATCTTTTTGTTTGTCATCCATGTGTGGAAAATCAGCATATTCAGATCCAACAGGAAAGGCATTGTAACCGCAGCCTACGAAATACATTGCTCCTGTTCCATCACAGCTTCTCTGCAACAGTAAACAAATTAGGGAATTTTGAGATGTTTAAACTGAGTACTGAGTCACAGCATTGTGCAATATATGCTTTCACATTTTGTTTAGTATGCAAGCATTGTAAGTTCACGCCAAGTTACAGCAGTTAGAAGAGAACTCAGCCAACTGCTGCATGTCTGCACAGTGCTGTTCCACGAAACCACGCAGGCAAACTGCAGCAACACAGACAACAGACCAAACTGGGCTCTAAGGGCTTCCCTTTTTGCATACTGTTAGAGGGAACAAAAAGTGTAAAGGATTTGGTCACCTGGAATACTGACAATTAGGGAAGCAAGCATGCTAAGAAGAGGCAGATACACCGTGGCACTTACTGACCTGATTTACACTTCCCCTTCATCTTGAGAGCATAAGCAGTGAAAAGTTAGGTACAAATAGTGAGAAGTACAGGGCTTTCTACAGCACTGCACACGTGTACAAGTTTACACATGGGTTCAAATGTTTACCTTCTATGCATATGCATATGCAAATTAAAAGAAACAAGCCCAAAGCAGATACAAGCATATACAAGGGCAAGAGAAGGCAACTTTCAAAATACTTACTGCTTTTTCTTCTGCCCAAATAATAGCTCCGACTCCTGTTTTATGATCCTCTGGAACACAAATTTTAGCAGTAAATAACAAATGAGGTACTTCTAAGCCATGTACATACTAACATATTACATCCTAGAGTAAGGTTGTTCTCTGGATACGAGAAAGGAACGCAGGAAGACTGAGAGCTTTAAAGTGTTGAGAGTCTACTGCAAAAGCTGGGGGTGCTTCAGCAGCAAGGCCAGCCATTCTGTGATTTTGTCAGGTCCATTTTTTGCCAGATGCTGAGAAGCAACCAATATGTATAACTAAGAACACACGTGCCAACAACACATACAGAGCAGCACGACGATCTGAGATTGCAAACCATCAGATTTATTACTTAACTGCTGCCATTCCTTAAATATGTGGTAATGCTCAAACTAGGAAATTGAACAGAAGAAGCAAGATGAAATAACCAGGAACTCACCCACACGAGATCCATTCCTATCCCCTGCAGTAACAACTCACCTGTCCGGTAGGCGAGCAGCCTGGCTTGTACCATACAGTGCCTTGCAATCTCTTGGGGCAAACCCTGATGGCATGTATCATTTGCTGGCTGTGGTTCACTGCTGTAAAACCCAAAGCAACCAAAGACAGGGACGCTGGCAGCCACCGTGGCCAAGACCAAGACCAGATCTTTCATATTTTGTCTAAGATTGCTGAAGTATGGATTTTCACAGAGGTTCTCCAGTCCTATGGTCATCAATATTTGCTTGTGCGTTTCCTCATTTGAAATCAGGAATAAACTTTCATATTCTTTAATTCTTTCTTGTCTACATGCAGTATAAAAGTCAGTATTAAAGTCAGGCTGTGATTTGGCTATTTTTTTAATAAAATCAAGCTTGGTGGAAGTTTCTTCAATAAACTGCACCATGTAGCACACCAAGGGCTGAAGCAACACACACACCCGAGCACGGCTGTTTGACTTCAGCCTTTCTACTGCTTTGGCATCGAGCTTTGCATCACTGGTCATCACAGGATTGGATGCCTCATTCTGCAAACTGATTTCAGGATCTGCAGGCCAGTAAGAAATCCTGTTCACTCCAGCTGGAAGAGAAGACAATGCAGAAAAAGGAGCCATTGAAGTACGGTGGGACACAAACCTCAAAAGCAATACATTATTGCCTAACCCTGTTTTTAGTCTTTCAAGGCCCCGTGTGCTGCGTAAGGTATGGCTGGGCAATAAGAATGGCAGCTGGTATCAGGAGCCCACCTGATTCGATAACCAGATCATAAACAAAAACAGAAATTTCTGAAGTTCCAACATCTTTGTGGCAGCATAATTTTGCATCTTACCTATAACAGATACATTGCCAACGCATAAAAATGTCTGTAATAGAAACTGCTGCTGAGATTCAAATCTAATCAGGAAGTGAATAATCCGTCTTCATCTCACTTGAAAAAAGGAAGACTTAAAGTACTTCCTTGTGATTTCTGCACCATCTTTATTCTGTACCACTAATATGCAGTGAGAGGACCAGTTAAAAATGTAGTAATCAGGATCTGGTCATCAGGATTAGGGTTGTTCTGGGAAAGTGCAATGGCTGTGTCAGAACCTCAGCACTGAGAGACAGGCACCACAAACAAGAGTTGCTGCACAAAGAAATACAGTCTCAATAGCAAACCCTAATATCCTGATCATCAGTTTCAGGAAATGCACATTCAATACTGTGGAAAATAACAGTGCAGGCTTCCATGAGCTGCCAATCAGCTAGGATAATCAAGGAGAACATGGGCGTTCTGACACCACCAATGGCAAGTGTAACAGCTGTTCCCACTACACTACAATCAGCTCTTACCATTTACAATCATTTTTAAGCAAGTTGAACACGGTTTTCTGGAAAAGTAAAGATCACAGTTTTTAAGTCTCGATCCATGTTTAATGAGCGCGATCTGACCGGCATGCAGGTCTGCACTGGAACAATGAAGACCAATAATGGTCATGTTTTTCACCACAACCAGGCCGCTCTTCTTTACCTACGGAAAACAACGCGTGGTTATTAGCATTACGTCCACGGGGAGATCACAGCTTGTCCCTGGTAACACTCGTCCACCAGGAATGGAGTACGTTGCTCCCCAGTACAGATTTCCATATGGATCATTAAATAACCTCTGCTGTATTTCCACTAAGCAGTGCCTACATGTGGATCTTAATACCTGAGTGCTGCGTCTCTGTCAAACTTCACACCAACACTTGTCACCAATTCCTGTTTTTTTCTGACCATAGCTTTACCCATTAGAAAACTCAGGAGCTGCACAGAAAATTCCATCAACTACAACTTAAAGCCTCTCTCAATCATTCAGCTACTGTAAGTGCTGATGATTTCAATTTCTGTCTTAATCTTGATCATCCTGGGACCCAATAGGTCCTCTAGTTTTATTTCTGTTTTTTCAATTATAGACGTGAATTGTGGTTCTAAATAAGGAAAAAGCCTGCAAGTCATAGACAAGAGCTCTTACATCTGGATTCCCACATGTAGTGAGGAAACTGAATACTGCCTAGTTTGATCACAGAATCCCAGAATGGTCTGGGTTGAAAAGGACCACAATGCTCATCCAGTTTCAACCCCCTGCTGTGTGCAGGGTCACCAACCAGCAGACCAGGCTGCCCAGAGCCACATCCAGCCTGGCCTTGAATGCCTCCAGGGATGGGGCATCCACAGCCTCCTTGGGCAACCTGTTCCAGTGCGTCACCACCCTCTGAGTGAAAAACTTCCTCCTAATATCTCACCTAAACCTTTCCTGTCTCAGTTTAAAGCCATTCTCCTTTGTCCCATCACTGTCCACCCTCCTAAACAGCCATCCCCTCTCCCATTGATGATGCAGATCTTATTATGCAATCCAGCTGTAACCCAAACACTTGTCTGTAAATTATTCAATTTCACTGTGTTTACAGAGATAGGGCTGTACCAAACCCCACATATAACCCACTTTCCAAACTGAATTTCCAAACTGCCTTTCCAAACTGAATTACTGTGTTTCAACCTATATCTGAAGTCTCCATAGTGTTCATCTACCCCTCTTTCACAAACACAGCAATCAGTCTGGGACACGCAGTACAACACTCTGAAAACTACTCATCACTCAAGTTATTATCCTATCTTTTCTTGTCCTGGTTGATATATGTGCAATGTGTCTCAGCACATGGATCTGCCGTGCACAAAGAAGTCATCATTTTAAAGAGGATAATAAGAGCTCTGACTACAGACAGAGACTCCCTGTTCCAGGACACTCTGCAAATACCCCTGTACTTCAATGTATAACTGGCAGGTATACAGAAGACTCATTCTGGAAGATGCTTTCTTTTCATTGTCATTAAGGTAGTTACCTACAAGCTCCTGATCAACAACCAGGAGTTTTGAGTAGTTCTGTGCACATTCACTGCATAAGAAAACTTCTCTACAGCCACTAACACTATCATTGTAAGGACTCTCTCTACCTCACAACCAGTGGGTACTAAGAAATGCACAATATGTTATGCTTTTCAAAATACCCACCAGCATTTTTACTGTTTGCTTCATCTGCTGGGGTTACGTCTTGCCTTTCAAGTGTTTTCACTAACAGCACTTTGTGTAACTGTTCTGCTGTTTTTCTCTCACCGCATTTTCTCCTACCTCTAAGTAAACTCGAAAAAAAACCTGTCAGCTTTTTCTTTTTTCTTCTCCAGACTATCCACTCTGTACAGAGTAGTTAGGTTACAAAGCTGTCAGCATCTGTTCAGAAAGACCAATTAACAGTAAGCTCCGATGTTTTACCTGTGATTTCTTCTGTTGTTCGGCAGAAGGAAAGAGCTCCATCCAGAGACTGAACAAAGTAAAAAGATTGACCTTAGAAAGCCTGGGTATTTGGCCTGCCATTAGAAGAAAAAAGAAATAGTTATTAAAGAGTATTTACAAATAAAAATGACATTGTTTTAATAACTAAGATGTATATCCTAGTCATGGGGGTGCCATAGAGGAGATGCTAGCAACCTTTCCAAAGTGGCACACCAGATTCCATGTTTCTTTCCTAGGTTAGGGGATAAATTTACTAGAAGAACACAACCAGAGCTAGAGGCGAGGTCACAGAACCATAGAATGGCTTGGGTTGGAAGGGACCTCAAGGATCACCAAGTTCCAACTCCCTTGCCACGGGCAGGGCTGCCAGCCACTAGCCTGATTAAGTGGTAGGTCAGACCATCAAGACATGGCTAACTGGCTGAGCAGCACCCTGCCTCTCCTTACCTTTATGTTACCAGATCCTACTTCTATCAGAAACATCCAGGCTTCCAGAAAGGAAAAACAAAACTGGCACAATTTCTATGTTTTACAAATTTCCTCACTTTTCATTAGCTAAACATGGAAATTTCTGTTCTGTGAAATGATACAGAAGCGTTATAATGCAGCAAGACTTTGCTTAAGATGAGAGCTACCATCAGCTTTAATGCCTTAATATATACTTCTCCCAACATCAATCCCAACTGCCACAGTGTTCTAACTCGTCTGTAGGTAACAGAAAGGCTTTCCTCAGACACAAACAAAAGTTCTGATGAACATTTTCCACTTTGGTTACTGCAGAAACTCTATTATCAACCTTTCTGCTATGACAGCAGCCAGACTGTGGCTCTGGGCAGCCTGGTCTGGTGGCTGGCTACCCTGCACATAGCAGGGGGTTGAAACTGGATGAGCATTGTGGTCCTTTACAACCCAGGCCATTCTGTGATTCTATGATTCTACAAAATTCCAAATTACTTCTGGAAAGCAAGTCAAGCCAGAATGTTTGCAGCAAGATAATTCTACTCAAAGGTGGAAAGCATGAACCGCAGAGCAGATCCCATGTAACTTCAGTTCATGTTACCAAATGATTCCCAGATGCTGACAGAAATGTGAGACATATCTCATGACTCAGCTTCAGGCTCACCACACGGAGAGCAATCCCAGCACACATCATGGTCTTACACTGACACCTTCTGCATGACAGGACATGCTACTGTGCAGTCTTGCAGTCACACCAGTTATAGAGAAACCTGTTTCTCAATTTGTACAGTCTGCTTAAATTTTGCTTAGGTTTTAACAAAAAAAATTTAAACCTGTCACTGTGACTGAGTAACCAAAGGGGCAGCAAAGAACCACCATCAACCACCTTGTGCTGCTTTGAGTCTCATTTCAAAATTCAGATAGAATTCTGTAAGGCCCAGCACTCAGCATTCCAAGTGTCCCACAGCTGAAGAAGGAGCTGTCCTTACAGACTGGAAGGAGCTTTCCTTGGGAGCAGCCCTGCGGAGAAGGACCTGGGGGTCCTGGTGGATGCAAAACTCAACGTGAGCCAGCAGTGTGCTCTTGCAGCTCGGAAGGTAAATGGTATCTTGGGTTCCATCAGAAGAAGGGTGGCCAGCAGGGACAGGGAGGTGAATTTCCCTCTCTACTCTGCTCTTATGGGGCCCCATCTGGAGCACTGCATCCAGGTTTGAAGACCCCAGTGCAAGAAAGACAGGGAGCTGTTGGAGACAGTGCAGAGGAGAGCCACGAAGATCATCGGGGGACTGGAGCACCTCCCCTATGAAGACAGGCTGAGGGAGCTGGGCTTGTTCAGCCTGCAGAAAAGAAGGCTATGGGGTTTGCAGCCTTTCAGTACCTAAAGAGAGCCTACAAACAGGAGGGAAATCAACTCTTTGAAAGGGTAGATAACAGCAGTATGAGGGGAAGTGATTTTAAGTTGAGGGAGGGAAGATTTAGGCTGGATGTTAGAGGGAAGTTCTTTACAGATAGGGTGTTGAAGTACTGGCACAGGCTGCCCAGAAAGGCTGTGGATGCCCCGTCCTTGGAGGTGTTCAAGGTTAGGGTGGATGGGGCCCTGGGCAGCCTGGTCCAGTATTAAATGTGGAGGTTGGTGGCCCTGTGTTGCAGGGGGGTTGGAGATTCATGATCCTTGAGGTCCCTTCCAGCTCTGGTCATTCTGTGATTCTGTAAAGGAGCAAGCACTGCATTGCTCACTAATGCTTTCGCCCTCCCTTAAAGCAGTTTTGCCTCACACGACTGGCAAGGGAGAAGGTCAGTCTAATGACAGAGCTGTGAACCCAAACATTTAGGACAGCAGTTAAACGCATACAACACTTGACTGGAATACCTTTTTCAGACTGTACTTCTGCAGCATTGTTCACACAGAGGGAAGAACAAAATGAGGGCTTTTGGAAAGCAGCAACTGCCCTATTAGCAGTACCACCTGATCCCACACTCACTGGGCTGCACAGCTGGGGACATCCCCTCACAACACGCAAACACTATGAGGGGCCCATAATGAGCCCATTAGACATGCTTGCTAGCAAGCAAGTAGCACATGTGAAGATTTGTCTTCTCTTGTACTAAAAGCAAACACTAAAAGTAATTCTGGCAGCTATACTTCAATAAGCAGATTTTATTCTCTTAAACGGATACTGCACCCTCGGTAAACTGTAGATGACACCAAGATGAGAGGAAGTACTGATATGCCTGGGAGAAGGAAGGTCCTACAGAAGAATCAGAATAGGTTGGACCAGTAGGCTGAGGCCAATTGTACAAGCTTTGCTAAGCCCAAGCACTCTTTGGTCACAACAACCCTGTGCACTGCTACAGGCTTGGGGCAGAGTGCCTGGAAAGCTGCACAGAGGAAAAGTATCAGAAGGTGTCAGCTGACAGCTGGCTGAACATGAGCCAGCAGTGCACAAGTGGCCAAGAAGGCCAATAGCATCCTGGCTGGTATCAGCAATAGTGCAGTCAGCAGGAGCAGAGAACTGGCTGTCCCTCTGCACTCAGCATTGGTGAGGCAACACCTCGAGTACTGTGTTCAGTTTTGGGCTTCTCACTACACTGAGGCTCTGGTGTGTGTCCAGAGAAAGGCAACGAAGCCTCGAGGGGTCTGAAGCACAAATCTTATGGGGAGCAGCTGTTCAGTCAGGAGAAGAGGAGGTTGTGGTGAGGCAGGGGTTGGCCTCATCTCCTGGTAACAATGACAGGACTAGACATAAGAGCCTGAAGTTGCACCACAGGAAGCTCAGGTTGCATATAAGGAAACACATCTGCTCAGAAGGAGTGGTAACACACCAGCACAGGCTGCCCAGGGAGGTGGTGCAGTCACCAGGCCTGGAGGTGTTCAAGAACTGTGTGCATGTGGCACTGAGTTAGTGGACGTGGTGGGGATGGGCTGACGGCTGGACTGGATGATCTTAGCAGTCTTTTCCAACTTCAATGATTCTATGACATTCGAGTTCATCTGTGTTACAGCCCCACGTCACTCACTCACATTTACAATACCCAAATGACAAGCTAAAAAACCCAGCAAAATTTATTTCACCTCGCACGTCTACCATCATAATTTCTAAAATGGATTGCAATCTATCATACAGAGTAGACCCCAAATAGAATATGCCAGAAACAAATTGAAACTACTGGTTTATTGGACCTTATCTGGGTGTAAGATATTGAACACATGAAAAGCAAACAGAAAAAAGTGCAGAGTCTGCTTCCTGTTGTGAATAGATATAGATTTATCATGAGAAGCAGGAGGATATTATGATGAAAAAGGAAAGAAGGAAGGTCACAGCATTTCCACACATCTGCATCTTCATTCATTTGCTCTTTGCTAACAAGAGCAAAGCCAGGCATGCTCTTTTCTGATGCATCAAAGCCTCCATTTCCCTATTAACACAGCCCATCCTCAAACACAAGGCACGATTTTCCTCCTGCAGGTCAAAGGCCTCACTGCAGTGACGGAGAGTGTGTTTAAGGAACACGAGCTGTGAAGGGCAATGCTGAAGGCACCGCTGTGGGGCATGTCCATGAGATGTGGCTCAGAATGTAATTATGCCTGATTTGCAATGTGGGAATCTGTAGTTCAAAGTCTGAATGTCAGTGACATCCTTATGACCTTAAAGCACCTGGAAAGGGAAAACAGAAGACATGTGCAGAGCAAAACTGCAGTGAGAGTGGGATTCTCATAGAGACAGCCGGACACAGCCCCCACTGCCTGCCAGGAGAGCCAGCAGGTCTCAGCCCAAAGCTGTGCATGAATCATAGAATCAGTAAGGCTGGAAAAGACTACTGCAATCATCCAGTCCAACCGCCAGCCCATTTCCTCCATGCCCACTAACCACATCACTCAGTGCCACATCTACATTGTTCTTCAACACTTTCAGAGATGGGGACTTCACCACATCCCTGTGCAGCCTGTTCCAATGTCTCACTGCTCCTTCTGAGAAGAAACTGTCCCTAATATCCTTCCTCAACCTCCCCGGCAAAGGTTAAGGTCATTTGCTCTCATCCTATAGCAGTTACCTGGGAAAAGAAGCCAACACCCATCAACCTGCTCTCAGATCATTGTAGAGAACGATAATGTCTCCCCTGAACCTCCTCTTCTCCGACTAAACAATCGTAGAATGTCTTAGGTTGGAAGGGACCTTAAAGATCATTAAGCTCCAAGCCCCCTGTCACAGACAGGGCTGCTACCCAGCAGCTCAGGCTGTCCAGGGTCCCATCCACCTCCAGGGATGGGGGATCCACAGCTTCTCTGGACAGCCTGTGCCAGGACCTCACCATCTGTGACCAAATAATTTTTTCCTGATATCTACCCTAAGTCTCCTGTTTTTTACTTTAAAGCCATTCCCCTTCATCCTATCACAATCAACCTGTGTAAACAGTCAGTCCCCCTTCTGCTTATAAGCTCCTTTCAAGTACTGGAAGGCCACAATGAGGTCTCCTCGGAGCCTTCTCTTCTTCCTCATAGAGATGCTTCAGCCCTATGAGCTTCTTTGTGGCCCTCCTCTGCACCTGCTCCAACAGCTCTGCACCCCTCCTGTGTTGTGGGTCCCAGATCTGGACAAAGTACTGCAGATGGGGCCTCACAAGGGCAGAGCAGAGGGAGACAATCCCCTCCTTCTCCCTGCTGCCACCCTTCTGTTGATGCAGCCTGGGATGCGGTTGGCCTTTTGAGCTGCAGGCACACACTGCTGGCTCATGCGCAGCTCTTCACCCACCAAGACCCCCACGTTGTTCTCTGCAGGGCTGCTCTCAATGAGTTCATTCCCCAGTTTGTACTCCTATCTGGGACTGCCCCAGTCCGGGTGCAACACCTGCACTTGACCACTTCTCAAGCCTGTCCAGGTCCCTCAGGATGGCATTCCTTCTTTCTATTGTGCCAACCGCACCACCAGCTCGGTGTCGCCACCAAACTTGCTGAGGGTGCACTGGATCCCACCGTCTGTGCCATTGATAAAGGCGTTAAAGAGCACCAGTCCCAGGACGACCTATGTGGGACACCACTCACGACCGGCCTCCACCTGGACACGGAGCCATTGACAACGACCTTCTGGCTACGACCATCCAACCCCGTTTTAGCTGGGCCATACAGCCCAGCCAAACGATCCCATCTCCCTCCGCCGCTCCCCATCAGATCTGTGCTCCAGACCCCTCGCAGTTCAGCCGCCCCTCTCCGGACACGCCGCAGGCCCTCAGCGCCTTCCTGCAGGGAGCTGCAGTCTCGCAGCACCCACAGCGCCGTGCAGGAGCTGCCCAAACTCGTCCCGGCCACAAGTGGCTCTCGGCTCCCTCAGCGCCCAGCCGCAGCCACCCTCAGGCCGCGCGCTAAGGCCGGCCGTTCGCGGCCGCTCGCCCCTCGCAGCACCCCGCCCCGGGGCGCCTCGCGGCGGACGCGTGGCGGCGCTCACCAGCCATGCTGTCGGTCTGCGTGCTCGCCGCGCTCATTCGCGGCCCCCTCGCCGCCGCTGCCGCCTCCTCCTCCTCGTCCGCGCCGTGCATCGGTGCCGGTGCCCACAGCTCGCCCCGCCCCCATAGCGCCGCCGCTCCTCCCCTCAGGGCGGTGGAGCGGCGAAGGCGTCCCCATGGCAACCGCCGCTGACGGGCGGCTGCTTCGGCCAATGGGAGGCGGGGGGTGGAGGTGGGCGCGGCTTGCCTCTGGGGGGCGGGCAGGGGCTGAGGGGTGTCTGGGCGCTGGGGGGGAGGGCGTGCGTGCGAACTTTGCAGTATGTAGTCATAGAGCTGCTTGATACGGATGGACCCCTGAAGGCCATCCGGTCCAACTCCCCTTCAGTGAACAGGGATACCTGCAGCGCCATCGGGTGCTCAGAGCCCATCCAGCCTGACCTTGGGTGACTGCAGGGATGGGGCATCCGCCACTCTCTGGGCAACCTGTGCCACAGCCTCACCACCCTTATAGTAAAAACCCTTCCTTAGAACCAGTCCAAATCTCTCCTGTTCTAGTTTGAAACCATTTCCCCTTGTCCTCCCACAGCAGACCCTGCTAAAGAGTCTGTCCCCTTCCTTCTTACAGCCCCTGTTACTGAAAGGCTGCTCCCAAGTCTCCCTGGAGCCTTCTCTTCTCCATGCTGAACAGCCCCCGCTCTCAGCCTGTCCTCATAGGAGAGGTGTTCCATCCCTTGGATCATTTTGGTGGCCCTGTGGATGCACTCCAGCAGCTCCATGTCCCTCCTGTGCTGAGGACTCCACATCTGGATGCAGTACTCCAGGTGAGGCCTCATAGCACAGAGCAGAAGGGCAGGATCAGAACTTGTTACTTGGGCTGTCCAAGGCCACAGAGAGAGAAAGGTTGGGAGAGAAAAAGAGTTTTGTGTGTTTAAACTGTTGTCATGTTGTCTTGAGTGAATGGTTGAGAGCTTCAGCGCCTACTGGATATCAAATACCTGCATTGGGCTGCTGAAAGATGAGCTGCTTCTACATGGTTTGACTGCCTCTGTTCATGGTCTAACAGGTTAACAGAATAAACCCAGGCTTCACATTTACTGTCTTTTCTTTTATGGGGAGAATGAATTGTAATTAACTGGATAATTCTTATTGATTCCAAAAGAGGCAATGTAATAACTTTGAGATTTGGTAACATAATGCAAGGGAGTTACTTCATTCCACAACTATATATCTCTATAAAGAAGCCATCAGTGACCACTGGAAGAAATGTGTGTTCCTGAAAGCAGTTGAAGTGTCAGTTAAAATACATGAAGTCTTATGATTCCAAAAGAGATGTGGACAGTCTGGAGCAAAGAAAATGAAAAGACTCACTTATATGCAAAGTCCCCTAATTAGCTTATTGCTTGTTTTTGCTGTTTTTCCCTCATCGAGAGACTATTTTTCTGGAGAAAAGCACGTGGGGTTCAAGGGCAGTTGGTTTTGACTCTCTGCGGTAGAGCAGAAGCAAGAAGCCAAAGACTGACACACCACTTCATACCTATGCAAAAATAACTGCCTCATCATTTCTTCCTATTGAGGAACAGCTGGGAAACGTGTTTGGATTGTGTTGATACTCTAAACAACTGCGTTTAGCTGGAAAACAATTTTGGCTCCCTCGTTTATTGGCCAAAAATACAGTTTCAAGTTCAAGAGCTTTTTCCTTAGCAGATCGCCGCTGCCTACCTGGCTGGGTCAGCCTGGCACGAAAAGGTTCCCTGGAACTCCTTGGCTGTATCTGCTGTTCCACAAATCACTGTCCAGGTGGAGGCCAGTCATGAGTGGTGTCTCACATAGGTCTGTCCTGGGACTCTTTAAATTGGTTCTGGTACTCTTTGAATTGTCTATCAGTGATGTGGACAATAGGATCAAGTGCACCCTCAGCAAGTTTGTTGGTGACACCACGCTGTGTGCTGAGGTTGACACAATAGAAAGAAGGAATGCCATCCAAAGGGACCTGGATAAGCTTGATGAGTGGGTCCACGGGAACCTAATTCAAGGCCAAGTGCAACGTATTGCACTTGGGTTGGGGCAATCCCAAGCATATGGACAGACTGGGAGAGGAACTCACCAAGAGCAGCCCTGTGAAGGACTTGGAGTTCCTGGTGGGTGAAAAGTTGAACATGAGCCAGCAGTGTGTGTTTGCAGCCCAGAAGGCCAACTATATTCTGGGCTGCATCAACAGAGGGGTGGCCAGCAGGGAGAGGGAGGGGATTGTCCCCCTCTGCTCTGCCCTTGTGAGGCCCCATCTGCAGCACTGCATCCAAGCCTGGGGGCTCCAACAAAGGAAAGATGTGGAGCTTTTAGTGGGGGCCCAGAGGAGGGCCATGAACATGAACCAAGGGCTGCAGCACTTTTCCTATGAAGACAGGCTGAGTGAGCTGGGCTAGTTCAACATGGAGAAGGCGTGGGGAGACTTCACTGTGGCCTTGCAGTATTTAAAGTGAATTTATAAAGATGAAGGAAATCAACTTCTTACATGTGGTAGCGACAGGGTAAGGGGGAATGGTTTTAAACTAAGAGAGGGAAAATTTAGATTCAATGTCAGGAGGAATTTTTTTACTGTGAGTGTGCATAGTGATGCACCGGCACAGGCTGCCCAGAGAGGTTGTGGATGCCCCATCTCTGGAGGTGTTTAAGGCCAGGTTGGATTGGGCCCTGGGCAACCTAATCTAGTACTTGGTCTAGCAGTTGGCAGCACTGCCTGTGACAGGTGTTGGAACTTGATGATCCTTGAGGTCCCTTCTTACCCAAGCCATTCTATGATTCTATGATTCTGCATTTAAATAAAACAAACAACCCTCCTCTTGAAAAGTGAGATATTAAACATCACTGTAGAACGTAGGTACTTTGGTTCATATAGGGAATGTCTGTTATTTGTTTGTATCATGCAAATAGAACGAGCTGCTCTTTCATCTTTGCAAGCCAAGCTTCAGGAATTTCTGCACCTCTGTCAGGCAAAACCACATGCATCCTGTAGCCTCATCAGTCTGCTAGTGATGAAAATATCTCTGTTGATCTAATAATTAAAATCAAGTAAGCAAACAAACAGGAATTAATGATGCTAATTAAAACAAGAGGAATCTACTGGCATCCAGCAAGATAGTGACTTCTTCATGTCCATGCACTTTAAGAAGGGGTTGCACGTACCTGTTAGGGATTGGACCTAGGAGCTCTGACTCTCCAGACTTACGGAGCTGAGCTTGCTGTACTCCATGCTCTGCTTTGCAGCCTGGGAATGAGCTGCCATGTTTTACCTCAGAAGAGTCTGCCTTCCTGTGAAGCTGTCCTTATGCTGGTTTTGTGTTTCTGTTGAAAGCAGCAGAGGGTTGATATTGCTGTGAGTGAGAATATCTTTCTTCCACCACAATAAAAACGTGGTGTTGCTTTAGAAACAGAAAGGCAGTAGGTTTTGGATTGTGCCAGGAGGGTGAGAGATGAGAGGGGGAGATATTAAATCCCAAATCTCTGCCTGTGCACTGCTGATCTACATGCCCAGAATGTATGTAATCAGAGGAATAAAGCATTGTTTCACCACGACATGTTAACTGGCTGCATCTTATACCCATATTTAAGCATTTTATCTGCAGTGCTGTCTGAAATTCTTTCAAAAACTTGCACATGCCATGCATGCGTGCACAAGTAAAATGATGAGTATATGAGAAAGTATTGAGGCATTGGTGCAGTGCTTTGAATCTCTGATGTTCACTCACACAAAAAATTGACTTTTCTAATTAAAAATTAATTAATTAAAAATTAACTTTTTTAATTGCAGACACTTAGTGGTGTTTTATTTACTAAAATGCCAAGATGAGATTTCCTGTGGCTCGGGAAAAGACACGAATATGCTTTTTAGAAGTGACAGGGCAAATGAAACAGCTGGGATAATGATAAATGTTTGCCAGGTGCTTAAATTCTTTTAAGATTATTCTGTATAACTCCAGAACAGATAACAGCTTGCACAAACAAACCCCATATAAATGAGCAGGGGAGCGTGCCAGTTCTCTACAGCAGCACTCTGGAGACTGGGCATGTCTGATGCGTCCTGTCACAGGGTCTGGCTTGGACTTTTCCCCGTCCCACAACAGAGATTACGTATTTTTCTTATTATGTGATTCCTTAGACAGTTTGATCCCATGTTTCAGTGATGAAGAACGCAAGATTTCCATTTTGTTTTCCTATGTAGAAACAAATGCAGTATTCCTGGAGCCCTTGCTACATTTGCACATGGAGACAGCTGTCTCCTCTCACAGACATGTACCTTATGAAGCAAGAAAGGTCTGAAAAGAAGGAAATGAAAAGGAAATGGAGTCTGGCTGTTACCAGCTCCTGAGAGGAGCTGTTTTCTTTCTCACTAGCAGCTGCAAAATGAACTGCACTCCAAATCAGTTAGTGACAAGAAAATACCTAGACAAGGAGTAGACTGTAAGAAGAAAGGGATTAGAAGAGTGGCTTTGTGCTGTAGAGAGCTTCTGTTTCCTGGGGCTACTTCCAGGAACACTGGAGCAGTGGAACAGGTTGCCCATAAAGGTTGTAGAGTCTCTTTCTCTGGAGATACTCAAAACCCACCTCAACGTTTTCTTGTGCAACCTATTGTAGGGAACCTGCTTTAGCAGGGGGATGGCCGAGGTGATTCCTAGAGTCCCTCCAGCCCCTATGATTCTGCAATTCTGCATTTTCCTGTGCCTTTCCCAGCCTTGGCTGATTTCAGACATCTCCATCCTCCCCGGCTTCCTCCCCATTCCCATGTTCTGCAGGAGGCATCTCCCTTCATGCCAACCAGCTCAGAAAGCAGCAAATGCTACTCTGTTCAGCATTGGTCTCTCCTGCAGCTCTCTTTCACTCTCATTTCTCAACAGAACAGGGAAAAAATACAGTGAAAGAAGGTGACGGGTTGAGATAAGGACAGGAAGATCATTTGCCAGTTGCTATCACAGGCAGAACAGACTCAGTGCAGGGAGCTAAATGTAATTTAGTGCCTATTGCTAATGTGGATGTGGAGGTGGGCATCACAGCCTGCTTGGCAGCAGCAAAGAGCTGATTGTCAAGGAGGGAGAGAAACCATGAAGAACTGAAAGGTGAAGACAAGGAAGTTGCTGTTAGTATGATCTTTCTGAAGCTTTCTGAACGGACCGCATCCATCCAGAAAATAAAGGACACATCGTAAGGCAAGGCACAGCCTGAAAGAGCCTTGTAAGAGCTGGAGACGTACAGTTGGTTAGGAGATGGTGGAGATGGTAAGCAGAGTAAACCTGCAAACCTCTGGAGACTGCTTAAGCTGATTGTCATAAACATTTGATTTCTGAACTGATTTGTTCAGGATCCATTTAATGGAGCATATGGTTTACACTCCTGTCCTCGGTAATCCTTGTGAATGAAACAAGCCACTGGAACAGGCTCCCCAGAGCAATGGTTGCAGCTCCAAGCTGCAGGAGTTCAAGCAGTGTGAGGACAAAGCTCTCAGCTTTATGGTCTGGTTTTTGAGTGATCCTGCAGTCAGGGATTCAATGATTCTTATGGGTCCCTTCCAACTTGGATATTCTATGATTCTAAAACACAGGCACTGGGCTGCACTCTGGCAATGCGCTGAGGTTTGAGGGTTCGTTCCGACCGACGGCTGCAGGGCAGGAGTTGACTCACAGCCGGTTGTCCGCCAGGGGGCTCCTACAGTCTGCCTGGGGTGCCCTCCCCACCGCAACGCAGGAAAAAACACCCAACCCTGCTTTAGGGTTTTTCTCTTAAAACAAACAAACGAACAAACAAAACAAAACACAACACAACATACGTGCAAAACAAAACAAAACAGCTGTTTTGCACTACTTAAGGAGACTTAAGGAGGAGGGACATGGTTAGTGGACATCGTGATGATGGCTTGACGATTGGACTAGATAATCTTAGATGTCTTTTCCAGTCTTTTTGATTCTACGATTCTATGAGGTTGAAGATACTCTCCTCAATTCCCCTGCTTATCCAGCACCTCTTATCATAGAACCATAGAATCATTACAGTTGGAAAGACCACTAAGCCCATCACCATCATACCACTGACCGTGTCCCTCAGTGTCACAATGTCATGGTTCTTGAACACCTCCACAGATGGTGTCTCCACCACCTCTCTGAGAAGCCTGTGCCACTGCCTCACCACTCTTCTGGATTACAAATTTTTCTGAATAGCCTAAACCTCCCCTGGTGGAACTTAAGGCCATCACCTCTCGTCCTATCATGGTCACCTGGGAGAAGAGGCTGACCCCTTGCACAAGCTCCTTTCAGTTCACTGTAGAGATCAACAAGGGCTCCCCTGAACCTCCTCTTCTCCAGGCTGAACAATCCCAGTTCCCTCAACCACTCCCCCATAAGACTTGTGTCAGGGTGGAGGCTGGTCACAAGCTGTGTCCCTCAGGGTTCAGTCTTGGGACTGGTGCTCTTCAACATCTTCATCAACGACACAGATGGCATCGAGTGCACCCTCAGCAAGTCTGTGGATGACACCAAGCTGAGCGGTACAGCAGATATACTAGAAGGAAGGGAAGCCATCCAGAGGGACATGGACAGGATGGAGAATTGGGCACATGAAAACCTAACAAGGTTCAGTAAGGCCAATTGCAGAGCGCTGCACTTGGGTTGGGGCAATCCCAGGTGTTTATACAAACTGGGAAGAGCTCTTTCCCTGTGGAGAAGGACTTGGGGGTTCCTGATAGACAAGAAGCTGAACATGAGCCAGTAGTGCGCGCCTGCAGCCCGGAAGGCCAACTGTGTTCTGGGCTGCATTAACAAAGGGGTGACCAGCAGGGAGAGGGAGGTGATTGTCCCCCTCTACTCGGCTCTTGTGAGGCCCCATCTGCAGCACTGCGTCCAGGCCTGGGGCCCCCAGTACAGGAAGGACGTGGAGCTCTTGGAGCGGGTCCAGAGGAGGGCACTGAGATGATCAGAGGGATGGAGCACCTCTCCTGTGAGGAAAGGCTGAGGGAACTGGGCTTGTTTAGCTTGGAGAAGAGAAGGCTCTGGGGAGACCTCATTGTGGCCTTCCAGTACTTGAGGGGAAGAATATAAACAGGAGGGAGAACAACTGTTTACAAAGGTGGATAGTGATAGGACAAGGGAGAATGGCTTTAAACTGAGACAGGGGAGGTTTAGGTTAGATATTAGGGGGAAGTTTTTCACTCAGAGGGTGGTGATGCACTGGAACAGGTTGCCCAAGGAGGCTGTGGATGCCCCATCCCTGGAGGCATTCAAGGCCAGGCTGGATGTGGCTCTGGGCAGCCTGGTCTGCTGGTTGGTGACCCTGCACATAGCAGGGAGTTGAAACTGGATGAGCATTGTGGTCCTTTTCAACCCAGGCCATTCTGTGATTCTATGATTCTGTACCCCTCACAGCACTGTTGCCCTTCTCTGGACATGTTCCAGGGCCTGAATGCCTTTCCTGTAGTGAAGCCCAGAACTGAACATAGTACTCAAGGGGTAGCCTCAACAGTGCCAAGTACAGAGGCACTGTCCAAGCCTGGACAACCATTTTCCCATCAAAAGTTGTCTTTTTCATATGCTCTGGTAACCTCTGGCTTAGATGGCCTGCATGGAGATTTGTGTTGAGGTATCAGCCCCAACATACGGATTCAGCAGAAGGTTCCTGTGTTAGAAGGTTTGGTGCAGATAACAACATTTATTTTGTTGCCAGTGGTTTGATGCACCTCAGGGTCACAGCATTGGCTTCTGGGCAGGCTGCAGAGGCTGCCTCAGCCACCTGATAGCCACCCCCCTCACTGCAGGCTGGTGCCTGCTGTGCCACCAGTGAGCTGAGCCCAAAGCAGAGATAATACAGAACAGCTGCATGTGAGCCTGTGGTAATAGTGGCTATGCTATGCTTTGCCCCGTGATCGAATGTTTTTGGATCTACTGGTAACAAGTGCCCAGGAGGCTTAATTTAATCTCTGCCCCTATCCTCTCACAGCACATATTGGTGTAGCCATTGCCCAGATGCTGTGCTGAGCCACCAGCTCCCTCTGGTTCTCTCCTGAGCTCCAGGGAATCCTCACGATAGCCTGTGCACAGTGGCACATAATAACAGGACACCAGATTGTAAATTGTTCCCTAAGGCACTGGAGGTGTATCTGCAGGCAGTCATTTCAATAGGCAAGTGGCTTCTTTTGGTGAAGTAAAGCCTGTTGCCAAAGCAAATCCAATCTGCTAGGCCAGGAACATCAGGGCTTGTTCACATCAGGCTGAACTCACCAAACATCAGGGTGACATCTGATCACTCCAGCTAATTCAGAGCAGATTTGATTATATCCGCTCCTTATTCAGCCAGCTCTTTTTCCACTTATTTTGTATAATCTTCATATAATCACAGACGTATCCTCAGTTTTTTTTGTCTCCTGTGGGAACAAGGCAGCAACAGCACCAAATCTGATTTTAAGGGGATGGCTGTAGGAAGAAAACATGTCCCTGCACCTCTCTGTTCTGCTGGGCCAGATGCAAGCTGCCTTTGCAGACAGCATTGTTTTAGCCACATTTTGAGCTGCTTCAAAGGTCTTTGTTTCCCAAAAGATCAATTGCTGTGAGTGTGCAAAACCTCCATATACCACAGTGATAACGCTTAGGGTTTTTTTTTTGCCCCTCTGTCCATTTCTATTTTTTTGGTTGTTTTGTTCTCATGAATACATTAAAGGGAAAAAAACAAAACAAAACAAAACAAAAAACCCAACAAGGATTGCAAACCCCTTTGTTATTTGCAGATGCTGCTGGTATAATGCCTCAGCCCAAGGGCAGCTCCTGGGCCATGCTGGGTTTCTCTGGAGGGTTTGTGCTGTTCCCTGTGCTCCTCACAGCATCCTGCACTTTTACCCTTTCCTGGGAAGTTGGGTGCTGCCTGTCCTGGTTCTGCCAACTGCTTTTTGGAGCAGTACTGTTTTGGGAATGGAAATTTCAAGGCTGTGATTTCTTGCAAAAGATGTGCCTGGAACTATTTCTGTTTGCCTGGTTCCACACTTCTAAAGAAGACTGGAGAATGGAATTTAGGATTTGATGGTCTTTTAGACCAGAAAGAAATGCAGAATGTCCACATGGACCAGAAGACCCATTTGTTGCCACAGTTCAGAAGGAGGTTTAGTTAAAACGGAGTATCTCATGTCCATGCCTTTGCTTTGCAGAGCAATGTCCATACATTCCTAGAGGAGGGTGCCAGAGACCAGAGCCAGGCTCTGTCAGTTGTGCCCAGTGCCAGGACCAGAGGCCATGGGCACAAACTGGAGCACAGGAGGTTCCCTCTGAACACCAGGAGCCCTTCTGTGCTGTGCAGTGATGGAGCACTGGCACAGGCTGCACAGAGGCTGTGGGGTCTCCTCCCTGGGGATCCCCCAGAGCTGCCTGGATGTGGCCCTGGGCACCTGCTCTGGGTGTCCCTGCTGGGATGAGGATGGAGCAGAGGGACCCAGAGGGCCCTGCCAGCCTCAGCTGTGCTCTGCTTTGATTAACACAAGCATATCAAGCTGATTAAATAGAAGAGAAATACTGTGCTTACAGTAGTTTTCCATAACATTTATTTTAGAATAGAAATTCAATTTTTCAAGTAGGTTCCTAATAGCGATTGTCTAATTTGGATAAGCTAAGATAAACTTTATTTTAGAGTCATGTTAAGTGAAACAATGACTGCAAATGCAAATGAGGTTATGTTAAACCAAGGGAATATCATATCCTGAATTTATTGTGGACTTCTATGTGGAGTGTACAGCTACACGACGAGTACAGAAATTGGATAGTTCGAAATTAAGATGAAAGTTGGAGAGTGACTTTCTGGTCCCTGGTTTAATGTCTGTATGGGTACAGCTAACTATGGTCTGCAAGAAGTCTCCAGAGTCATCCGTGCATGGATCACAGATTTCCCCCCATGCATTTCAAGTGAATGATCCTTCAAGATGCATGAGGATACACTTTCTCCTTTCCTCCTTTCTCTGTGCTTTGCTTTCACATTTCCCCATTTCTCTCTTTTTATTACTGTCATCTCTCTGTGTATGTTTCTGAAGCTCTCTGCTACTTTTCCTAATAGTCCATAAACAAATGACTTTTGAAATATTCCTTCTGAAGACAACCAAGCTGCATCTGAGCAGTGCTGTGGGAATGAATAACCCAATGCTGCTCTTTGTTTGCAGGCTCTCTGCTTGCTTGGCCTGGTGCTGACTGCCACACACAGCGATTCCAGGCTCGGTAATTCTAAGGAAACTCACCAACTCAATTTATTTCTGAAGGATATGCCCTAATGGGGATGGAACATTAATTAAAAGGCATTACAAGCTCACAGATGTGGTTTGCTGCATGTGTTGTTGTACTGCTCCCATAAGGGTATTTATCACGAGGACGCAAACGGTCTGGCCAGCACATCAGACCCCCTCCTCGCAGCCTGCTGCAGGAAGCAGGAGGATGCCAAGTGCAGGCAGGTGCCACACACCCCAGCAGTGGGCACCAGGACCAGTGCAGCTCAGCAGCCAGAGGAAAAGGAAGAGGCATCACCAGCAGACTGCAGGCATGCAGGAGAGGGCTGCGTGGCCGCACAGCAGTGTGACAACGGTTCCCTTTCTTCCTCCTACCTCTGCAGTGTGCCAGCTGTTCTGCCATTTTGATGTATTTTACTGAAGGGCACCACCCAGCAAAAGCAAACCAACCCAGCCCCAAAGCTGCAGCGAAGCTGATGTGAAGAGAATGTTCCATGTGTGTGCCAGGAGCTGCGGAGCTTTGTGTCTTCACGTATTTAATTTGGTGACTCAGAGTCAAATGAAGAGTTTGGTCATACTTTTAAGGCTGGAGAAGGCCTGGGTTCAGCTCTACTGTGCTGAGATCCATAAGCTGGATTTGGAACAGTCCACATTTCAGGTAGGACAGATGGTAACTTCAGTATGCACTAAGCATGTGTGTTTAAGTGCAGTCCCACTTCATTGATTTTTGTTCCAGGCTTACTTTACTACAGCCAGAAGGAAAGCGGGTAAGATACAGAGGTAAAATGTACTCACTCTCCAAAGAAATGGCACTGTAACTCCCTGTAGCCCTCCCTGCCTAACAAACACTTGTGCCTAAGTTGCTCAGCTTGAGTTTGTATTGTAGACCTTTGGAGCAAAGCTAGCATGTTGTTTCATGGCTTGCATTGCAGCTGTAGGTCCAGGCACAGCCTGCATGCTGGGCACGCAGCTCAGCCAGAGGAGCTTGGCTACCTTGGCACATTGTACCACAAGAACATAACATGACAGAGCACTGTGCAAGAGACTGAGAAGCAGAAGGTTAATGTCCCAAGCACTTGGTAGAAGACTAAAAGGAGACCACCGTAGTAACAAGATAAAAAGTGGCTGGAGGAAGCTTTCTAAGGAGAGGTGCATTCCACCAGACCCAAATCCTTATCCTGTAAGAACACACAGACCTGCTGAGTTCCAATAAATAACAGTGGTGGAAGAAGAGATACTGCCAACTTCACTGCGCACCACAGAGGGCCAATGAGCAGCCATTTGGGGAGGGGGAGAGCGAGACCTCTCTGACCAACCACCTATTTCCAGAGTGCCCCAAACCTTGAAATGCACTTGTGCAGGGTTAGGGCCACACCTCTATCACAGCATTAGAGGGGCCTGATGACCACATAAGATCTCAGACTCACTGACAAATGGTGACTGCATACCTCCTCAGGGGGGCTGTCTGAGCACAGAAGGCTGACAGCTGGAGCGTGCCCACCATGAGCATTGCTGGGACACTGCTGGGTCCCACAATGGTGGTACCCCTTTCTCTCTCTACAGCGTATATATTATAACATCACACGAGGCATATCATCATAAATTATCCTCATGAGTGGTGTCTCACAGGTCCGTCCTGGGACCGTACCAAGCTGTGTGGTGCAGGTGCTATGACAGAAGGAAGGGATGTCATCCAGAGGGACCTGTACAGGCTTGAGAAGTGGGCCCACAGGAACCTAATGAGGTTCTAAAAGGCCATTTTGGTCAAGAAAATCCCAGATATGTGTACAGATTGGGAAAAGAACTCACTGAGAGCAATCCTGCCAAGAAGGACTTGTGGGTCCTTGTGGACAAAAATCTGAACATGAGCCAGAGGTGTGCATTTGCAGCTCAAAAGGCCAACAGTATTCTGGGCTGCGTCAGCAGAGGGGTGGCAGCAAGAATAAGGAGGGGATTGTCCTCTGCTCTGCCCTCACGAGGCCCCATCTTCAGTACTGCGTTCAGACCTGGACACCCCAACACTGGAGGGATGCAGATTTACTGGAGCTGGTCCAGAGGAAGGCCATGAAGATTCTCAGAGGTCTGGAGCACCTCTCCTCTGGAGAAAGGTTGAGGGAATTGGACTTGATTAGCTTGGAAAATAGAAGGCTCTGGGGAGACCTCATTGCGGCCCTCTGTACTTGAAGGGAGCATATAAACAGGAGGGGGAGTGACTTTTTACACAGTCTGATACTGACAGGACAAGAGGGAATGGCTTTAAAAAGGGGAGGTGTAAGTTAGATGTTAGGAGCAAATTCTTTACTCAGAGGGCAGTGAGGCCCTGGCACAGCTGCCCAGAGAAGCTGTGGGTGCCCCATCTCTGGAGGCACTCAAGGCCAGGCTGAATGGGGACCTGGGCAGCCTGAGCTGCTGGCTGGCACTGCCCATGGCACAGGGTTGCAGTTAGATGGTTTTTAAGCTTTCTTCCAATCCAAGCCATTCTACGATTCTACAGTTTCTTATATAGCACCAAAAACCACCAGGCAATAAATAATTTGAATGAAACTGTTAACCAGCCATTTGTTGATGTTCCCCCTTAATTTACCCCAAGGGAATCTCAAACATCACGACCTCTGTACAGGGGTAGCCCGGTGCCGGGTGGTTACACAGTAATGCTAACCAAACACTGCCAAGAGGATGTAAGCAGCGATATCTAAATTGGTTGCCAGTAATTAAGAGATGTGTTTAATGGCACGGGGCAGATCAACAGAGCTGAGTGCAGAGGATATGCTCTCCCAGGGGAATAGTCAGTTAAATTGTCCTGGAAACTCACACTCACGGTAGCAAGACTGGTTAATAGAAACATGCATCCCCTTCTTATAAAAGTGCTGATGGCGGTGGGCAATTCCTTCTGCGTCCGTCTCCTTGTGATGGAGAAAACTGCTTTAAAACAGCACAGGCTCTCTGCGAGTCACTCCTTGCTTTGCAGTCCCTGATGTTAAGATGTTTAGAAAGCACCAGGAATCGCAGAGTACAAACGTGGCTGAACAACACAAAATAAACCAAACCCGCAGTTTCACCAGTAATATCCTCCGGCTGTTCCTTTACTGTTGGCTTTCACACCATTCTCGTTGTTTTATGGTCCCTGCTTGCTCCGCTGGCAAAAATCCAAGTATTTTGGCACACAGAGAGTGACACGCTACCAAAGCTCTGATAGATGTGACTTCTGTGACTCTTTGCAGTGGGAAGCGTCCTTCCTTGCACGGAATGCCTTGTGAAACCCACTGCTGGGTTTCTGTGCCCATTTACCTGTGTCTTATGCCACTGCTGGTCTCTGTGTAGGTCCTGGACATTTTTGTTCCCACCAGAGCCCTTCTCACACGCCGGCAAGGCAGCAGGAGCTTGCAGGCTGCTGCCCGGTACCTCTGTGAGATGAGGTTGTAAAGGATGGGATTGATGGAGGCACTCAGGTAGAACAGCTGCAGGGCAAAGATGTTGAAGTACTGGGAGAACAGCATCGTTCTGGTGTCTCGGGTGTTTATAAATATGATCCTGCCAATGTGGAAAGGCAACCAGCAAATTACAAAGGCCAGGATCACCACAGCTACAAGATAAAACAATACAAACCATAGTTAGGGAGTGAGTTAATCCAACAGTCATCTTGTATTCTCAATTTCACAGAATCATGGAATGATTTGATTTGGAAGGGACCCCGAAAGGCCATCTGCTTCAACTCCCCTGCAATGAACAGATCCCCTCCAGGCTGACCTTGAGCATCACCAGGGATGGGGCATCCCACACCTTTCTGGGCAACCTGTGCCACTGCCTCACCACCCTTACTTTAAAAAACGTCTTCCTTATATCCAGTCTAAATGTCCCCTCTTTTAGTTTGAAACCATTTTCCCTTGCCCAGTCACAATGGACTCTGCTATAGAATCCGTCCCCTTCCTTCTTACAGCTCCCATGTAGACACTCAGAGGCTGCTCTCAGCTCTCCCCACAGCCTTCTCTTTCACACAATTCCATCTGGTTTTGCAGACAGTACAAATGATGTACAGAAATAACTGGCATCCAATTGTTGAAAATGGGAACAGCACTGAGTGCAGCCTTTGGATTAAAAGGCGATGGACAAAAATCTCAGACAATCTCCAACGGCTGAGTTTGCTGAGAAAAATGTAACAGAAGCACAACACCTGTACAACGGGATCAGAACAACAAGGATTCCCCCTGGGGATGCCTATGATGTCACACAGATGATACGGAAACCACAGCTGGAATTAGGAGACGTATCTGTGGAAGCACAGAGCTGCTGCTTACAGCGCTGCTCCTATGTACATCTCAGTTCCCAAAACAAGACCGCAGGGCACAGCAGTTTTAGCACAGCACCTGCACCACATACAAACATTGTTACAGCAGCCACGCGGCTGAAGCAGATGTGAAACAGCCAAGCGTGTGGTTTAAAAGTGTCACCTATGGGGTGACTGCAAAATGTATCACTGTATCCACAAGTGCAATCATTCTTGCTTATAAACGAATGCAAGTGAAGTGAATAATCATTTGTGGAGGATCCCTCACGTTTCTCAGAGCTTAGCAAAAGGAATAAAGCCAAAGCAAGTCTGTGCCTGGAATACATCACATGCAGAACTCTGTCAGCTCCTTTGAGGTAAGCAAGAATCATCATACAGAAAGATATGGATATATAGAAATATGTGGATATATGGAAATTTATATAGAACTAAATGGCCCTCGCTGTTGAAAAATGGAATAGCATCAAGCCCAGCTGTCAGCCCTGGGACTAAAGGGCGACTGCTTTCTTTTTAAAGATGGTTCAGCAGGTTCTGAGTTTGGATGCATGCATTTCTGTCGGAGAGCCCTGCCTCACGGCAGGCAGCCTTCCCAGTAAGTTAGCAAAGGGTGTGCCCTTTGCCTCTGTGTAGTAAGGGTGGTGAGGCAGTGGCACAGGTTGTCTGGAGAGGCTGTGGATGCCCTTGTTCCTGGAGACACCCAAGGTCAGGCTGGATGGAGCTCTGAGCACCTGATGGAGCTGTATGTGTCCCTGTTCAGCGCAGGGGAGTTGGACCACATGGCCTCCAGTGGTCTCTCCCAACTCAAAGGACTTTGCAACTCTGTGAAAGTCAGACGAAGAGCACTTGTATGAGCTATCAGTGAACCTCACAGGGAGTGCTGGCTCCCATGGCTGTATGTGAGCTGGGATGCTCTGTGCACAGGACTCTGAGGCTGCTTTGGTCCCAGGCCAGAGGAGAGCAGAACCACAGCACTGCTGGAAGGGAGCTCGAGAGATCATCGAGTCCAACTCCCTGCTAAAGCACGTTCCCTACAACAGGTCACACAGACGGGCATCCAGATGGTTCCTGAGTATCTCCACAGAAGGAGACTCTGCAACCTCTCCGGGCAGCCTGCTCCTGCGCCGTCATCCTTACCGTAAAGAAGTTCTTCCACATGTCAGTGTGCAACTCCCTGTGTTCAAGACCGTTACTCCTCGTCCAATTGCTACACGCCACCAAGCAGAGCCCGGCCTCATCCATTTCACCTCCCTCTGGCCATTTATAAACACGAATCAGACCCCCAGTCAGACGCCCTTAGAGGAGCCCAGTTTGCGGACAGGCGCGATGCAGCCGGTGGGTCAGACGGGAGCCCGGGCAGGGACGGACCCGCCGGCTCCCGGGAGCGAGAGGAGCCGCAGGGTCGCGGCCGCGGGGCCGGGGAACTCACCCAGGATCCTGACGGTGTGCCGGTGGCCCCGCTCCCGGAGGGCAGCGCCGGGACCCCGCAGGCGGCCCCTGCTGCGCCACAGCTCGCGCCCGATGAAGCCGTAGAGGACGGTGAGGCAGACGACGGGCAGCACGAAGTAGGAGGTGGTGACCCAGAACATGGCGCCCAGCAGCCCGGACTCCAGCGCCCGCGGGGTGGGCTTGCACTCGCGGCTGAAGTCGGTGCGGTTGTCGGGCTGCACCACGCCGACCAGGAAGAAGAAGGGCGCCGCCGACAGGAGGGCGAAGGCCCAGAGGGCGCCGATGACGGCCCTGACGCGGCGCCGGGTGACCAGCACCTTGGCCCGCAGCGGGAAGCAGACGGCCAGGTAGCGCTCCACCGTGAGGGCGGTGATGTGCAGGATGGTGCAGTAGGTGCAGCCCTCGCTCAGGTAGTGCGAGAGGCGGCACAGCAGCTGCCCGAAGATCCAGGGCCGGGAGCGCCACAGGCGGTACAGGTCGAGGGGCAGCCCGAGCAGGATGAGCAGGTCGGACATCGCCATGCTGCCCACGTACAGGTCGGTGGTGCTGCGGGCGTCGCGGTGCCCGCAGGTGACCAGCACCGTCAGCACGTTGCCCACCACGCCGACCGCGAAGAGCCCCAGGCAAACGGCCGTCACCGGCACGAGCGCCTGCAGCGGCAGCGCCGAGCACAGCCGCTCGTCGCACGGCGGCGCGACCCAGGGCTCGGCCCGGCTGCCGTTCCCCCACATGGCGCCGGGTCGCGGCTGCCGCACGGCGCTCCCTCGCCGCCTCCCGCCCGGCCCCGCGCCCCGCGCCCCGAGCTCGGCCCGCCCCGCCCCGCCCCGCCCCGCCCGAGCGGACGGAGGGCGGAGGAACAGAAGGGACGAACGAAGAAAAAGAAGGATGCTTTTATTTCCCACAGAGTTTAAAGATACTTTGCTACATCGTTTATGCATTTTCTATGAGACTATACAGGTTTCATCTTCATGAAGTCCGACGTCGTACAGTTGCAAAGTGATATGTTTGGTAGTGTAACTATAACGTTTTAAAAAGTTTTTTTTTTTTTTTCTTTTTTTTCTTTTTGGAATGTACAGAATATGAGGTAAAATTAAGATTACATTAAAAACTGTCTTCAATGCAGTCATACGCACTGAGGCTCAAATGGCAAATACGCTATTAAATGACTATCAAAAATAGGAGCTCATTTGGATTTGACTATGAAAAACAGAAGTCACTGCAGCTTCACTGTAGTAACAAATCTTTACCATTTGAGACATTCGACTGTAAGAAATCTCTGGGCTGTTCCACTCAACCGCGTGCGTGCTGCCAAACGTGGCACCGGGGGGAGGGCTCTAGAAAACACCTGTTGTCACTGTGGTCGGGGGAGGAATCGGCCTGGACGTCAAAATGACAGGTTGGAAATCAAATGTAAACATACAGTACATCTCAAAGACAGACCATTCCGCTCACTTGGAGGCCAGGCTCTTCGCCATTGCTTTTTTTTCCAAAGAACAAAAACCAAAAAACGAAACTCAGCAACAGTTTTGTACAGCACAGCTCATTGGACGTATAACCAAGTACGATACATGCCCGCTCTAAGGTACGAGAAAGTCTTCAGAGATCTTCAAAGCACGAGACAGAGGTTCCTCTTTTATTATCATTAAGACTGACAGAAGTGTTTAATACCATTAAAAATGCTAAACTGAACGCAACTAGGAGTCATTAATGATCCACTATCTTGTAACTCAAATAAATTAAAAGTAGCTAATTACAAAGTGTATAACAAAGAACGTAAGTGTGATGAGACAAGAGTTTTCAAAGATAGTTCACTACAAGCTCTGTGTCACTGGCAATCATCGACATCCAGCGAGATGTTCCATGGGATACTTGATGGAATTCAGTCTGCTCATCCAAGAACTCACGAACGCAAGCTCACAAAACATTGATGAGTTATGCAATTGCAAAGTGCTCTAATGCGACATTAACTACATGCAGTTAACGATTTGGTACAGTATCCAAAAAGAGACATTACATTAAACATTAGGATCTCGAGAAAAAAGCAGCTTTAAGTTTTCTGGTGCAAATTACTACACTTCGTCTTCTGATTTGGTGCCCCAAAGGAAGAAAGAAAAGAAAAAGCAAACGAAAGTGGGTATGGCAAGTGAGTGGCGGGGTAACAGCAAAGATTCAGAAATGAATTTTGTCTCAAAAAATCTACAAACTGGCCAAACCGGAGGGCACAGACACCTGTATAAACTGCATCCCATCAAAAGGTCAACTTCAGAACGAGTTTTCAATTTGAGTAACAAATCTAAAAAGTCCTCTCTCGCTCTCCCTTCTGGATTCGTAAGAAGAGGCATTTTGATGAGTACACATCAAATCCTGGGGGGAAGATAAACCACTTGTGCCATCCCCTCGCAGTCTTCCCAAGACATCTACTTGCAGTGAAGAACTCCACATTTATCGGGTAAGAAGCTTCCTTCGTGCACACTCTTCCATCCAGTTTATTATTTGCTGCCTGAGAAAAGCCCCTTCCATTTTGCATCATGTATCCTGCCTTCCAAATATTTAAGACAAATGAGGAGGTAGAAATACAGCGCTAAATTGCTTTCACAGCATCAGATTAATATTGTATACAGCACAAGTTTGTTAAGAGTAAGTTTTAAATGCGTTCTACACATTCTTCCCTGTTACGGTAGTAACCCTTAAAAGTGTGGGCCAGGAAACCATTTCTACACTCGTGTTTACTGGTCAAACCCTTCATGTTAAGCACTGCTTGCCCCATATGAAGTTTGTACTGCAAGAAGGCATATTAAACAAAAGATTGTATTTCTGTGGCTTGCATTCTAATAACGTGTGTCAGCCTACACCTACCAGTAAGCATTTTAAAGTGGCTGAAAGGGTTTGCATCAGTCCCAATGCCGGTGCTAAATGCCTGTTTTTGTAAAAGCAAGAGAACAGAATTTTTTTTTAGATTATGAGAAAGTAAAATGTAATGGGCAGCATTCTAAAATAAATCTGTTTTCTTCACTTTATTACAAAGTACTGAATGATAACAGCAATCAGAATGGAAAAGATAGCAAAAAGTGCAAGAATGACAGCAGCACACACTTGGTCGCTCTGTGACCATTGTGTCCTTGTGGTTTGCACAGTGTCCTTGTTGGTGCTCGTCGGTGGTTCAGTCCTCTGAGAGATGAATAGCACTGGTGAGCTGTAGGGGCCTATCAGGTCCTGGTGTCCCGATGTCTCTTGGCACTGGCGAATGGCACACGCACGAAAACGATATTCACAGTTCAGCTGGAGGCCTGTGTATCGGAACGAGCAGTCCGGACCCTTATAAATCTGCCAGTAAAGAAAAGATGCATCGAGTAAAAATGCCACACATACGTATACATCCCTCAACACGCCTTTCTTTATGCAGACAGGATGAGAGTTGAGGCTGTTCAGGCTGGAATAGGTTTGAGGGAGACCTGAGAGCGGCTTCTCAGTATCTGAAGGGAGGCCGTAAGAAAGAAGGGGACAGACTCTTTAGCAGGGTCTGCTGTGACAGGTCAAGGGAAAATGGTTTCAAACTACAACAGGAGAAATTGAGACTGGATATGGAGAAGGTTTTTACAATAAGGGTGGTGAGGCAGTGGCATGGGTTGCCCAGAGAAGTGGTGGATGCCCCATCCCTGGAGATATTCCAGGTCAGGATGGAGGGGCTTTGAGCACCTGATGGAGCTGTGGCTGTCCCTGCTCATTGCAGGGGAGTTGGATCAGATGGCCTTTAAGTGTCCTTTCAAAGTCAAATGATTCTAAGGCTCTGGGGACCTCACTGCAGCCTTACAGTACGCAAAGGGAGCCTACAGGAGAACTGAGGAGGCAGTCTTTATCAGGGAGTGCAGTGATAAGACTAGGGGTCATGGTTTTAAACTAAAAGAAGCATTAGAAAGAAATTATTCACTATGAGGGTAGTCGGGCATTGGCACAGCTGCCCAGAGAAGCTCTGGGTGCTCCATCCCCAGAGGCACTCAAAGCCAGCTTGGATGGGGCCCTGGGCAGCCTGAGTTGCTGGGAGGCACTGCTCATGCAGGGAGTTGGAACTGGAAGGGCTTAAGGCCCCTTCCAACCCAAGCCATCCTGTGATTCAGTGGTGAAGGTAATTGTGTTCATACCCACTGAAAGAAAAATATACAAAAAAGCTCACAAACACAGTTTCAATACAAGAAAGTCTCCAATATCTTCCACGTAGCACAGAAAAAGAACCACAGATTCTTTTAAGGCATGATGAAGACCTATTAAACTCTGTTGAAATCTGCAATGTTAAGTGACCGCTTGAAATACAAACACCAGACCACAGGATATAATCTTCCATTTCCTAATATCTAAAATTGTATCACAAGATTTTAGGTAATTAACTACATCGAGCTACTTCATTCATTAAATCTAATCCAATCCAACTACTTTGCTGTAGTTAAGATACCGTGTGTTTCAAATACTGTCATTCAGCCCAACAGGCGTTGTATTAGGGAAGCCTAAAGGAGTCTGTTCTGTGATTCACCATTTCAGCAGACCCCAGCACAAAGACGACTTTCCAAGGGTGTCTCAATTAGTTCACAGAATCACAGAATGGCCTGGGTTGAAAAGGACCACAATGCTCATCCAGTTTCAACCCCCTGCTGTGTGCAGGGTCACCAACCAGCAGACCAGGCTGCCCAGAGCCACATCCAGCCTGGCCTTGAATGCCTCCAGGGATGGGGCATCCACAGCCTCCTTGGGCAACCTGTTCCAGTGCATCACCACCCTCTGAGTGAAAAGCTTCCTCCTGATATCTGATCAAAACCTCCCCTGTCTCAGTTTAAAACCATTCCCCCTTGTCCTATCAGTCCACCCTCATAGACAGTCCCATCTCATCAGGCTCCTAGACTTCATTCACTCACAGCAGCAAATCCCACTCAAGTTCAAAGTCAGCCAGGAGCTTGTCACTCCTCAAATTGTGTTTCTCCAAACCAAAGCTCCAGAGGTCCAGCACTCATCACTCACATTGGAGAGAGGCAAAGATAGCATTAAATGTCTCTGCTGGACCGCAGTCCCTGTTTGTGAGGTGACTAACGTCATCAGGCAGCGGTCAAACATTTCCTTTAGTTCTCCTTTTACTGGTAATAACAATTAAGAAAGCCTATTCTTTTTCTCCATTACAATACTGGCCAGCTTCTGCTCAGAGTAGGGTGTGTTTATGTGGCCTCGTTGCTCGCTACCGAATATACAATATAAATCAGTGGAATTTTGAGAAGCTGCACTTTCGATGACCTGCCCTGTCGCTGCACACAAACCATTTTTAGATGAAGAAAAGCTTTTTCCAAGAGTTTCCAGACCATAGATTCCAGTAATACTCAGCTGCCTGGCTGTCAGAGTGCTGAGTTCATGGGTAGCCACAGGCACAACAATAACTTCACACAGCAAAATCAGAACAGATTTCCTGCTTCTTTCTTTGAATGGTTGGAAGTTTGCACTTGTAAAATACTGTCTAACAATAAAATAGCTGTAGGTAAAACAACTGATGTGATATTTCTATATCCTTCTACCAATTAAAGAAATCCAGATACTGGAAAGAAAAAAGATGAGAGATTTTGAGCAGAAAAACCAAACTCTACCAAGCTATGTGAATATCAGCTTAGTTCCTACTGATACACCTACAAACAGAAATTGGGCCCACTTGAGATTTTGTTGCCTTTTACAGGGCCTTTCATGGCTGCAAATTTGCTCAATTAGGCACTCCATGCTGATCCTGGGAGTCTAAGAAGTGGTTAACACCAACAACCAGCAGGAAGTTTTTCACTCAGAGGATGGTGAGGCAGTGGAACAGGTTGCCCAAGGAGGCTGTGGATGCCCCATCCCTGGAGGCATTCAAGGCCAGGCTGGATGTGGCTCTGGGCAGCCTGGTCTGCTGGTTGGTGACCCTGCACACAGCAGGGGGTTGAAACTGGATGAGCATTGTGGTCCTTTTCAACCCCAGCCATTCTGTGATTCTATGATTCATTCCAGAGTACTCGAAGAGTTGGATGATGTTACTGTGAGACCTCTTTTGGGTATCTGTCTCAGTGGTCTTGGAAATCTGGAAAGGCCCCATTTTACTGGAAGCTAGCAAATGTTTTTCCAATTTTCAAGAAGGGAAAGAGGATTCTGGTAATTACAGTCTATCAGTCTCACTTTGGTGCTTGATAAAATTATGGAGATTATTCTGGCAGGTGAAGGGACAAATGGCTGGAGAGAAGCCCCACAGAGAGGATTCTGGGGATTGTGACTGATGTTGACTCATATTGAGCTCACCAGTGTGCCCTGGTGGCAAAAAAGGCATGGCCATATCCTGGGGTGCATCAAGAACAGCAGAGCTAACAGGCTGAAAGGAATCACTGTCTCACTATAACCAGCAGCAGTGCAGTCCTACCTCGAGTACTGTGTGAAGTTTTGGGCTCCATAGTATAACGACGTCAACATATTAGAATGTGTCCAAAGAAAGGCAGTAAAGATGCTGAAAGGCCAAGGTGGCATGGCCTGACTTATGTGAAGTGGCTGAGGATGACTGGTTTGTTCAACTTAAGAGACCTGATCTCACTGCTGTCTGCTCCACTGCTCTATCACAAGATGGAGGTACTGATCTCTTCTCTGTGGTGACTGGCGAGAGAACATGAGGGAATGGCTTAAAGCTGTGTTAGGGAGAGTTCAGATGGGATACTAAGAAAAAAGTTCTACACTGAGAGTGTACTCAGGTACTGGAACAGGCTTTTCAGGGAAGTGGTCCTGGCCACAAGCCTGCAGGTGTCGAAGAAGCACTGTGATACACGGCTTAATTCTTAAGTTGCCCTTTGTGTAGTCAGGAGTTGGACTCTAAAATCCTCATGAGTCACTGCCAACTCAGGATAATCTATGATTGTTTTACTCTAGCTACAGCTATGCCAGCTGACATAGGTTACTGTTCTCAGCTTCTTGTGCCCCGTGCTTTGCCACCAGCTACCTTCCCCTGGCAGGAGGTTGGAACTAGATAATCTGTAAGATTCCCCTCCAACCCAAACCATTCCGTAATTCTATGCTTCCTACCTCAGATTGTTTGCTGGGGTACTTACATGATTATTACATAGCCCTTTTAAGAATCTGATTGATGTATACACCTCAAACAGTAGATTAACTCATTTTGTCAGAAGCATGGGGAGCAATGACACAAGAGGAACTCAGTTGGGAAATTTCTGCAGGGAAGTGGTAGCAAACACCAGAGCGTTTACGTCTCTCCATGAGGCAGTTTGTTTTTTGTCCATGTCAAAGAAGATTCTTGCCATCACATTTAAGTACCTTAAAGGCTTCTTCCACCGTGCTTACTGCTCCAGTATTACTTTCTGAAAACCAATCTACTCATTTTATTGCAATTTACTGTGCTAATCTCCTCCAGAAAGGTGAAAGGAACCATACACCTTCAGTTGCAACCTTTATTTTCTTGTCCAGTTCATGTGGCAATGCACATCGCTTATTAAAGCATTATTTGAATCCATCTCTAGAAGCAAGTACACAGATTATGTGCTACTTACATATTTAATATTGCATTTACAATTTTAAAGTTACCATAAATTTTGACCTTTAGAGGTCCCTTCCACCTCTAAAGACTCTACGATACTATTGATGCCCTGTCCCTGGACTTTCAAGAAGAGGCTGGCTCAGGCCCTGGGCAACCTGGTTTAGCTGTGGTGACCCTGTTGATTGGAGGGGAGCTGGACTACATGACCTTTAAAGTTGCCTTCCAACTCTAAGCTTTCTATGATTCTATAAAGAGTGTTTACATGACAAGATAATAAATACCTTGGATTACAGTTCAGAGTGTACCGAAAAAGCCCAAACAAATGGACACAACAAACATAGCACTGCACTAGAATCACAATCTCTAGGTTGGAAAAGACCTTCAAAATCATCAGCCTGACCTACTGAGTCTCATCACTGAACTGTGTCCCTTAGTGTCACATTTCCACATCTCTTAAACAACTCCAGGGCTTAGGATTGCTTCTTGATTCTTCCTGATATTCTATCTAAAACTCTTCTGGTGCAACTTGAGGCCACTTCCACATGTCTTATCACCTGTCACCTGAGAAAAGAGACTGACACCCTCCTCTCTGCAGTCTTCTTTCAGGCAGATGTACAGAGCAATGAGGTCTCCCTTTAGCCTCCTCTTCTCCAAAAGTTACGATAAATGAAAATATTAAACATCTATAACTTACTGAAGCACGAGCAACAGATATTTAATACTGGCCTATAATAAAATCATAAGATATTTTGTATATACTTATACCAGAATTAATTGTGTTTCCTTTCTGGAAGGAAACACAATTGACTGCTTGCTTAATAATGTGAAAGAGAGCTTAGAAGCCTAATTCCATGCCAATTATCAGGCATGCTCTGGAAGATACAGCATGCCCTACTCCTGAAATGATCCAGGGATAAGAATTCCACGGTTCATTCTATGATTCTATCAAAATATACTTCATTCTAAAAACAAAGAGAGACTACTGAGGAATGCACAGTCCCCATATTCCTTCCTATAAGAGTATAGAGAAAAGAAGCATCTTGTTGGTTTATCCATTTAGGCATTTACATAGCACCATTCTCAAGAGTATCTGGATTCATGGAGTGAGAAATGCGAAAATGGCCCTGGGCAGCCTGCTCTGGTGGTTGGTGACCCTGTGCATAGCAGGGGGGTTGGCTGAAACTAGATGATCATTGTGGTCCTTTTCAACCCAGGCCATTCTATGATTCTAAGAAACCAGTTACTGAGTTATATGAAAACCAAGTTTTCCTTCACCTGAATGTTTATACTGCTTAATTCACAGTTCTCTATGAAGAGGCATAACTTACGGCATCAGACCTTTTAAAATATTGCCGACTGTCTTCAAACAGCTTAGTGCAAAGATAACTTTTTTGTGTGTCTCAATTCTGTACCATTTTTTCTGTTTTCTTTTTGCCATTTCTTCCCATTAGCAGACAATTCTATCACCACTTGAGGTGTGAAGTTGTGTTTAGTAACCATCAATATAAAAGCAGAGAGGCTGCAGCTTATTAGCATATTACTCGTATCACTTGTGTCTATGATAACAGTTTTAGGAGATGCTACCTTCTGCTATTTAGTAACAGAAAGCATGGTTAACTAGCACAATAATTTTAAACTGCTTAACCAAAAGGAGGAACAGAAGAAACATACAATAACTCAAACGCATCATACCTGTTTGAATTCAGAGTCTTTTCCCACCATGACCTGAAGGCAGTAAATAACCGGATCGCCCTTCATGGGCTGCAGAGCCTCCCACGTGATTTCACAGGTGTGATCGTTCATTCTCTCTATCCTTGGTGCTGAAGGAAACCACAAAGCAACAGCTTCACTCTGCTTGCTGTCACTAAACATTACATTCTCATGCTTTGTAAAGGTCTGTACTTTACGTGTGAGTTTTGACTCAGAAAAAGAAGAGACTCAGATCAAAATGTATTCTTCCAACACTTCCTGGAACAGAGTAACAATACTTTGGTCTCTTGCTAGCTAAGGTATCCTATGACAGAATACACTAAAACTTGGTGAGTGTAAATGCTTATCTTATTCAAGAAAATTAGGTGCTATGCCTAATGATATATTACTATTAGAATTATCAGAATCTAGTAATTATTCTAATGTACATAGTAGAAAGAACTTTCACATCAAATTACTTAAGCAGCCTGGCCACTCTCTCTCCTGGTAAGCAAGGATTTCACATATGGGCATTCTTGTATCAAAGAATGCATAAACTCTCTTGGTTTTGGAGCAAACGTTTTAGGCTTTAGGCAATTACCTTAAGAAAGTATTACTTTACTATCCCTACCTGCACTGCAAAAACTGCTTAGCACTCCACATACTCCAAAAGTAAAGTAATACTACCACCACCAACTTGCCATCTCTTTCAACACTTCCCATGCTTCCCACAACATTCACTGCCTCAAAACAAACAAACAAAGTAGCAGCATCTTTACCTTTCAAGGCAGCTGGAACAGATTTGGGAGTAGTGAAAATATATTCTTGCGAAAGGGGACCTTCACCAGCTTCATTACATGCCTGAATACAAAATTTGTATGATGTTGACTCACTGAGTCTTTGTACTTTGTATGTATGACATGGTCCTCTGTACAAGGATACAAACCTGAAAATGGAAAGGGTGGCTTAGAGTAAATAGAGAGCTGGAGTACTGTCTTGTAAATTATTCCTATAATTTCCCACAATCTAATGAAAAACCAGAAATACTTAACTATTAAACAATGAACTCATTTTCAGGAGTAGGCTTTTGTTTCTCGTGACTGTGAAACTGAAACAAAATCTCTTTCCAACACAGAATACCGTAGACTTCCTCTTGACAAAAATGAACCTAAGCATTTTCAGACACCCTTCTGCACTTGAAATGGGAAAGGACAGTAGTCCTCTCCCTCCCAACAATGCATACTTTCCTTTTTTGAAAAGTCACTTAAATTTGAAAATCAGGCTGACCAGCTTTTAGCTATTTGTGCCTTTGCAGCTCTCCCTCATTACACTTAAGAAAGGATCACAGATCCGACAGCTCTTGTACATCACTGTTAGATGGAGGTAAATGATGATGCTCAAATGTGAGTGGAGGCCTGAACTTCGTTTGTGTGCGTACCATGTACCATTCTGATAGCTCCTGCAGACTGGCCGCTTCCCTTCTTGTTGTAATTCTGACAAAGACTGATCTCAGCAGCTCAAATTCTATTTTCAGATTTGGCATTCCCAAAACACAGCAGAGATTGATTTTATGTTTACAAAGCAGTGTACTGTTTACAGCAGAGAATGAAGAATCTACCTCTTTCTACAGCGATTAGATAAAATTTACAGGACTAATTAGACTAAATACTTCAATAAAACACTAAAAAAAAATAAGTGAGAAAAGAGAGGAGTATACCAACACAAAGCATTTCATTAGACTCTTACTATTGAACTGCAAATAAAAAGCTATGAAGTTTTTCATCTTGTGCTTTGCAGCACTAAACACTACAGAGTTTCTGCCTTGCCGGATGAGAAGACCTCCTACTGCCCTTGCAAATTAAGCCAAGCAAAAGGAATTTTGCCCTTTGATACTATGTCCAAGCACCAGACCACGATGAAACAGCAGATTAAGGCAATGCCAAAACTAACCTTCCATTCTTATCCTCCATTTGAAGGTGGTACAGAATGGAGTCAGTTAACGCTTTTGCAGTTCCCTCTCCCCACTTCAGCTTGAGAGTCTGAGAACTGTATGCAACACACTCCAGGCGAGGAGGATCCGGGGGGAGAGGCTTTGTTTTCAGTTTTATGGTGTGGCTGAAAGGTCCTGCTCCAAGGCTGTTAAGGGCTTGAATTCGGATTCTAGTATTCAAAAAGAAAGTATAAATGAACTTGAAATTAGATTTAAAAAACTAACCGGTTATATCCACCAGTTGTGATCAAGAGAGAATAATGGTAATGTATAGGCAGTACTTTCTATGGTGAAGAATTTTTTTCAGTATTGTGCTCTTATAAACTCTCACGAAAATGCAGGAGTGTCACTCTCCTTGACAAATTCTAAGGGAGTTGAGCTGACTCAAAATTAAACGCATTCGTGTATTTGCATCATAAGCATTAGGGCAAAAATGCAAAAGCTACTCAAGAATGGTTCATCTTTCTGACCCTGCAAGGCCTTGTAGCAAAATTTTTGATGGCCAAGCACTATAGAATTTGTATTTCTCACCCTGGAGAGATGAGAGGACAAAAAACAACCAGCAAACAAACACCCCCAAAATATACAAATCCATAGCTTTGGCTATTTCATCAGCTGACTTTGAGAATTACTACAGGAAAGTTTTAAGCACAGAGCTGGCTCATGTGAAGATAAGGGGATAGTGTCCAGCTCCTTCTCTTGCAAAATGCTGTTTTCACTGCTAAAGTATCTCCAGGTGCACGCAGACTTTTTGGGTCTGCCTGAAATGGGAAAGGAGTCAATGAGAAGTTGAAGGTCACATGGCAGAGGGCTTTGTAGAACTTGACATTCAGGGATAATTTTTGTTTTTCAGGGAATTCAACAGAAAACAATGATGGCCAAGAAATTTGTTTCCAAAAAGAAAAAACAGAAAACAGGAAAAAAACAAACAAAAAAAAAAAGAGTCAATCTACAGATCTCACAGGTAGCCATAGATAGCAATGTTTGCCTAATCTCATTTTTCAAAGACTAAGGTTCACATGTCTGAAATAGTATCTAGGTAACTGGAAAAAAGTAATCACAGTCATTCCATTCTAAAACAATCAACCACACAATTTCAAAACACTGGAACAGAAACGTGTGTGCAAGTTTATGAATAAGTATCTCTCCTTCTCTACAGTAACATTTAACATTATGTTAATTTATTGTAGCACAGAACTAAGGACTACATGCAGCTTTTATTTGGACAGAGATGACAATCCAGGATATATTCTGTAAAAGCACTTTTGTGGGTAGAAGTGCAGAAGTGCCTCTACAAGAAGCTTCTCAGTTTTCAGTTCGTTAATATGGAGAGCAACAGCTCTTTGTTTGCCAGCATTATTACTAAATAATTATGAGGCAAGAGAAAAGATTTTAGTCTTGCATACAGCATTAAAAAGAAAGAAAGCCAAATCTTCAAGGTTACAGAACTATACTGAAACCAGTGTGAGCTTAAATTCTAACTTCAGTGAGACTGATATTCTCCTTTAGGTTTTAACATAGAAGGTGTGTGTTTGTAACAAGAATGTAGAGTGCCTTTAGGATCTCTACATTCCTATTTTTCAGTAACTCTTATGTCAAACATAAGGGACAATTTTGGTAACTGAAATTGTTCAATTAAATTTTAAATTGACTGATAGATTTCCAAACCAATGTTCTTAATGCAGACTGTCACTCAAATGCATGGTATTTCTGCAGAAATGACATTGCAAGATGTGATGAGCTGTTATTAGATCAGACAATCCAGTCAAAGACTGGATATGGTCCTTCCTTGAATGCACTTTAGCTTGACAAACAGATTAGAAGCCATCTCTCCATAGAGCAAGCTATCAAAAAATGGTTATGAATCTGGACCTGTAATCTGAATTCAATTAAACTGATGCATTAAGAGATGCATCAAATCTACCACAATAAACAAATTAAAATTATTTGTTCTAGAAACAAAATAAAACCAACATAGCTCATCTATTTATGAAGATCATAATTACAGAGCTTCCTTTTACTCCAGGGTTATCTCCTAATGCCTCTCAGAGTAAAGGTAGAGAACAAATAAATAAATGGAAACAAAGAATTTGCTGCTGTGGAATATACGTTAAGGCTTTTGAGTAGCTTTGCATAGCATACCTGTAGGTTGTATCTGGCTGTAAGCCATCTATAAAATAGCTCAGAACCTTCCCAACAGTTATTGGCTGCTTATCTCCAAAGTCTATGCTGTAACCAATGATCTCAGACCCATGGTCACAAGGTTTTTCCCAACTTAAAGCAAGGCATGTGGAAGGATAATAGTGTGGACTTTCCACTTCATCTTCACTTAGTCCCCGAAGACAAGTCACAACTGCAGGCACAGAGGCTGGAGTCATGCATGCCACTACTTCACTGAAAGGGCCTGCACCCGCAACGTTCACTGCCTGCAAATGCAAAGCAGACCACGTTTTTATGGCAGAGACAATTCCTGTTTCCAGATTCCACTAGCAAAAGTTTTACATCTTTACCTGAACCCTGCAATAGTATATAGTAGCAGGCAAAAGTCCTTTCATTTCACAGTTGAGGCCAGGCCCACAATAAGAGATCTGCATGCATCCTTCCATACCACCCCATTCCAGTCGGTATTCTGTGACATCAGCTCCATTACTCCCTGGAACCTTTAAAATGGATACAAGTAGTTAGAAGTTAAAGTCACTGACTGAAAATGAATAAATAATCAGATTCCAAACTTTCTACATCTCTTAGTTTTTTTTAGGTTTGTTCCTATAAAGCAACAGGATCGTAGGCAACAGTGAGGCAGAGAGCTCTAAGCTCCACGGGAATGTTACCCTTCCTCTTTATTTCCTAGTTTTTATTTTAATACAATACAAATAAATCTGATTGCATTACTGGCCTTGAGTCATCTATACTTTAAAAACACTACTTATTATTGCAGACCACTTTGTACAAAGTAATTGTGATTTAGTTGCTTAAATACAGAGATGACCTAGCCTGTACAATTTAGCTTAGGAACCACAAAAGCCAATGGCAAGAGATGGTCTTCTTGGGAGGGTTATGGAAGGTACAGAAATTTTTGCAGACTGGGTCTATAGTGCAGGGAGAGCAACATGCAAACACATGCTGCTGCTCATGCCTTCATCTTGCAGAACAAAGGACTCCTCCTCTGAAGCACATCATGGCTCTCCTGAATGGAAACCAGGCTATAACAGAGTGGGAAGCTGAAAATTGTGCACTGTCTTTTTCCAAGACAGTGTTGCAAAGCAGCTGGGATAGACAGCTATCCACCACCACAGACCTGGACTGAAATGCCTCCTCCAGTAGCTTGTTTTTCCTCACTGCCTACCGCAAACTTAGCCTCCCTATTTTTGGGGCGTTTTAATACTACCTCAGAAAGAGTCATCTGAAATGCAGTGCCAATCACAGTCTCAACTGAGATATGACATTACAGAAAGGTATCAGCAGTCAATAAGTTAATTAAGAAAAAAAAAGGTCAAAAACACCTTACCACAGATAAAAAAAATATCTTAGATCATCAAGAGAACTGAAGGAGAATGATGGTGCTGTTTTGGACTAAATATTCCAAGAAAGCAATCATATCAAGCCAACTGTTCCAAGACGTCTTCTGCTTTCCCCTTCTTTTGAAAGAGGAACATTCCCTACTTTCAGCATTATGCATGTGAAGATAAGTGACTCGACGCAAACAGAATTTCAAAGGATAACATTTGATGTGATTGATAGACCCCCTTTCAAGTATTTGATATGCTGAAGGGTTCAGCTGCCAGAGAATTTCAGCAAGCAGGATCTGATACAGACCTCATTAAGTTCAACTAAGGCAAAGGTGAATTCATATTCCTAGATAGAACTGTACTGGGGCTGAGGAGCAAGCTTACCAAAAAAGAACTTGGAGTCCTGGTATGCAAGCTGAACAGGAGTCAGCAGTGTGTGCCTGATGAAGGCTAACTACACACTAGCTGAATTAGCAGAAGAGTATCAAGAAAGCTGAGAGGAATATGACTCCCTTCTGTTTGGCACTCGTGGGGGCTCCATCTCTAGTACTCTGTCCAGTCGTGGGCTCCCCAGTACAGACATTGACATCCTGGAAAAAGCCTGGCAGATGGCCATCAAAAGGGAGGGCAATTAAATGAGTATTTGATACTAAGAGGAGTTGACTAAGGGGAAAGTTGCCTTAAGCTACTTTCTGGGAGGGTACAAAAAAGACACCGCTAAATTCTTCTTGGAGATACTCAGTAGCAGGACAATAGGCAAATGTCACACCTTGTAGTAAAGGACATTTTGACTGGACTTGAAGGAAAAAAATCTGCAGCATGACAGTTTGCCCAGAATAGTTTTGTGAGACTGCAGAACCTTGGAACTTGGAGATATGTAAAATGTTTGGCTGGACAAGGCTCTGAGAAACCCAATCTAAATGTGAAGTTAGCTGTGATTTCGAGGAGAGAGTACAGTCCTACGTTACTTATTCTGGGATTCTATAAAGCAGATATCTAAGATTGGCCAAACTATTTCTACCTGAGAGATTTTTAAGAGATTTCTTTAGATTTCTTCATCTCATGGGTGAGTAAGGAGGGCCCCCCTGGGACATACCCAGCAGGAAGCATCAACAGTGCATTCTGGGTTAAACAAGTTTAATCTTCTGTACAGTTCTGTAACCCACATGATTGTCTCCACCTCAAGCCATTGAAGAGCTCTGTTTAAACAGTGTTCTCAGAGACAATCCTCCTTTTTATCAGCCTTAGTTTTTTATCTTTTGCATTTTTTTAAATCAGACATCTAAATACCAAGGGTTTCTAGGAAGTCTGAAAGGCTTTTGCTATGTTACTACTGATGCAATTACATAAAATTAAATCAACTTAAGAAAACAACAAATGTACAACAATCCATGGATGTATCTGCTCTGAGGAAACAATTACATTAAAGAAAAAGAATTAATAAGAGCCTGCATAACTCAAATCTAGTGCAGTAGTTGTGGCAAAACTTAAATAAAAGAAGAAAGTAAGACCTCAGGTATCTGTGGGGTTCTAACTTACAGCTGTCATACCATGGTATGATGGATTACTTCTGAGTTTTTACCTACCAAGCTCTGTGTACCCAAGTAAGTACATTTAAAAATACGATTAAAGTCTAAAGCTTTTAAGGTTGAACTTAAAAATGCAGAAGACATTCACATATACAGCATTGCATTCTTACCTCCCAGGACACCTGGGCACACGCGGCAGATCTGCACGTCACCTGGGGGGGCCTGCACTGATCTGGTGGTCCAGGTGCTGTAGTAATTTCACATTTTTCCGAGTAAGGTCCAAACTATTGAAAAGGGAATTGATATAACTAACTGATAAATAGAAAATTACTGCTTTCTAAACAGTTTGTCACAGCACAACTGTGTAAGAGCAGCCTGAAAGTTTGTACTGTTCACTTGCAAAATAAATCTTTGTGGACTGTGGACTGAGGATTTATTTCGGTATCTGACTATTCTCCAAAACAGCTGCAAGACTTGTCTCTACAGCAAATAAGTTCAGCACTTCAAACTCTCAAGCAGAAGGATTTGAAAGCACTTTCCTCTTTTGAAGCTATGTGTTTGCTAGACCATAACAGAACACAATTTGTAACTGCCTGTTTGTATGTAACTACAAGAAAGAAAAAGGATTCCAAAAATGCTCCATCTATAAACTGCTCTTTAGGGGATTTAAAATTAAGGTCAGTGAATTAAAGCTTTAAGCTGCAGACCTTTCCACAAACGGCGTCAACTGGTGATGATAGTTTTTATGAAGCAAATGCTATCAAACAAACGCAAGCAGCCCTGCCTCGGTCTTTAAATAAGGACTTTGGATACATAAGCAGATAATGCTTGTACTACAGCAACAATTGATTTAAACACATTTAATAACTCAACAACAAAAAAATAGCCTTGCATCTGATAAAACATGACTCAGAAGTTAAGCTAAATATTAAAAACCCCAGAATATGCTTATTAACATGTTCTAGAACAGCAACATACAGTAATAAAGGACAATCAGCTTTCAGAGCTGAATACAGGAAACAGTTCACTACCTTACTTCACATACGAATATTCAAGTCACAAAAATGCTTTGATGAAATACTTAGCACTTCCTAACCTTTTCCCAATGCTATGATTCAGGTTTAAGACATAATTCAGCTGTTTTCCCTTCCTTTAAAAATCCCTTTGTTCTAAATTGATGTTTAACTGTTCCCACACAGCAATAAGCTCTGTGTACCAAACGAATCTACATTAAGAAATCCTCATTTTGAAGCGACTTTAAAACTGATTCCTACAAAAGAGAAGATGCTTAATAGCAATTGTACTCTCCTGAATCAATTTCATTTCAGATTGCCTCCTTACCCCAGCCTTGTTAGCTGCTCGCAGTCTGAAGTTGTACATCCTCCCTGGAAGAAGGCTGCCTACCGTGCATTCAACATCAGAGCCTTGGTAAACCTCTCTGTGTTCATCAGTTTCCGTCTGAAACATTTCCAGACCATAGCAGCTAATGGGTGAGCCGCCATCTACCTGAGGTGGTCCTGAAAATAAGAAAGCAAACCTTACTTAATTTTAACACACAACGTATTTTGATCCCTCAGAACCCTCAGGAACGGTTGTAATAGAATTACCCCAGCGCAGCTGAATTTCTCTTGCTCTTGGTCTACCCTGCAGCCGAGGAGGTTGGCATGGACCAGGAACCACTGCTGGTGTCTGCACCAGTAAAGAATCAGATGCCTAGGAAGAGGAGAGATTAATGAAGACACCTGCACCAAAACAAGCACCATCAGTTACGTTACAAGTAAAAGCACATACTTGAGTTCTTCCATTTCTTGAACCATATCCTCAAATACACGAAAATACTTAGGTATTAATACTAATACTTCGTATGTATGAATTGTAATACTTATTTAAAACCTGCTACAGCGATTACACAATATACAAAGTTACCTTTTGCCTTTGAGTCACTGTAATACAAGGGGCTACAGTAAAAATAATGAAGAAGTCTCATTACAAAGCTAGTATAGGACCCTGAACTATGAATTGATATGTCAAGCCATTCTCTTTTCCATTAAACTGCAGTTTAACAGTTTCTAAAACCTCACTCCAAGAGCTGTACACTTCTTTCTGTGCAAGAGCCCCTTAGAAGGCCAAGTGGGTAGAAATGTCAAACAGAACTGATTAAGAAATTGAGATTTCAACTTTTTCACTACTTAGTAATACTTACTGTGTAAGTATTTGAAGTGTGCCAGAAAGTACATAGCAACATGCAACAGATGGCACTGTCTATTCTGGATGCAGAAAGGAATGAGTCAGCTGTGGTGAGGGGTTATTAGCTTCAGTGTGATACAGAACAAATATGCCTATTTCTGGGCTGAAGGTGATAAGCCTTTTAGTTCACAACAGAGATGCAACTTAGAGTCTTTTTTCACAGCTGCTCTTTACGTATGTTCCAGTAGGAGCGCGTTAGAAAAATCTGCTGCCTTTCAGTTTCTTTGAAATGTATTATTTCACTGAGCAACAGATGCTAGATAAAAAGTAGAATGTTTCACAGAAAAGTTTTCATTACATCTTTGTTTACTGTTTTTCTGTCTATTTCTGACACTTCCAAAAAGTACTACAACTTTCTGAAAGCTACCTCCATCTCGGAGGTTCTTGGGTATTTATTCTAAAATGTATTTATTCAAAGAAGGAAGGAGGTTGGCAGATTGAAAATCTCCATGGAAAATCTCCATAGGTACCTTGTGGGTAGGTGACTGGAAAATACACTGCTTTTCTCCTTCCCCTGTATGGCAGGAACAAAAGCACCACAGCTGCATCAGCACTGAAGAAATCTCAATTTACTCTCAAGACAAGGTGGCTGTGGGCAGGACTGTCTTTGCAGGAGACTTCTATGTGGAAGAATTTCCTATAGCCTAACTCAGCTGCTTAGTGTACTACACTGATCACACGGAAAGCATTAAATTTAGTCTGATGCCTTGGGTTAGGACTTGGGAAAAGTCATTTTCAATTTACTAACGTTGCACAGGGAAAGACATACTATTTTTTCTGTAAACAAGTAAAATCACATAAAGCAAAATACACCATCAGAAGAGAATATCTGTATGTATTTCTTAAAGAAGTAGGCAGAAACTTGAACCACTCTGCACCAGTACTGGGATTTCTTGGAGATCCTGACAGTGATTTTGTTAGGCACTTCTGTACAGTTATTCCTCTGACAGTATTTATGAACTGTTGGATTACGTTTTCTCAAAGATTTGTATTAAAAAACACATCAGCTAGTATTACCATGCTCTGCCCTCCTTCCCCAATGCAATACACACGTAAGCGATAGGAACAACCAGGGTTTAATCGATCACACAAATGCTCCCTTGCAGCTCCACTGTATATTGTGTCCCACTTGTTTCCTGAAAGGTAAAGAATAAGTGTGCAATGAACCAAGGTGCAATTTACCACACTTCAGTATCCTAGACTCAGCAAATGAATGTCTGCTTATGTGTTTATGAAAAAAGTAATATTAAAGGCTTGCTTTGCACGCCCTGGGAAAAGGTCTAATTGTTTCAGTTTCCCATACAGACTTGTGTAGATCTGCAAAGTCAAACATCTTCCTTATTTGCTATTTACATTAAAAATAAGAGAGCATTTACTTTAAAAAAGTTAATTATTACTGGGTCAGCAACCATATCTAAACATCATAACCAATAAAAATAGAAAAGCAACACTTTCCATGGAAAAGATCTTTTAATTACATCACGTATATCCACTTTGCATATTGTCACTACAGCTTAAAATTGATAAAGCTCGTTTCTGTGTTTCTGAATGGCTCAGCATCATCTGGAACACTTGATTTCATTCTTTTCTCCTCAGACAGATTCTTAAATGAGAACCTCTTTGGCATTCTTCCTGTCTCTCTCTGAAACATTACTCTGCTAACCTGGAGCCTTTAAATTAAACCTACAACAATTCACCCCATCACAGAGGGCCATGAATGAAATGTAATGCACAGCTCACTGCATCTGCATGAAAGGCTTAGGCAAACTGTTCTACAAGTGACTGAATGTGGACATGCAACACAGTAAGGAAGTGTTGCTGAATACAACAAAAGGTTTAGATTTTCAAATAATTTAGTTGGGTACTTTTATGCCCAATTAAGAAACGTGCATGACGGAACATAAAAGCAAACAGTAGAAAAACTTCTTCTCTGAAGGAGTGGTCAGGTGCTGGAATGGGCTGCCCAGGGAGGTGGTGAAGTCACTGTCCCTGGAGGTGTTCAAGGAACGTTTAGACGTTGTACTGAGGGACATGGTTTAGTAAGAAATGTTGGTGATGGGTGGGTGGTTGGACTGGATGATCTTGGAAGACTTTTCCAACCTTGGTGATTCCATGATTCTATGAAAAAAAAATTACAATAAGGGTAGTGAAGCACTGGCACAGGATGCCCAGAGAGGAGGTGGATGCCCACCCAAGGTCAGGCTGAACGGGGCTCTGAGCACCTGATTGCGCTGCACGTGTCGCTGATGACGGACTGTGGGAAAGCTGGTCCAGATGGCCCTTAAGGGCCTCTTCAAACTCAAACAATTCTGCAATTCTGATTCTAAAAACTTTTTCCAGCTACATCAGTGTTCCATCAGTGTAGCGGCAGTGAATGGAACACCGGTGATTCAATCACGCATCCAGCAAGGCTAAGTGGCCCTTTCTTGCCCTTTAAACATCTGAAATACATCATTTGATTTCCAAAACAGAACACGCTCATTTGATAGGTTAAACAGAGCAGCACTTTTGACTCGGTTTTACTGCATTTTCTTTCTAATCCTGAGAAAGAAAACTTCCTGTGTGCAAGTATCAACATCCTCATTTTTAAAATTCCAGACTCTTGCAATAATATCTGCTATCACATTACATATTTTACCCTTTCCACAATTTACAACTAAAGGTGTGCATACAAAAAAGATCACAGCTGAATGCCAGCACATGACTCCTAGTTCTTACCATTAGAGCCCTCAGAGATTTCCACAACGTATGTATTTATTGCTGCTCCTCCAGTGTCTTTTGGCGGATCTGTGAAAAAAGCAACATTCCAACTTAAGCAGGTGAACTCAAATTGTTTTGTAGCTCTTGGGGAAAATTTGAAAAAGGCAAAATGGTCACCCAACAGGAAATGAATGCTTTTTTCACCCAGTTGGCCACAGCATCCTGCATCCTAGTTCAGACAGCTGCAAATCATTCAACTCCTCCACTACCCTAAGCTGCCAAATCATAACCCCGCTGTCATCCATGTGTGATGAGTGAATTAGGCAGCTGGGAGATGCCACAGCAAACATTTCATTTAGGCTGAAGTCCTGCAGAAGGCTGCCCGATTATGGTTTCAGGGTCATTGATCCTAATGGCACTGTAATATGGACTGCAGATTGGAAAAAGATTCATATTTACAAGTCAGAATATATCAAAATGTTTGAAGGAAAACATGCAAAAAACCTAAATATTCTGAGAGAGAACAGAAGTCAGGAGTTCTGTGCTGAACACTTGAACTTTTAATATAGCAATAGAAAGTTCACTATCCTCCTTAGGACAATATGCAAGAAAAACATAGGAAACTACAGAATTATCTTTGGCATAATCCTACTACTCTTTCTCAGAGCTGACACAGGGAACAGTAAAATTAAAATGCTGTGGAAAAGCAACATTTTTGCCAAATATAGAGGCAGCTTCAATACAGAAGGGCACTGCTGCTATAACATTACATTATGTATATGATGGATGAAAGGATGTTGGCTCTGAGGCAAGCATTACATATCACATCATACTTGCTAAACAAAATAAGATTTATTATATGGCACATAACACTTCTTTGGTTGAAAGACAGCAGTTAATTTACTCCAAATGAAAAATGAAGCATTCATATTAATTATCACTCATGAAAAAAAAAAAGAGTACTATAGAACCATTAAAAAATAGATATTTTTAGACAGTTTTCTTTTTACAAATTAGATATTCCTAATACAATACGATTTTACTTTTACAAATTAGATATTTCTATTTCTAACAACTTCAAACGTTCTACAAGGTAAGAAATGAAATTGCAATAACTAAGACCTTCGATCACTTGGTTTTCTGTTACAGTAAAATATCACAGCACTGCTTCACCTTTTCCTATTTCATTGCATAAAGGTGACAAAACTCACCCTAAGGAAAGTCTCTCAAGATCTCTAATGAAAATAAAAAAAATAAAATAAAAAAAAAAATCAAGCATTTTACAGACAGAAGTTAAGCCTGGGCCCTTTTTTTTGATTAAAAAACCTGACAATTTCATAGCATCTACTTATTAAACCAGAGCAACATTAACTTCTTAGTACGCTGATCCATTACTCTTCCAATAATCACACTATTACTCTGCCACCACAGGTATTTTTTACCTGTATTTTCCTCTTAGTTGACTGAAGCTCTTTACAGTTGACTGAAATGTTACTGAAGTGAAATCTGGCCTTCTGTGTGTGAACATTCACAAAATAAAGAGAACAAACTATAAACAGAGCTGGACAACGTTCTTACCCCAGATTATTTTAAAACTTTGTGCGTGGATTTTTCCCTTCACTGAGGGTTTTGAAGGTGCTCCAGGTTTGTCTGGGCAAGTAGTATAGTCTACTGTCTCACTTGGACTGCTTTTCCCTTCTGAATTATAGGCAATGACCTGTAAATATACAAAAATTATTATAAGCACAGAACAAATATACAATATGCTCTTCAGTGTTAATGGCAAGAACAAATTAACTTATATGTACGCGTAGACAGCTAGATGATATGCCATCAGGAGGAATGAATCTATTATGTACCTTCATTTCATGATTTTTCATTAGTCCTGCAGTTAGTCAACCACTGTGTTGAAATTAAAAATGCCTGTGAACTGCTAGAAAGAAAAAGAATCCTTAAAAGCAAACAACCAACCAACCAAACAAAAAAACCAACCTACCAAAAACTAGTAATGGTGAAGTTGGAACAAACCAACCAACCAAACAAAAAAATTAATAACCTGCCATATCCTCCAAATTTCAAATGCTGGTGTATAAATTTAGGTTTCTACTCAAGGCATTAAACCAGCCTGACTGTAAAAGGTAGTTCAGATATGCAGCTCTCAGTGGTGCTAATGGAACCTGCAGGTGCTCAAACTGCTTTAATTCAAGTGAAGGATTTGAAAGCTTGTTTTTTTAAAACTAAGAGGCTCAGAAATTAGTCAGGTCTAAGAGCTACTCCCTTTTTCAGTACACTTCTGCAGGACCATGGGATCCTGTTCAGAGCAATGCAGCAGTGCACCCTGGCAGCAGTGAAGGTAGACTGTTTCATGGCCTGCCTCAGCAAGCCTTTCACTCGCAGAGCAAGGGATGTGATTTTGCCACTTTGTCCAGCATCATTTAGGCCAAATCTAGAACATTCTTCCCAGTTTTGGTACTCCCAGTTCAAGAGACACTGAGAAACTGGAGAGTGCAGAAGAGAGCCAGCATGATGATTACAGAACTGGAGAATAGGAGGAAAAACTGAGGAGCCTGAGTTTACTCTGCCTAGTAAACATAAGTTTCAGTGAGGGGAATCTAATAACTGCCTTCCAAAACACAAGAAGCAGTTAAAGAAAATAGGAAAACACTCTTTTTGCAAGGATATGTGATGACAGGACAAAAGAGCATGCGCACAAATGTGTCAAAGAAAATTCTGTCTGGATATAAAAAAAGAAATTAATCACCAGGAGTGCAGGCTGCTCAGCAAGGAAGAAAAATCTCCCTTGCTGGAAATACTGAAGTCTCAGGTCAATAGAGATAGAACAAAGTTAAAAAGCTTGACTGAAAGTCCTGCTCTCTAGACAAATTGTTGCCAGATGACCACCAAAAGTCTCATCCAACCTGGACTAGTCTGTGATTCTAAGAAAACAAACTGCTGCTATTCTTTACTTCCTAGTTGTGCAGCTAATTTATCATGTATTCCAATTTGTTCCTAGCAAAAATCTAAGCAACCTAAATATATATATATATATATATATATACATTTTTTGCTTTTATATTTATTTAACAATTAAATAGAATCCAAATGATAGGAGTGATGTCACTACAGCTTGAGAAGAGGAAATGTGAGCTAACCTGCTTCTTAGACATTCTCCTCATAGAGTTTACAAGATTAACAATCATCTGGTTTTTTTGCTGCCTTACAAATGAAGTTACAAAGACAGTTGGTATTTACCTATCGTAATAAGGTTTCCAATGGTTACAAAGTTTCTTTCAAAAGCCTTAAGGAATATTACTACTAATTAAGTCTTTCTCCTGTATAATAAAAATTAAAGACCTGATTAGCGCACAATTTGTTTCTCCTTTATGCCCTGTGAAAGTGAGCAGACTTCTGGTAGCAGTTCTGTTATGAAAACCGTAGTATAAATGTTGGTTCTTTATTTTAATGACAAACTTGGGATGCTGAAGTTAACCACGTACTTACTAATAATGTATGCCATTAACATACAGGGCTACTTTCAAAGGAAAACCATAATGCTTTTCAGTTTAAAGACATGTATAACCTGAACAGTGGCACCATCTTAAAAATATACTGTAAAATTTAAGTCACATAAGCATTAAATTATGGATATGTACCCTAAGATGAATGTATACTGCAATCTTTTCCACTTCTGAAAAAGTCTGAAGGCATTCAAGGCCAGGCTGGATGTTGCTCTGGGAGCCTTGCCTAGTGCTTGGCAACCCTGCACAGAGCAGTGGGGTTGAAATGAAATGATCTTTGTGGTCCTTTCCAACCCAAGCCATTCTATGATTCTATGAAGTAGTAATATTCAGAACTGTAAAATACTTGCTGTAATTTCAAAAGGAGTACTTAAAGTTTTAGACTCAAAACAAACACAGCAAGTGCCGGACTTCTCCCTCTCACATTGCTAAAAGATGCTGTTCTTAAGCAGCTCCACTTCTTGCTTATGAAATAGTCATTTAGGTGTATGCAAGAACACAACTATGGACGTTTTTTTTCCTTAATAGACTGGAGACCATTCTGATTCTGCTCCATACTATGGGACACACATTAGCTTTGCTCCAAAAGCCATGCAACTGTTCAAGCGTGACTTGATCGATCCTGAGCTAGTAAGTCAAGACCTTCAAAACGTAGGTATGGACTCAGCATCACAGTAATATTAGGGCCACAAAGATGGTGAGGGGCCTGGAGCATCTCTCCTATGAAGAAAGGCTGAGTGAACTGGGTCTGTTCAGCCTTGAGAAAAGAAGACTGAGAGAGGACCTGATCCAGGTCTACAAATATCTAAGGTGTGGGGGACAGAATGGCGAGGCCAGACTGTTTTCAGTGGTGAATGGAGACAGAACAAGGGGAAACGGCCGGAAACTGCAGCATAGGAAGTTCCGCACAAATGTGCACAAGAACTTCTTTACAGTGAGGTGACGGAGCACTGGAACAGGCTGCCCAGGGAGGTGGTGGAGTCTCCTTCTCTGGAGATGTCCAAGACCCTCCTGGACACCTACCTGTGCGACCTGCTGTAGGGAACCTGCTTTGGCCGGGGGGCTGGACTCCATGATCTTTGTAGGTCCCTTCCAACCCCTTAATTCTGTGATTCTGTGTAATATGAGTGATTTACTCACTTGGGTTCAATCACTGCATAGCACTGATACATTAAAAAAAATAAAATCAAACTTGCTCCTTATCCTAAGAGTTTGATATGTTTTCTATCTACCAAAGAACTAAGTAATAGTACCTGTGTGACAGAGAAGCAAAAAAGCAACCAAAAAGCTCCGCAGCTGTTACAAACGTGGAGTAATGAGCAAGAATGACACATTTCAAGATGCCTGCAATGGTGCTATGCCCTTTCAGAGGTTCATAAACTTCTACAGAGATGACCAATAAAGCAATGAGATGATAGTTTTAGGAGACCGGTTTCCCTTCAAATTTAGTTTCCCTTAAGTCAACAAGTCAAACCTCAAGTTCCAAGAGACCCAAACAGCCAGAGGAAGCCATCCAAAACCCACATATGTGAAAAATCTTACCCTAAACTTGTATTTCGTACTACGCCTCAAATTCTTCACTGTGTAGGTAAGATCGTCGCCATCGTATTTTGGCTTGAAACCATATCCCTGCAGAATCAAAGGGGATTACTTGAAACATTACGTCTGTCAACCAGATTCTATAATATCGTTCATATAAATAAATTACTGCATCTTAGAGTGTAATTGTTTTATGTTCCTCTGACAAAGTAATTAAGTGTAACATCATTGTGTAAACACAAGATATTTTATTTCTACCACGTGTATGTGCTGTATATGAAAGCCAAGTATAAAAATAAGGGTGGGGTGAGGGAGGAAATGAATTAATCGTTCTCCAGGAGAAAAGAAAAATAAAGAAAAGTGCAGAGTGTCAGGAGAAATTACACCTAACATTTTCCAGTGGTAGAACAAAGGTGCTTATGCTGAAATAACGTCTAAAGGGATTGCACTTCATCATGCAATTACTTTGACCCATTTGTACAGAGCTGAACTTTCACGAGCAAAACTACAAAGTTAAAAGTAGTCCATTATTCTGCAGGATGGGGATTTAATACTAATGACAATTACTGCTGCAATGGAAAGGAGAAAGCTACGTGAGGTGGTCGCTGCAGTGACAACTCTTTAGTTTCATTTCAGAAAACACAGTTCCCTGTAGAATATTCTAGCAAAAATAATCACTGTTGCACTTCAATACAATGATGTATCAAACACACACTATAGTCTCTTTCTTAAACTGAGAGTAAATACTTTAAACTTACTGAGTTCTCGTCCTCCATCTCTAGTATATATGAAATTCCTTCATCTGACGGTGTTCCTGAGGGTTTTGTCCACTGTAGGGATAACCAAGTAACTCCAGCATTAATCAGCAAAGGACTTGCTGGTGTAGTTGGGGCAGTGCCTGAGGTATGATACAGGACTTCTTCACTAAAACCACTGTGTATAATAAAACAGACAGCATGTAAAACTAACCAGACACAATAACTGATACCTAGAAAAACATCATTCTTACTAAACACAGCTATGACAGTTTTTTGGATATGTGCACAACCAGAAATTGGTACATGCAGATGACTCAACTTGCCCATGAAATCTATTGGTTATAAACAATTTGAACAAGGTTAACATACTCATAATTTAAAGATTCCTGCATGTGACATAATTACAATGTTTTGCTAAGCAAAATGTTCTGCTTTTACTATTGTCATCTCTGTAAAACAGTAGAGCTCTATGCAAAACAGTGTGCTAAAGCCAATGCAAAATAAAAACATGAAAATATAAAAACATATATGGGAAGGCTTCAAACTACTCTTTGCTTCCCAGGCAGCAACCAATGCATGTGCTTCAAGTATATTCTGAAGCACCAGTCTCTATAGTGATTCAGAAAATAACAGTATTTTATTCAATGTTCAGTTGCTTTAACAGTTGGCAACATGAAAGTAGAATGTACACCAGACAGTCTCTGAACACAGCTTTTAACCTCAGCTGATGACTCTTTGGTAAGTCACAGAAAGAGAGCTAGGGTGAAATGGAGGCATGCAGAAGTCAGTACATGGGTGTATCACACAAACAGGTGACAAAACAAATTGTTCTCAGCTGGAGTTCATTCAGAAATTTGCTGCTTCTACATCACATCTGAAGAAACACTTGTAGGCTTGAGAGCTTGTCTAGTTTTTTTGTAGACCGTATGAAACAATTGTCAAATATATAACTTTAATCTAAAAGCTACACACCACTGAAGTGAGCATTAAGAAACCCTGAAAACTGAACTCATTGTGTGGCTTGAATAACAGAACCAGTTAAAGACCTTGTGTGTCCAAATCTGACATTCCTAGAAGTCAGAATACAAAGACACCTTGATGTTAGTTTCTCTTTTACTATGTTATAATATCACACAGGTTGTAAACTTTGGTCTGCTCTGGATTCTTTCGGGCATTTAAAAAAATATCTCACAGACAATGCCTTATCAAATATGCTGACAGCATCCAAAACAGACACAAAGTCTGTGTGGGCATGTAGATTGTGAAACACACTGTGAAGCAGGAAATGGAAAAGTGCAAAGGAAGAGAAAGCTTTAAGGCAGGAGGAATAGTATTTTCTTTTTTTCCTTGCCAAAAGTTATGAGGAATTAATTCTCTGAAATGAAAATGATGTGATACTTACCATCTACCCATGGAGAAAAAAGTTCCAGCACTACATAGTTGGGCTAAGAAAGAATGAAGAGAGGCTAGACAGATGCTAAGCCTGTTTCTACTCACAAACAACTACTGAAGCACTTTGCAAGTAGATGCAAGGAAAGAAAAAATCTGAATCACCTTAAAAAGCCTTATCTCTGAAGCCTCTGAAATCCATTGGAATCACACAGCAGTAGTGTTTATTTAATGTGTATGGGTTCTCCTAGAGGATACCTTTACAATCAGAAGGAACTGGGAAACAGGAAGAGAACTTGAGCACCAGACTCTGCTTAACTGTCATCTCACTCCCTGTCTTCTCTTCTGAACAGCTGCACTTAAATCTCATCAAGACAAGTCCGGGAGCAACTCAGAGAACACTTCATTCCAGAAACATTTTCCAGAAGGCAGTAACATAAGAAAGACTCTGCTGGAGCACTCTGAAAGTCAATTTAGCCCATTATACAGTCCATTGCCAGTGGCCCAACGCAGGAGCCTAAGGAAAGACGTAAGAACGGATGCAGAACGCAACACATTCTCTGGGTACTCTCCAAAGCCTCCCAGCATCTGAGACCTCCTGAGGCAGCTGTAACTTCCACGTATTCAGCCTGCAAAAGATTTCTTCTATCCAGCATGAATTACACCCTTGGGTCTGGCTCCCTGGTTTTAAACTGTGCTTTGATGCTGTCCAAGCAGGCACTGCTCCCTCCAGCACTCCCTTGTGCCAACTGAAGGATGCACAACACGCAATCCGTGTTACAAAAACACCACTCTGGTCAGCTGTAGCACAATGCTAAAAATATTTCAAACACTGATTAAAAATAAAAAAGGCAATTGTACGCTCACAGCTAGAGAATCCTTGATTTTATATCTCATAGGATCTAAAGGTCCAAGTGCTAGGACACGGTGTAGACACAGGCAGCCTTCTCTAGGGATAATGAGCACTGGTCCTGACAGCATTATCACTTCACCAGAGGACCAAAAAAATCATTACTAAGAGCTAATGCATCCAGCAGTGTAAGCATAACCTGACAACATGTTACTCTTGCTTTGCATTTTTGAGTTCTTACTTACATTCCCTGCTGTAGTCAGATGTCATTCATTCAGAAATTAAAAACAAACTTTGGTGCTCTGCAACTTGTGAAAAGTAGAAATAAAAAATAATAACCACATATCCTAAGCATTTATAATAAGCTCTGGAAGCTCAAAAGAATTCAGCACTATGGTAACATTATATTCTGCCCATTTCCCACAGTAACTGTGACTAACTGACTTAGGTAAAAGGACATACACGGGCAATGGGATAGGGCAAAGCACAGCATCCTACAGACAGGCCTACACGATGCAGCACGGGTTCCGATGGCCTTACTCTCTGCTCCAGCAGAATTCCTGACATCTCTTTATGCTGTTTTTACTACAGTGCTAAATTTAAGGAGGGCTGATCAAACCCTGGCAAACTGTTAGACCAGCTTCAAGAAATGCCTTAGGTCTGAGCACCAGAGGGAATAGTAAAAGGTATCTCTGCTCACACAACTTCAGTACAAACTGCAGCACTAAAGCCATTCAATTCTGGCCCTCTGGCAGGGTAACTCATCTTTTATGACAGCCACCAACATTTCAGTAGAAGTGTGTATTACATCAGACACAACAGTCACAATTTCATTGAATCTGTGAGTCAGTGCAAAGCAGTGCTTAGAGAAAAGTTCTACTGCAAATCAGAGCAGTAAGGAGCAAGTTCAAGGTAGTAACCTTCTGAGGAGGTCAGTGTGAGTCTACAAACACTAAAACTAAAAGCTAGCATAGCCTGAGCTGATTCCATGTGATAGCAGCTAGGCTGTGTGTGCCACACTTGTGCTACCACTCTATGTACAAAGGTAGTGTATGAAGGTTATAGAAGGCAGTTTGAGAAATTAGGGTGAGTGGTAGGAGTAGCTGAACTATAGCTGCTTCTAAGGGGGGCTGAGATCTGTAGCACTTAGATGCCAAGTATGTACAAATGTTATGGCAGTAATAACACAGCCATAATGCCTGAACAAAACAGATGATGCCAGGAATCACCAAACAGCTGAAGTTAGAAAGGATTTCCAGAGGTCACCTTGTCCAACCTCCCTTGCTCAAGCAAGGTCAAGGGATTCACAGTACACGTGTAAGCTGCAAACTGAATAATCCAATCACATATGGTAAATTAACTATGAAAATCCTAGTAGGACAGAACTCTTGTTTCTTTAAATGCCATCATATTTTCTCCAAAGCAAGCACACATATGCATGCAAATGCATTCTGTATTTATGTATACAACAGTAATATTTACCTCATCCCCATGTCATTTTTGGCTGCTAGTCTAAAGGTGTACCCCATTGCTGGTGATAGTTTAGTAATCCTATACTGCTTCTGTTGGCCATAATAACACTGGCAAAACTCTCCATTTCCTTTTCCCTAAAAAGAAATAAATTAATCACATTATTCACCCTATTAAATATGTGTCCATCAATTAAAGCAACACACATAAGTGAAGTAAACTCATTTTTTGTAGTGTAGATGACTAAAAAATCCCTCACACAGTGAGACTTTATATAAAACTTTTGCATATGTATGAAATTAGAGTCTTTTAAAATTGTGTTCCATTTCCCAGCTCCAAGGGGCTGGAAGGAGAAAGCAGTACAATACAGCTCAGCAGTCTCCCTCTTGGGAAAGCTTCTGGGTAGGAGCTGCAGATGTTCATGGGGACAGAGCTGACCCAGCCCTTTTATACCAATGAAAGGCTGTTATAGTAAAGTGATCATTTATTGTCTACTCTTGAGAGAAGTATTGGCTAAAAAACCACCATAAAAGTGGCAGAATCATGTAACTAAGAAATATCTGACATTTTACATATCCTAAGAAGAAAATTGGGCAGTAACCAGGATTTCACGCTTGCTGCAGGACTTGTTTCTCATGTGCCTACATAAGCCATCGTTGTGACACAACCTGATGTGCACAGTCACATACAGCCACTTTTGAAAACCACAAAAAGAAAATTAGAATAAATTGCTTACTTCATCCCATTCTAAAAGGTAACTGTGGATTTTAGAACCATTATCACAAGATGCCTGCAACAAGAAAAAACAGAAACTTGAGCTGTAATTGGACACAATATCACTTCAGGAAAGACCCACGTGTGTACCAGTTCATGTCACCACCAGTGGGGGGCAAAATGATGTTTCCTTTATATGACTGTTTCACTTGCCAAGATGGTCCTTGTTCTGTTTCCATCCAGAACATGTTTTTTTTTTCTTTCTTTTTCTTCATTTAGACTTTGATAAAGTATTCTGGCAGCAGTGTAAAATACACAGAACTTTTCTAAGCAGCTAGACTGTAGGTCTGTTCAAATCTCAGTCTTTCCAAGACACTCCATTTGATTTGCACAAATAAGTCTATTTTTAGTAATAGAGGGAGAAATTGGTTCTTCATAAAAGAGGAGACCAGAACACAAACCAGTGTCTCTTGTTCAAACTCATTAACTTTAATTACAAAGGCTCCTGGCTTTTCTGGGAAGTTTTTTCTCTTTAATGAAGTCTGCATTTAATCTGATATACATACCTAAGACCCAGAACAGTGATTGAAAGTAGTTATGACTGGCAAAAAAATTCTGTTTCAACAAACTGGCATTTTATTCACAAATCTGAAACTGATGAAGAGTTGTATGTGCCTGCTTTAAAGGTCTTCAGCAGTTCTTACCTTCCACTGCAAAGTAAGAGAATTTTTGGTCCGATTAGTTATCCTGGGCAGATTTGGAGCGTCAGGTTCACAACTCATTGTGGTAAAACTCTCTGCTTCTGAAGGACTCCCCTTTATACAATTGCATTCCACTTGGACCCTAAGTGTGAAAAAGAGTCAGAAATGTTTTACTTCAAAATCTGTGTATAAAATTTCCAAAGAAAACTGAGTATTCAGAATTACGTCACTGCCTTCTATCTCCTTACGTAATAGATTTCTTTTATATATATATGTAATTTAACTGATGTAAACATCTTGGTTGACAGAAGTAATGTAAAAGAAGACTCCTTTACTTTGGATCTTCACAATTATATTTGAAATATGCTCACTGTTTGCTGCACTTTGATAAGGAAATGATGGTAACATCTTGCAGGCTTGTTATCTGCTGTTTGAACTGATAATACAGATAATTATTCTGCAAGTGCTTTTGTGAGATAGGCACAATGAAGCTGTTAAGGTACTTTCAGACTATCTTTTGCATTTAGCAGAGCTTACTGAGTTGTTTCACTCCGTCCTTTCCTTTAGGAAGGCTCTGCACAAGCTCTTCTTGTATTTCTGAAGAATGAATTGTTGCCTCTGCCTCAAAGAGGAATGGTTTGCTTTGCTCACAGCCCTTCTCCAAAATGAAATAAAAGATTATTTCCTGGTCTTCTCCCACCCTCCTCCTTTTCCTAACAGCTGCATAGCTATGCCTTGTTTCTTCCTTGGGTGAATCCACACATTACTTTCTTCTAATTCATTTGTTTCTTTGAAATACAAAAACAAAAAACCAAACCAACAAACAAAAAAATCCTTTCCTCTGATCACTGTAACGTGTGAGACCTGTGTCACTTGCTTATGAAGCACAAGCAGCAAGTCATGGGAAATGTGACACTGCAGAATGCATGAGCATGGAGACCAAAACATCTAGCAGTGACTAACACTGCACACAAAGTTATTTGTCTTTAAAAACAGTGGCAGATACCAAATTTGTCCATAATCTTCATAGTTCAATCTTTCTCATCTTCCTTTTTGGTAATGTTCAGACTGGCAGAATTCTAATTACTACTTCAGGAAGAACTTAGATGGCTAAGTCATCTAATCACGTGAATCCTCTAACGACCAGAAACAAATAAAATCAAATCTGGAATCTGAACACAACCTGGTAGAAAAGGACATTCACAGGGAAAAAATGTCCTGGACTATCACCTCTAAGCTCCACGCATTTTCAACTTAAATGTAATTGGATAAAGAGCTTAAACATTAATAAAAATAGTAACAAAATCACAGAGAAACAGTTGCATATAAAAGAGTCTAGTCAATTTACCACTCATCCTTCTCCTGAACACAGTGGCACACCATAAACGAGAAGGGTGGGATTAACAGAAAGCCTTGTTTGGCTTTCAGTGTGGTAATGGACAAAACCCTGGAAAAGGCACTAGAAGGTGCAGAGTCCCTCACACTGAGGACCCAGAACTTAGCACTCCCTTTTGAGCAAATGGGAATCACTCCATAACTGAAATCCTTCTCCTCCCCATTGCACGTGGAAAGAGGCACATTTCTGACTCACATCCTTATGCACCCTTTTCTTCCTACCAACTGCCTCTAAATGGCTTCTGAGCACAAAAGTCTTGGGATTTTCCAGACTGGCCTGCTGGAACAAGGAGAAAGTGGCATGAAGCAGCCAGTAGGAAGAACATTCTTGTGCAAGGCACCTCTAGTACTTGTGAAATGGCATAAAAGAAGCACCACTGGTGCATGGCTCAAAGGAAATACAAAGATCACTGCATTGGCATGAAGTGACGAGCACAGATATTGGCTGATGTAGCAAAAAATGTTTTCCAAAACTGTTTATGTGATGAATGAAACAAAAAAGGCTGACTTAAAAATGGCAGTATTTCAACTACCACTGTGACTCAAAGGGGGGGTACCAAAATAGAGACAATTTCTGAAGGCTTTTGCAATCAAATGTACAGATGATGTACAGTGAAACTTTTGAAATGTTCCCACTGAATTTAGTTACCAGAAAAGGAAGATACTCACTTTGCATGGTAATCGGTTGCTGGCCTGAGATCACTTACAGTAACTTTATTTTCTTCTCCACTGAAAAGAAGTATGATTTTGTTAAAGAGATCATTTTAGAATCACATGCATTTATTAAAGGCACATATCTAACCCATCTACCTAACATTCCTTGTAAGGAACATATTTGTCAATAGATTGTTTCTGTTGCTAAGTGTGCTAAAATGAAGACACTTCAACCTTGCAATCTTACAGGCTTCCCTTGCTTTGTTTCTGTTTTTTTTTTGTTTTGTTTTGTTTTTGCCTTTTTTGTTTTTAAATAAGAATCACCTTCTTCCTTACTCAGTTGTAGCAGCTGACATGCTGGAGTGTGTGCATGTGTATGTTATTAGAAAAAAGGTATAAAAGAATTGGGACCTGCAGAAACGTGGATATTTATAACTCTTCAGCCTTACAAACATGATTACCTAAAACTGTATATGATTGCATACACCTACTTTTTAGAGCCTAGTAAGCAGAAAAGGCACCTATGAAACATCTATTACTCTGCTTTTACTGAATCAGCCGAGGTTTGAAAAGCTGTTTTCGTCTAGTTTCTAAGGCAGGGATATTCAACTTGTGATTCATGAGCTGCTCCTAAGATGACTAATATAAACTCACTAAATACAAAGATTTGTCATTATTAGATAGCTCTATATCTTTAATGATTAATTTTACTGCTAAATTTCTTCAAATTGCAGGGAAAAAAAAACACAATTAAAAACCACTGTATTACAAATTAAACAGCTTGAGAATTTAGCTTGTTTCAATGCTGCTAGAGTTGTGTTATGTGAGACTCTACTTTATTTCATAAAGTAACAGTCTCTTGCCAAGCAGAAAGGAGGAATACCCTTATTGGGAGGAGAGACAAGTACAGGAATAAATAAACACATGCAAAATTCGCATCTGTCACTATTTGTGTACTTTACTACTTGAAAAGCTGTGATTTCTGCTGTAGCTGATGTCAGTACAGCTAAGCAATATTAAAACAAGCTCAACATCTAACGGTCTTCATATTCTAATTATTAATATAGACTTTGGTAATGAAACAGCCATTTCAACTGACAAAAGACCTTGTTTCAAAAAGAGATGTTGCACCAAGCTGCTAATTACTTAAATCTCCAAACAACAAGCAGGTTTGAATGAGATTTTAAGCCACACAATTAAATGCAGCAGCAACAAAATAAAGAAAATGAACACCTACATATATACAGTTTTGTATTTTCCATCTTTCCCGGTATTTGAAATCATCACTTCGTAAGTATAAACCCCTGGTATGTTACTCTTGTCAGTGTCTTCTCCGACATCAATGGATGGAGGTGACCACATAAGCAGTGCTGTTCTTGCCTGAATGTCTGACACCTGGAGAAATATAATTTTTGAGACTTCTGCCACTTAAATGCTACTGTGTATAAAGAGAAGAGAAGAGAACTATGCATCATTAGCAAATCAGAGTATTTATACTGATGTATGAGCTACTGATTAGCTTTTACAGACGAAATGCAGATGTGGTACGGAGGGACATAGTGGGCATGGTGGGAACGGGCTAATGGTTGGACTAGATGATCTTAGAGGTCTTTTCCAACCTTAATCTTTCTGTGATTCTGTGAAATCAAGCTGGAAACGAGAAAACTTGTTACCCTAGGGCTGATTGCAAAGTAACGAATGCCACCTAGTGGGCTACAGAGGTTCGGCACAGGAACAGGATGCCCAGGATGCAGTTTGTGTGCTGCACCTGCCTACTATTCCCAATCATTTCAAAAGAACTGGCAACACATCACACGAAATGACTAATTTCACAGTATCACTGCCATATAATTATATATGTAAAAAGATATATTTTGAATAGTTGCTTTTGGAAATCTTTTACCAGAGTCCGAGAATCAAAATACCATTCTCACAAATGGTGCTCTTAACCCAAATGAGTCAACTTTAAGATTGAAACAGAGAAACTGGGTTACTGGCATCAGATAAACTTCATTCCTAATTTCCAGGTAGTATCTCTTTTTCTATCAGTTAAATCTACTTGCCCTAGCTGCTGGATTTGAACATCAGATCTCCCCTTCCTTTCAGCAATTTTCTTACGCACTTGAAGACTCCCCTCACTTGTCTGAATCTCTCATCATTTTCACCCTTCTCTTTGATTATTTACTTCTGTTCTATTACCTTCGATGCTTTGCCCAGAATTATAACACTTGATGTAATGCTTTACTAGTGCCAAACTGTCTTATACACTTTATAGATCACATTTCTCTTTGTACACTCTAGTATAAGTCTTTTACACAGAGTAAGTCAGGTTGGTATGAATGAAAGCTGGCATTATGTCTTATTGGAACATTCAAGCATTACAAGTTTCAGCTGTTCATTAGAGAGAATTAAGAGAGTGGGACACCAAAGGCAACACTGGTACATCAAAGACAACATTCCACTCACAGAACTTAACTAGTGAAATTAAACAAGGAGCACAGTGGAAATCTCTTTTACTGCAACAAAAGGCAAGAAAGAATATGTAATCCTGTTCTTAAGTCTCTGGAAGGAAAGTTGTTACCCTAAGTTATTCATCCAGGGCAAATATTTGCTAGTCAACTGAAAACAGACAGAACTTCTGTAAGACATCTAAAACAATAGATGACAACTTTGCACCCAGTAACTATAACACAATGAAACTATGTTATGCACCAAGCTAAAAATCAGTGACCATGTAGGTTGTTCTGGTTGTTTTACTTTGTGTAAACAGGGTATGAGAATAAACAATGCTATGAAGCTTTGCTGTGGCCAATTTCCCAAAGTTTAAAATGCAACAGCCAGCGTAATTCAGCATGAACAGAAATGCAAAGTAAAAAGTATTTGCAGAATTCAGGAGGAAGTTTTTCACTCAGAGGGTGGTGACGCACTGGAACAGGTTGCCCAAGGAGGCTGTGGATGCCCCATCCCTGGAGGCATCCAAGGCCAGGCTGGATGTGGCTCTGGGCAGCCTGGTCTGCTGGTTGGTGACCCTGCACATAGCAGGGGGTTGAAACTGGATGAGCACTGTGGTCCTTTTCAATCCAGGCCATTCTATGATTTTATGATAAATTGGGAATTAAGGATATCTTAAAGCATAAAAAGCAGCAGCGTATGTATTAAAAAAAAACTTCTATCAATTTTTTTTGTACCTACACATATACATATGTGCATACAGGGAAAAAGGAGGAAAACACTGTAAATAAGCTACAGTTTATTAGAATTTATAAGAGAAGAGATTCAATGAAATAAAAACAGCTAACAGGATTAAAGACAGAAGATATTTTAAGAAATCTATTAGGAAAGCTCCAAGTCGGGCACTGTTCTATTTCTGCTGGATGTACAAGTTAAAGTTGTGAAAGAAAGCATCCAACAGTTATTTCTACCTTGTTTTTGCCATGAAGTAGAAATACATATCCACCCCATATAACATTGTAGCTGGACTAGAAAATCAACAGCTTGCAGCAAAGGCACTGGGTCCAGTTGATGGTGCCCAGTGAAACTGGATGGTCAACTTTAAACCAGGTGGTCACATACTGGTTCCTTTCTGTGATGTACACTCGTGTTAAACTAAGCAGTGGCAAGAAGCCAAACCTAACTACCAAGCAATGCTGAAGAGCACTGGGGAGTGAGCTACTTAAGAAATAAGTTTAAGGGCAATATACCTGAGGATCTGGGAGAAAACTGCTCAAGCTGTCACAGTCATTTACTAATTACTTCATTAAGCAATTATTCGATATTGTCCTTTATACCTGATGATCAGAAATATCCCAATACTTGACTTTTTCACACTAGCCAGAGCTTTAGTATGGGAACTAATCACTAAGAGTTTCAGAAAATCCCATCACCTCTCAAGCACAGAACACCAGCATATTTTCAGTTATCTCTGTGATATGTGGAGGGAAAAAGTATTTTTGAAGAACAAAGATTAAAATCAGAAGAATTCACTACTCTTAGGTGCCCAATCTGAGACACCCAGGAGTAAATTTGAAAAACTTCATGTTACTAATTACTTTGTGTACTTATTCAAGCAACTGCAGTTGATTTTGGCTGCAGCTCTGAACATTCTGTGCTTCTTCAAAAGCAGATTGTAATACTTGGACCCTAACATCGAGAAAATTGAGGTGGGCATGTCTTCATTTGAAGTCCAACTTGGATGAGTTAATCTCCTTTTTAAAGATGTGCCATTTGGTTTAAAAAAAAAAAAAAAAGAGCAGTTTTAATATGTGCCAGCTGGATTGCACAAGCTACTTAACTGGTAAGTGAACAGCATCATGTTCTAAAAGAACATTATGTTTTGTAGCTCATGTGTGTACTCCCAAGCACTTTATAATGCTATGTAACCAGAAACTACGAGTGACTATCCCTTCTTCTCATTAAATATCTATTCTTCACTTTGCTTTTGTCTTTTCAGTTCCCCTCATCTTCTCTTGTACTTCCTTTGCCACTTGCTTAGTGAACTTGATGGCTGTGCAGACTGCTTGAATGCTGAGGAGTCAATATAGTTCATAAAAAAACATCCAATGGGAGTCTGGAAGCAGCAAGGCTTATGTGCCTCATAATGCACAGGACTGACAAGAGATGAGTTAAATAAAAACTCACCATGGAGCACACTGAGACATGGGGAAGCCCAACACTCCAGGTCTCCTAAAGGAGGATATGATGCAGTGGACACTGCACTGAGCAGCACCTGCATGACCATCTGATCATCTGACTGCCATCACAGCTGGTACCTGGTATTCCCTGTGCTAGCACTGACGTTCAACAAGGAAATAGGAGCTTATGATGCATCAAGAAAACCAAGAATCCCCATATAAGAGAAAAACATTAACAAAAAAACCTACAGAAATATTTCTGATGATAACTACAATCAGAAGGTGTAGAAAAACAATCTCCCTGTTCACTTGTGGGAGACAAGGACAGTATTTCCTTGGAAAAACTGTGGGAGGCTTGCTTCTTATCATGCAAGGCCTGAGTACAGAATACAATCTCCCTTCCTCTCATCTCATCGCATTCCCCTAGGTGCAACATTGGCTAGCCTTCCACTTATGCACAGCCCTAACTGTCCTTGGCCTTCACAAACAGTAAGCTGCTGTGATTGCTGCAAATCTGGCTTTTTGCTTGTGTGCTCTTTGGCTCATAGCAGATTACTGCTGCCTAGGCCTGTGATCTCCTGCTAAAAGGCCTTCTGCAAAGAGAGCACTTGCAGGCACACAGCTGTGCAGTGAATGCAGTGAAATTCAAGAAGGGTCATGGGTGGGGATGAAACAGTGAAACTAGTCCTGCTTGCCTATAGGGGATGAACGGATGAATATTCTGAGTGGAAGGAAGCAAAAGGAAACGAGACAGAGACGCACTGGGACACTATTGCTTTTTTTCTATGTCCTCTGCCAGCACTGCTGATGTTACACTTGTTTAATACACTTCTCACTGCCTCACTCTAACTGCCCTAGCATGCTCAACTGTCACTCCCCATGGCAATGCAGTCACTGCTGACATTCCTGACTTGGATGGCATCCTGTATGCCCTGACCACTGGGCAGAAGACTGCATATATGTTTTCTAGAAAACTAGGCCCTTCACTTCAGTCAGGATAGAAAGCATCATCCACATTCTTTGGGAGCTAAGGTCACAGCTCACACCCATGATGTGAGGCTACTGAGAACACTGTTGCCTTGTGTGCCCAAGGGCTACCACTATCTTACAGTAAGTTAACCCTGCAGTAAAATTTGCTTCTGATCCATTCTGACGTGGTTAGACTAGGCACGTGTTTTTCTAAGAGACTCTCAACAACAGTCAAAAGGGGTCTAAGGCACCAGTCCCTTTACACAGCCTGCACAGTCCTGATCCCTTAACAAAGCAGATCTATTTGTACTATGAATTGCAGGGTCCATACAGAAAAAAACAGCATGTTACCATGTTAAAAAAAAAAAAAAAAGCTATTGTAATCAACGGCCCATCATTAACACTAAATCTTCTCTGTTTCACTTTGAAAATAGAATATAATTTTTCTGACACTATTTTGATGCATATCTTCCTAAAATGTAATACTCAAAAGCAAAAGTCTTGCACAAGTGTCCACTGCTTGATGTAACATAGTGATAGCAACTGGCGTTTAGTATCATGTATGAAGATTAAATGCACAGCTGGGCACTGAGATAACAGGATACAAAATAAAACCTCTGCTGCTGTATTTCTCAAGTTCCTGCTGTCAGAAAGATGATGAGGTTTAGGAAAGCTGGATTTCATCCCAGGTCCTGGGCAAAACTTAATGCTAGCAGATACAGACCTATGTTCATTCCTCACAGCCATAAACTTTCCTGATTTTTTTTTGGCAACTTTTTGAAGTTTGTTCCTAACCATCGGTTCTTCATTCCAATCTGTACTCATTCATTTATTCCATACCATTCTTCTTCCCTTTAGTCTTCTTTTTAAATTCTGGTGCCCCTGTCTCACAAATCTAAGCTCTTTATAGAGCTTAGCTGGAACAGGCTGCCCAGAGAGGCTGTGGATGCTCCATTCCTGAAGGTGTCAGATGGGGCTCTGGGCAGCCTGATCTAATGCCAGATCTGGAGGCTGATGGCCCTGCCTGTGGCAGGGGGGTTGCAACTTAATCATCCTTGGGGTCCCTTCCAACCCAAGCTATTCTACAACTCTATGATCTTCATCCTTCTTAGGGAGTTTCAGCCTCCTGCTACTGCCCATCACCCCCTCCACTCTCATTCAGACTCCCACAACCCTTCCATTATCAATCTGCTTGTAAAAATAACAAACAGAAAAGCCATCTGTCCTTTCAATAGTTCACGCCCACAATTCTATTCACTTCTTGACTCAATTTCTGAAGTCAGATTCCTCATCTATTTTAGGATCCCTCAGCCTTGATTGTCCTTTGGATCTGTACTCCTTGCCAAGAGCTGTATCTGCTCCTCACTTTCTTTCTCCATTCACACCTTATTCTTCATAAACTTTCTTTCCAGTCCCATTTTACTCTCCAAAAATTCTTCTTATTTCTCCTCCACCAGTTCTGGTCTCCAAGGAGTTGTTGTTCAGTGCTCTTGAACTTGACTGTTACAGCTACTATCTTCATCCTGGTAGCAGCCTTCTTACAGAATTTGACACAGGGGCAGCAAAGAAATATTGTCTCAATCTGACGCCTGGACACAGCAGGACTCTGAGCATTTAGGACTGTAGTTATTCATCCCTGCTCAGCTCTCGCAGCACCACAGAACCACAGAATATTTGGGGTTTCAGGGCCCTCTGGGTCCCTCTGCTCCAGCCCTGTCCCAGCAGGGACACCCAGAGCAGGGTGCCCAGGGCCATGTCCAAGTGGCTCTGGGAGATCCCCAAGGAGGAGACCCCACAGCCTCTGGGCAGCCTGTGCCAATGCAGAAGGGCTCCTGGTGTTCAGAGAGAACCTCCTGTGCTCCAGTTTGTGCCCACTGCCTCTGGTCCCAGCACTGGGCAAGAGGAACTGTTTAGCCTAGAGAAGAGAAGGCTCCAGGGGGATCTTATCTATGCATATGAATACTTAAGGGATGACTGTAATGAAAAGAATTCCACATATTAAGTATTGAGACAATTCTGGCTTCATAAATGTTAACACATTAAAAATAACTTTGGTCATTTACATTTCAATCAGTGAAAGTTAAATGAGTTTTTATTAATGCTGAGAACTGAAGAACTGAATTTGGATGCAGAAAAGGAGGTATCACTGTATAAGATTGCAACAGACACACTCCAATTTTATAGAAAGCTGTAACTACTTACCACTGGCTTGGCTATATTAGAAAGAAGTGCTTCAAGTGCTTTTGTTTCTTCATTCTTTTCTTGAAAAACAAAATCAAAGCAAACAAAGTACCCATGAATCATTGTTCAGTGATTTTCTATTGAAACAGCTCTTCAACAACTGCATATAGACTCAAGTATGCATAAAACAAAGCCACACCAACTTGCATTCATCTAGGGCAACATAAAACTAAAAGAGCTCCCATAGTTATTGTTCATTTTAATTCTAAATCTGTTCTACAATTTAAAAGAATACAGAAAAGATGGTTATCTTTTACCAGTGTATAACTTGAAACTACTGCTCTGGAGAATTTAACCTCATGGCTGACATACTTCCTGCAGATTTCTGTTTGGATAGAGACAAGTTACAGTAGTTTAAAATATCTTACTGTTCATCACCTGGAGGGCTGCTGGTAATGCTGTTGGCCTCCATCAACTACAGAGTGATAAACCTCAGCTGAACCATCAGCTACACCCCAGTGAAAAGACTTAAGGTGTTCTGCTTCAGCTGAAGGCATATCTGAATTTTACAGAGCACTGAGTAAGTCTGTAGAAAATGTCTGTATGTGCTTTCTCTTGCAATGTACAAAAATATGATCATCTCAATAGTAATAAGTGCACATACTACACGTGCTACTTTGGAGGAGCAGACAGACACTTTTAATGCACTTAAAAGCCTCCATTAAACTAAAGAGGTTTTTTTTTAAAAAGGAAAACAAATGTTAAAAAAATCTTTTAAAAAAAATCAGGTTTAAACCATTTGCAACTTTATATTCCCTTATGCTGTTGAAACTGATCACATTTCCAATTTCTGCTTCTTTAGAACAAGTCTAAGTTACAGTACATCATTTTCCAAAAAGCCTTGTTAAATCAGAAACAAAACAACCTGGAAAATGGGCATTTCCATCTTTCAAATCAATGTTTGCAAAAAATTGTTGACAAAATGTTTATGATGTATGTGAGCAGCGTATTTTGCCACCTTGCCTTGGCAAAGTCTGTTTTAATAATAAATGCACTACGTAAGAAAAATATGAAGTCACATGGACAAGTGTGAAGACTATTTTTCTACAAAAGTCCTCCTATAATGAGGTGGTAGAGACACACATCATGTGAATTTCATAGAACAACAATTCTTTTTCCATAAAATATTCCTCCTTTAACAAGTTCAGTGTAGATCTCCTGATCACATTTATGGTTCTTTCCACGTTCTCTGCAGTATCAGACAGGCCATCAGTATTCAGTTGCTCCTCAAAGCTAAAGCAACAGTAACTTTGGCAGCAGAACACAAGACTTTTATTTACACAGAATTAAGAGGTATAACTAATAAAATCTGCCCAGTGCCCAAATCTACACAGAGACTTGCACAGCAGTAGTTTTGCTCTTTTAGGTACATCGTTTCAACAAGAGGAGCAGACTGCTCACTCTTAACTCCATTCCATGTAAGTCAGTGCAGTTATAGGCTACCACCCAAGACTGTCAAAGCATGGTGTTGAACTTACAAATTATGTGCTCAGCCAGTCACTGGACTAGTATATATAGCAATATATATATGTATACATACACAAAAAATACTTTAAAAGTATATGCTACATATATATTTTATTAACACTTACCTTCTACTTCTATGTCTGTCTGAGAATTGCTTTTTCCTTTACCCACTGACTTGCTTTTGGTAGAACCTGTGCTTATACCAGCTGTGTCCTGTCCTTTTGTAAGTCCATTAGGTTCACTTGTAGGAGAAGGACATTTCTGAGGAGATGATGGAGGACTATTTAATTTATCCTTCTGAGTTCCATGCCGGTCTTTTAATTTTTTTTGTAACCTTTCATATGTTTTACTAGACCTTTCATCTCTAAAGTTGGCTCTTCCATGTGCAGGCAGGGTATCTAAATGAAAGTTAAACAAGCAAATAAATCACAACACAATGTAATCAAAAATCAATTTAAAAATGCCACGCGAGTTAAGCGTATGCTTGTGTGCAAAATTACATCTATATTCCTACCATAAAACTGAGCTGTCCAGCAAGTAAAATTATGCACAGTAATTGGATCTTAATGACCTGTTAGAGGAAAAAGCATAATCTTTCATTCTCCATTTTTCCACTTAAAAATTAAAATGTTTCTATATTCTTTTGTGAGCTGTAAGGTGCAGAATAAAGTTAACACAGTCCTCCTCCTATAAGTACTTGATTACAAGGTAGGAAACTTGCTCTAATGCTGAATACAAAAAATACAGAAGTTTTAATTTTGAGAACGCAACGAGACCTCTATTGCTTTAATCGTGTTTCTGCAGAAATCAACAGGAAAACCAGAAACCTCTGAAGAACAGGGCAACTGAAGATAGCATGGCTAACATGTCAGTACACTGGATCTGTACAGGCTAAACTGAGGCATTGCTGCAGCCCTACCGAGAGACTAAGTGAGAACATGGCTTTGGAAAAGGTCAGTCCTACATATAATGCTGCACAGAAAAAATAATCAGGATATTTAATTGGTAACTGAACAGACAAGTCAAATAAGTGAAAAGAACTTCTTATGAAATAGTAAGTTTCAGCAAAAAGACTGGCATCTTCATAAATGTTTTTGTACAGCTCCCATTCAAGATATAGTCTTATCTGCATGATAAAGCACATACATCTACATCACAGATTTCAGAAGCCAGTACAGCACCATTTCCTTTGTCAGAAGTTGCAATGCTTTATAAGCTACATACCCAGATCCCCATACATTTGGGACGTGTGATACTGTGGAATGTACTGCGTCGCCATGTCACCGGCCCCGGTCACTGGTGAGTAGATATGACGTGGTGGAGGAGGGATCATGGCTGGGAGAGGAAGGAAGCCAGGCAGTGGAGGATGAGGAGGCCTGTGTATCACTGCGTGACCACCAGGATGAAATTCTGGAGCCTGGGGAACCACCACAACCCTTCGAACACCGTTATCCTCAATAACCTGTACAGTGAGAGACCGTGCACAAGGACAAGAGCTTAGTAACGAGCAAAGAGTGAATAAAGCAATAATCACAGAATCACAGAATGGTCTGGATTGAAAATGACCACAATGATCATTTAGTTTCAATCCCCCTGCTATGTGCAGGGTCACCAACCACCAGACCAGGCTGCCCAGAGCCACATCCAGCCTGGAATAAGGCCTTACAAACAACTAGATATACTCCTGGCATTAACCTAGCTTGTCCCCAGTGCCCTGTTTCCATCCTCATTCGTGCACAGTGTATGCTACACTGCTGCTAGGGTTTGTTCTACAGTGTAACAAGTAGATGGCTCCCTGCAAGTCAACTGATAGACAGATGGACTTCACACAGCGTAAGTGGAGAGAAAAAGGCATAACAGTGCCTGGTCTTTGCTACAAGCCCAACACAGTCCTCCACTGTTAATGTGGGATACTTCTTGTCAGTATGTAGCAGCCTCAGTCTGCACCGAGCTGTTAAAGCAAAAAATACCTAGCAGGATAGCAGTCAGCCCTCTCACTCCTTTAGAACACAATGTAGTTTAAAGTAAGTTGTTTTTTTCTCTGTTAAATTATCTTGCATCCTGACTCTGTGAAAAAAAAAAAGATGGCAGCCTCTGTTTGCTGCATAAAAATCTCCCTGGCAAACAAGAGATGTGCCAGAAGAGCCTTCTGCCCTGAGCTATGCTGCCAGAGGTTCAATCTTATCATGAGGGTAAATGCAGACATGTAAGATGCAGGGAGCTGAGGATTTCTGTGTACAGTACACATAGCATAAGTGAGAAGGTGTCTCACACAGGTAAAGACAGATACTGTAGAAGTACTGAAGCAGAAAATGATCATCCCTAGATAAGGGTTAGTAATGGGGTCACTCACTGAAGCACGCCACAGATAGAAAACACTGCCATTGTGACCCTCTCTACAAGTTTGTATTGCTAGTAGTGAATTTACAAATTTACAAATAAATATGACTGTTGGTAATACCCAGAGATGGTCCTGGCATGATTTGTCTCACATGCATTGTGGGGTTAACAGCCTCAGCACCTGGGATCCCAATGAATACACTGCTCTCCAGTTCCTAGTAAGACGCTGCAAAACAATGCCATATGAGGACTGCAAGGGAAGCTTCTGGATGAAATGTTCATCCAGCAAATTAGGACAGTAAGGAAGGAATCTAGAATATCATGACTACACTCAAAAACAGGGAACAAAGCAACCTTATGCTCTAGGTTTTCACTTAATATTTTCACTTTGGTATTTGGAGTTGGGTGGAACATGTACATGTACACCAGTGAGTAATCTGGGGCAATAGGAACAGACCAGAAGATCAAAGCACTTGGTGCCAAGCTGCTTTGACATCCACTGTTTGAGCTTAACAGAATTATGCCTGGGTAGCTCTAGTCCCATGCCCTGGTATAAATACTTGAACTGTGCCCATGACAGAAAGCTGCCTGAAGGATCAAACGTTGTTTTTGCCATTTTATCATTAGAGGTTAGTGTGCATCTGGTACTCGTCTGGAATGGAATTCCTAGTTTTATTTCCTCTGACAGCAATCTAATTTGCACATTCCCAAATCATCCTGCTAGCTGCACCAATGCAGAGTAAGTGAGGACGGTCTAGGAAATTGTTTTAAAGCTTTCCAACTGTAGCAAGAAAAAAAAAAGATGTAGACATGGCTGTATGGTTCTGGTGTAACGTAGAACAAAGATTTTTATACATAAACAATAACATTGAGAAGACAAAAATGTGTATGCAATGGAACTGATCCCACTTATATAAATGGAGCTGGAAACTAATACAAACAATCTAAGTGAACATACAAATACCATGCGGTTGGTTTTTTTTGTAGGTTCACTATTTTCACTATATAGAAACTGCCTCTTACTGGGAAAGGGTAATATTGCAAAGACAATGCTCGTCGTATCTGTGCAGTGATAGCTGAATGGTACCTAAAGGCAGGACATGGTAACAGCAGGAAATACAACTACAACTGCTGCTTTCCAACTATGTTCTCTAAACACTGAAATGTAGTTTTCATCATTTGAGACCCTTTTGCTTACACAAAAAAATTCCGATTTATCACAAACTCATCTGCAGATCTGGTTTAAAAACAGGCTACTTAAGACTATCAGCAGATCCAAGGAAACAAACAGATTATAAACTAAGTAACTCAGAAACAGATACCCAATTCATGGCAGCAGGGATCTTAAGCCATGTCTGTAACTTTGCCTCTGCATCCAAGATCAACTCAACTGCAGTCTCCTAGCAAAGTGTGTAAAAAAAAAGCATCACGTCAAATATGTCATCTTAAGTTAAATAATAAGCTGTTATCCTAAATGTACCAGCAAAACATACAGTTCTGGCATAGGCTTGTTTGACAACCAAACATCACTGGGAAATTCACTACAGGCACTTAATACAGACAGCTTGGAGAAGATGAATAATGATGTATGCGCTTTCTTTCCGAGTTCTAGAACTCCAGTTCCAATAGAAAAGGAAGGGAGAAGTAAACCAACTCATGAAATACCTTTTATTTATGTGACATGAGAAAAATAAATACATTTTATTCTATTGCTGTCTTTAGCTTCTAACAGAGGACACTACATTGTGTCAGAGCCAAAGAGAAGTTGAAGCAAGCGGAGGTAGAACAGAACTAAATGAAAATGTGTAGACAAAATGCTAAAGCTGTTCTTCCACACCAATGGCTTTAGGCTTCCAATAGCTCTCAAATTATATCTGCAGTTACAGACTTAAAAGTACATTAGGTCTGAAGAAATCATGGAAACTATATTGCTGGGGGTGCATTAAGTAAAGAATAACTCAACTGCAGCAGTTTTTGCTGTTTGCAAAACCTCTATCAAATCTTCTTTCTTGTCACAGAAACTTCCAACATAAACCACAACAGCTGGCACGCTTTATCAGCAGTAAATGCTTCAGAAACCTTAGAAACTACAGGTTTTCCTGGACTCTGACACTTAGATGAAAACAGCAGACAAGGGCTTATTCTACCTGCACTCAGCTCAGAAGTCAGAGGGCTGTGCCAGCACAACACCTGCTGGTATAACAAGCTCCAATGAAAGGCTAACAAGCATGTCCCAGTGAAACCTTGTCCTTCAGCCTGCCTGTGGCAAGCTGGCCTATAGGGAGATAAACACCTCATAAAAATAATTCAGATTGTCACAGGTCACACGGCTTTTCAAGCATTAAGTACTTCATCAACTGAAATGAACTACCCGAGGAATATAGTAAAGCTTCATTTCTGGGTTCAAAAATTCTTCTTATTATTTAAAAATGAGTTAGGAACCAAGCCTTTTTGCTATGACTTAAAGATAAATGGACTTTCATTGTTTTCAATTCATTTTTCTTCTGACTGTTTTGGAATTCAGCTATGAAAGATGTATGAACCAACTTATCAGCCAGCTCTAACAGATCAGAGGTAAAACTAGGGGGACCACACAAACCAGTCTGCCTACCCTAACAGCGCATTCTTTTACTAGATGACAATTTTTCATCTAGCTCAGATAATGCGTGCAACATTTCCTGGACACTGGGGATTTTTTTGTTGCATTTTATGCATTATATTCTCTTCACATGGACACATTCAGTCACAGGAAGACTGGTCACAACAGAACATCGTGAGAAAGATTGACACTGTGGAGGGAGACATTCGTCTGCTCTGGTTTCCAGATCTGAGCTACTAACCAACCCTACACTTGTTCTATAGCTGAGGGAGAGAGATCATCTACAAGGCCATACATCTATGTCAGCATGATAGCAAACACAAGCAAGAATTGTCCTTTTCATCTATTTTAAAGGACGTGGAGGTTACCTTGCTCACAATTAGTTTTCAGACATTTAAATTAGGAATCCCACAGCAGCGACAAAAGCAGAGTCCCATCTCAAGTTAAACCAGAGAAACATGTTACAGGGTGACTTATTCTCAATGGACAGTTAGAGTTTTTTTTTCTGCATTTGCTACATTTTTTTTTTCTAACAGAACTGCTTTACTCCCAATCTGCAAAGAAATTCCCAGACATGAGCTATGATCATACATAAAGTTATATTGGTGCCAAGAGAAAATATCTGCTAACCCAAATTCAGCACAATGAACTATCTGGGTCATGAACTGTATTTTATGTTCAGAGGAGAGCCAGTACATTAGGATCCTGAACTAAATAAGGAACTGTACCTGTTATTCTCATGTAAGTAGTTAATATATAACTGAAAGGCACACATAAAAGCTCCCAGAGATATTATTGGATACCTCCTGTTATTTATTTCCTTGACCACAGTGACTCAAACTTGACACATTCACTTACTGAATTAGCTGTTTCAGTTCTGCTTCCATATAATTGTCATGCAAACAAATGAAACAAGAATCAAACAAAGTGACATACCTGTGGGGCATATCCAGGAGGCACATAAATAGTAGGCACTGAACCATTTGGGGACATCATTGGAACCTGAGCAGGACCTGCATGGGTTAAAGAAACATTCTCATGATCCTGCACTGAGAGTTCAAAGAACATGTTGAACTGCAAAGTCTCTGTGAAAAATATACAACGTAACACGGATAAAAAAAAGGCAATGGGCTACACAGATAACATCATAGCAAAGGGCCCCCTCAGAAATGTGAGACAATTAAGAAAGACAGAAACAAAGTAAAAATAATTGTCCAGCTTATATTTCTCCTTTCCCTGTTAGCTCATGGAAGAGCTTATGGCAAAACTTCTTTGCAAGTGACAAGTTAAAAGAAGCATCCCAAAACAAAGTGAAAATAGACTGCAATAGAAAAAAATAACAGAAAGAAAAGATAAAACTAGACAGCATTCAGTTAAAAAGTTAAGAATAGTAAACAAAATTAATTACAGAACTTGTGGTCTGTTACTATGGACTTATCACCTCAGATGGTCTCAGCACCACAGGAACAGAAAGTGGCAACCAGGACACCAACACAAAATCTCAGAGAAAAGCTAATGTATTACAAACTAGTGAGTCTACAACTAAAAACAGTGAGAAGTTGTGGTACTGTGGCAATCCTTTTAATGAGCAAGCCAGAAGGAACAGAATTCACAGACACCTAGACAAATACAACACAGTGTGTTAAGGTGGCGTTTGAAAATAAAGCACTGCCTGGAAAATCCGATACCTTCAAAGAGCAAAGAGCTACTGTTACATTTGACAATCTCTCTCAAACACCCTTGAAGTAGTGATGCTGCCTTTGGCTAAAAAGAAAAGAGGGCTTCTCATGAGGAACCAACTGGCCTGAGAAGAGGAAGTAAAGTGAAGGGAACACTGGGCTTCCAAAGCAGCTACAGTGACCACAGCAGTCCCACAGGAATGGTACTTCAATGTATTAACAAAGTTTCTGGACGCGGAAATGAATGTCTAGGTGACAAGCTTTTGGTATGCACTCAGAGAACTGCAAAGGGTCTCACAGCAGTCAGTGGCCATCCAATACAAATGCAGAAGAAATTGTGTTACTAAGTGCAAAGTAACACACTTGGACAAAACCAAGAGAAGTATTTATTCACAGTGATAAGCCATGCGCTAGTCATACTCTCGTACTCAAAAGCCATATTCTATGTGAGTAGATTAATGAGTTTTTACATACATGTCTAAAGAAATACCAACTGAGATGTTCACTGGTATTCACAGAAGGAAACAGTACATTAAAAATCATTAGAATCATTTGAATTGGAAGGGACCCTTCATCTCTGATCTTGATAGGTGAGGGGATAGTGGCCACCCTCAGCAAGTTTGCTGATGATACGAAGTTGGGAGGATTGGCTGACACGCCTGAAGGCTGTGCTGCCATTTAGCGAGACCTGGACAGGCTGGAGAGCTGGGCAGAAAAAAACCAGATCAGGTTTAACAAAAGCAAGTGTAGAGTCTTGCATCTGGGGAGGAATAATTGCATGCACCAGTACAGGTTGGGGGATGAGCTGCTGGAGGGGAGCTCTGCAGAGAGGGACCTGGGTGTCCTGGTGGACGACAGGTTGGCCATGAGCCAGCAGTGTGCCCTTGTGGCCAAGAGGGCCAATGGCATCCTGGGGTGCATTAAAAAGAGCGTGGCCAGCAGGTCGAGGGAGGTGATCCTCCCCCTCTACTCTGCCCTGGTAAGGCCTCATCTGGAGCACTGTGTCCAGTTCTGGGCTCCCCAGTACAAAAAAGACAGGAATCTCTTGGAAAGAGTCCAGCGGAGGGCCACAAAGATTGTGAAGGGCCTGGAGCATCTCTCCTATGAGGAAAGGCTGAGTGAACTGGGTCTGTTCAGCCTTGAGAAAAGAAAACTGAGAGGGGACCTGATCCAGGTCTACAAATATCTAAGGTGTGGGGGGCAGAGTGGCAAGGCCAGTCTCCTTTCAGCAGTGTGTGAAGACAGGACAAGGGGAAACGGCCAGAAACTGCAGCATAGGAAGTTCCGCACAAATGTGCGCAAGAACTTCTTTACAGTGAGGTGACGGAGCACTGGAACAGGCTGCCCAGGGAGGTGGTGGAGTCTCCTTCTCTGGAGATGTCCAAGACCCTCCTGGACACCTGCTTGTGTGACCTGGTGTAGGGAACCTGCTTTTGCAGGGGTGTTGGACTCGATGATCTCTGGAGGTCCTTTCCAACCCGTGCGGTTCTGTGACCCCTAACGGCCATCCAGTCCAACTGCCCTGCAATGAACAGCGACATCCACAGCTCCATCAGGTGCTCCAGCCTAACCTTGGGTGTCTCCAAGGATGGGGCATCCACCACCTCTCTAGGCAAACATCCTGGGGACAGCGTGCACTGCCTGACTCCATTCTTTAAAATAAGACAGCAGAACTAGAAAAGGACAAAAAGAAAAAGCAGAGAACTTTTACAGTGACTTTCCACCTTTTTCATCAGGGCAGATTCAAGAGACGAGGACTATTCCATGTGATGATGGTTAAAAGGTAAAAGAGCATGCAGAAGAGAAATAGTACAAGACCTATAAAAGCCACCAACTGCCTAAAATAGGAAGATGGATCATTTATAATTTCTCACGGACGAGAACCAGATTCTAAATTAAATAACCGAATACAAAATTTAAAACAGAAAAAGGAATTTCTCAGGACATGCACAGCTTAATTGTGTAAGTCACAGCTTTGAGAACGTTGTGGAAATGAAAGGTTGTGTTCACAGGTTCAGAGCTATTAAACAGATTGAAAGAAGTAACCAAATAAGAGCTGATAAAAGAACCCCTGTTGGTTCAGGAAGCTCAAAAGAAAGTGATTTCTGTGTCCCTGCCCCATCCTTATGCTCTCCACTGTAGTGTTTGATACCAGCCCTGTGCCATTTGCACAGGCAAGAGGACTGCACAACAAGAGGAACCGCATACAGATTTCTTTACTTTCCTGCATTTAAAATACACAACGGGCACAACTGATAAAGTTTAACAATTAAAGTGAAGCACAGCATAATCTAACAGGTTGTGTGGCAAGATGACAAGGCTGGGATACAAACACCCCAGGCTGCAATCCAACTCTTGGCAAAGTTTCAGTAATATTTCTAAAAGGCTCTTCGTGTTAATAATTGATAAACTGTGCTTACATCTGCAAATGGGAGGTACTACCCAAGTGCAAGGTGTGCTTTATCATATATGTCTATAATAGGAGATATGAGATGTAATGTTACATCTCATTTTGCTAAGTGTGAGCTTGACAGAGAATTCAAATTAACTACGTCTGAAGGCCAAGAGAGGGAAAAAGGAAGAAATAGAATTCTATAAAATACGAGGCAGGTAATCCAACTTGATCCCACATGCTGTAACAACTCTTTCACAACAGGATACAAAAGCCTTGAAATATATTACCTTAAAAGAATCACAGCTTTGTTATTGATGAAGTGTTAACACACAATGGTGGAGGGAAGAAAATTTTTAAGAATGAGGTCTTAAATTGAGTGACTGAACCGTGCAAAAAGCAAATAACAGAAGAACTACAGTGAACTTTACATTGAGAAATGAACCGTCTTTGGGTTTTTGCTCAGGTGAAACCCAAAAATGTTTCAGTTGAAGTTTCTCCAGAGTGTGAATAGCTAAAACAGAAGTGACAGTCACATGAAAAGCAGTGACCAAGCTGAGAAGTGCTTTGGAGTATTACCTTAAATAAATTTGAAGAGGTCAACAGAAGCAGAAACATATTTAATACGAGTTGCCATTCATCCAAATAAGTGGTTTAAATACTTAAATGAGGGCTGATTTCACACAGCTTGTATCCCATAGAGTACTTGTGGCTTTTCATAATGAATACAAGACACTGAAGCTTTCATTAACCTCACCATTTTCTACCATGAAAGTTTCAGGTATGTAGAGAACTAAGGCCACAGTAATTTTCAAAGCAAACTCACTGTGCTGAGAGGATGAAGGAAGCCTAATGTGAACAGCTTGTCACTTAGTGAGCCAGTGGATATGCCAGCGTTGGGCTTTAATTCATTGTTAAATTTAGACAATATTCTTCAGGTGTTTAAAAACAACTCAGGTCCAGGCGAGCAACTTATCCTTCTTTCCAAAGATCACTCATCACTGAGTGCTTTAAGCCTCTGTCCCAACAAACAAACAAAAGCAGCTATTTCCAGTGCAGTACAAAGGTTGATCCACAGAAACGTTTCAGCATCCCCCAACCGAGCAGCCATACAAATGAAAACATATAGACAAGTACGGACCCCAAGAAATACATGACCTTAGAATGGAGTCCAGTTAGCGGTCTGAAAACCTGCATCCCATCCTGAGCATTTTAAAGACTCAAAATAAATGAAAATCTCTTTTTAACTCAGGATGACTTCTGATATGCTTCCGAATAGATTCTGAGATGACCATGGAATGAATTAGTCCGTATGGGAACATTCAGCAAAAGAGAAAGCACAGGGAAGAAAGCTGATGAACTACTTTTTTTTTTAATGAATGCAAGGTCTGCAGTGAAGTTACTTGGTTTCTTGGCAGAAAGCAAGATGCACTGCAGGAGGAATCCCCATCCTTTCCAAGCAGTGTCAGAGGCACTGTCAGACCAATGCTTTTGTGCACCGCACAGAATGGGATTTACATCCACATCACTGTGTGATGAATGTTGATGTGTTTACTGTTTTAAGAGGCCTCGAATCTTCTGTATACTTTCAGTTACACAAGTTCTCCCTCTGGACAAGCGGGAAGGAATTACTGTGGGAGAAGACAAGCTGCATAGCTCTGTTTGATGCTTTATTCATGAGAAATGGCTCATCAAATGCAGTCAAGGTGTATTTAACCCGGTGCAACCCAAAAGACAAGATGTATCGCTGTACTTTTCAAATTTATCTTCCTGAAATTTGCTACTTCATTACTACAACGAGTAAAACTTGTAAAAAGCCTCTCAGTGCACATCTCGCCTTCATAAAAACCAAGTAAAACTTGGAATATTTTTGGGGAAAAGAAAAAAAAAAAAAAAAAAAGGAAACATAGAAAAACTCGCGGCAGGAGGAGCGCCCGTCGGC